GGGGTTTTAATGCTATAAAAGTGAGTATAAATGTGTTTTTTTTATCCACTTTAGTTGAGTAAATGTAGCATGAAATGAATAATCAATAGATGACTGTGGTGCATTAATGAATCAAAGCCTGTTCATTTGTGACTCACCAGACTGTTTTATTAAGAGAGCTGATCTTTTTTTCAGATCCCAGAGATTTCTTCTAACAGGAGACAAAGCTTAGATGTAATGATCATCTTGTATTTCCACTAGGTGGCATTGTGCCACTATGCACTTCTTTAAGGACTAAACAAGCACTCTTGGTTTCTCAGATAGGAAATCCAAATATCCTAAGGGGGGATTACAATACGAGCTGAAGCAGTGCTACTCCACCCTTCAGGAGGAGGCATTTGCTTTTTCTTTAATGTTTGAAAAGATGTTGTTCCTCCCCTTTTTGAGAAGCAGACCAGCCTGCAGACATAGCTGTGTAAACACCAGGCAATACCTAAAATGCAGACCTCGACAACCTCTGTGACACTGCTGGTGTTCTATTTTTTATTTTTTTTTGTTAGGTTGCCAGGGGTTTTAGTTGAGATGCTGAACAGCTGAGGTTCAGTCTGTTTTAACCCTCACCCCTCCTCCTTTTTTCTCTGTTGGAAGGTTTGAAACACTCTGGAGATCTGCAGCCTAGAGGACTCTGTTTTATTTTTTTGTCTGTGCATGCCATAGATGAGAAAACAACTAAGCCTCTGTTTCAGTCTGTGTTTGTGTTTCTGGATGCACCTGCTCGCCTTATTTTTCCCCCATCCCCCACAGTGAAGTGTAACAAGTCCCTTGAATCCTTATCCTCTGGTTTTGATTTTGTCCTGGGGTTGTTTTTTGTAAAACAGCGTTACTCACTAGAGAAGTTCAGCTTACTCGTTTTTGCCCTAGAGGCAATAGCTGGAAAAATTCTTTAACATGTACAAATAGGAATTCAGCACATGCTTATGTGTGGAGCTATAGTAAAGCAGGATTAAATCGGGATACTTGTCAAATTAAAAGCCTCTCATTGACAGTTTCAGCACCAGGGACAGCTCCCTCTCACTTGTAAAGCTGGGCTCAGTTCCCCTGCAGTAAATTATTTGCTGCTAAGACATATTTAACCTGACATTAATGCTTGAATATAAACACAAAAACAGGTTTCTGTTATTTATAACATTGATATAATTTGAGCTGACCAGCTCTGCACAAACAGCCATATGTAAAAAAAATAGATTTTTCCAAGCTGGAACACTTTACAGGCCAAGGATTTTCCAGCTAGGCTGGTATTGACCATGAATTGGAAAAAAAAAAAAAAAAGAAACCTCCTCTTTTTTTTCCATTGGCAGTAAAAATAATGAATTCACGAGCCATGGTCAAAAAGTAAATGTAAATAAAAACCTCTACATTAATGTAAAATAACCTAAATTGTGAAAGGCATATGATGAGAAAGCTTATGATCCCACTGTAATGGGCAGTTTTTTTGGCTGTGAAAGGGATGAGTGTCAGCAGTGTGATTATCAACAGACAGATAGCGGATGACAGCTGCCATCGGTTATTGATGACTTTCATAATTAAAATCTCTTATGGGAAGAAACAGAAGAACAAAAGGAGAGGGGGGGGAGAAATCACAGAAAATGATGAATGGTTCTTTCATCTCTAAAGCTGATATAGGAACCAGTCGGCACTTCAGTTAGAATATTGCTTTCCAGGAAAGTCTCTGAATTTGGCTTCAAAGTGGAGCTGGGAGCTTTTAATATTCCCATAGCTCCCAATGCAATGTTTGGATGTCTATTTGTGCAGATGAATGACATCAGATAGAAGAATTGATATAAATCAGGTGCCCTAGAAAAGGCAAATGCTGCCATATGCCAATTCTATTTTTGCCGTACATTTTTCTTTACAAACGTTATTACAAATGTGACACTTGCATTCCTCTGCTGGCAATCAAAAGAGCTTTAACCATAGTATATGTTAATATTTATCCAGGGAGCAGGAATCTTTGTATTTTTATTGTTCTAAAGGATGTACATAAAGTATCTAAATAAACCATACAGCAGCTGACTTTTTAATGCTTTAAATAATATGACTCTAAAGTTATATTTGTAATTGAAAAATGAATACATCACTGACAGGACACACCATTGGGTGGTAATAATATCTTTAGCTAATCAGTATCAATTAGCATTTGACTATATAACCTAAGAACACTAAGATAACATGTTTGGGATTTACTTTAGCGCATAATATTTATGACATGCATAACATCCAAACATCACAATGCTCCTTTCATCTGATAAAAATTCTATGTGCTCAAGAGTCTTCTGTTTGGGTGGGGAAGAGTACATGAGTGATGCATTTAGGACCATTAGGAGACACTAAGATCCCAGCAAATTAGAAACAGAGGGGCAAAGGTTGCTATGGAATGGAACAATGTATAGCTGAACACATTATACACCCGATACACATAATAGATGATTTAGAAAGTTGGCATTTAAAAAAATTATTAGAAGTCAGTCCTGAAGTGCCTGTCTGCTGGATGCCTTAGTTCTTTCCATAGTTCAACATACACATATTAAATGATGCTTCATTTGCAGACCTCTGCAGAGCTGTATGAAATGCTAAGGAGGGGATTCAACTAGACACAGTGTAAATGTGCAGGACACTAGACTTGAGGACTTGAGCTGGCCATGGTCTAGCACAATAATAAGGATGATTTTACAGTGATATGATTGGGTTTCCTATTGTGTGCTTTTGTCAACTTCCCATTTTTTATTGAAATGTCTTACAATAATAGATGTCAATAAAACTAAAAATGAAAAATGGTGAAGGAGCTCGATCATGAGCACAGTCTTAAGTTTAGTTTTTTCCTGCAGACCTAATCGAGATTGTTTGCCTTTCCATCACACGGCAACACAGAGACAAACAACCATTCATGCACACATAAGGAGAATTTAGAGAAACCAGTTAACCTAACAGTCATGTCTTTGGACTGTGGGAGGAAGCCAGAGTACCTGGAAAGAACCCACGCATGCTCAGGGAGAATATGCATACTCCATGCAGAAAGACCCCGGGCCGGTAATCGAACACGCAACCTTTTTGCTTCAAGGCAGCAGTGCTACCCACTTTACTGAGCAGCCAAGCTTAGACAGCTGGAGGTACCAGCAGCCCTTGCGACCCCGCTTTGGATAAGCGTGACGGAAAATGGATGGATAGATGTTTTTAAGCATCTTATTAGAACTCAGTGCTTCCTTTAAAATTACTGATACTCAACACCTTACTGATAGTGAAAGTGCCTAACCTTAACCCATGCAGAAGAGCGTCAGTAGTGCTTATTATAGTGTGTTCACTAACCCAACAATTATTTTTATCACTCATTAGGTTTCAGATACAATGTTACAATTTATCTAGTTAAATTTAAAGGAATAGTACACCCAAAACATGATTAGCCTTCATTTTCTACTCACCCCCATGCTGAACAAAACTCTGGAGTACTTTTTTGATATCTCAAATGCATCTGGAGATCTGGGAGGCTTCTTGCTGTCTGCTGACATTCAAATAATGGAGGTTTATGGCGCCCGAGACAGAAAGGTCCACAAAAACGTGTCAATATTCCTCCATACTGCTCGTCCAATGTAATCCAAGTGTCCTGAGTGGGTAGCATCCAGAATTTACTCGAAACGAAGTCATTTAGAACATTTTAGAGCATAAACAGTAGTGTATAGGATTTCCTAATAGCGCCCCCATGCGCGCTCACGATTCTACGGAAGCCGGCAGACGAAACCGGAAGAAAGTGCGCATTCAGCGTCTGCTCTGCCGATAATGAAAGCGTAGAAGAAGAAATGTGCTGTTTACCTGTGCAAAGAAAGAAACAACGAAAGAAAAATGTCTGAGGACTTCAGTGTTGAGGAAGAGCATGAGTTCTTTGCCGAGCTGAATGCGCTGGTTTGGTCTGCCGGCTTCCGTAGAATCGTGAGCGCGCATGGGGGCGCTATTAGGAAATCCTATACACTACTGTTTAGGCTCTAAAACGTTCTAAATGACTTCGTTTCGAGTAAATTCTGGATGCTACCCACTCAGGACACTTGGATTACATTGGACGAGCAGTATGGAGGAATATTGACACGTTTTTGTGGACTTTTATGGACCTTTCTGTCTCGGGCACCATAGACCTCCATTATTTGAATGTCAGCAGACAGCAAGAAGCCTCCCAGATCTCCAGATGCATTTGAGATATCAAAAAAGTACTCCAGAGTGTTGTTCAGCATGGGGGTGAGTAGAAAATGAAGGCTAATCATGTTTTGGGTGTACTATTCCTTTAAGGAATACAATATTGAAAACTCCAGATAAATACCCTAAATGATTTGAGGATCTCTCATGCCACTTTTTGTATGAATGACATTCTCAGCTCTTATTTCAGTGCAGGCGTACTTTATTTGAACCTCGATTCAGACGTTGCTGTGTTTTATTGTGTTCAGCTAAGAGGCTCCAAAATACACAGATGTACCGTTTGTGGTTTAGATGAAAGAAAATCCTTTCTGAAAAGACTACAGACACAGATCAGACAGGATGAGTGTCTGTGACAGTGTGTTCCCCTGCAGGCACTACGGAGCAGAAAGCTGCATGTTTCACAGCACCACGTGGTATCTCTGAGCAGTCAGAGTGCCAGAATCCCATAGGGAATACCTCTACTTGTGTTGCAGAGATGCTGTGTGAGAGCATGTGTGTGTGGTACTGTCAGAGTGGAGCTGCTACCACTAACCTGCTAAACGCTCCCCATCAAACCCACCCACTACGGTCCTCCCCTTTTAGAACAGGACAGGGCTGCTGTGACATCACCCATTCCCACGCACTTCGATTGGCCGGCCAGTGGAGGGAAGTGGATTGCTCCTGCAGCAGAGTAAAACGTGGGAGGACCAAAGGTAGAGAGTGTAAGGGGGGGTATGTGAGCAGGAAAGATTGATGCTGAGGCAAGCCGGCACTGCGCAGTGCTAACACACACACACTCACATGCACACAAACACTGTGAGTATCACGCGTACTCTCTCATCACACTCCCAAGCTGCTTAACAGGCAGGAAAAGCACCTAGTCTGACTGAGTCTGCAGTCCGTCACTGCAGGATAGGACAGGACCGAGAGGATGTGAAGAACGAGTGCAGACCCAACAATTCGTCCTTCTGTTTTTACCTTAAAGCAACAGTTAAAGTGCTGTCATCTGACGGCGTCCTTAGCTCCAGGAAGCTCTTCCCAGGTAGCCCTCTTCTCCCAAAAAAAATTGAAAAGAAAAGGAGGAAAGAAAGCCAGCAAGGGCAGGAGCAAGGGCAATTCTCTCCTGGAGCTTGTCGTGAACGTCCTCTCAATGTCCTCATGAAAATGAGCAGGAACCTGCATGAGGTCTGGGCTAAAAGATGGCACGGCGAGTAGGAGGGGAAGGCTCCCCAAAAAAGACATCTCTTAACCTGGTGACAGGGTTCCACCACTACCTCCGAGGTAAGTGGGGCAGCGTGTCTGCCTGGCAGTGTGCTCTGTGGAGAAAGATGGCAAGAGAAAGCAGCAGGGAAAGTTCCTGTATGTATGTTTTTCATGAATGATAGTACTTGCTTTTTCTGAGTTGCTTTGCAGCGTTGAATCTGTTGATGCCTTCATGTGTGCTGGCTGCTTTCTTCCTGCTCTTTGAAAGTTTGTTGCATGAAACAGACACATTTGAAGAGCGTGTTTCTTGGCAGACTGTGTATGTTTGTTTATTCTTCTGAGTTTGGAGACTGCTTTTTTAGAAGTCTGCAGGGAGTGGAAAAAGCAAACCCAGCAGAAAAGTAAACCCCCTGCTTGCATCACATTGCAGGGGTGTGACTAGAAAAATATTAATTTCTCCTTTTTGTCCTGGAGTCCTCTAATGCTCTTACTTGTGTTTGGATATTACTACAGAGAGTGCTGTGTTTGCTCATCTATTTTAAAGAAACTTACCTAAAACATTTATAAAAAATATTTAAATAAAGCTTTTTTCTCCCTGCTTTGCGTCCTTGTAAGGCAAACGTATACAGCTGAGTGTAAAAAAAATACAAATTTTGAAATAAATGAGATTTGTTTTTTATATTTTCGTCAGTGGAGTGGGTCAAAGTTGGAGGTTGAGACAGGATGTTTTATTAAAATTGCTTCCTGAGTGGCTATTTTTCCTTTGTGTTGATGAGAGAACTTGAGTGTGTTGGTGCGTGCTTACAGTAAATTGGAGAGAGAGAGAGAATTCAAAGTCACCTCGTCCCTGAGCCAAAGAAGCTGGCATATACAGCCGTTTTCTCCGCCATTCATGTTCCTGCTAAAGGATCTACATTTTTCCCATTTTCATCCAATATTTCAGCCCATCAATATTTGATCATTTCCAGACCCAATCAAAAGATTAATTCATAGTACAGGGATCTGCTCAGTGGCACGTATGACTACGCAGGGAGGTATCTGCATTATGTATGAACAGTAGACCCCTCCATTGCTACCACACCAACGCCGCCCCCTCTCAATCTCCTACCCTTTGACGTGCACTCCCCTCGCTGTTCACATCTGCCCACTGCATCCACTGACACACTAACCAACTTGAGTGTAATCAGTCCATCAGCAGATTTCATTAAGGTGGAATGGAAGGCACTGTGTCAGACATCCTTCTCTCTCCTTGCTAATGTGCTTATCTCAAGGAGACTGCTGAATGGTCCAGATGGGACAGGAATGGCACAGTGACAGTAAATGCAAATCACAGAAAGCTCTGAAACTATTGATCTGTACTGTATATGAAAATTAAAAGAATCTAAATTAGATAAGGGTGTTGAAGTATTGGGTGAAGTAAGATGGACAAAATCCCATGAGATGCATGAGATTTTTCTTTTTCTTTAAAGATGAACACAAAGTGCTGTATGGATGCATAATTCAGTAAGAAGATTTTATCATTAGCGCTCTGTATTTCAAGAATATATGAAACAATATTTGACCTTTGTCCTGTCCTAGATGCTCACACCAGATCACAGAGAATGGTGGGACAATAAAATAAAATAAAAAATGTCAGGAAAATGTAGATGACTTGCTTTTATTCTAGTTATATCCATTTTTAGCAGTAGTATCACATTAGATATTCTTGTGATTATTGTGCAGACCTAGTTGATGGTGTTCTTGGTGGACATCAGGGTTATGTGTTAGGTTTTCTGCTTTTTGTCTTTAAGTCAAGCTTCCACTTGGGTTAAAAAGAATTTAAAACGTAATGGTTTTAGAACTGCAAAACTGTCCATCAGGTTTTAAAACAAAATGCCTGGGACACTGACAGAGCTTTTGGAGCCCAAGCTGGTTAGCTTGGCTAATGAAAAAGAGAGTGGTTAGGAACTACTCTCACAAACAGTAAAACACAGAAAAAGAGAAAATGCTGCAATTAGCAAAAACTGCTGCAAGTAAAAAAAAAGGCTACAATCACAAACAAAAAAGCATGCAGTGAACCCAGAACCTGTTGTAAATGCATATATGATGCTAACACACAAAAAATATACAAAACAGCTGTCAGTAGCAAAAACAGCTACGTTTTAAGATAAGCTGCAAACTAGTGCTGAATGATAGAAGTGCCTCAGACGACTAAGGGGCGACAACCATCAACTCATATGAGACCCTGTGAGACATTAAGTCCTAGTAATGTTTGACTCTGAACAAAAGGATCCAGTATTCATGGCAGAAAGACGGGTTTAAAGTTCAGTCTGTGCCCAGACGATGAGGATGGCTTCAGCTGGCTGGCCACAAACAACACGCGACGGATGCCACCCCGGACGCTGAAGTCCGGGAGGTCGGAGGATAGGCAGGAGGTCAGAACTGAGCAGATGAAGGAGGGCAGGATAATCCAGAGGGCGATGCCAAAGACGTGGTCGATGACTTGCTCTGTAGCCAGAGCCAGGAGATCACAGGTCTGAAGAGATACCGAAGGGAAATCCAGGCAGAAATCCAGCAGGAGTCCGAAGACAGATCAGGCAAACAGATCAGAACGGGATCAGGCTCAGAGGTCCAAAGGCTGAACAGGTCAGGGTCAGGAAATCAGAAACACTAAGGAAAGCTAGAGAAGTCTCACCAAAGTCTTGAATAATCTGGCACTGAGGACTGGGAGCAAGCAGGTTAAATAAAGGCTGGAGCAGCTGGATCGGCTAAATGGTAATGAGAACTGGGTAGAGATAGACAGGTGAATGCAATGAGTAATCAAACCAGTCATCAGCACCCAGATCATGACAAGTAATGTTTTGTTTTGGTCCCATATGAGTTGTTGATCTTCACCCCCTAGTGGTCTGGGGCATTTCTGTTAATTAGTGTTTGTTTTCAGCTTTTTCTGATTTTATGGTTGTTTTAGTGACTTGCAGCATTTTTCTATTTGAATTTGTTTTGATATCTTGTATTATTGTAGCGTTTGCACCCCACAGCCACCATAGAAAGCAATATTTAATTGTTGTTGTATAGAATTATATATCATACAAAGCATAAATTATAGATATGTAACTAGGGGACCACTGAGGGAATCGCCTCAATTTCTGTCATTTTGAATGATTGACAATCGACTGATACATTGACTTAAGACCAATATTATCCTCCATATCTAATAATCGGCCACTGTCAAAACTCTTCACCTTTCATTTATATTTGAAAGAACGACCTCAATTGCAGTTAAAATCAGTTTGTATTGTTTCATGAGTATCATTCAGTCTTCTTAACTGAAATACAATTGGAAAAACTCAAGCTGTAATGTGACCTTATCACCTGAAATTGTGAAGCATAAAACCATTTTGGTTGTGGCGAGATATTCGGAATTAGTAGGCCAGGCTTTTCATGGTCTTTGATTGGCTCGAGAAACCACAATATGTGAAACCATATATCTGACAGATATATTTCTAATTGTTTTATCTTTCATATGTCTGTATGGTGGCACAGTGGCGCTGTAGGTAGCACTGCTGCCTTGCAGCAAGAAGGTTCCGGGTTCAATTCCTGGCCCAGGGTCTTTCTGCATGGTGTTTGCATGTTCTCCCTGAAAATGCGTGGGTTTTTTCCAGGTACTCCGGCTTCCTCCCACAGTCCCAAAACATGACTGTCTACATTCTCCTTAGGTGTGTGTGTTGTTTGCCCTGCGATAGAGTAGCGAGGGTGTTTAGGGTTTACGCAGGGTGTAACCCAACTCTTGCCCATTGACAGCTGGAAATAGGCACCAGCATCCCTCGTGACCCCAACTGTAATGGAAAATGAATGGATGGATAGTGTCGGAAAATGGAATGGAATGTCTATATTGTAGATGTATTGCTCCGAGCAGTTGTAGTTTTATAGCAGAGTTACTTTATTAAAAAGATAATTGGAAATGCTTAATTTTCCACACAGTCACTGTCAGTGTTTAATGCTCAAGTTTATCATTTTGCATTTACTTTTTGTAATAAATAAATAAAGTTAATAAAGCATAAAATAAGTATTAATATTTGAATCAGGCTTGTGACCCTGAGATTTAAGCTGAGTGGCTTTTCAAGGGACATATTTAACAGACATCTATCATATTGATTGTGTCTTTTGCTAATTGGTCTTTATCACAGGGGCCACCTCTAACAACCTTCTGGAGAGTTAAATCAGTACATGTGCATTACGCTTTGCTTCATGCGCTGTCCTTTTAACATCTGAAAGGTCATTTTCAAGAACAGAATTTCTTCTTCGCAAAAAGAGGAGTTCAGCTTGTGGAAATGTCATCGATAAATGTCAAGTGACGTTTCATAGTACGTTAGCTGTGGGTAAAAAATTTGGTATGACTGTCTTCTGACACATCAAGCATAGAGCGATAAATCAAAGTTAATTAGAATCCACCATGCCCTCTCTGGAAAGCCCAATCGGCTCTCCCCCGCGATAGACAATTAGAAGATTGCGTTTTAATCCCTTATTTGTTTATTATCGTTCAGGACTAATGGCAATGCTCTGGGCTCTGATTTACAGATGAGCAGGAGGCGGTGCAGAAAAGGACGTTCACAAAGTGGATCAATTCCCACTTGGCAAAGGTAAGAGGGTTTGCTTCTTCTCTGCTGCCAGTATTGTGTTTTTCAATTTACACAAACATACAAACACAGGTGCCTGTGTTTGTATGGATGGGAAACTTCAACACCTCTATTCATTTCCACTCTGAATGACTTCACGATCTATCCTCTGTGCAGGCTGGGACATTTTTTTCTTTATGAAAATAAAAAATTAAATCCTTCTCCAGATAAGACCACACACATAGTCATTATGGCTTTTCATTCTTTCCATTCATTTAGCTCCAAGTAGAGGATTGCAAAGATTTTCTGCTTAATTATCCAAATGACATTTTTGAACAGTATATGCATTATTTTCCCTGCAAGCTACAGTCAGTAATTTATATTGTACTAGCTTGAGTAAGGGTAATTTAGATAGTTTAAGATAAGAGATTTTAGTCAGAGTTTAATTTTTGAATAAGATGACGCTCACATGTCTGTAATTATTGTGTCATGCTGCATTGTAGTCTGTCATTGCACTCAATACTGCTTATAATACTGTTTCTATGCTGGCTGGATAAGGCTATTATGGTGCAGGGCAACACAGTTAAGTGTTATTTCAATCAGCGATGCTCCTTTCAAGGTTTTCTATTTGGTTATGACAGCCGTGAAAAGTCCACACTGTAATGAGTTGAAGCAGAAAATTCATATGAAAAGCACTCTTTGGGGAGGCAACCATGTGCCCCTGGGTAAATTTTAATTGCTGTAATTTTGATTGAACTTTTAATATGAGTATGTTTTCCTGGCCAAAAACTTCCCATGTTAAAATATTTTTAGAAAATTGAGCAACTACACGTTTGGAAGCATCACTAACAGTTCCTATACAATAATTGTCCAAGGAGATCCTCTTTGAATCTGTACTTTACTTTTTGGGGCTTGATTAAGAGGCACCTTTGAATTACAGAATCTTATTTAATTAGATTAAAATGTTTAAAGCTGAACCTGAAGTTTATTGGCCACCTTGGGTGGAATATAAGGGATGTAAACAAGCTGCAAGAAAAAGCTCTCCTGGTGTGCTAGCCTGGTCTCCATAACAACCAACATAGATGCCATCCACATGGAGGCTGGTGAGAGGGAAAAAACAATATTCTGTTTACAATTTTAAATGTGAACATTTGGCGTTCCTGAAATATCTGCTTTGGATTTCAACGGATAAAACAAGGCCAGCTTAAATTTACAAAAAGTGTCACAATTATTTTGGTTAATTTTTCTTTATAGAAAAAAAATGTTGAACTTTTATTTACAGAGTTTTAAAAAAAGAATGTGTTTATTCACATGTAAAATTGCCTTGAAACATAAACTTTTTTCGTGATCACTGCCGGACCAAACAACAAAATATTTATTCAAAGTATGATATAGTATAAGACATAAAGAAAGATTATTTCGAACCAAATACAAACTTTTAGTTGCTAACCAAATGTAAATATAAATGTAAATCAACAAAATAGAAATTAATTATTTCCTTATAAAGGACGGGTGAGAGTCTATTTTAAAGGCCTTGAAATACCCTGTAATCCTGGATAGAAATCTGGTAGACTGTCTGAAAACTTAGTCTATCATCCTTGAAGCTTAAAGTAAGATGTTTATCCTAAAAATGCATTAACACAGAAATAATCAGTCACAAAATTAACCTTCTCCAGTGGTCACCTTAGTTCCAGACCTGTTTGATCTGATTTAGAGTGTATTTATATTATTATTAAATAGGCCCCAGAATCTGGTTTATTATGGAGAAACATGGAAAGAGTAATTGTAATAAAATACTTCCCTCCATGTTGTCCAACCTCATGATTTTAGGGGCCTCGTAGGGATGGCAATGATTTTCAATGCCATTTCTTTTCAGGTTCAGTTTCTTTATTGTCTTCCTAAAGAAATATTGCTTTGAGTCAGAATAATTATCTATAAATGGTAGTTGATTATTTGACTTAAATGACTTTGTGCAAAGTGAGATTATTAGTCCCACATCTGCTTGTATAAACCTGTAGATCTAAAATCTTTGCCTGCTATGAAAGCAGGGATTTAGGGAAATGAGCCAACATGACTTCATCTCAAGAGAGCAAGGAATTATAGGCTAATAAGATTTCAAAAAGGGTAATCAAAGAGTCCAAGATCTGTGTTTTAGCTTTAGTTCTTTCTTTGTGCAATTTTTGTACCAGCCTAGATAATTTAATCTTTATCCTTTTATGTAACTTTTGGAAAACAAAATAAATGTGTAACAAATACACAAATAAATCTAATGTATATATTCCAGTAAATTTGGGTCCATTTATCAAATTCTATTCAGAGGTAAGAGCATATTTAATCATAGTGCATTGTCTCTCCCTCGTTGCTGAAATTACATAGTTGCAATCATCGTTGTTGCCCATCGAGCTACTGCTCACCCTGCTCACCTGATGCCTGATGTTGCCATAGTGACACTGATTGGTCTAAATCCGTCTCCAAAAATCTCTTTGTGCTAAGCTTTGTCTTGATCAGGAGACAAAAAAGTTGCTTAGTGTTACAAATGGTAAAAAAAGGATAAAGACATGTGTTCCTCCAACATGTTTAAATGTACAGTTTCTAAGATACAGTGGGACATTTTATTGTGTAAAGGTTAACAATGAAGACATTAAAGGACAAGAATTAAATTGAGTAAACACTGAGATTTCTTTTCCTGTAAAAAGAACGGTATTTAGAAAAAAATAGGTTGGTGTAGCTTTTATCTGTGGGAAATGAATCCTCCTCCTGGCTATGCAGATGATTAGGCTTCTCCAGTTATCAGAGGTCTTTAATTCAGTGCCTAAAGGTGTGTGATTAATCGTTAGGTGAGTTGAGACATATCATAAGAGCTTCCTTTCACTAACACTCCCCTCCCCCTTACCTTTCCACTCCACAGGTATAACAAAAGAAGTCCTAGAAGCTTTAATTTCAGGGATGTACTGAAGCTAGTAATTTATACAGAAGATTAATGGAGATCATTACTTAAAGCAGTTCATCAGATTAACTCAAAAAATATATAAACTGTAAGGGAGCATCAGGGCTTGTGTTTCTGAAGGTTGTGTCTTTAGATATAGTTTGGCGTTCCGTAGGCCACACAGAAAGTCAGGCTTTTAATTGCCAAGCGTTTCAGCTCTTGGAGTTGCACTCTTTGCAAGTCTGCAGAGGAGTGACAACTTTGAAGGGGTGTAATGGGGTTTCAGTGAGCGAACCCCAAGTTTCCATTTGACAAATCCTTTCTGAGAGGTTTAAAGCTTAATTATAGAGTGGCCAGTGTGAACAGCAGAGGGTTCATCATCACTCAGGCATTTTCCAGGAGACCGGCTTTAGAGCCACAATCAGTGGACCAAGTTTTCTTAGAGATTACAGTAGCAGTAAATGAAGCTCCCTTAGGCTGTTTACTTCCCGACTAACCCCTACCCAATCATTTAATTTTATTTTCTTCTGATGCTCTCACCCAATGACACCATGGCAATTTTGTGTTTTTATTTCAACAAATCAAAAAGTAATCTTTCCTTAAAGCAGCATAGTTTTCTTCTTACTAAGCTTTTAATGCAATAAGCAAAGAAAAGGAGAAGGGATCAGCTAACAACATGAGGAACAACATATGGATTTTGTACTATACGTTGAAAACCAAATATTTTGCTTCAAATTGGACCACCAAGAAGGTAACAGAGAAGGCTTTGAAGTCCCAGTCCGCCCACCACTGGTTTCATGATAGTTAGCAACGTCATACATTTTATTGTTTGCTGTGTTCTGGATGTTTTTCTGGATAGATAGATATATAGATACACAATGCATATTTTGCTGTTGTTTATTACACTGTTATAATTTATTCAAAGATGAAGGCTAGGGACAAGGTGAAATGTACAGAAAAGCAGACATACAATGGTCAACTGATATGCAAATACCATAGGCTTGAGATGTGCTCAACACAACAGTCTTAGATGTACATTTATGCAGCATGTTGTATTTATGAGAATGAGAAAATGTTATATATCAGTAGCCACTCTCTAATTAAACACATTCTCCAATGATTTTCATTTTCTCTTGCTTTCAGACTGCTAACCCTATCAAAGAAGTTGTAGCATGTTTTGCTTCTTGTTATAAACTTAAGAATAAAACTCAATTAAATAAGATTATAATGGTCATATAGGACTTCAAAGCGAAAAGGAAATCAATATTGGGAAGTTTAAGCTATTGTTGGGAGTCATATTAAAGGTTTTAGATTTGCAAATTTAATTGTACTCAAGCTCAAATGTTTTCACGCAGTTATTAATTTCCTCTCAGAACATTTTAAGCATCTACAGATTTTTCACAACAGACATCCAGAGACAGGTGTCTCTTTAAATTTAACACGCTGCCGTTTAGCGTGAACCCATTCAGTCCTTTTCCTGTTTCCCCCCCCTCCCTTTGTCTTTCATGCTGTCGATCTCTTGGATTGTGTGGCGTCGAGTGTACCAGGGGAATCACAGGAGAGCGCACTCACACGCATCTCGAAACTCTTCTGTTCTCAATCAATTATGACCTAGACACTCACATGTAATTAGCTCATTTAGTTCTTGCAGCACAGAGGAAATGAATATTACTGCCTTATTTTGTAATTAGTCTCAAATTTTCCTCATTAGCTTTGGGATTTTAATGAACAAATAGGTGAATTTAACTCCAATTAGCTTTTGGTACAATTCATTCCTTTTGAGTTAGGCCTTTTTGTAAGAGCCTTTCCTGTCATGTTATGATATGGTGGAAAAACCTGTTTGAGTATTCTCAATCTCCAAAGCTTTGAAACGACATTAGAAGGGGAATTAGTGAGAAGAGCTTCCATATTTTGTAATTAATTTTTGAAAGAAGCGGGTGAGTGTCCCCCCCCTTATACGATCCGTCTCGTTGCCAGCCCAAATCCTTCTCACACGTTTACGATGTTTTGGTTTGTATTAATTTCGCTCATGCTCACACAGTCCTCACGCAACACTCGTTCAGACTACTTCAGCCTTCACTCTCTTCACTGTTAATCTCCCTGTGAATGGTTCACTCATCTGAATGCTTTTCTCCCCCCCTTCCACTCCTTTAAACCTCTCAGCCCCCCAGCATGTGACTGTGCTTAAAGAGAAATCCTTGATGTGGCGCTGGCGAGGAACAGAGATATGTGGATTTCCCCGAGTCTGAAAGTCAGTGTCAGGTCAGGGAGGAAGTCAGAAGGAAGGAGATAGTTTGAAATCATCAGCATATTTTAGGATTTGAAGGAACCCCAATTTAAAGTCTACTTATAGGGTGAATCCGGCTGTCACTAGAAGCGCTAGGAGCGCCAAACTCCGTCTGGGCTCCAAAAACCTTCTCTATAAGGATTTTCTTTATCCATGTTGCAGAAGCTTATGTGAATGTCCAAATCACTAATATATGTGCTGCAATGTGGTGTATGTCGGTGCTTTGCAGCTGAAAATGGAATGGCGTGTAGAACAGACCACTTCTTTATTGAAAGTTTTCTGTACATTCATTGCAAAAGCTATTTCATCTAAAATCCCTAGTCTTTGCATTCCTGGAACACTGAGAAAGCTTTGTCCAAGTTTATACCTTAAAGCATTTATGTAAACAACTACTTATGCAAAAAAAAAAAATGCTTCATACAATTAACTATATGTATTTATTTTTTAAACATTGTGATTTATTGGGACTTTAGATGACAGACTAACAACAAAACTTGCATTTTAGCCATTTCTTTTTAGTTTATTAGAAATATAAATAGTTTTACTGTCATGAGAATGGGTACAGAGCATTCCACCAGCAGTTTTAGAGATTTACTGCAGATTCTGATTTGGATTTTTGGTTTGTATTTATTCATATATGTATGTGCAAAGTGTGGTTTGGAGCCATATGCAGCCCTTGGAATGATTAATCCTAATCCTGTCCAAGACCACAATTAAAGAAAACATATTTGCCCAAGATGGTCAAAACAAATCAACACTTGACTAAGAATTAATGTGTGATTTAGACTGAAACAAAGCCTTTAAAAGATTCATACAAACTGCACTCTTCTGAAAATTTAAATATAGTAAAAATTGGATACAACACACAGTTTTTTTTCATACTAAAAACAGACTTTAGGTTATTCATTTATCAAACTTATGCAAATAAAGTGAGAATTTTTAAGGACATAGTAACTCTTGGCGAAGGGGCAAGAGTACTTTCTAGAAAGATCTAGCATGTAGAAAAAAGTAGAAAAAACCCCAAAATGTTCAAATCTATTATTATAATCCTAATTGTACAAACATGCAAACCTTTTTATATCCTTTGGTCTTCAATCATTTGCAGATTCCTTCTATACTAAGCAGTACCAACTTCTTGCTTTGGAATAGTTTTTAAAAGAAATGTGTTTTTTTCATTTTAGGTAAAGCTTAGACATTTGATAGGAAAATATGTAATGGTTATAAAAAAAAATGGGTTTGAATACAAAGGCAGGTTTTGTTTTATTCCCAAAAAATTCTGCAAAAGTCTCTCCCTTTTTTAAGTCTGCATTAGTTGATATTTGCTAGTAAAATAATTCAAAGTTGGTCCTTGTGACAAAATCTGGAAACATTTAAGCACTATGAATACTTTTTTTTAGAGTTTTGTGGATTTGTTTTAATTCTAATTGTTTTTTTGTATAGCGTGTTCCTTCTCTTGAGGTGAAAGACCTCTTTGATGACATCAAGGATGGTGTGATGCTGCTGGCCCTCCTGGAAGTCCTCTCTGGACAAAAACTGGTGAGCCTCGTGGTCTTTTCCTTAGCATGTGACTTGGCTGCCCACTTTAAACACATCATGTCCTCAGAGCTTGTCGGATTAAACATTTTTTAAATCAGCACATGCCAAGCTGCCATTCCTCCCCTCTAAAACTGATCTGATGTCAGACCAGTGGAATCATTTTTGCTTCTTTGTTTATACAGCCTTATAGAGCTGCAGACGGGAATGTGAAATTGGCCCCGACTCCACGGAAAAGGCTTATTGATTTGCTTGTATTAGGATGTTTGAATTGTATAGGAAAGCCCAGATTAACGAGGACAGATCAGAGTTCACACACAACACAAAGACATTTTAAGGATTTTACTGGGCCGGTGTTGCTCAAGGTCTAAGCTCGTACGTCCTATTGATCTGATGGTTAAGAGTCAAACAAAGCTCTCATTGGTGCCTGTGTCTTTCTCAGCATTTCTATTCATGAGAGCATAGTCCCTGTTTTAAATTCTTTAATCTATTTTTCTCTATATTGTATCTAAAATTTCACTTCTGCTCCTTTCACTTCTAACTCTCTTTGTTTTTTAAATGTCCATTGTTCCCTCTCTTCCTTCCAGCCATGTGAGCAGGGCAAGAAACTAAAGAGGATCCACTGGGTCGCCAATATTGGTACAGCTCTCAAGTTCCTTGAGGGTAGAAAAGTAAGAGTTCAAGGTCTCCTTTGAATGTGTTCTTTCCACTTCCCCCTGTTTTTTTTTCTTCGTGCAGCTGCAGCCTCTTGGGCACAAATATTGAATGCTGACCTTCGGTGACCTTCTTCCCTCTTCCTGCAAACCTCTCTCCATGTTTTTGCTTCTTGCATACCTCATTTATTCACAAACAATACCTCATTTGTATATTTTTTTTCTGACTGCATAGATTTTGTTGGGTTGATCTTTCTTCTACATCTTGTAGGAAATAATTATTTGAATGGATTCGATTAGCTGCTTTCAAGTAACAAAAAGTCATTTGAAATTTAATTATTGGACTAATTCTGCCTCCTCTTCTGATCCCTGCTACTGATTGGTCTCCCAGTATTACTCCTGCTTCATTTTATCTGTACTGGGTTCATCTTTTTTTAATTTTCACAAATCTTTATAAAAACAGTTTACCATATTCATCATCAGATTTATTTTGATCAGTAGAGGTACCCATTCTTAAGATTTTACTATCCAAAAGTGTATTTTATCAAGATTTCATGTAATTGATATATAAAAGTGGAATCCAAAAGAAAAAAAAATGTTTTTTTCAAATTTAATTTGTGGCCTGTAAATGTATTTATGCTGTCATCTGTTTCAAATGTCAAGAAGAATAATGTAGCTTAATCTCAGTCAGACTGGATGCAGAGATTCAGCAATCATTTTTTAAGCCTTGCCAAAGAAGTGATTTAAATATGAACTTGATTAGGCCATTATGAGATTTGGATGAGTCGATCCTTAAATTTCCATGGTCACTTTGGCTTTAAGTTTAGGACCTTCTTCCCATCTCCTAATATTTTGCAGCCTCCAGTATGTCTTTTTTCTGTATTGTGTTCCGTTTAGATGCAACCACCTTCCAATTTGCAAAGATGTAGGCTCCTAAACAGTCCCTGTTGCATCCCATGCATGTTAAAAGATTTCAGTTTGTTCTTATCTGGTCAGTGCACCTTACCACATCTTTATCTCCACTGCATGACTTCTACCAAACTGTATGTGATATCCTAAATGGCCTCTTTTCAGTGCTCTGTTTAATAGCTAGGAGTGTCAGAGTAAAAACTCCAAAATATATATAGGTCAAAAAAATTTTGAGATTTTTTTACAGAGCTATACTACTTGGTGTTTGTCTATCATATATTAGAATGAAAGGCATCAGGGTTTTGTGGTGTCCTTATATGACAAAGTTCAATGATGTAAATACTTTGGAAGTTGCTGTGATTCATTAAAATGCTCTAGACACTTGTGCACGCCAATATCTGATTTGATCTTCTACCCTGTCAAGAGATGTAGAGATTATTCTCTAAGCTTTACATATCTTATCCTTGCATATGCGTACTTAAGCCACAAGTAGGAGATGATGTCTGCCGGGACATTGATTTGTCTTCTTCGGGTGTGTCAGAGTTAAAACTGTAAATCCTTGGGTACTAATCTGCTGTCTGGAGATGAGACATCAAGGAATTTTGCATATATGTCTAAGATAATGTTTGCAGTATCATCGTGATATTTCACGTGCCATGATTAGCATGTTTTAACTTGTAGAATGTTACAGAACAAATTTTCAAGATAAACTCCACCCGATTCTGCGACTTGAAATAATTTCAATAATTTAATTCATGTGTTTATTTTTATCTGAAGGCTGTGAAGTTATTTTCAACATAGTTGCTCTGAGCTCAAGGTTATGACTTCAGACAGTTTTAACATTTCTTATTAGCCAAAGAAAGGCTTTGAGATTTGAGTAACCAGACTAGATATTAACAGGAAACCTTCATGGAGCTGCTTTGTTCTATTGCAAAGTTGAGAAACCTTGTTTGTAATAGAAAGCTTCTAAAATATCTCAAAAAAAGTTTGGTTAAAAAGAAAAAAACTTTTTTTTTTATTATGTTAAATTCTTTATTTAAAAACACGTAACTTTCAAACGTCCCTCTGTTTTTTTTTCTTTTTACTGCTGCATTTGTGCTTACAGTGAGCCAGCAGTCCTATTTACAGTTCCCTCTTCCCATTACTGGTTTGTGGGTTATCAGGGCGACCTGCTGTGTTTTCTAATATAAAATCATGTATTGCATATTTTCTTTATCAGCCACCACCCTGCATTGCTCCACACTTTCTCGCTTGCTCCCAATCTCCTCTTTGATGCTTTTTTTTGCGAATACTGAGTTACTCCTATTGCCCACATGATGACCTGTTGTGCTCCAGCATCTCAGTGATTTTACCCTCTGTTTGATAATAAAGTATATTTCATCATATCACAAGATACAGCCCTCTCTTTCCACCCCACCCTCCTCCTGCTCTCTACCCCTCTCTTGCTTTTCTTTTCACCCATCTCTGCTGGATGTAATCCCTGTTGCCTGTGTAGTGGAGATACATCTCCACTCAATGCCAGCCACTCATGTTATCTCACCTCGGAGAAGTGTTGGCCTTCACACAGTCAATGAGACGTTTGCTTTAAATCAAATGTATCTAGAATGACTTCAGGTTCTCACTCTCTCCCTCCTCCACCTAACTAACTCCTGTGCTCATTTGTCTTCTTTTCTTATCTGCCCCTAGTCCGCCTATAGAGGATCTCCGGTCAGTATTCATACTGTTTTTTTGTTGGTCCGGATAGAAATAAGCTTAGATTTATCTGTGCGACTACATATCTGCTATATTATTAATTTTGTGAACATGTATACAGTATAGCTTTAATTTACCAGATTAAATGAAATATCATTTAATCCGTATAGGCAAAAACATTAAATTACTCTCTGAAGTTGTGACCCTCTAAAAATGATAACTGTTGCATTTTTTATTTTATTTTACAGATTAGGCTGGTAAACATTAACTCCACCGACATTGTGGATGGACGCCCATCGATTGTACTTGGTTTGGTGTGGACAATCATACTGTATTTCCAGGTAATCTGAATATGTTTGCCAGCTGGGTTTTCAAATGCAGCTTGCAAACTATTAACATTAAAAAATACCTTGAAGATTGGGAATTTAACTGCAGTCTAACATCTTGGTGAAGGTATGATCGAAAACTTTAAAATTACAAGCCTTGTGTTGTACTAGCATACTGTATCTGATTTTATGCACATGCTAGAGTATTTATTGGAAAAGCATAATTGTAGGGAACAAGATAAAAGCTAATCCCTGTGGACAGATCATTTAAATTTTACATAAACCAGCCTTTAATAGCACCGACAGTTAATAAACATTACATAACATGAAGAACCATGAAGGTAGACGTTTAAGTAAACTCTGCAAATTACACTCATATATTTTGCCACATGTTGAAAGATTTGTTGAACTGTTTCTTATTTTACAATCAATTGGGTTAGATTATCTTTGCATAAATATGAATCTCAAAAACTGATGACCAGGCAAGACTAGATCCTGAGGATTTATGTCCCATGTTATACACATATATATTCATCTTTTTCTTCTTCCATGGATCGGAAAAGGAAAGTTTTGATTTGGTCTTTGTTGACATGCACGACTCAACAGTTGGTCTGAAAAGATCATTATATCTCTGAGATTTACCTCAAATGAGTATAGAGAATGAAAACACGTTAGTAGTTTTCTATAATGTTGCAGCCAAATTGTTTGGCGGCAAGTCGGTCTTTCTGGCATGAAGGATATTGACTTATTAAATTTTCCTTTGGGATTAATAAAGCACTTATGAATTTAATTGAATCTGAATCATTGGCAATATCCTCACTGATTATGTTCCATATTTTAATGAGACTTTGGTCCAATATTTTGTCCAATGGATCCGATATATCCGTTGCTATATCCATAGATCTGCTCTGGTTGAAACACAATCCTCTACTGATGTTACTGTACCTTTACTTGCCTTGCCTTAACTTGACATCTCATCAATCATTTTTCAGGTGTGTCTGCAGCGATTTCTTTGCACCCTTTAATCATAGCTGTAGTCATAGTTTACACAGCACCATAGTGAGGGGAAATGCTATAATTTTAACAGAAGATCTTCATCTGATGATATAAAGAGCTGTCTTAGGTGTGTCTGTGGAGATTTAGATCGACACAGTTTTTGTTCTCAGGTGCTCAGTTCAGCTTTGTTATTGCTGCTTCAAATATTTGATGCAAGCAAAGTTAAACTTTACTGAATTTTGTTTCCTTAACAATTAGTATTAGCTGGTAATTTAAGGATTCGTATAACTGTTCTTTAAACTTTAAGGAATAGTACACCCAAAACATGATTAGCCTTCATTTTCTACTCACCCCCATGCTGAACAAAACTCTGGAGTACTTTTTTGATATCTCAAATGCATCTGGAGATCTGGGAGGCTTCTTGCTGTCTGCTGACATTCAAATAATGGAGGTCTATGGTGCCCGAGACAGAAAGGTCCATAAAAGTCCACAAAAAACGTGTCAATATTCCTCCATACTGCTCGTCCAATGTATTCCAAGTGTCCTGAGTGGGTAGCATCCATAATTTACTCGAAACAAAGTCATTTAAAATGTTTTTAGAGCATAAACAGTAGTGTATAGGAGTGTATATGTTTTGGGTGTACTATTCCTTTAAGTTTTATTTTTATGACCACAAACTTGTAAAAAAAAAAAAAGCAGAGAAAGTCTTTCTACAGTTTCATTGTTAAAATACTTTCATTATTTTATACAATTTTTATTTTATCTTAACTTTATTAAATAAAAGAAAGAACATTTGATATTTTCCTTTTGAACAATGCACATATGCAGGGATGAAATCTGTTATTTAGAGGGCTCAGCATGGAACTCATTAGCGTAGCTGGTGTATATTAATAACCTGAAATGTGTTGTCTTCTTTTCCCTGCAGATTGAAGAGCTAACCAGCAGCCTACCAGAGCTGCAGGTCTTCTCCAGCAGTAACTCCTCCATGGATAGCTCCACCAGCAGCACTGACACCACCAGCCCACCTGTCAAACGGAGACCTCTGCCTCCTCTGCAAGGGGGAGCCAGAAAGGCTTTACTCAGATGGGTTCAGCAGACAGCTACCAAGTACAGAAATGATTTATCACATTTTACTGTAAATAAATGAAAATGGTGCTTTTGACATCATAAATTTTTATGTTTCTAGATGTCAAGGTCTTGACGTGAAAGACTTTGGCCCCAGCTGGCGCACTGGTTTAGCCTTTTTTGCTGTTATCAATGCCCTCCGGCCTAATCTTGTAGACATGGAGCAGGTATGGAGGAGGTCAAATCGAGAAAATCTGCAAGAGGCGTTTCTATTGGCTGAGACAGAGTTAGGCATTCCACAGCTTCTTGATCCAGCAGGTAAATAACATTTCCTATAACATTCCTCAGAGCCTTTGCTTGCAGGTTATTATGAAGCTGAAGTGTGCAGCTCTTTGCATTTAAAAGAACTTTGTCAAACATGATTTGAGCAGATGACCGTTATGGCTGTTTAAATCTGCATTTCTTTTGTACATTGTGTTGATTTATCATTAATGAAAAGGAACAATGTCTTATTTTGCTTAAATTAAATCTAATACCAAATAATTGACATTGGATGCGATGTGGGTACACAAAGCACGAATAAGGTGATGTGCAATGTGGTATCATTGCCAAACACCATCTGTGCCCCTTCATGGCTGCACCAGAGAATGATCTTTGACAAATTGAGCCTGACACCACTATAATTAAGGTCCATTAGGCCGTGAGATTCGGCATGGCAGAGTCTCCATTACTGAAGTAGACACTGGTCTGAGATGCCAAGGATTGTTTTTTTGGTCAATATGACACTTGTCTGTCTGAGAAAAACCCAATCTTATATGTGATGATTATTTTTTCTCTATGAGGAATAACTGTTGATAGACAAATTGATGTGACTTCACATTAGATGCACTGTTTTTATGTTTGTTTTTTATTAGATGTGGATGTAGACAAGCCAGATGAGAAATCTGTCATGACCTATGTTGCCCAGTTCTTGAAGCATCACCCTGACAGGAAGCAGAGCGACTCAGAAGAACAACCCGAAGAAGTGGTAACACCCTGTCTACGTAACTCTATCACTGAGTTTTCTTATTGTGACATTTTCTTTTGTAATCCATGTCCACCTCATGGATTATGCTGGTGAAGATTCATCCATGTCATAGTCATTCCAACAAAGTTAAAAAACACTCCACTAGACTTCGTTTTCCAAGACTGAAGACGTTTCACTTCCCATCCAGGAAGCCTTTTCAATTCAAAATGCCTGGATTAGCGTTGAGTTCCAAACATTATAGAATAGCCCAACAAAGCCTTGTTTTGGCTTATAAAACATGCAAATTGAACTGGGAGAACAAGTCCGTCCCTTAGTAATGTGGTGTCGTTAAGGTCTTTCTTAGCCTGGAATACCGATGCTGGCCTATGCCTCTGAAAGGAAGTCGTTATGATCATTGTTGGCCTGGCTGACCAGGCGAGATGTTTTGGTCCCCTGATAGCAGGTAGGAATCAACTCTATTGCTGAGTTGTAGATTGTTGAGAGCTAAAACCTGAGTCCCCCTCAGTTTAAGGTTGTTTTTTCTCTCTTAACATATATGGCTTCCTTCACACCCCTTTCAAACCACCTATGTTCTTTGTCCAAAATGTGAACATTCTGGGTTCTGAGCCATAACAAAACTTTGTTGTGCTAATCTATAAAGATTGGAACTCAAAGCTAATCCAGACATTTTGAATTGAAAAAGATTTTTGGAAGGGAAGGGAAATGTCTTCAAACTTGGAAAACACAGTCCAGTAGTTTGTTTTTTGTTTTGTTTTGTTTTTTTTTACTTTTTGGGACATCTCATTGATTATAACAATATGTAACAAACAGATAAGATTTTCCTCACAGGACACTTTTCCTAATAATCTATTTAGTTCAACCTTTTTTAAAAGGCAGCTCCATGTCATAATTATTGACTATAGAAAATTCTAAACAAATTGGTTTGATATATTTGCTAATGACTTTAAAAAATTTGGTATGAATACATTTGTAAGCCACTGTATTTTTTGTTCTCTTTTCTGTCATTTTGCTGGCCTCTACCTACAGCATGAGTTTGCTCCTCGGGACATAGAGGAAATGTTTGAGGTAGGTTTACATGGGGTTTCTTTAACATCTCATTTTCCTCAGATTAATGCAAATAGAATGAATACCTTCACTTTTACTCCACATGCAGTATTTGCCTTAGGTTTATTTTCCCTGCTTTTGAATTAATCATCCATGGTATTACTCTAAACTGTACACGAAAGCTTGATTAAACATCATTTTTTCATGTCAAAACAGATCCTGTTTGCTAATGTCGGCTCACCTGACTTGACATTTCTGCCCCAGGGCGTCCATTATAATAAGATGTGATATTGCCATTTATACACGCTGCCAGGTTGCGCTGTGACTGCTGGTCCCATTAGCATGACAATGAAAGCCTCTGGCATAGGCTCTTTGCATTGATACAAGCTGTTTGAGGGAAGCTGGTGAATAGAAGAGGTCAGTTTTAAGGTGAAAAATATCCAGAGCTGCTTGATATTTTATTTATTTTTTTGGCCACTTTAAATTTCGTCTCGGAATACTGATAAGGGCTTTTGTTCACTTGTTACTAGCTCATACGTTTTTGTTTTTTTCTGAGATTGTAAAAGCAACATGTGTCTTGTTTCAATGAAAGAATGTGCAGGTTCATCAAAAATTGTATGTCTACCATGCAGGACGAGCTTCATTAGTTGGTGTGCTGCATGGCACTACGTTATTATCGTTGTGATTTCCTTAAATCCAATCAAACAGTAGGGGGGTGTTAGACAAAGTGTCCTGCTTAAGCTGAGTGTTTTTGGCAGCTGTGGGCTTCTGATCTTTCCCAACAGGAGACGAGATTAGGAGAACACATTTTAACGGTTCATTGTCTGTTTCTTCGCCTATTTCTTTTCTTTATTTTCTTTTACCCCCCTGCTACTCCATCTTCTTTATCCCCTCTCCTCTTTCTTATCTATTCCTACACTTCCTCCTCCTTGTCCGTCTTTCTCTGTCTGCCTCTCACCCCTCTTCCCTTTCATTCATCCTGGCCTTGAAGAGAGAACAGCGAAAGAGCCAGAGGGAACTCAAAATGTGGCTCGAACACTTGGAGAAAGAGGCAGTACAGGCACAGGAGACTGAAGGCAGCCTTGATGAACAGTACCAGGTTAGTGTGTGTTTGTGTAAAGTTTCACATAGAGACACTCTACCCAGACGGTCCTATTAATAGGGTTATTCTGAAGCATCTCACTGTAGGGATCAAGATCCGCCGTCATATTTTCTGTCTGGCTCATTCCTCTAAGCCTCAGGATACATCTCTTATACCTCAGCATGTGGGATATAATTTTCTCTTCAATGGTTTAGTAAATGATAAGGTAGTGAGGGTGGAATTTAAAGAAGTAGCTGATGAGATGCCCATGGGAAGAGGGTGTAACCTGTCAGCGATCTGTTTATATTACTGTGCATTGCAACCAGAGGCAAATATCTATCTATCTATCTATCTATCTATCTATCTATCTATCTATCTATCTATCTATCTATCTATCTATCTATCTATCTATCTATCTATCTATCTATCTATCTATCTATCTATCTATCTATCTATCTATCTATCTATCTATCTATCTATCTATCTATCTATCTATCTATCTATCTATCTATCTATCTATCTATCTATCTATCTATCTATCTATCTATCTATCTATCTATCTATCTATCTATCTATCTATCTATCTATCTATCTATCTATCTATCTATCTATCTATCTATCTATCTATCTATCTATCTATCTATCTATCTATCTATCTATCTATCTATCTATCTATCTATCTATCTATCTATCTATCTATCTATCTATCTATCTATCTATCTATCTATCTATCTATCTATCTTAGCTCTTCAAAAGCTTGCAAGTCCAGTTGGAGATGAAACGGAAGCAGGTGGAGGGAGCTTTACAGTCCACACAGCGGGATGGGATGCTGACTGTGGATCAGGCTCTGGTCAAACAGGCCTGGGAACGGGTCTCCAACAGGGTGAGAGAAACCAGCGCCCCTATCTATCTTCTATATAGAACGTGTGTGCAATGTTAGATGAGACCTTATTGTTAAAGTTTTACAGAAGTGATATCTTTTGTTTTTTGTTTTAACGCGCTTATTGTTTGTGTTAATTTAGCTTCTGGATTGGCACCTTCAGCTGGATAGATCCCTGCCAGCTCCTCTGGGGACAGTTGGGGAATGGCTACATGAGGCTGAAGGAGCCCTGCGACAAGAGATTACTGTTCAGCAGGGGCATGATATCACAGCTAATACTGTACACAAAGCTCTGCAGCAGCACAAGGTCAGTTGTAAGCAATGTTGACAAAGAAGAAGGCAAAATGTTATCAGAAAATAGCATTATATATATGTGTGTGTGTGTGTGTGTGTGTACATATATATATATATATATATATATATATATATATATATATATATATATATATATATATATATATATATGTATATATATATATATATATATATATATATATATATATATATATATATATATATATATATATATATATATATATATATATATATATATATATATATATATTTTGTAATGAATTTGCTAGAAGAAGATCTAACTTTTGCAAACCAATGATTGCATTTTGATGGTGAATAATTTCTCTTTCCCTAAATTTTTGTTTTTCTATGTTGCAAAATTTGCAGGATGTGTTGAGAAGCCTGGAGAGTCACCAGCAGATTTTTCAGAGAATCCATAGAGACAGAAGTGTGGACGGTGTCGCTGTTCCACAGGATCAGCTCCAAGACATGGCAGAGCGGTGAGTCTGGGAAAAAGACAGCAGAGGAGAAGTGTTTCTTGGCAGGACCACCTAAACAACTAAACTGGCATGATTTCACAGTCTAATTTACAGGAAAACAGCCAAATATAAGAATAGCTGGCCATCTGATGTCTTATGGATAAACTTTGTCTTTCTGCTTAGGATGAACTTTGTTTCTACATCCTCCAGCATCCATTTGGCCAGGATGGCATTCCTGGAGAACAAACATCACATGCAGGCCTTCCTCACACTGGCAGAGTCCAGGCTGAAATCCTGGATCATCAAATATGGCCATCAGGAATCCGTCGAGCTGATGCTCAACAACTATATTGTAAGTACTTGTTTTTATTTGAATTCCACCTTGTTATATTTTAATTTTTAGAGTTTCATTAACATATATGAAATAAAAAAGTTCTTGTGAAACTAGGACAGTATTTTATTTCCACTCACACCTCTTTTCTGTAGTCATTTGTGGAGAAGCAACATTTCTTTGAGAATTATGAAGCGCTGTTCCAGTCCCTCAAAGAGTCTGCAGAGGCCTACGTCAGTTTGGACAGCTCGGGTGAGAACTCTGATTTTTAGGCCACCAAATAGTTTAATTTAAAGTTTAATTTATTGAAATATAGATCTGCTGACCTGATCATGATTGCTATGTATTCAGAGTGTGATGAAAAGAATTTAGGAAATCTGGCACAAGCTGACAGATGTTAGAAAATCATACCCAACAAAGACCCGACAAAGGATTTCAAAGATGCACAGTTCTTTAGTTTTTTTCTTCTATATTTATTTTTATGCTTAAAGACAATTAGGGGTTGCATGGTTAATACTAAAATGGTATTTCATCTGTTAAAGTGATTGAAACTTTACATTTTCCAAATATTTATTTAATTATATTAATAGGGCTTTTAAAGTGATATCCCCAGATTTTTTATTTCTGTTACTTAACCAGTGATTCCACTTTTTATGCTGACCTAAAGTAATTCAAGAGATTTTTTTTTTTTTGTTTTTCATGAAAAAACAATTTCTTAGTTTTGTCAGTACTAATAAAAAAGCATCCGCTGGCACTGATATAATTAAGTTGAACTTTTCTGCATAATCAAACCCTGTTTTACCAGACACAAGATCATTTTAAAATGGTTGCCTAATGCCTAAAACAATAACGCAAAAAAATTGAGAAAACCTTGGATTTAACAAATAGATTTTAGATTTGTTTCTAACAGTTTGTTTCTGCATCCAATCACCAGAAATAATTTTAATAATCCCGAACCAAAATAAATGTGTCCAAGTTACTCATAGGAAGCATGACTCACAGCAGTATAACTCAATCACTGTATTTATATCTCTGATGGATACGATATTTAATATCATCAAGCCAGTTGTATTTTCTTCATTTGGTTAGGTTTGTTTTAAAAGAATTACATGCCCCCAAACTCATTCAGCCTGACATCAAATTAAAACAAATGCACGTTATATCTCAACTTTAGCTTCCCTCTTCAACAACTCAGTAACCAATGAGGTGTTTTTGTTCGGCAGCTCATCCAAGCAAGCGCTGACTGATTTTACAATTAGCTTGAAGAAGGGAGTCTGCAGGCTACAACTAAATGAGGTTCCTTCGTTTCCAGCTCTCAGTGGGGAATACGACCCCATTTGCCTGTTTAAGGGGCTGCTCCACTTCTGCCGGTCTCTGGGCACAGACCATGTGAGCTAGTTTGTTGGTTTCATTAGTTTTTTTCGGGGCTGTGATGCTTTAGGGTATGCAGAGGGGAGAAGTGATCTCTGGCGAGAAATCAGGACATCTGGGGTTTGACTGGTTGGGCCCATGAATGAAATAAACCACCAGGCGCTGCTGGTGTTGGTAGATTCGGTGGTCTGGCCTTCCACTGGCTGGTTGAGAGATCATTAAAAAAAAGCTGTGGACCAGGGTATAAAATATGTTATTCTGATTTTGTAGTTAACATCCATGTGAACCTGGATTTATTATTTACTCATTCCCAGAATACATATGGTATACCTGCTGCAGTGCTGCAGAGAGTAACTGAATCAATTTAGCACACAAATGAGGTTGATAGTTTTTCTGCAATTAATTTTTTTTGGAGGGGTCAAAGATTTCTCTGCAAAGGCATTGCAGCTTCATCAATCTCAATGTGGATCTCATCTGGTGTTTTAGAGAAATGGTACCATCTGCTGTAAAACCTAGTGAGACTTTTTAAAGATATGATAAGATAGGACTATTTATCTCACTATGGAAAAATGCACTTGTGAGGAGGAAAAGGTGCATCAAAGGAGGAAGTGAACAGCGTCTGGCTAAAAAAAATCTAACATATCTATCTATAGATATATCAATATAACTATAACTATATATATATATATATATATATATATATATATATATATATATATATATATATATATATATATATATATATATATATATATATATATATGCTGGTGTGACCGACCGGTGCACCAGCTCGTTCCCCTCAGAAACACAGCCCACAAATGGCTGAGTCATCAGAGGACTTCTGGAGGTGGCAGCTGTCTGTGTTGTAGGTGAAGTCCGAGGTTGAGAGAATGAAGAGAAATGGAGAAGTACAGTGCCCTGGGGGGCTCCATTGCTGCAGACTACTATTTCTGATTGACAGGAGGTCAGTCACATGTACTGAGGGCGGTCAGTGAGAGAAAAGATGTTGATGATGAGCAACAATACTCCATCTCAGCTTTATTGATCTGATGGTGTTGAAAGCACTGGAGAAGTTGAAGAACATGACTCTAACAGCGCTCCCAGTGGTTTCCAAGTGGATGAGCGCCCACTGCAGCAGGTAGATGACAGCGTCCTCTTTTCTGACATTGGGCCTGTAGGCAAACTGCAGGGGGTCCAATGCAGAGGTGGGCATGGATGAGGTCTCCATGGTCTTCTTCAACAGGTGGGAGGTCAGGGCGACTGGTCTAAAGTGGGCCTGTTCCTTGGTGTGAGGCCGCACTGGAGGTCATCCAAAGGCTCAGGTTTTACATGTGGCTTAGGACCTCACAGAGCTCATCTGCACGAGTCCTCAGCAGCCTCGGGGGGAAAGTTGTCAGGTCCCGAGGCTTTTCTTTGTTTCAGCATCAGCTGCTGGCCTCCCACCTGCATTGGAGAGACCATGGGGAGGAGGGAGGTAGGCAGGGTAGTGGGAGACAGAAAGGAGATGGTGCTCGGTTGAAGTTGGGGTTAGTTAGGTTAGGGTGGCCTCAGAGACCACTTAAACATAGTATAAATGTAATATTGGTTGCTAAAAAAGGAAACAGCAGATTTCAGAAAGTATTCATTCTAATCAAAGCAAAAGTCAAAGTTGCAGAGTTTCTGTAATCTTCTTATAAAAGTTGTTAAATTAAATAATCTTGATCTCAGGCCTAAAAACATCTGAAAAATGCTTAATTGTTTTATACATCATTAATTATATGGATTTATTAAATCTTTCGAATTTTGTAACATCAAAGTTATGAATATTTAAATGTTAACACAAACAAAAAATTTGCCCTGCATAAAAATTTTCATGTTTCTCTGTAAACCTGCAAAATAATTTTGCTACTGAAACAAGCTTGCTTATGTTTTAGCAATAAAAAAAAGCTGTTATGTCAATTACCACTGGATCTTTTTTTGCCATATTTCTGAATGAAAACAGTTATTTTATACTATAGGAGATGAGGCTGGATAGTCTACATGTAAAAGCATGTTTCCTACCAACAATGCTAATTTATTTATACACACTTTACTTGTGGTATGTAGATGAATCTAAGTTAGTGAATATCTTCTTCATAATTTCTATTTGTCTTGATTTTTTTTCCTTAGAAAGTCTTAAAAAGTCTTAAAAGTTGGAGAAACATGCAGGAATCCTAGCAACATAAAGATTGTGCTTATTGATATTTCTTTTGATTCCTAGCGGATGAGGGTGAGATGGGAGTTCGCAGATTTTTGCGAGAAGTGGTGACTCAGTGGAGGAGTCTGTCGATGGAAGTGCGCAGTGTGAGGAGCATGCTGGACGAGGTTCTGTCCAACTGGGAGAGGTACACTTCCACAGTGGCCTCCTTGCAGGCCTGGCTGGAGGATGCTGAGGAAGCTCTGAGCCAGCCAGAGAACCTCAAACAGGTTAGTCTCTTACTGTTTGATCCTGTAAATTTCTGAATAGGTGAAGGATGCCTTCAGGTGCGCCTTGATTGGGTTGGCTAAAAAAATATTGTAGAGTAGTAATAGAAAGTGTTCAGGTCTTTGACAAGTTAGTTATTGTCTTTAAAGTGGAATCTTGTTAGCAGTTTCCTCTCAAGTATACATTCTCTTTGACTCACAAGCCACGGAGGTTGGTCCTGCTGTTGTATTACCATAGCAACCACTGATTCACATCCTCAGTGAGGATTAGACAGCTAATTACTCCAGCTATATTGTCTCTCCTTTGTTTCCTTCCTTGAATCCCTGTCATTGTCTCCTTTTATTAGCTGTCTAAAATTTCATACTCTGACACTTATTTTTTGTTTCTCTAAAGTTCTTTTGTGCGTGTAAGTCTTTTTCTTTCCCTCTGAAGTGTCTGTTGTTCCTCCAGGAGTTTTTCAGGAAACTCAGCCACTGGATGGATCAGCACGCAGCCATGAACGATGCCGGGAATTTTCTCATTGAGACGTGCGATGAAACCGTGTCGCTCCATCTCAAGCAGCAGCTGCTTCTGTTAAACGGACGATGGAGAGACCTCTTCCTCCAAGTCAAACAAGTAACCATGAAAACATTCAACTTTCAGCTGTGTCCTTTTTTTTCACCTATGTTGACTAAACATACAGTAAGGTAAACAAAACGAAGAAACTTTACAAGCCATAATTGAGAATTCGGTAAAAATGTTCCCTGTTGCCACATGTGGTCAAAACTGATGATACAGGCATAAATACACTTCCTAAAATATGGATGATTGTCTCTTATTCAGTTACAGGGTAACCCCATACATTTTGCAGCTACCAACAATGTCCTTGGATAATCTGAATGTCTGATCCTTCTTCCTGACCACTTACATTTTATAGCTACATCTCTTCCATAAGCAGTTTATGTGTGTATTTAGATTTATTATCCTGTACAAACACCCAGCTGTTTCCAACTAGCCTTCTAACTGAAACGCCCACCCAAAAGGATTGTACAGAAACCTCCAAGGAACCACCAAACCGACATCAGTATCCATGGCAAAGCATTTTAACATCAACAATAAAACAAATATATCTTAATTTTTTGTCAGTAAAGAAAACGGTTGTGCAATTTTGCTTTGGTGTCAGAAAAAAATGTGTTTAAAAGAGTGAGGGTGAGCCCTTCGAACCAAAGAACAGTTTATATACTCTGGCCTATACCCATTATAGAGCTGCCATCCTTATGCTGTGATACTGTTTCGGGTTCCTAAACTTATTTTTAAAAAAGGTTTGTTTGGAGGTTTTTGTGAGGACCCAAATGCAGAGGCTGAGAGGCAGGGGTGAGTTCTTTGATGATTTTAAGGGATAACACAGGCAGCAAAAACAGGAATCCAAAAATCCAACTTAAAAATGTTAAACAAAAACAGGTTCCAAAAACCCAACATAAAAATTAAAGACTAACCAGAACCATGGAGACATCAGGGGAAAACTATCACCAGGAGCCAGGGTGAGACAAAGTAAGACGAGGAACCAGCACTGATGAACTGCATAAGGAGTGTATTTATGAGAGACTGAAACAAAGAGAGAACTAACGAGCAGATTGGGAGCAGGTGTGAACAGAGCAGAACAGGAAAGGAGCTAGGGAAAATGAGAACACAAGAGGGCAACAGAGGACAAGCAAAGAAAACCTAAGAAACTTAAATTAAATCCAGAACACACCAATAAAGCTAGAGAACAAAGAAAAGCCTGGATAAACTTGAAACTGAAAACTTAACAAAAACCAACAGAACCAAGATCGTTACACTTATATTTATTTCGTTGCACATATCTCTAAGTGTAGTAAAAGTTCCTGGTGTTTAAGCAGTTTCTATATGGATGACTGTGCCTTGGTGTTTCCTAAAGTGTCCATAAACACTCTGGACAAATATATTTCATCAGAGGATGACATTTCCAGTGAGACATGTGAAACATGGACTCAGTTGGGTTCTCTCAGGAAAATGATCCCAGTCACATTAAAGCTTTTATTGAACTGGCCTTCCTAGAATTTAGACGTCAACTTTTTTGAAAATTTGGGGTCTATCTTTGAAAGCAGCAAGTCAAACATCCAATAAAAATTCCACCAGATGTTTTGTGATGGTTTAAGACAGCATTTTGCTGAAATGCAGTTTACTAAAATAGAAAAAAAAAATAATAAAACATTATGCTCACTAGCGTAAATAAACCTCTTACTGGATCTGCATGATTTTACCCTTACCTCTCTCATAGATGTTCCCATACTTAATTAAGCTTGATCAGGAATCGTTGATCTCATTTTTTTTACCTCTTACTTTGCTGCAGTATGCTCATTCAGATGAGTTTGAAAAGTGGAGAAAAGACCACCTTAAGGCTGTGTGGACCCTGAAAGAGCTGCTGGAAACGGCAGAGACCAAGCTGAATGCTCCTGTTCAGGTGTCCTTCCTCAATGTCAGAGCTTTCCTGCAGGATGTAGAGGTTAGTTCATCTAGGATATCTAGAGACAATAGTAGCACCACTCTAATTTGCACGCTGTAGTTATTTTGTTGAAAAACAGAATATTAAATTGAAATCCATAAGTTTTTTTATCACATATTCCAGCTGTTCAAACATGCTAGAGATCACATTGTTAATGAGAGTCAATTGACCCTTTACATGCTAATCTCAGAGCACGAAGCAAAAGGTTGTTTCCATGGAGACACAATACAAGTTGGCTGCCCGCAGTGCTCAGCTCCTGGCCAAGGATGCACCACAGGATGAAGCAGCCAGGGTCATGGCAACCATGGCAAAGGCCAAAACCCAGCTGAGCAAGGTTGGATTTGTAAAAGTCAATCTGTATGTTTTATGTAGTCACTTTTATGCCATCATTGTTAGAAGGATTATATTTTTGGGTCTTAGGTAAGGGAGCGGTGTCCCCCCCTGGTGAGGGAGTGTCACATCTTACTGCCTCTGCTAGAAGAGATGGAGAAACACATCAGTGGTTTCTATCAGGCCCTGGAACGGGCAAGTCGGATCACGTCTAGTCTGAGGGACTCGGAGACACCTGGCCAACAGAAGCAAAAGTTGCAGGTTAGATCATCTGATTATGAGATTGTACATAGCAAGGTTCTGTTCTTGATCCATGCCGTTTAAAAACATTGCCATGACTGCAGAGTCTTTATGAAATCTGATTACTTAACTAAAAAATGTAATAACTGAAAGTGTTTGTAAGATGAGGTATTCATGAAATGGCAAGCTAAAACCAAATAACAGAAAAAAATATATATATTGTAATGAACTAAAAGGGGTAAATGAAAAGTGGGATTCTTCAGTGACTCTGCCTCTTTTTATATTTAACTGTATATTTCTAAGGCTGTTGCTACTTGTCCTACATGTCCTGTTATTTCAAAACAACATTTGTATGTTCCCATTTAGTTTCATTATTAAAAAAGAAATTTGGTTTCTTAGTTTTTTTAAAGAGATTCTCTATCAGTAATTAAAACACAGAATCCACATTTATATAGAAATAGGTTTTGGACTTTTTTATTGTTAAAAGGGGTCTTTGCACTATTTAGTTTGGGTGGCTTTGTATTTTAATTTTAGGTTACCGGTAATAAACAAACAACCTGCCAAGGTTGGTGGATGTTGTTGTGGACTGAAATGCAGAGTAGAGGAGGCATAGATGATTGCTCGCAAAATTTAATGAAGAGGCAAAAGTACAGAATCCATAACCAGAACCAATCAACAAGGAACCAGAAAACTAGGAGATATTAGGGAGAAATAAACCTTAAGAATGACAGGAACAAACAATGAGTAACTGAACAGGAGGTGTATATATGGAGACAGAACCAATGGGAGAAATAATTAGCTAATTGGGAGCAGGTGTATACAGAGTCACTAGAAGGAGCTAAGGGGAACGGAAATGACACTAGAGGGCAGCAAAACTGAGAATACAAAAAAATTCTTTGAATCTAGAGAACAACGCAGAACGAAGCAAAGCATACTTTAGAACCCAAAAAGTAAAAATTTAACAGAAACAAAAGGTCCAGAAAATAAGATATCATAACACAACCCTTTTTTCTGTTTTCTTCCATTTGTCATTTTTTTATGCTTGTTTTTTATTCTACCTTTTAAAAAAAAAATCTATAATTCTATTTGTGTTCTCCATGTTTTTCTTAAAAAAGTAGTCATGCACATAACAGTAGTGAATGTTTTGACATTTTTTAGTCTTGTATTGATTTTTTTAGAATTGGAAAATGAGGAAAATCTGTTCACTCTTCTTTTGAGTGGTGTTTTACACTAAAGGGTCCTGGGAGCTGTTGCTTTGCATTTGTAAGATGTAACCTTAGTGCAGTACAGCAGAATCAAATTAATAGGTTTTCTCTCATCAAACTCTGCAGCAGCCTAGTAATTGAATCTAGCTTGTTGGAGCAGGAAACTATCTAAGACAGAGGGTCCTGAGGTGCAGGGATAGAATATGCTGCAATGTAAAAGTGAGCTTGCAGCTGGTCCTCTCATTTACTCCTCTAAATACAACTGTAGAAAAGATACTACTTTAGAAAATGAACAGCAAATAAAACATTTTAAACCTTCATTTTCCCCACTGCTCTTCTTGCATCATTTATTAAATAAAAGCTCAATTACTGCTTGTTGCAAAAAATACTAACAGTAGGGATTTTATAGATTTAAAATGTAGGTTGTTTTTTTAACTGTGTTCGTCCAATTCACTCAGGATTTGCTCAACCAGCAACAAAGCTGTAAGCGATGTCTCTCAGTCATTGAGAGAAATCACCAGACGCTGCAGAGAGCGCTGGGCAACAGCAAGGTGCTCCGAAATTTCGACATGTCATCGCTGCAAAAGAGAGTCTCAGAAATTCAAGTATCATCACAGGTCAGTCCTAACCTTACTAAACATCATTTAAAATAATATCACATATTTAGTGGGCAAGTACCATTGTGGTAATATAAAATAGCCATGGATGTCTAATCTGTGTTGATTAGACTTCCATCAGATTTCTCACGAGTTATTAGCTTGTTGTAAAGCAAATAAAGTGATTCGTTCATATTACCACTGAGACCCATTAAGATCACCATTAACATCTTCTCAGGCTTTGCTTAAGGAGGTTGGGGAATGGAGGAGGCGGGAGGAAGCCAATAACAGCCTGAGGAGGAGGTTTGAGGAATCAAGGCATGAACTGGAGAGAGTGCTGAAAAAAGCTCAGAGCTGCTTGAAGGAGACTGGAGACGCTGAGGAATTACTACGAAAACACACAGTAAGATCTATTCGACACCTGTATCTATAAATAAGAGTAGTTAAGGATAAAGCATTGGAGGGATGCAGTTATGCAGTGGAGACACCTTGATTAGTACTAGTTTTTCCATATTTCTATATTTATTGCCTGCTTTCGACACGTTGAGTACTGCAGTTAGAGAGGAGTTTTTATTTCTAAGCTACGGCTCAGAAACAACATAATGTTTCTCTAATGGCCTTTTATGGTATTGTAATTTGACATAAATATATGTGCCAATCCTGGAGAACTCATGTGGAGAAATCACGTGTCCTCTTGTAAAGCTTTGATTTGGTGTTTCATAAAAGCAAATTTTCCTTGAATCTGAAAAAAAGAAATAAGGTCATGTAGATGTGAAGGACATTTTCAGACTAAATTAATTTAAATTGTTATAGCATGTAATGAAAACATTTTCTCAATTATACATCTTTTGATATTCTCTTTTGTTTACTGATTTTACCATCCATCCATCCATCCATCCATCCATTTCTGTCACGGTTATCCCTGCTTGGGTGGCGAGGGATGCTGGTGACTATCTCCAGCTGTCTACAGCCGTGAGGCAGGGTACACCCTGGACAGGTCGCCAGTCCATCGCAGGGCAACACATAGACACGCTGACACAAACCATTCTCACACACACTCACACCTAAGGACAATTTAGAGAAACCAATTAACCTAACAGTCATGTTTTTGGACTGTGGGAGGAAGTCAGAGTACCTGGAGAGAACTCACGCATGCTCAGGGAGAACATGCAAAATCCATGCAGAAAGACCCCAACCGGGAAGCCAACCTGAAACTTGCTGCAAGGCAGCAGTGCTACCCACTGCACTACTGAGCAGCCCTGATTTTACCATACCTGAGCTATAGCTGAAAAGTCTGAGGTAATACCTGGGCATAGTTCAAACTAATATGCTAGATGCAGAAAGAGCCGTAAGCAGAGTTCATAAGGCTGGCTATCATTACCACTCTAATCAATGATTAATTTGTTCTTGTTTGCTAAACTTGCTTGATCTTATAGACATTTTTAAAGCTAGAAATGAACAGAGACCCTACAGCTTACAAAACTATTTGTTGAGAGACGGGGAGAGTATAATTACATGAGAATCTAGATTTCAAAATCTTATTTGATCGAACTAAAATAATCAGCATTTTACTAAATGGTGAGAAAATATGGAACAAACTTGTTGAATTAAAAGAATTGTTTTTCTTTAAAATATATGAGATGGAAGAAGGCTGGTGTTCATCAATGGGTACTTTTAGTGATGGTATATTTTGCAAAGGTTGTGGGCATTTGGGATATAGTTTTAAAATTGTCTGAATGAAGACGTGTGAATCTGTTTATATGTAGACAAACTAATTCAATTGCTCAATTAATGGACCTCTCAGATCAGAATTAGAATGCCATTATTGTAATTATATGCAGTACAATTACACTTAAAGTCACCAGTGTGAGTGCAAAGACAGAGTATTAAATAAGAAATATATTTACCATTTACAACTCATAAGTTAAATAGGAATTGTGAAAACTGTTGGTGCAAAGGAGGAGGTTTTACTTCTACTTTGACTCCCTTTTAAGACATATCCACTACAGCAGACATAACACAAATATATGTCTTTATTGTATAGGTTGTCTGCATGTATTGAGTTTGTATTATTTTTACTGGGTTGTCTTAAATGACGCTTTTCATTCATTTATTCATTCATTCATTCATAAACTGAGATATTTCTTGTGGAAAACTCAGGTGTTGCCCTCTACCTTCTAGAAAAGGTGGAAATCACCAAGGCAGCTAAACCTCTGCATGCACTTAGCCTGCTCCTAAGAAGAGAAGATTTAAAACAGCTTTTAAAACATTACTTACTGTACCTAAGCTTTATAGAATATGAGTTTTACCCTTTAAAGAGGAGAATAGAGCAATAAGAATAACCAACAATGAAACAACTCAACTTCCAGATCGGTTTAAAAAAAAGGTTTTGGCATCTTCCAAATATTAAGTACTTTTGTAGAGTTATATCACCAAAGAAGTTTCCACCCAGCTTACAAAATAAATGTATTGGGATAAGGGTTTTCAAAGTAAGAGTCAGAGAGAACAGTCAAAATTAAGTTAAATTTCACATTAAATATTTACTTTATTGGTCTATATAAAAAAAAAGTGGGTATTAGACTACAAAGTATACATATGGAGTAGTTAAATCAGACAACAAACTAGGCAGAACAAGCAAAGTATCAGACTTTATCTCTTGAGATATCTTCTTGCATCTTTTCATCTCCTCAGCTTTTATTAACTGATGTCTCATTTTGTTGCAGGATTTCTTTGGCCAACTGGACCAGCGGGTGCTCAGTGTGTTCTTGAAAGCCTGCGATGAGCTAACAGACATCCTACCTCAAGAGGAGCAGCAGGCTCTGCAGGGAACTGTCCGCAGGCTGCACAAGCACTGGAAGGTCAGGGGTCACCATGCATTAACACTGTAACTAATCACTTTACATCTCCTGAGGTGCATAGCCAATACATCATTAACTTAACAAAGGAGGCCTTTGGTTTTCATAAAGTTCCCCTTTGGCTGTTTCCAATTAGAAAGTGCCAGCTAGATTAAAATGAACACATCTCTGAGTTGATGCCTGTGGGTACAGTTTGTCACTGACAGAGGAAATATTATCCTAAGCTATTGTAGTTTTAACCTGGATGTGATTGTGTTTTTATCAGGATCTTCAAACAGAGGTTCCCTCTCACCTGCTTAGACTAAAAGTGGATGTGGAGAGAAGTCGAGTGGCCTTGATTCTTCAAGACTGCAGAGCAGAGCTGGAAAGAGAGATACAGGCCCTGTCAGGCACCTGCACCAGTGAGCGAGTGATCAAAGAGCACAGGGTAAGCCCTGGAGTTTGTGGAAACTTAGAGCACAGATTAAACTGACAGAAAGAGCTCCAAAAACCTAAATACAGTTTCCTCTTGTTTCATCTCCAGGCCTTTTTCAAGGAACGTAAACCTCTGATTTTGTGCGAGAAAAGAATCAGAAACATGGAGGATCTGTGTCATAATCTACCTGACAACGACCCGGTGTATCGAATGCTGGATTCTACAAAAAAGGCTGTAGAAGAAGTTACTGAACAAATAAAGATCACCCACCTAAAGCTGGAGCAACACCCTGATAAATGGAAAGAGTGGAACGACAGGTATGCAAAATCAGTGAGACATTCCTGAGTTCCTTACAGGTTGTACATAAGAGGTTCTGGTGATGGTTTATATTTTTGCATTTTAGGTTCTGTGAACTTTCTGACTGGCTGTCATCCCAAAGAGGGCAGGTGAGACTTTTAAGAGAGTCAGCAGTAACGTCCCATCACCAGGATCAAATTGATGCTGCTGTCCGGGTGAGTAAAGCAAACCTGTTTGCTGTTAAAGGCTCAAAGATTAGATTTAAAATCATACCTTGTGCTTGAACCATTTCCAGACTCTGCAGGAAGCCTTGATAACCCGTGAGGAGAGCCTATCATGGTTAAAAACTCGCCTCGCCAGGCTGTCAGAGATTAGCTCTGAGCTGGAAGTCCAGAGACAGAGAGCAGCCCTCGCCAAACTTTCAACCGAGCTGCGTGGCCTCTTATCTTCACTCTGTCAGGTATATTCAGTTACTCTAAGGATTAAACTTTTCACTTAGGAGTATTTATTTAAGCATTTTCTGATGTTTTTTTTTTTATCCTTTGCCACAGCTGGGAGAAGGCTCTGCCATGTTCCAATATGAGGAGCTGAGGGATGAGGTGCATGGTGCTTTGAAGGAGGCTCTGAGGGCACAAAGGGAGGCTGAGGAGCAGATCAGCAGGATTCTTAACGCAGAGAACCTGGAAGAGGCCAAACAACTTTACCTCATTCACCAGGTAAGTCTGCATAACTGTCAGTCATCTAAACTATGGAAAATATCCCATTTAATTTACTGCTCTCATGTTTGTGATTCTTAAAGCAACACCTGAAAAGGCTGCATGCTAACAGAAAGGAGGCGGAGCAGCTGGTGACCCACTGCCGCCAGCTGCAGACAGGTGAGGTACTGAGTCAGCCTCTACGGGAACTGGAGGGAGCTTTCGGCGATGTAGACCACAAAACTGGAACAACAGAGCACACCCTGCAGGTAAACAGCGCTGTGACTGGTTGTCTGACGGGTTGAGAGTAATGTTGTATGTTGTTTACTAATTGTTTTGAATTGTCCAGAAATGACTGAAAACAGACAAATATAAAGAGAAAACATAATTTTTGAGCTTAAGAATAAATAAAGGCAGGGAATCTGCTGCCTCACTGAAAGCTTTCGATAATTTCTGATCATTCTTTTTTGTTTCCCCTGCACCTGTATGGAGAAATTTAATGTCTTAATAAACTTAGATTGTTGTTCTCTGAGTCACCATTTCGATGGGATTTATTTGCTGCTGGTAAACATATTTACTGGTACTATATTACTCCCTATTCCAGCAGTAAACAGAAAATCAAAAGACTCTGTGAAAATGAATCATCCACATAGACCGCTGCTGTCATTCATTGATTTTCTTCTGCTGAATGTCAAACACACATTGACCGCCATGTGGAAAGAAGCTGAACTGAATCTTTGGTTGGAGGAATTTTAACTTGTTTTCAAAAAAGCATTATTTTTGTGTAGAAGATTTGATTTAATTCTAGTTTTTATTTTCTATCAGCTTATATTATCTTTTTTTTTTTTTTCTTCACCTTAAGTCAACCCTGAGCTGCTGGCAGAATTTTGAGATGGAAAGAGAAGAAATATGGAGGTTTATTACCGACACTAACAATGAACTACACAGAGAACTGATTTTCAATAGCTTAGAGAGTCTGAGGAGTGAACTGGAGCACCTCAAGGTATGCAGCTCTTTATTTTCAATACAATCTCTTCTAAACAAATACTAAATCCTTATGTTAAAAAAAACAGTACTTTTAAGCATCATTATTGCTGTTAATATTGTTTGCAGGAGCTTTTCATAGACATTGAGGAGTATTCCATCCGCAGTGATATGCTGTTGGAGAAGTCAGAAGATATTCAGCTGGGGCCAAAGAACCAGGGTCTTCTTTTACAGCAGGCTCAGTCCTCCAGAGAAATGATTGCACAGCTTCAAAAAGACCTCAAAGAGAAGTATGTACCCATTGTGTCCTCTGCTTCCAAGCCTCTGCTTTTTTTCCAGAATGTTTTTTTCCTTTTTTCTTTAAATAACTTGTTTAGAGAAACAGGGACAACAAAGATCCAGATGGAAAATACAAAATTAGGCCAACATAAGTCATATGAATCATTGAATGGAGTAGATCAGTGAGTGCAGTTGTTTGACTCGCGTCATATGTCCCACTAATCAGGCTTATACGCTTGTGTGTTTGTTAACAACACTTTTGATAACCCAAGTGTCTTTTTTCTCAGTTTGGTCCTTCTTGAGAAGATGTGGGAGCAATGGGAGAGCTTCAGCAGAGAATCAGAGACCCTTTCTCATTGGATCAACGAGAAAGAGAGGGAGCTAGAAGCAGTTAGCTTCACATCCTCCTACGATCCTATAGATGCTCACATAAGCACAGTGGAGGTATCACTTTTTCATTCTTTGTTTTTCTTTCCTCCTACGTTTAACCTTTCACAAGCCATAAATTCACATTCATGGATTAATTATGGCTGTAATATTAAGTTTTAGTTTTTTTCAGGGGGGATTAGGATGAAAAAAAGGGATGCGTTTGGTTTTCTCCATTTGACTCGGGGTCACACAGGCTCCAATATATGAAAACTCCCTATGCGCTTTTGATAATTGTCTCTTAAAAGATTAAACAGAACTAACCTGGCATTTTTAGGCAGCATTATGCTTCCTGTATGTCAGGATTTGGTTAGGATTTTTGACCCAAAGCAGAGGCAGGCAGGTAGAGGTACATTTTTAGTAGATTTAATGAAGGGTAGTGGAAGAAAGTATATAACCACAGGCAACAGGAATCCAAAAATCTAAATGAAAACAAAGTCCAAAAAACAAACGAGAAACCAGGAGTCCAAAAATTCAAAGATCTAAGGAAAACAAGAAAACACAAGTCAAAGGTTACCAAAAACCTAGGAGCCATCAGGAGGAAGGCTCAGAGAGACGAGTAGGAGGGAGACTGATGAGGTTAGACGAGGACCCAGCAAAGAGGAACTCAAACACAAGAGTATCTATAGGAGACAGAAACAAAGAGAGGGCTAATGAGGAAACTGGGAGCAGGTGTGCACAGAGCAAGAGAAGAAAAGGGCTAGGGAAAAAGGAGAACAAAAGAGGGCAGCAGAGAGCAACAAATGAAAAACCTTGAAGACTGGAAATAACCACAAAATAATAATTAAACCACTAGGACCATAAAACATTGAGAAAAGTAAAACTAAACACTCAAAAGAAAACATAACAGAACCAAGACTAGGACAGTAACTGAGAAAAAAACAACGAACACAATAAACTAAAAATTAAACCATAAAAACTAGAAAACAAGGAAAAAAAGCAAAACTGGATACTCAAAAGAAAAACATGAAAGAAAAGAGAAACCTAACACTGTATGAGTTTTTGTGGACAACAACTGGAGAAAATATCCTGTTCAATGTTGTTACAAGCTGTTTCAGAATAAATGAGTGCTTAATGATGTAATCTTATCAACTGGGTTTTGATAGAAAAAAGTTTTAACTGTAAGCACAATTAACTTTACAGCATTGTCTTAATCCAGGATTAAATAGGAAGGAATCAAATTAACTTGAAAAATGATAAGAAACTGAATTTAATATTCGACAATTCTTAAAAAAAAAAATGGTTGATTTAAATGAGATTAGATGTTCATTTTAGCCATATGCTATCATCAGGTTTGAGGCTTTTGATCAGCTTCAACCTCAATACCTGACTGTGTCGTAGTTTTAACCTTTTGTTTTAAAGTAGAGTTAAATAATTTGGTTCCTTTATCTTTGATATTCTTTCTAGAATCCTTAATAACCGCTGGCGGTGAAACAGGATTTCAACACAATGCTGCCATACTTTCATCTCTTTGTTTATCTGGTGCACAGTATGCATGCATGTAGCAAATTTTTAGTGAATGAAATCTATACATAACTCTTAGAGATAAATGGATCAACAAATGCAGAGATTTAGAATATTTCTTCATTATTATGTTTATTATTAAATATGATCTCAGTTCTGTCAATCTCATGACAGCTTTACAAACAAAATTAGTATATCCAGTTTTAAAGTAATTCACAAATTTGTCTGAGGGAAAAGCTGTTTAATTTTGTTTCTAATGTGTGTTTTCTTTGATCATTACTTTGCTGTTCTTCTTCTCTCTAGACGATACACGAGGGATTGGAGGAGAGAAGGACACTTCTAGTACAGATGGAGACTGAGATTGAGCCCCTGTCCAAGTTCGTGACCCCTGGAGCAGCCAGTCATATCCGAGTCCAACTTGTACAGATAAGGCAACGCTGTGACGAACTGATGGGGAAGATAGAGCAGCTTGGTGAACAGCTCAACCAGAGCACCATCTACAGGCAGAGATGCAATGATAACCTCAAACAGGTGCAAAATATCACAAAACAAGAAAACGTGTTTTAAGGTGTTCTAATTTAGCTATATTATTGACATATTTTTCCCCGCTTCAGGTAAAGAAAACAATAAACGACATCAAAGAAAAACTGGACTGTCCAGTCATTTGTACATCATCAACTGAGACCTACAAGATCCTCCAGGATCACATGGTGAAAACAAAACACAACTGATACCTCCAACATAAAATATTCATAATAAAATGTTTGTTTTTAGGATTCAAATTGTTAATTACACTATTTCTATCGACTTCAGGAGGTTTGCCAGCGTGTTGAGCAGCTGAAACCCAGGCTGATGGCGCTGTGTTCAGCCACAAAGAGGGTTGGAGAGGGCAGCCAGCTGGAAGAAGAGGTGGCTGACCTCCAGAAGCAACAGAAACAGTTAATTGGAGAGGCCGCAGAAAAGCAATCCACACTGGAGAGCCTTCTAGCTCTGTGGCAAAGGTATGGACACAAATCACCAATAGATCATAAACCTGTTTAATAGATGTAAGTTTTTGTAATTCTTTTAATTCTGTACTGTAGGAAAATGTCTATTTTTAGTCATGTTTAGTGAATTTATTTCAGATTGCTAATTGATCTGTCCATTCTAAAAACAATACTTGGAAATTTTTTTTTTTAATACAAAGCAGTTCCGTTTATTTGCATCTTTCATTTCCAGAGTGTTTCTCTGTCATTTTGTTTAGTCGCTGCTCACACACACATACACACACATTTTATACTGTTGTATAAACATCGCAATTTCCCCTTGTTATTATTGTGCTTGTCTTTTCTGCTGAATTTTCATTTCCTTGTCAATTTCCTTAGTTATTCCCTGAAAAATTCTCTCATTTCAGTGTGAAGTAGCAGAGCGGGATCTTGTTTTCGACACTCTCTTTATGTCTCCTTGTCAGCATTGCTTTTCTCTTCTAATTATATTCTTTTTTGTCACTGGTTTGACAATGAATAGATTTGCACCAGGGTGACTGTATTTTTTTTTTTACAAAGAAAGAAAAGATCCAGCCTAGTGGTGGATATTTAGCAGCTTGTCAGTAAATCTATTTATATTAAATCATATTTTTGCTTCTTGTGTATGTCTTTGTGTTTCTCACTCATTATCTCCGCTGTAGGTATAAATAAATTATCACCATGTCACTGAACAGATATACGGTGAAAAGAACTGACAAACAAAAAATATATTGATTTAAAAGTCTATTAAAGAGATGTTTTTCGTAGGGTTATGCAAAATAACGTAATGTCAATTTTTACGTCCAGATATGAAAAAGAGAACGCATCCATGAAGACCTGGTTGGACAGATGTGAATCTGTGTGCTTCCCAGACACCGAATCATTCTCTGCAGATAAAATAAAATTGAGGAATGAACTCCAAAACGTCCGGGTAAAATGTGAAAGTCAACGTCCACTTCTATCATTTTGGTCGCCTGGTGTGGCTGGAGTTTGAATCCAGCTTGGTTTTGTTCTGCCTGATCAGGAAATGCAGCAGGAGACAGCATGTTATGAGGCTCTCCTCCACGGTCTTGGAAATCTCCAGCTGTGTCTGCACCCAACAGCAGACGAAGTTCGAATCCAGGAGCTGAATGATGACCTTGGTCAGCTTCAGGAGAGATTCGCCTCTGTGAACATGAGTATATCATACAGGTAATTTTGACTTCTTTGTATTTTAGGTCATTTTAGCTTATAAGATCTCTGTTCACACCTAAATCGTCTACTTCCTCTTTAGGAGTAAAGTACTGGAGGAGCACTTAGATCAGTTGGAGCAGTTTGATCAGGCTCTTCTATCTGTGGCACAAAGAAGCGAGAACTTCCTCTCTGTCCTGAGAAGCTCTCCCTATGTTCATATATCGGATGTTGAAGCTGCAGTCACTAAATTAAAGGTATGAAAACTGTTATTTCTATTTTTTAATTGCAGGTGACTTTATAAGAACAGTAGCTATAATCTAGTCTTCAAAAAATGTTTAATGTGACATAAATATGTCTACTTTTTTCAAACTGCTACAGGAGCATGAGGCACAGCTACAGGAAATCACATTACTGACCGAAATACTGAATCAAAAGAATTCCTCTCTGCTCCACCACTCCACCCCAGAGGCTGAGCAGCAGCTCCAGGCCTGGACAGAGGACTGTTTGCAGCCCTTCAAGGAGTCCCAGCGTCTTTTACTCGTCCGTAAGGAATGTCTGACTAAAGTAAAGACTTTCCTTTCCAAGCGTGAGGCGGCATCCAAGGCTCTCTCCCACCTTAATGCAGCAGTAGAGGACAGGGGAAGCTGGGACCATTCTAAAGCTGAAGCTCTGCACAGCAGGATTTTGCAAGTCGCTAAAGACGTGGCCCGACTTGAAGCAGAGGCAGTTGGGTTGGATGGGATGCTAAGCAAGGCACACCTGCACCTGTGTGGCATAGAATCAAGCGGATCCAAAAGCAGCAGTGATCCTCAGGATAGAACATCCTGCAGAGGACTGGCAGTCGGCCTCATGATGTATCTGGATGAGATACAGAAGGCTGTCGGATGGAGGCAAAGTGAAGCAGATGCTTTAGGGTCTTTGTGGTGCTCTTTCAGAGAGAGAAAAGAAGAAGTGATGAAGAATTTGAAGAAACTGGAAGACGATGCAAGACGAGAGGAAGCAAGGGAGTGCTCTGTGCAAGCCTTTCAAAACAGGTAGCCAAACAACTACAAAGAAAACAGTTCTGATGCTATCAGCCTTTATGAGTAGCGCTCATTGGTAGAATAAAGATAAAATAGAACAACAAGGATGAGTTAAGATTTAAAGCCTGTGGTGAATAGATCTAAATGATCCTTAAGCGTCTGAAGCCAATAAGCTGAAGCCAGATTCCAGCCAGATGGATTAATTCATTTCAGTGTGATGTCTTAAAACAATGAGATGCTGGAATTGGGTAATCCTCATTGTTTTTTTTCTGGTTCGGTTTCTCCCAGGCTGCGTTTCTTTGTCCAGCTGGAGGATGAGTTGCAGTCCGTGCAGCACTCCCAGCGATGGTTGGAGGAGAAGGGGAAGCAGCTGGCTCAGCGAGACAGCGAGCTGGCAGCTGAAGCTCTCAGAGAGGTGGCACTGGTGAAGGCAGCCTGGGAAAACCTGAACACAACGATAACAAATAGGTATCCCTTCAAAACAGTGATGATTAACTTATCCATTTAAGATTAAATACTTTTTTTTATTTTGTTCAATCTGTACTCCTATATTTGTGCTCTTTGTTCTCTTGCAGTCAGGAGCAGAGCGGAGTTGTGGTCGACCTTCTACGCTTGTTCCTCCATCTGAAGATGAACATCAACGCAGTTGTGGAAAATGCTCTGTCCGTTGCTCATAATCTGCCTGACCACAACCACAGTGCTCAGGATGCCAGAAGGGTTTTCACACAGGTCAGTAAATTTTGTTATTCTAGTAGAAAACAATGTGCAATGAATAATCTTTGTTTATGTTATGTTTAACCACATTTGTAGATACTGATTCCAGGAAAACAGAAATGTTTACAGGGCTATATTAGATCAGTGACAGAAAATGTTACTTAAAATATCCTTTAACCACTGCAAATTACCCTTATTCAGTTCAATGTGTCGCAGTCAGTTGGGACACTTTAAGACACCTAGGCTGTGTCCGATTGTCTGCCCTAACCACTATGTAGGGAGCTATATAGTGGTTACGCCATTTTAAATAAGTGTCCGAGTGTCTAGTGGAGGAAAAAGTAGTGGACTCAAAATTTCCCACAACGCAATTTGAAAAATAGGGATCATCCATGGTCACTAGAGAAGCAGATATATCCTAGAATGCTTTGTGAGGAGAGCTCTCCTCACAAAGCATCATGGGATTGGCTGTCACAGGCTGTCGCTACTTGAGAGCGGCAACTAATAACAAAGAATGTGCTGGTACCGTGCGGGGAGGTGGAGTTATATGACCAATGGTGAGTGAAAAGTTGCAGTCATCTATCTAAAAGGTCAATCACGTGAGTTCCCTATATAATGCCTGCTCTATATAGCGATTGGGGGATCTGGGATTTTGGGGTATGTTTGGACACAGCCCCAGTCACTGGTATCAATAGTTTTTTCTGTGTGTTGTTTTCATTTAAAAAAGAATGCATCCAACATGGAATGGAGTCTCTAGCTGTTTCTTTATGCACATTTTTCTGTTGTTTTTCTGGACTTCAGGTGCAAAAGTGAAAAAAATCCTGCAGCGTTATATTAGTCTTCAAATGCAGAAATGGGATAAATCATATTAGCAGAACATGAATTTAGGTGTTGTATTTATTTGATAAATGTTTTTTTATATATAATTTACCATGAAGATGACAGAGGCGGATTATATAAAAAGGCTGGAGAGCATGTCAATTTGTGTCACTGCCGTAGCCTAAATAATATAGCAGAAAATAATGAAAGTACCTACTTGTCTACTCATGTGAAAGGATGGATGGTAACGTGTCGCTTCTGAAAAAGGGCAAATTTTCATAATGCTACTGTAAGGAGTAGCTCTTACCCTGCAGTTTGTGTCATACATTCTCTCCCTCTAGTGGCAGCTTGGTATCATTTAATATCTGTGCTCTGGTGTCTATCCATGCAGCATGAGGCTGTCCAAGCTGACCTGAGAGAAAAACAAGAAGACATGGACCAGCTCATCTCCACAGTTGAGGAACTTCAGAGAGAACTGGAGAAGGTTCCTAACTCAGATATGTTTTCTGTCCTGAATGAGATAGAATCTCTCAGGGACCAGTGGCTGCTGGTGAGTTGAGCCTAAAAAATTAAGGCTGTGCTCCTTCTTTAATAAATTTACTGTTTGCAAAAACCTGAAGCTGATAGTATTTACATTATTGACACTAATCAGAAACTATTTTTGGGGATTTTTTCTAGATTGTTACAGAAATCATCAAATCAACAAATCATTATCAACATTTTTCCATAAACAACCAGATCTTGCACTGAAATTTAATGAAGGAAAGAATGTAAATTGTTTTCTTGTTTTCAAATAGTGAATGATGTTATTCATAATCCAACTCTGCCACAAACCAGGGTCATTTACTGTAACAGTGTTTATCTCCAGGATGTGTGTTTTTTATATGTATATTTTTTTCCATTCTTTAGGATTTATTTATCTCCTCAACTGTCACAAATGAGACAGAACAACAAACATGTCTAGACAGGTTATCTTCCTTTCCGTCGCTTCCTCACGTCTCACTCCCACATCTGTCAAACTAATTATGCCTCATTTTTCCTCCACCTCCCTGAAAAGCCCACCATCCCTTGTTAAGGAGAGACAGAGGCGGCTAAAAAACAAAGGAGGGACACCCTTCCTCTGAACTTGATTGAGATGCATTCTGCTCTGCTTTCTGTCAAACAGCTCGTCTTTGCGTTTCTTTCAGGTCTCAGAAAAAATTCAGACAAATACAGAGAGGCTGGGATACTGTGTAAAACTTTGGGATGACCTGAAGGCCATGGAGCAGGACATCAACCAGTGGACGGCCGGGTCCATCACCGATCTCACCGACACTGTTGCCAGACTCAGTGATAAGGGTTTGGCAGACGCCTGTCTCACCACATTTCAGGTTGGAGCTGCAACCTTCAGCATAGTGATGACAGACAGGAAGTGTTCAGAAAGGCGATAGAGATCCTAATTAAAATTTCTTACACTTTAAACTAAAGGCTGAAATGGAAAAGAGGGAGCAGAGGTTGGACATCCTGCAGGATAGAATGGCAGAACTGAAGGAACGAGCCAAACTACAGGAGACACCAATACAAATGCAGGTGAATATAATTTGAGACAACAACGGTATGTAAAGTATTATGTCTGCAGTATCAAGAAAAAGAAACCTAAGACTTCTTTCACTTCTTTACAACTATTGAACAAGAGGATTGTCTATGTTGATAATTATGCTCTCTTACTACAGCAGAAATTAAAAAGCATATCCTGCAAATTCAGGATTAGTTTGTCCTCAGTAATTGTGAGTGTTTTTCATAAGCTGTATTTAGTTCAGTGTGGGATTTGTCAAGAGTTTGAGTAAAAAATACCAGAGTATTGGGATGACACAAAAATATAAAACGGGAATGTATGCTCCATACACTGAGAAAGCTTGGGTTATAATAATACTTTTACTCATTAAAAAAAATGTATCATATATCAACAGTATGATAGTAAACCGTTTGGGATTTCAGAACTATAATTCATGTATTTATTATTGTTACTTTAACATGTTCCTTTTCATACTAAGACTGAAAAACATTTATTTTATTTAGAGTTTTTTAACCTGCCAATTAACATTCTAATGGAAAGCGATGTTTGAATCTTTGCAAAAATATGAAGGCCTATAAAGAACACTCTTCATTGGTAGTTAAAAGTTATGATTTAGGAGTTAACATAAAAGTTTTAATTGTTTTTGTTCCCACACTGTTAGGTTTACTTTAACTTCTGTGTCTTATAACATAGTAAAAGGTATAGGATAGTGTTATATGCATCGTTCTTACCTAAAATCAATTTGTATTCTAAATGTCTATTTTTTGTAATCACATCTTATGACATAAAATAATTCTTCACCACAGAAGTTTTTTGAGCATCTTTTACTCCTTGCACAGCATTATGCACCACTTAAGCTAGTCTTAACTTGCCTTTTCTTTTAAAACTGATCAAGTGATTTAACCCAACCAGGTTCTAGAATCGGATCTGAGGAAGAAAATGTTCCACGCGCAGGAGGCATACAACCAGGCCAAACACACTCTGACCTACTTCGACTTCCAAAAGCAGCGACTGGACGACCTGATGTCCCAGATGACTGAGCGACTGGCTGCAGTGGAAGGGTCCTTGTCAGACCTCACTGAAGCTGGTTCCTTTGAAGATATTTGTACACTGAAGGTAATCCTAATTCATTCCAGTTTTGGGGCATGTGCATAATTAAGACTGCTTCTTTAAGACAATAAGATAAAATATTCCATTGATATTCCTTTTAGCTATCAAAAGATCTTTGATTTTATTAAAGCATGGCTTTAAGACATTACTGTACATGAACATGGCCTGGTGGTTAGGTAATTAAGAAAGACCCTTAACCCCACACTGCTCCCGGGGCACCGCACAATGGCAGCCCACTGCTCTCCAAGGGGATGGGTTAAATGCAGAGAGTTCATTTATTGCTTTGCACTTGTTCACTGCAATGACAATAAAGTTGAATTCTATTCTTTTACAAAATGTGGAAAACCTTGAAGGGTTTCAGTATTTTTTGCAATGTAGTACATCTTCTATACAACTAGTTCACGGGTTTGGAAATTATATAACATGTTGTTTTCAATAATAGTAAGCATAATAAATCAAAATATCCCATATTTAGCATTTTATTTCAACTGGTGGGCCATGAAAACATTGCTTTGAGAATGAAAGGACAGGCAAACTTTCAAGGAAAGTGCTCAAGTAACTTTGGAACCTCATGTAAAGAAATCAGTCAAGGTCACTGAGAGATTATAAGACATTTAGTGGAGTAATCCATCAAACAACAATGACAAGATAGAAAATTAAATACAGAAATAACAAGAAAACTATAATAGCAATCAATGGGATGGTGCAGCTGTGGAAAAAAGTGTGAAAGCTGAGGGAGGACTAAAATATTAACACAACATGAGCCTTGGTGAGACACAAAGAAACTATCAAGTATGAGAAAAATTGTCAAATAGCAGAAAAGCCTAAACGCATATGGAAATACCTAAATGTATAAACGCAATCAACAGCATAATACTGAAAAAAGCACAGAAGAAAAACGAAATTGATACATTTGGGGATCATGACAGAAAACCAGAATGCTTAGGGTTGTACACTCAGAGTTAATTTTAAATGTTGCCCAAAAAGCCACATTTTAGTCTAATCCACTCAGAGCATCTTTCACATGATGTCTGCCTTTTCCCGGCTTGGGTTATATGTTGTTAAGCTAGCTGTAAACAGAAGAAGCCAGAGTATATGCTCTGTACTCTGTGACATCCACAGAGTATGCGTTTGATCTTCGAAGTTTTTCAAATAAGGGTGCTAAATTGCAAAATATATTTGTTTTGTTTGTAAGCATGCTGTGGATGACAAAGATTGCCGTTAAGACATGCAAACCGATTTGGTTGTACCTGTTAAAACGAGCACAGTGTGTGTTCTACTGGCAGTTTGAGAGTGTCTGTAAAAGAAAAATGAGGTTCAAAGCCATGGAGATGGAGGTTATAATTATAAATATTTTATGAAGTGCAAAAAAAATATTTAATTAAACATACCTGCACTTTATGTAAAGTTATTCTTTGATTAAATTGTCGCAAGAAAAAAATCCCTGCTGCAAAGAGATACTTACTCTCACCCTAACAACCCTTCTTTTTATATTCGATTTTCCATAAACATTCTACTATATTTTAAGTTTATTTTCTTGATTGGTTTAACCATATAAAGACTGTCTGCATTCCCGTATTCATCTGGCATTGTACGAATACTTCTTCTATGGCAACAATGATGATTACAATGGATGTATACTGAAAAAAAGATGCAAAAACCACGGCCACAGTTATTTCAGATGTGGAAATTCACTTTGCATGTGGTAAATCTTTAAAAATGCATATTCTAGATCGATATAGGGATTGAGGGATTTAGGGGTTAGGGGAGACATTCGGATACAGCCAATTACAACAAAATTCTAGAATTAAAACAGGACTACTGCAGAATTCATGGTATTTAAATAATTAGTATGAATGTTTTATGGGGGAGTGTTTGCCTCTGCAGGCATCTCGGAGTCTTGTGTGTAATTAAACATAAATAAGTGCTCAACTCTTTAAACATCCTCTGTAGAACCATAAATCAATGTAAACAGCACCAGCGTATAAATATGTACTTAGCTCTATTATCAATGGCCTCATGAAAAAATGGGTTGTCTTCAGTTGAAAAATCTAGGTGTTTGCATTCACTGCCCTTTTGGTACGTTATGATCAGTATAGATTGATCCCCAACTGGTTTTGACACCTATTGGTTTTAGGCCACCCCTTAGTAAATATTGATTCCCGCCTGGCCGCCCCTCTGAAGTTTTCTGGAACTGCCATTGCATGTGCAGCATAGAGGCAGTAAATCAGATTTAGAAAATGCAACAGTCATAACTCTTGATTTCTCCCTTTTTCTATTGAAGGACCTGCAGGGTGTTGTGCAGCAGCAGAGGGCAGACATGGACTCAGCTAGAGATGCACTGACTTCCCTCAGCAGATCACATCCATCTCAAGAGCTTTTGGTCCTTTCCTCTGATCTCACCTCCATCGCCAAGCGAACAGAGGTTGTTGCCCATCGCTGTGCCAGAACCAGGGGCAGCCTCCAGGAAGGATTACAGCTCCACTTTAATGGTGAGACACTTGAAAAATTGACTTACGTTAGAGGAGTGTTTTGTTTTTTTTGTTTTTTTTTTCAGTAAAACACAGTAATTCATCCAAATAGAGCAGTCAGCATCACTTCATCCAGAAGAATCAGAAATAGACTCAAAACATTTCTTAAAGCCTCATAATCAGCCGATCGAAAACAACATAATTACTCAATGCAGCGTAATTCTTTCATGTTAGCAGTGCAACAGATTTGCTGTTGATTATCCTTCATTTTTCCCCAGAGCACACTCAGTCCTCCCACAACAACCCACACACCGTCCACACATATTGTCAGGTACACTGATACGCTTTCTTCACTCCGACACACACCTGTGCCTCGGAGAGCGATGGCGCCTTCGTCACATCCGCTCTCGAGGGAGCCATTTCAGGCTTGTTGCCAAGGCAGCCAAGCACTGCATGCTGCGGACACGCCCACACTTCCCATCTGCCTCAGCACATTACCTCTCCTTGCTTTTCTCCTCCTTTGACTTTTAAATCTTCTCTGCCTCTTTTTTTTTTTTTTTTTTTTTGCTGTGCACAATTCTTTAATGTCAAAAAGCATTATTTATGTTTTGAGTTTAAGCTCATCTGCTATCTGTTCTCCTCAAAACAGGGCTTGTTCAAAACTTTAAGTCCTGGCTGTCAGAGCTGAAGTTGGAGCTGAAAGACTGTTTCAATCAATCAGGAGATGTCATCCTCCTTACTGCCAAGTTACAGAGACTGAAGGTACTGTTAAATCTCACATGCTAACGCTTTGTTTCTCTCTGTGTAATCAATGATTTCGAAAAGTATTTACACCCCATGACCTTTTTAATTGCAATAACAATTTAATCTAAAATTAATTTGTTATTTTTTAGTTCTATTAATGTAGAACTGTCAGTCTTAAAGCAACTCATTCCTCTCTTCGACCACAGATCTCACTCGAGCAGTCGTCAGAGGGTGAGGAGCGTCTCTCTCAGATTCATAAAGAAGCCGGGAAGCTCCAGCTCCACCTGAGCAAAGTCGAAGCAGCACAGATCCATGAAAGTCTTTCTTCCTGTCAGAAAGAATGGAAGAATTATCAGGACTGCTGCTGTCAGAGCCAGCTAGACCTGAAAGACAGCATTGACCTTTTAAAGAAGTAGGCTATCTGACTTTTGCTGTCATATCAACTGAAAATCTTTATCTAATGTCTGTTTTCCTCGTCCCTGTGTTAGTTTTGATGGTTGTGTGGAGAATACAAGAGAATGGCTTAAGAAGATGAAGGTCGGCCTTAAAAATGAGCCTGATATTGTGGTAGAGAGCCAGAGAGGAGCCGCCGATCCCACAGAAGAGCTGCAGAGGATAGAGAACTTAAATAAAGAGCTGATAGCGCAAAGGTTTGTGGAGAGGGTGCCCAAGGCCATATGCTGTACATGCTGGAAGATCAACTGTCAGAGTAATTTTCTGCTTTTTTTTCTTTTTATCTAGGGAGTCTATTGAGCGTGTTTGTCTGGAGGCCCAGGCTCTTTCTGAATCCGGCCGTGGTACAGGAGAAGAGGTCAGAGTAAAAGCCCAGCTCCAGATGGAGTATCAAGCTCTCCTGAAGGCAGCCAGAGAGAGACTACGGGGCTGCCAGGAGAGCCAGGCCTTTGGAGATGCCCTCCAGGGAGTTTGGGCCTGGCTGGAGGAGATCCAAGAGAGATTGGGTACTGTAGACAGCACGATTGGAACCAAAGAACAGTTAGAGAAGAAACTGGAGACTGTGCAGGTGAGACACAGGGAGTGGAGAACAATATGTTTAAAAAAATATAAATTCCCCTTTGCTTCCAATATGCAAATGTTTGTCTTTACAAACGGCTCTCACTCATTTTTATTGCAGCAGACACAAGAGGGGGCTGTTTGTTTTAGAAAACATGCCTTAATCCTTTGTCTAGTTCCCGTTTCCAAAGACTCTGCTCTGTTTGCACAGGACATCCTGCTTTTGAAGGGAGAGGGGGAGGTGAAGTTAAATATGGTGATGGGTAAGGCTGAGCTCACCCTGCGTAACTATGGAGCCGGTGGACAGGAAGGGATCCGCTCTCAGCTGCAGGAAGTGGAAGATGCATGGGCCACGCTATTGGTTACTGCAATGAGCTGCCACAGGTATCCCACATAAAACACCATCTTCAACTGTTTGTACACGTTCAAGCTTTTAACATTTTGTTACTTTACGACCACAATTACTGGATTTCATTTGATTTTATCTGAAGGATCAACAGAGAATGGTCCATGATGGTAAAACAAAGTTTTTTTTTTACGCTTATACCCATAAATAAAATCCACTCTATACAGCTACCTTCTGTATTTAAGGAGAAAATCACCTTCACCTCTTTATCTTTTAAATCTTAGCATATATTCTGTGAATGTTTTGGAGGTTTCTTTGAAAACATTGGAGGATAAACAGCCTTAAAAAAGCCATATTGAGCTACATTTTAGCAAGGATATTGCACACAAACACCACGCGGCCACAACGACGCAGACAATCACAGCTGGGGTTCAAACTGGCAACCCTCCGGTTGCAGGTGGAATTCCATCATCCATCCATTTTCCGTCACGCTTCCTCAAGTGGAATCGCAAGGGGTGCTGGTGTCTATCTCCAGCTGTCAATAGGCGAGAGGCGGGGTACACCCTGGACAGGGTGCCAGTCCATCCCAGGGCAACACAGAGACAAACAGGACAAACAACCATTCACCCACACACTCACACCTAAGGAGAATTTAATGAAGCCAATTAACCTAACAGTCATGTTTTTGGACTGTGGGAGGAAGCTGGAGAACATGCATGCGGAGAAAATGCAAATTCCATGCACAACGACTCCAGGCCGGGAATCATACCTTCTTGCTGCAAGGCAGCAGTGCTACCGCCTGCGCCACTGCAGCCCTGCAGGGTCAATTCCTGCATCCTAAAATACATTTTTCTTAAACTAACCTTTGGTTATATGAATGGATTTTATACGACTGCTGAATGTGGTAGAAAATAAGCATTATGCTGTATGACAGCCTTTATTCAACAGGGAAACTTACATTGGAGTCTTTAGAAAACGTTAAACCTTTGGTCCTTATACTTCAGCAACACTATTATTGCAGGTTACATTAAAGGTATAGTGGAGGATTTTCACAAAGTTTTTTAAAAGATCCGCCCTCTCCACTTAAAAAAAAAACATGTCATGCACAACCCTGTACCCACTCCTGAAAGGGAGCCCAATTTTCCTAGTGAACGCTCTGTTAAAACTTGCTGTTCTCATAGCTCATACTGTACAAGCTTACTGTGTCTGAACAACCCTTGGCCATTTTCAAAGACCCACTGAGAGAAAGGTGAGCTTTGTGAAGTAAAAATGAGTACTGAGAGTTGATATGCAAGGAAGAAAAACATGTATTTTACCCTGCAGAGGAGAACGACACAAAACAGCTGAATACAGCTCTCAGTGTGGCTCTGGGGTGTTCAGCAACCCACCCCTGCATATAAAGAGACTCCACACACATAAACATTGTTTCTTCAGTTCATCAAGGACATAAATTTAGTCAGATAAATACTTCAGACAACTGTTTCCCATCCATACCATAAACAGGACGTGAGAACTTTGAACACAGTGAAAACTTTTCCTTCTTATCTAAACTAGGGAGGAAACCTCTCAGGCTTCTAAATAATCAACCTGATTCAGGCAGAGAAAAAGCACACTTTTAAACATTTTATCTCACAAACAGGCCAAGGAAAAATATGATTCCACAGCTTCAAAGACTGTCTGAAACCATAGCTCATCACAGATATATGCCTGAAAGTGCGCATGCGCAGAAAAAGATAGCTAACTGGACGAGCGAGTAGGAAGGTCTTATGTAAACTTATCAGCAGAATGATTGACAATTAGAAGAAGATGATCCACTAGGAAATAAAAGATTGTCTAGGTTGCTGTGCCTTGGCATTAATATTGTTGCTTAAGACATTTCTTAAAATCTTTTGATCTTTTTTTTCTTTTCCTTCCATTCAAAGATTTTAGAGACAACTCATCTGCGTGAAACAAACTCCTCACAGTGGGGAGCTTGTTGTTTTCATCATGATGAATTGTGTGTCATTGCTATTAATTACCATTAAGGTAAATACATGATGAGAAATATTCCTCTTGTTTTTTAAATCTGATTGATATGTCTTAGTTTGCCCTCTTAATGTGTGTACGTGCCTTAGCATGCACATGGCCTGGTTTGCGTGTGTATTTAATTGAGCAATTATAGTTCCTGTTAGGAAAAAAATTGATCTCATTAGAGGCTAAATGGGGGATGGCAAACAGTGGGTCACTGGTGGTGGTGGGGTGTTTATGTTTTAAGGGGAATGAGGGAACAGGAGGCGAGGGGGAGCAGGTGAAGGAGATCTGCCCGTGTGTGGATATTGCTGTTTGTTCACGTGGGGTAGACAGATGGCAAGGAAAATTATGGGTGTGCATCTTTGTCTGTCTTTGAACCCTCTTATAGAAGAGGATAAAACACTTGGCCAGAACTACTGACAATTTAGAAAAATACACTCAAGATTTAAGATTATAAACAATCTTATTGGATCTAAAAATCTTTAGATCATGTTTTAAAGTCATAAAACATATCTTGTAAATTGTGTTTTTCAGGGTTTCCCTTTGCTTTCATGTGGAACACGTTTTTTCATTCAAATATTGAAGTCAAAGATAAAAACAGAGATGTCTTTTCCTTCTAGTCGATTAGAGTGGACTGTGTCTCAGTGGGGGGGATACCTCGAGAGTGCTGCTCAGCTCCAAAACTGGATGGAAGCTGTGAAAAGGGAGGTGTGTGCCCCGCTCCCACCGCAGCCAGGACCCAGAGAGAAGGCCTCGCAATTAGAGCGACTCAGAGCCCTAATGGCTGACCTGGAAGACCACCAGATGGCGCTCTCCAGCCTGGAAGAAAAAGCCCGAGAACTTTATAAGAAGACAGGTGATGCCAGCTTCAATCATGGCGCTCGCACTCAGCTACAGATGCAGTGTGATCATCTCACTGCTTTGGTTGAGGTGAATAAAACCTTTTTTTTCACATTTTCTAGTTGTTTTTCTGTAAAAAAAAAAAGAAATCTGAAAACTTAAACTTTGTATGTGTGTTTTGTAGGAGAGAGTTCGTCTGGCTCAGGTGGTGGTGTTGGAGCACCAGGACTATCTGGAGGCTGTTCGTGAGCTCACTGATTGGCTGATGTCTGCAGGGGAGGAGCTACAGCATTGGTCTGATACATCAGGAGACTCTACCTCTGTCAGAAAAAAACTCTTAGAAGTAAAGGTGAGGAAAATGCTAAAAAGAAATAGTTTAAATACTATTGATAGTTCTGTTTTATTTATTTTTATTTTTCTAAATATATATATATATATATATTTAAAAAAAATCAAAGCAAATAGAATGTCTTTGAACTAGAATTAGGGAAAAATTTAGTCTGGCAGGCATGACGGCCAAATAAAAAAAGGGTTATAAGGCTTACCATTGGAGTAGAGATGTACTGATCAGGGTTAAACTGGCCTAATACCAATACTGAGTTCTTTGTGATGTTTTACCTGTTGATTAGAAATTAGATTCCTGAAGTACCATAAAAATGTAGACTAATTTGGGTCAACTTTACATAAATGCAAAGGTAAAATTCAAGAAATATTGATGTTGAAAGAAAGAACCTCTAGAGTTACCTTGATGGGGATAGAGATAATTGTGTGAATACAGAAAAAACAATTTTTACGACCTACACATTAAGTATTTGATCCATAATTTTACCTGGATTTTATGAAATTTAAGGCAAATAACATGTTGTTTCTTAATCCAGTTAAAGACTTAAAAATCCTAATGTATCCATTCAGCACCTCAACACCTTAAGAGATGCACATCTGTAGTTTAAATGAATTTAATTTGACATTGTTTAACTTAATTTCAGTAAAAATTATTTAATCGGCAGTAGCTGTAGAATAATGAAGATCTTGTAAGATTAAAATAACTTTTTACAAATTCATGAAAACAAAGACAATATTTGTCTGTTCCTTTTATTTGTGTATTTAGTTTTGTTGTGTTAATATGATTGTAGATGAAAATAGAGATCGACCAAAACCGTTTTTTAAACTGACGCAGATACCAATTATTTTTAATCTAACCAACTCTCAATATGTATTGCCAATGTTTTTGGGTGATTCTTGGAGCTGATATTTATTTTTTTCCTGATATGATAACAAATGTTATACAACCAAATGAAAAAAAAATGAAATAAAGAGAGAAACATTTATTAACAAATCAAACAAACCATTGGAAAAGGCTATCGAATGTAGGGAGTGTCAATGCATGTGCTTCACGTGATGTAATTCATTTATGAATCAGCAAACCTTTGCACATATTGGAAAATGTCGATAAAACAGAAAAAAATTATTTTTGGCCAAAGTATCAGCTGGCCGACATGTTGGTAACCTACAGTTAATATTCTACAAGGGTTGGAAATAGGTGACATACGTCTTTAAATTTACAATCCAACTTGCATTATCAGCAACGTTTTTGCTTTGTTATGCATCCAATAATCACTACTTAATTAAACAGATGACTTTTTGTCTGCAAGTTAAGCATAGCAGATTTTTGGATTGACTGTTGTTTTTGTAATTTGCACCCATTAAAAAGTGTTAAAGTTTATGTCTTTAGGGAATTCAGCTGTAATCTCAAACCTGTGTATAAAATCTGAATCACCACACACACATTCATGTCTTGCTATCTGTAGTGAGGATCAATGTTGGCTCCCTTTGACTTGACTTGGTTTTCAGTCATTTTCAACGCTTTCTATGGCCTAACCTTAAAAGGACCCTAACCTAACCATAACTGGTGCACACCTCATCCTAACCCTTATCTAAACTCAATTCACACCTTAGCTCTAAACTTAACCCCTGGCAAAATATTTTGTAAGGCCAGAGAAAATGTCCTTACTTTACAACAACCGGACCTCACATTGCCTGTAAAATCACTCAGCTAGCCAATCAGGAACACACACCTATTCCTTGTAAGGTGGCTTGGTAGTGTCAGAAATTGGCAGCATTGATTCAAATATATATAGTTCTTTTTTTGTCTGCAAACAACAACAAAAAATGTTCCAGCTTCTTCCCTCAGGCACAAAATCCTTATCAAGGATATTAGGATAATAATGCTGCTGTTAAATTTCTCATTCCATAACAAATAATGTGTTTAAAGATACTAAAACCCCTTACATGCCAGTTTTGGTTCTCATAAAAAATTGATTCCCTACTAAGTAGATTCCTAAAGTAGATGGTGACAGCAACGGTGTTGCTAATATTTGTAGATTTTTTTCTCCCATAAAACTAGTTAAATTAGAACAATATATTTTATCTATTAGAAAACACAACAATTCAATGCATCAGGTCATCCCTAGGAAGTCAGATTAGTCTATTTAGCTTAATGGGCATAGATATATAAAAAAAAAAAAATCAAAAAAATGCATACTTTAGCTAAGTTATAGGAAATGTATGCTCAAAATTATTCCTATAAAAATGGTAACGTTTATGATAAAGCAACCATATGAAACTCTTTCTATGTAGAGAATCAATCCAGGTGGAAAATTTTGTGGTTTTATGTTTGTTTTTTCATATCAGTGCCAAGTATCTATTTTTTTTTTTTTTGCTACCATTTACTGCTAATTAATTTACAAGCAGAAATCAGCACTAATCCTTCTGTCTGTTAAATAATTCTCAGCTACTGTGGTGAGAAAATATGTGGGGAGACATTGATTTGCATTTAGATTTTTCACATGGGTCCTAATTATCACATTATGAATGTGTGTTTACTGAGCTATAGAGTGGATAAAGCATTTTGGAGACTTGATGTCTTGTAGGTACAAAGTTAAAGCTGTTAACTGTCTGTTCTCACACTGATCGGATGCTCTTTTTGTCACTGGCTGCTCTTCATCTCTCTAAAGTGTTTTTTTCACTTAAAAGCAGATGCTGGGTGGGGTAGAGTGGGGGGGTCAAGCATCCCAGAAACATCCCAGAAATGACAGAAGAAAAATAATCAGGACTGATGAAGAGCAGGAGGAATCAAAGACTCAGACATGATGATAAAAATAGATGGAGCTGGAGACATGAGAGAAAAGCTCCACAGCTTTAAACACAGACCACGCATCCTGAGAGTGCAGTTTCCTTAGCCACAGTTTCCCTAGCAACTTTCCTTTCCCTCTCTCCAGGAGCGTGTGAAGTGTCGACTCCTGGAGGGCCGAGAGCGCCTCAGTCGGGTCCGACGCAGCGCGGCGGCCACGGCGGAGCATACAGCGGCGGGGGGCTGCGAGGCCATGGACAGACAGCTGGGGGCGCTGTCACACGCCCTGGAGCAGTGGGAGGGAGCTGCCCTAAGGGCCAGAGATGGCCTGGAGGGGGCCCTGGCTGCTGCCGAAGCTTCAGAAGAAGAGTACGAACATCTAACCGCCTGCCTTGAGGAAAGGCTGAAAGAGTTTGATGGACGTCTGAGGCAGTGGAACCAGGAGCTGGTTAAGGCTGAGGGATGGAGCAGCGGTGAAGATGCAGTAGAGGGATGGAAGATGGCTAAGGTAATATATGTTTAAATAGTCTTCATGGTAATCTGAACTCATCCTTAAACAATAGTTTATTTAGAAAAAGAAACTGACTGGAATGTTGAAATGTTTGTATGCATGCAGAGAAAGTCATTAACATTGTTTAATAAAAAGGCAAACATGTAGACACATTCTGTATAAATCCTCTGCATTCATCCAGGAGTAATTACCCATTCTATTACTAAACCCTAAAAACAGATTAGTTTGTCACATCAGCTTAACTGGGAGGAAATAATGACAGCTACAATCCCATCAGTTTCCTATAGTCTTCTGCCTCCTCCCATATCTGCCTGTTTTTGTTTTTTATTGCCATTATTTCCCCCTATCTCTCCTCTCCAAACACTTACCCTTATTGTTATTTTGTTTTCCCTCAATCTTAACTCATCTTGCTGGAAATAAAAGGAGCAGTCTTTTCTTTTTTTGGTTGCTGAGATTACGCCTTGATCCCCCCTGCTCCTCACCTCCCCTGCTGCTCTGTCGCCAACCTCAACGGGATGTTTACAGTTTGACAATTGCTCCTCATTGTCAGGGCCGTGCCAGCATGCTCAACCTCACATCTCCTCCCGAGACTTCATCTGCCGCTCCTCTCTACTGCTTTCCTCAATTTGTGGGGCTGTCAAAGAACAGAGGAGGAGTTTTTTGTCGTCCCCCTCCTCCGCTCCTTTCTCCTCCTTCCAGCAGCTTGTTTCCTGTGTCCGGCCGTGTTTTCGTTGCGCGCTTGTTTGCGTGCGTTTGAACCGTTTCTGCGTCTGTGAGGGCTGACAGCTGAATTCCACTGGGAGAGGAGTAGAGGGAGGAAGAAAATGTGTGAGAGGGTATAAGTCGAATGAGTAGGAGGAGGGCGAGCGGAGAGAGAAAGTAGTAGAAGCTTATAGGAGGAGGGAGAGGAGGAGGAGAAGAGATTAAGGAGTCCATAGGAGAAGGGAGGGAGGGTTGTTTGATACGTCAGAGAGGGAGAGAAACGAGTGAGAGTCAGAGCTTGTACATATTTCATGGGAGACGATTTCATGACTCTGTTAGTGCAGAATGTGAGGGAGGCTGAGGAGAGCGGGAGAACGGTATCCACAGCTCCTTCCTGTCACACTGTTCGAAGAACAGAAATGCCATTGAAGAAGCAACACTGTGAGTATGTGTTAGAGCGTCTAAGTATGTGGATACAAGAGGAGTGAAAAGATTTGAGCCAGGGTGTGAATAGGAATGAACAGACTGAGGTCTTTGGATTGGATCTGCCTCTCCTCAGCATGCATGGACAAACTGAGCTTGCTTCTTTCTGTTTTGCATGGTTTAGGATATTCTGGAGGACTTGCAGAGCGCTGAGTCGATGGCAGACAAGTTGAAAAGCCAACTGAATGACCTGGTTCGATACTCCAGGGACCTGGGCTCGCAGTCAGACCGAGTCACTGCCATCATTAAACAGCACAACAGGTGAGAAGAGGTTTTCTCATGCTGTGGCGTTGAAGTGAAGGACTATAAACATGTATGCATGTATGTGTTTGGCTCCAAAGCACCAAAGCTCATCATCAATATGCCATTGAGAAGTGACTCTAATTCTACGTATATTAAAATACTAAATAATAGTAAGCATAGTAATCACTCATAGTAATGACAATGTGTTCTGTATTCTAATTGAAAAGAAGAGCTTAGTTTGAATATTTGGTATATAACGGGTCCCTATCATTGAAACTTGCATTGTTCATTACTTGTTTATTATAACCAGCTTTCATTTCCACATCCGATATTGATTTTGTCATCAAGATGCTAAAGTTCAGGGAGAGTTGCTTGGACCTCATGGTTTGGAAGACGATGGGAAAATATGGTTTAATCACAATCAGTATTGTATTATTCAACAGTAATATAGTGTATAGGTGAGTTACAGTAATGTCATGGAATCCTTAATTCGGTGAAACACAGCATTTACTTTCTGTATTTTTTTCCATGTCTTGTTTTTCTTTTTTTCAATGCATCCAACTGAACTTTAGAGGGAGTTTTAAAAAGGATGCTGATTGCCTATTAAAGAGGCATTACGCAGTTTTTTAATGATACTGCTACCTGTGGCCAAAACAGAGAACTGCAGCTCTCTTCTGCTTGTTCTCATAGTATCACCTCGTACGTAAGGATTTTTGTCTTCTTTTTCACCTTATTTGGAGTTGCCATTGGTGTCGGAGATAGGCTGGATGTCTGTCGCTTCGAGTATCCACAAAAACCGTCTTAAATATAGCGATTCGATTGTTTGCTAGATTGGACCCATTTAACATGGTCCCTCTTGATGTCACATCCGCAGAACAGGGTGCAATCTTCCAACCTGAAGTACATTCAATGATAATGGGCTACAGGCTCATAAATGCGTTGGCGCTGAACTACTGAGGTGTCAGTCTTTCGTCATAAATTGTAAAATAAAAAGGCTTTCTATAAGATTTTTTCAGTAAAAACCAAAATATCTCTTTAAGTAAAAAGTTAAAAAAACAAGATACTTAATATATTTTACAAAGCCCATTTGACAATGGGACAATTTGATCCAATCCCCATCTAATCTAAACTGTATTGGTTTTGCTTTATTGCTCATGCTCTACTTTTCCATGAAGTATTTTGTAAGACCATGTGTTTTTCTGCAACTTACCAAGTAGCAGAAAATCCTTTTATGTACATCGTACTGTTTTTCATAGTTTCACTGGCCTATGAAAAAGGTAGCCTATCGCACATTTCGGGACATTTCTTATATGGCTATAAACCTCCAGTGTTTATATGTAATATCTATTAATCATTTTATAACATTTTGGATCAATTTTCTTTCACTGACTTACCGCGCAAGATACCTGAAAAGGAGGAACTGATAAGCTATTAGCTGTCTAGAAATGTACAATATTAACAAGTATGGCAAGTATGTATTGTATATCATCATCTAATTAGATTTATATATTTTAAATGCAAAGCATTTTTGCTCTTGTTTTTTGTTTGGACAATGAGTGTTAGAATTTAAAAAAGACAGATTACCTTTTGATCAGTTGATTCTCAAAGCGCATTTTGATGCAATGTCTGTCTACCATCCATGGTTCAATCTCCATGGTTACCAACTATATTCTAGGTGGACGTGTTTCATTTCCATTACCATAACAGTGCAGCATTAAAGGTGTAGTGGAGGATCTTGATAAATTTTTGACAAGACCGCCCTCTCCACTTAAAGAAAAAAATAATGCACATGCACAACCCTGTACCCATTTCTCCTCGTGCACACTCTGTTTAAAAGTTGCTGTTTGCATCGCTCATACAAGCTTAGTTTCCAGAAGAAGATTTGCAATTTTTCCACTTTCAGACTCACCACTGGTAATTAAAAAATGGGGACGAGCACTTAGGACTGCCTTACGTAAACATATCAGAATGATTGACAATTAGGAGGATCATTTTGATGATCAACCTGTAAAAAAAAAGCATCCTCCACTATACCTTTAAGATATTTGTCCTGCAAAAGACCTACTACTTTGTTGTCTTGACTAACTGATGTTAGCTGTCATCTTTCTAGCATGTCTAGTTTTATACAAAGACTTGATGGAGTCACCCAAAAAGTGAAAACACATTAGTGTCTCGTGATGGATGCACTTACAGTAGTCTGTATTTCCATCCATCCATCCATCCATCCATCCATCCATCCATCCATCCATCCATCCATCCATCCATCATCTCCCGCATGCCTGGTGCCTATCTCTGGCAGTCTATGAGCGAGAGGCGGGGTACACCCTCGACAGGCCAGTGAGTAGCAGGGTTGTCACACTCATGTTTATAAACTGTGGGAGGAAGCTGGAGTACCCGGTGAGAACCCATCCATGCACGTGGAGAACATGCAAACTCCATGCAGAAAGACCCTGGGCCAAGAATTGAACCCAAAACCTTCTTGCTGGGTGTGTGTTTAAAGCTGTGTTTAAGCTTTCATTTAATTTCTAAAGTGGGATCTCTTATTGGTTCTGTGAACCATTGCTAACTACATACAGATAACACACTGTATCTTTCATATATGATTTAATTGATAAAACTTTATTGCAAAACCAGTAAGAAAAATACTGTGAACACATTGGCTACAATATCTCTTAGCTAGTCAGGTGCCACTGTTCTAGCTTTGGTATAAAGCAGCTGCACTGGATTGCTAATGGTAGCTTGTATTCAAAAAGCAACAAACTAAGTGTAGGGCTGGACAAATAATTGTGTTAATTTGAGTTGGTGAATTAGATGATCTGCCAATGGAATGAGGATATTTACTCTTAAAATAAGATAATTAGATATACAGTAATGCACTTGAAATAAAATTATGCAGTTGCTTTTACTTATTTTAAATGTAAATTGTCTTATTCCATTGTCAGTGTGTCTCACTTATCTACTCAATTCAAGAAAAAAAAGATGATTTACAGTTTTTGCAGTGTAGTTATTGGTAATCAGCCTAAACTGGGTCTGCCACACAGAAGGGAAAGAAGAATTGCACTATTGCGCAAATCCATGCATGTGAGCTAGAAGTAAGCATTCTTTCATGCAACAGTAAACAGCACTTTGAGATTTTTCTTAATGAAAAGTGCGGTACAAATTGGATTTATTATTATTATTATTATTATTATTAAACTTCTGCGACAGTGAACGTTGGATGGAAGAGCATTTATGGTTGAGTAAAAATCAGAATCAATAAACTCAGACCTGACCAAAGCCCAACTAACACACTTAAACTTTTGGCCTGAGCCCAAAGAAAATCCAACATAGAGAATATATATATATTTTTTAAAGTATTACTGCTATTTGACACAGCCAATCTGTAAGATCCAAACCAATGTCCTGACTTTGCACCTAAGGAATGCTAGGTTCAGCCACACTCAGCAAGAACAGTGCACCTCACAGAAAGCGCTAACACAGGGTGGGTCTGGCCCAGATGTGCGTGTCATGTATCACAGCTTGGTAATACACCCAAGCTCGCAGCTTGGGTGTATTACCTACTGGACCCGACTAGTCTTCTTTTTTATACTATACAATCATGTTTTTATCCATTATCCAAGAATATCTTAATTCTTTTTTTTTGTCAAAATCAAACAGATGTAGTGCAGAGTAGATGTTATCTGTCACACTTTCTTCTGTTCTCAGTATTAGTATCACAACCAGTAATACCGTTGTTTGCATCTCCATTTATATTGGTTGCTACCAGATGAAGAGTTCCCACATTAACTAAACTTAATGCAAATGATTCAAGCTTAGCAGAGGAAAAACAGCAGTAATAATTTTGCACAAAAAAGATGCACATAGCAGGTTGCCTGCATGCTGGTGACAGTACACAAGTAGTGAGCCCATGTGTTCATCACAGAGATGTGTGTATGATGTTAATTTGGCAAAGACTGATAGAAGCCGTAGAGCCACTGTTTGCTAAGTGACATGTTAGCATTTTCTTTACTGTGTTTGTGTTACTCTGTGGTCAGAGTTCTTCACTGAAAAATGCACAAGCATTATCTGATGTGCAGAAAATTAATTAAAGGTAGTGTTCATATATTTTCAGTCTTTTTTGATTAAATGTTAGGGTGTGTTCATGAAATAACAAAAGAATGAGCTGAGGTAAACTTGCCTGAAATGCTTCTGCATTGAATTTTGTTGGAGCGTCGATTTGCAAGCACAAGCTTCTATAATTGTGTCGCTTGTCAGCCTGACACTGACTTGGCCTGTGCACTTGTTGCACCTGCCCTGAATTAAGCTCTGAAAAGAAGAATGAACAGAGAAAAAGAAGAGTCCAAGGATGAAGATGAAGGAGGAGCAAGCTGCCTCCTTTTTTTGTAGCACAAACCAAATTTTGTCTGTCACCACATAAAAAAAAAACTGCCTCCTCCAGACATGCCGTTCAAGCTCTCATCACTCCATTAAAACTCAAGGTTGTTTCTGTGTCCATTTAGGTGTTTGCCTTTTGTTTTTTTACATCTCCCTGTGGACTCTAGAGTATGGTTAAACAGCTGGCCACCTCTTATCTACTGTTCAGCGGTCTCCCCCCTTTGATAACCTACTTTAATCTACACTAGGGGTGAATGGTAGAGATTTTTATTTTTGTTTTTCTATATATAATTGTTAGCAATCTACTGTAAACTGCTTTCTTTTGCTTGTAAACGATACTCATGTTAGTGTATTGTACAAAATACAGAAAGTCATTTTGATTCCATGTATATAGGATGCTTAAAAAGTTTACTTAACAATTATATAGATATAAATGTACTTGTATTGGTATGTTTGTATTTTTTGCATGTTCAGTTCATGGCTCAATTGATAACAAATCAATAATATGGGTAAGATGTAAAAAATATATATTTATATTCTTTATTTTTACCTTTAATTTGCATTTTGGGTTCACTTGAGGTTTTAATTTCCATACTTGTTGACATTCTTATTACTATATAGATATATCTTTAGCCATTTTTCACTTCCACATGTGTTGCATTTAATTGCCTTAAGAAGATGAATTGAGTTTAATATATATCATGCTTCAGCAATGCATTAAAACATGTTTTATGTGTGTTCAGCTGATGTATTTTCATTTGGACATGATGGATCATCTGGAAATCTGGCATGATTATTACATTTTCTTACGGATTTCATCATCAGTGATTTGATGCAAGCGCTACTGAATGTTGCAGCAATCTCCTTTATAACAAGTCTCAGTCTCATGCTACACTTCACATATCTTCTAGCAAAGATTCTCTCCCCTACCACACTTCGTAATGCCAATTATTTGACTACTTGGGAGCATTATTATACCATTGTTGGGCATACATAGAGCTTTATTTTTAAGCTCTTTAGTTTAATGTATACTTTTTCAATTAAATTAATATTTTTGCTCTGCACAACGCTAAATGTTATATTGATGCATTTTATTTAATTTTTAATGAATCGTTTTGTTAAAAGAGTTGTAACTTTAGCGAGCTGACTGGATTTGATTTCACATAACTGATCATTGATGCAGTTGTTTGCATGCATAAATAGTGGAAAATTTTGTGATGGAAGCCTAATGTTTAAGAACATGGGAAAGACTTATCAACAGATGGAAAGAGCTGCAATACCAAAACCAATGACTGGCATTGGTCTACCTTACAAAATATTTTATCTTTTTTTTTTAAATAACACTTTAACTTAAAGGTATTGGACCAAATACTAACCCATGCAGATCATTTCTTACAATTTTATTCAGTAAATAGGTTTTTTTCTTTTACGTTACAGATAGTTCCATAGTATTGAAGAATAATAATATAACAATATAACTATATATATATATATATATATATATATATATATATATATATATATATATATATATATATATATATATATAGTTAAAGTATTTTACAGTATATCCAGAGCAAGTGTTCAACTTGCAGAATTTCATTTTATTTACCGTATGTCTCTATTTGTTCTTTAACAAAAGAACAATGAACCTGAGGCCCTTCTAAGTTCTACTTCCTCACCTCCATCTCACACGTTTTCTTACAGAAGCAGGCTGTCATGCCTCGTTCTCGCCATCATGTCACCCCTGTGAACTCTTGCCCCTGTCATATGTTGCCTCTCACCCCCCTCCCATGTGATGCCCGTTTTCCACCATCCCCCATTTTTCGCTCCTTGCCCCAGCATTCGTTCATTCCACTTCACCCACTTTGCCATTTCTCCACCTGGAGGTTTCTCAAAAACAACCACATGCCTTTCCTCTGTTGGGCTTGAACAATATGATAGATACGCACACGGTCCTTCTTTTGATGAACATGGAGTAAATAAACAGCAATTTCTCTGTTTTTAGCTTCCCTTAAAAAAAAAAAAAAAAAACTTCCCCATGAAGATTGCAGCCCGTGAGCAACATGTTAAAGATTTTTCTCTCTTGTTTCCCCGCAGCCTCAGTCTCCGTGCATCCCGGGAGTGTCAAAATAAGGAGCGCCTGTTGGAGCAGAGGTTCCGTGCAGCGCTGAGAGACTTCCAACAATGGCTGGTCAATGCCAAAATCAGTACCGCCAAATGCTTTGATGTGCCGCAGACTGTCACAGAGGTCTCCACCGCTTTGCAGAGAATCCAAGTAAGCAAATCGGGAAACATTGCAGCATTTTCTTGTAATTATATGTACTTTATTTACAAGTCTTGCATGCAGAATTTAAATATACTTCTTTTAAACTATTCAATTATTGCACTGATTTTGTTTGTCTGCATTTTGTTTGTCTGCATGTTAAATATGCAGTGCACAGAAAATAAAAAAATAACTGATCATTGTATGAATAATGAATATTAAATTTAAATATTCAATAACCTGTTTAGCATTTGTGAGTTGTAGGACAGAGATCACTGACCCACAGCCTGGAAAGCAGAAACAAAACATTACCATTTGTTGTTACTGCTATGAACTAGCAGTCAGCTTGAATGTAGCAGTTATAGTTTCAATCAATATCTGTTGATGTTAAAGTCTGGTGGCATTAAATTAACCAGCTGCAAGTATTTTTCTCCAATACTTAGAGAAGATCAGAAACTTTGACGAGGCTGCAAATTGATTGCTGCTGGCTACATGCTAGAGCTGTGCTTTATTTAACAGTGTGTGCAATATGAGATCTACAAAGAGAGGAATAATGATGTAATCAATGTGTAATCAATCCACTTTCAATAGCAGCTTACTCACAGGGATGACTATTTGAATATGCCTCCTTTAAACTAGCCTCATGTGTGCTTGTTAAACTAGTGGGATTTTTATTAGCTGCAATTAGTTAGAAATGTGTAAATGTGCTTTAAAGAGATGAAGAAGGGCTTCGCAGCAAGTCCCTGTGCCATTGTAGTCCAATTTTAATATTTCTGGAAGACTTTGGCACATCTGGGAGCTTCCTTAGAGCGCATCGTGGTTCTGGCTCAGACTCAGGAGCTTATCAGTTGAGGTGGACGCCTCCACATACCTGGAACCTGACAGTTAATTAACTCTCAGTCGCCTGACCAAATCCACACACATTATAAAAGCATCAAAGAAGTGGCGTTTCTCCTACTGCTTAACTCTGGTTTGAAGACGGTAAGGTGAAATTTTACCCTCATGAGTAATTTAATTAGTAGGCATGAGGTCACAGGATAAGGTAAGCTAAGACCGCAGATATGTCAAAGACAGTTATTTTAAAAGATCATATTTCTCCTTCTAGATGTCTAAAGAGTTACCTTTCAACATTTTCACCAGTTTAAAAAACATCTTTAGGGGAGAATATGGAGGATAGAGGAATACTGAATCAATCATGTTTTATTTATTATTGACTTGGTGAGGAATGTGGAACAATGTTTCCACATGGCTGACCTCCAGGAGGGTCGGCGTGGGAGGGGCGCGGGGCATCCACTGTGTCATGCTTAATTGGTGTTGTACAGTTACACTAGCGGGCTCAGAATGGTGGTAAGTGGTTAGGTGGTATATGAATGTAGAGCAGACAGACTAAACAAAGAAAGCGAGCGATAAAGAGATAAAGACTTTCCGAGCTCATGTTTGAAGAGGCTGTAGCGGTAGTCTCTGTTAGCGATGTGCTGACTGCACAGATGGTGGAGCCGTCCCTGCTGCGCGACTGTCATCAGCTCAGCTCTGAGGGAGGGGTGGCTGCGGAGGCTGCGTGTGTGCCTTTGTATGCGTTTACATTGTCAGTGGGTAGCTATGTATGAAACTAACATCTTTCAGGGTCACTGACTTTGCTCATCTCTGATAGCATCGCTGTGCTTCTGCAAGGAGAACCGCTAATGTCTTCAACTTCCCAATATATGTCCTGAAATTCCAAATAAAGATTAACAAAGTATATCAGCAAATATTTAAAAAAGGAACTGAATAAGTTATCATTTAGTCAATTTTTCTTTCATTTCCCTTTCACACCACCCTCCTTTTGTATAAACAGTGACAGTTCCTTTGTCTTTCTTTATGCATCCCTTCAGGAGTTCTTGAGTGACAGGGAGAACGGCCAGGCCAGACTCAGTACAGTTGGAGCCAGCGGGGAGCTCCTGATGGCCGTCGTGTCCAAAGATAGAGTGGAGGGAATCAAGGCCAAGGTGGCAAATGCCCGGGAGGACTGGAAGAGCCTAATGAGTAACCTGCAAGTGAGGGAAGATGCTCTCAAGGTTGGTTTTATTTGGGTGCCAGCGTACTTTGATTATGACTTCAAGAAAGAAAATCTGCTGTTCATTTGAAATAAATGCAGACCATCAGGGTAATTTATTTCATTTCCACCTCAGAATAGACGTTTGTGCAATTTTTGTGCAATACATTGAGATTTTTCTAATGCTAAAATATTTTCCAATAGTGTTTCAGAAAGTACTCCTACCCCTTTGACTTTTTTTCATGAAAGCTACATCCTTCAATGTGTTTATTAGGATTACAACAATAGACCAAAACAATGTAGTTTCTTCTTAACAGAATGATCCAATTTATGTCACATGTTTTGTGTTAGATTTAGCTGGGTACTTTGACTAGGCCTTGAAACTCTTTGATCCAACCATTACCTTAGTATGCTGTATGTATAGAGCTGTTGGATCATGATATTCCAGCCAAGTCTCAAGGCTTATGTAGTGTTTTGCATCCTATATCCCAGCAGTGCAATGCATTTAACTCAGTTGCAGAAACTCTGTACCCACTAATGGAAAACCTCCCCACAGTATTATACAACCACCACCCTGTTTAATTTGAGCTATGGTGTTTAAGGCGACTACTTAAATCTCATCAGAGATCCTTCTTCTGATTACTCTCTGGCCTTTGTTGCTTGTGGCAAAATTTTTCTTTCATCAAATACTTTCTTCTTTCCATTTCTTCAACAGAGGCCAGAATTATGCAGTTTACAATTAATAGCTGTCTTGTGACCAGACACCCCTGCCTGGTCTTTAGATCGTTGAATCTCCCTCAGTGTTGCTAAGGGCCTCTTGGCTACCACTTGGAATAAATGCTGTTTTTGCCCAGACTCATTTAAGCTGGTCATCTTAATTCTGCAAAACTATTCATTTGCAGTAGATAGTTTGTGCTATCTTATTTTATTAAACTTCTCTTTGTTTGTCGCTGTTGTTGTATGCTATGTTTTTCCAATCTTTGTAATTTCGTTTGTTCACTAATGTTCAGGCATCTGAGACCTTCACAATACAGCTGTGCTTATACTGAGATATATATACACACTGTACATGTACTAATCAGGGGGAAACTAAAGGTGTTTTGGTCTAACGTATTTTATTAGATAAAAAGATAGATTTAAAGAGGCAGTTCAGTTTTAAACTCTTTTTAAATGTATTTTTTTTTTTCAATTACATAAATAATGGGGATGTCTGATATCATCTAAAAGGTTTATATCGGAATATGATGGCCTTAATCTAAAATCTCAGATATAAGCTAACTGATATGATTACTTTCCTTCCATCTACTTTTATTCGTATTAGCTCAACATCAGTATCGGTTAATACTCAAAGCTGCAATATCTGTATCATATCGGATATGAAATATTTGTATCAGGACAACCCTGCAGATTTCATTTCAGAGTATAATGGATATATGTTTCCTGTGCAGTGAGACACTTCTGTGCTTGTGCTACATTTTCTAGAACCTTCAGTCTCAGATGTCTGAGTTTGAAGCCAGTGCTGAGCCCCTACAGGACTGGCTCAACAGCACAGAGTCCAGAGTCCAGGAGAGTACGGCCCGCCTGCACGACCTTCCGACCAAGAAACAGGAGCTCAGCAAACTGCAGGTGTTTTGTCGCCCAAAGTCCTTTTCATACACTTGCTTGAATAATGTTCTCTGATGCATTACAGTTTGCTTTCAAAAAAAATACATTACTGTTATAATTATTCTGGATATTCATGAGGCCATATGTTAGTTTTGCATCATTTCATGGTCACTCCTGCAACAATTCATTTCATATATCTTGAGGGCATTATTAATTCAAATGCATCTGAAACAGTTTTATACAGAGAGGGAGCTTTTCATATTTCTCTTTCAAGCTGGTATCCCTGGTATTTTCTCATTTCCTGTTTTCATTTCAACAAGCCTTGTCTTTACAACACAAAGTGAATATTAAGTAGGGTAATAAATGGTTACCTCTCCATTAGATATGAATCCCTAAAGTACAAATTTGAAATCCTTAGGGAGCAAAAGAAGGACCTAATTACATTAGCTGAGGACCAGTGGATCAAAATAGAGCTGCATCTTGACACAATAGTCAGAGGAGAAGTCCAGAAATCTAATTAATTCTCCTTTCTGTCAGAGCTGAAGTGCTGCGTGGCTAAAAGGCCTTTTTTTCTAGAAGCGATAACAGTGTCTGGCAGATACAGGAGCAGAAGAGAGGCACGAAGCATCAAAGAGATAAAATTGACAACATAGAAAAACTATATCAAGCCCATCTCAAAGCACTGTGCTTATCATTGTGTCTATTTTTGTATTTGTTCTGCTGCTGCTACACCTCCCATCGTTGCCTTTTGTGTGTCCCTGCCAGTAATTACATTTCTGCACCCCCCCCCTCGCAGCACCTGAAATACAATACAATACAATACTTGCAGGCTACAGTGTTTGTACCTGTGTTGGTCCTCTTTATCCTGTCACTACAGTACCCCCCACCTTCAGATTTTTCCCTGTGCTGTACGGCGGTGTCCAAATGGATCACAGCATTTCTATTTTAAAGGGGAACATCTACCGGAACATTTGCTGATGTTTGCATTATGGTTTTCTATGTTCTGAAATGGTTATGTTACTTTTTTTTTTTGTCACTCAATCCTGCATCCCACTCTGCTCCTCATGTGTCTGTCGAGAAAAAAAAAGCACTTTTTTTAATATAACATAGCTAATATTGACTCCTTTGCAATCTGTCACTCTCAAACTTGAACTACTAACATCACGTTGCTCCGTCTCTCTTTTACCTTCCCTCCTCTTACGCTGTAAAGTCTGTGCTGGAGGAGATGGCTAGTCGAGAGGTAGAGCTGGACAGGCTGAGGGATAAAGCTCATCATCTCTGGGAGGGACAAGCAGCTGGAAAGGGCTTCGTCCACAGAGTATCTCAGCTGTCAGCGCAGTACCTATCCCTCAGTAACCTAACCAAGGTAACACTGCTTCCACTCTGCAGCCCCGTATATTCTTACTCATGCCTTTGTTGCAGAAATGCAGCAGCATGCTCAGCATGATTCGTGTTCTGCTAATAGGAATCATTCAACTGTCTGTAAATAAATACTTTTCACTGTGTTTACTGTTAAGTCATGCAATGTCGCAATATTTTATCAATGCATGTCTGGTAAAAACTTTTGCTGTACAGGTTTGGAACTTTGATGGTTATATTCTTAACTACTGGTTTTGTGGAGCTTTGACCTGCCGTTACCAAGTTTGGTCATTTCCTGTTTTCTTTATTTTATATAAAAGGATATAAAAATGTAAATTAATGTTTTCTCTTGGTTCCATCCCTTAACTAGTCTTTTAATATGTTTTAGGAGGTTGGGTGATGTGAAACGGTCCATGTGTACAGAGGCAAAAAACTTATCAATATAAATTGTTTTCAGCATTTTATAGAATTCATAATCGAAAATCTTATTCTCATTGGAACCCATAATGGAATTATTTGCCGGACACTCGGCCTGGAATTCACATAAATAGAACACGGACAAAAAAGATTAAAACACATGGAATTTATAAGACACATCGAGAACAAAAGTGGATAACTAGCTAAAAAACATTCCTGAGGAGAAGTATGAAAATATGTACATGGGGATGTTGTAGCCTATGAACAGACATTGGTCATGAAATTGACTATGAGGTGTGGCGATTGCTTTTTACAGCTTTGTCGGAGGAAGCAGTTTTTAAGCCTGTGTGTTCTGGCTATAATGTTTATAATTTGTTTAAAACACAAAAAATCATAAAGAGCAAGAACCACAGCAGTTATCTGAGCCACCATCTTCCCAGGTAGTGATTGGTAACATAGCTAAATAGCAGACTCCATGTGTATTCTTTCTTTTACCCCGACTTTTCAAAAGGCTCCAAGTAGGGCTGGTTGATTTACTGATAAAATCGATGTATAAAATTTTCTATGCACAAGAATTTCATTATTTAAGTTTTGAATATCCAACCAGTTATTTTTCAGGGTTGAAAAACCATATTTTATTAGTTAAAATTTTATTTTTTTGGTGCCTCTCTACAAATAAATATCTAATGTAATTTAGCAGATCATACTAGTCCAGCTAACCTCCTCAGGGTTCCTGAGGTTGCAGCTTCATCAACATGAAAAAGGGGAAAAAGAATGATTGAAATAAAAGCTAGTTTTTGAAAGTAGTTTATATCATTTGCCATTTTTGTTATAAAATTTATTGAAGTTAAATAATCATTAAATGAAATTTGATAGTTAAAAATCTGAGATTCAATTTTTAAGCCATATTGCCCAGACCTAGCTCCAAGCTTTCAGATTAATGAATATATCATAAAGGCAGAGGTTGGAACCTCAAAAAGATTAAATTTAGCAGTTTGTTAGTACGCTGTTTAACCTTGCTGTTATGTGCTGAAGTTCTTACTCTCTCTCATTTACTTACAGCCTTAGTGAACCACTTGAACTTTGACTTATTGTTCCCTTTTAAGTGTTTTCTTGCATCTCTGCTCTGCTTCTGGTCTCATCCTTAAACATCTCATTAAGACCAAGAACAGCTAACATCGGTTCTTCCAGCTTTACTAAGAATTTCCTTACAGTTTGGCGTTGTTGTCAGAAAAAACTTGTTAGTCTGATGTGTTCGCTGTTTGAACAACATTGATGCTGTGAATATCCAGCCAGTCATTTGGCATTGGTGAAAAATCATGTTTTATTAGTTGATATTCTAATTGTTTTGGTGCCTCTCTAGAAAGAAATGTCTGAAGTAATTTACCAGAGAATACTAATCCATCTAACCTCCTTAGGGCTCTTGAGGTTGCAGCCTCATCAGCATAAAAGGGCCAATGCTTTGTAGTTCACCTTTATTCACCAATTCACAGCTAAAGGAGCTGCAGTGTGCTGCTGCTTTGAAGATGACCTTTTTGAGGCTTTCATTACATCGACTAGACTCTTACCATTTATTTGATGTATTGTACTGCAAACATAACACTCACCAAAAACCACTTGCTCTACAACAATGAGAGCACCCTCACAATGATGAATGGGTTTTTATCAATTTTACTGGCTACACTGGAGTATTATTTTAGTTATTTTCCCTGACAGAAATTGGAAGTACAAATTCAGCCATTCAGCTCTGCTATTCGCTTTCATTTAGCCTGTTCTTCAGTTTCTTGGATATTCAAAGTATTGTACAACAGACTGCTGCAAGATTGGGGGATGAGCAGTTGTCTGGAGACTTCTCTTGGCAAAAACAAACAAACAGAGCAAGACGAACAGTCGATTGTAATTCTTATATCTTGTAGTACTAATATAGGCTTTGAAGAGTATGTTTACATTGTTGCACCCTCATATCTGCAGGATAAAGCCTCCAGGATAGAGCGCATAGTCGGGGAGCACCAGCTCTTCTCTCAGGGGCTTAAAGAGCTTCAGGACTGGGTGTGTGAGGCACAGAGGGTCATAAGTACGTGCACTTCCACTACTAAGGACAAGGGTGTACTGGAGGACCGCATGTTGCAGCTCGAAGTAAGAGGATATGGGATCGATCAATTTCTGCCAGCTCTCTGCCAGGGACCCTTTCTGCCAGTTAAATATTTATAATTATAATATTTAACATTTTTATTTATAGGCAAATAAAAATGCCTTAAGTTGTTCTTAAGATTTTAAAATACTAATATATATAATAATAATATAATGTTAAAAGATATATCTGACCAAACCTGTGTAATCACCGACTAATGATGATTTTTTTTTTTGCAGATATGTAAAGCTTTTTAGACATTAAGTTGTTTTGCATTCACTTACTGTCCATCTGTAGGCATTACTTGCATCCCGCCAGGAGCGTGAAATCCAGCTAAAAATGCTTTTGACCCGAGGCGAGGCAGTCCAGAGAAATACTTCGGCTGAAGGGGTCCCAGTGATCCGCAAACAGATCCAAGACCTCAAGGACTCTTGGGACTCGTTGCTCTCTGCCTCAATCCAGTGTAAAAGGTGAGCAAAGACCAATTATTTTCATTACTGAGACTCATCGGTTTGATTCGCGTCCTCATCGCCGTGTTAACTTCTACAGTCAGCTGGAAGGATGTCTGTCACAGTGGACCAGCTATCAGGAAGACGTGGAGCAGTTTGTGCAGTGGATGGATCGAGTGGAAGAGACACTGAGCTGCTCGGACAGACAATATTCAGAGATGAGAGACAAGACTGCCAACCTGGGAAAGATGAAGGTATTTCCTGCAAAGGCTAGCCTAGAAATGTCAGAGCAGGTTTATAGATTAAAAGGTATATGAACGAAAAAAAGAGAGAAAGAATTTCAATCAATTTATATTTACTCTTGTTTTCTTCTACTTCTTCAGTTGTTTTTTTTATCTAACATAAATGACAGTAAAATACATTTTATTTGTTTACAGATTGTCCACATTTCGCAATGCAGGGCACATTACTGTTTACCCAATGCTTGTCATAAGATTGATCATTTTTTTGTTGATGCGAAAAAGCAAACAAACCAAAAAATATATATATACATATTCAAATCTTTCTATTGCAATGTTTAAATTAATGCCTCTCGTCTGTGCATTTATATTCTAGCTTCTCTATGAGGAGGTTTTGAGTCACAGCAGTCCTCTGGAGACCATCGCCACAAAAGGCTCCAACATGGCGGAACATTGCACAACTCAGCAGGAAGTGCAACAACTGCAGTGTAGATACAACAACCTGAAAGAAAAGGCTAAGGTACCGATTACCAACAACTGGTTGGATTTCTGCTCTAGATTTTCAAAACAACATGGCTTTTGTCTTATTTTGTAACTCTGTCAAAGTATTTATTTTGACCATCTGTGACCTCACAGAGCGCTGTTAGCAAGGCCAAGGAGCTGGTTATGGTCCATCAGGAATATCAACGCGGACTACATGTGTTTGAGGACTGGCTGGAGCGTGAACAGGCGTCTTTGGCATCGTCTCATTCAGAAGGAAACGTGGACATGCTTGAAAAAACTCTGCAGCAACTACAGGTAGACATAGATTTGGTGTCTAAATGTGCACACAATTAGGAATCTTTGTAAGTTAAACTAAACCATCAACCAAAAAAAATGTCCCTAAAGTTAATTATTGTATTTGTTTTATAGAGCTTACAGGAAAGCTGCTCAAAGGGTCAGTCTTTGCTGGCTTCGGTGCTGACCAGCAGAGAAAATGTTATCCCCTGGGGCGTCCCTCAGATTGAGGACCGGGCTCTGGACACCGCAAAACGAGAATGGGCGTCCTACCAGTGCCGCCTGGAGGAGACTCAGGCCCAGCTGCACTCTACGCTGACAAGGCTGAGGCAGATGGGTCACAGGTTCCTGAACCTGGCTCAGTGGTTGGAGGACACGGAGAACATGGCCAGCATCAGAAACAACAGGAGGTCGGACAGAAACACCAAGCAGGGTCAGCTCAGGAAACTCCAGGTCAAGATTTTTGGCTTTATCATTGATTTTTTTTATTTTATCATTGAATCTGAATATCTGCATAGCATATCCTATGTATAGTCTAGTCAAATGATTTTCACGGCTCTTTTCCTTCAAATAAGCTTTCACCTAAATGTACTTATTGGTATGGTAATTATTGGGAACATTATTTGCAGTGGCTCTTATTAAAGGTGTACAATAGTACACCCAGCAGACACCCCGGCAGACCAAACCAGCGCATTCAGCTCTGCAAAGAACTCATGCTCTTCCTCAACACTGAAGTCCTCAGACATTTTTCTTTCGTTGTTTCTTTCTTTGCACAGGTAAACAGCACATTTCTTCTTCTACGCTTGCATTATCGGCAGAGCAGACGCTGAACGCGCACGTTCTTCCGGTTTGGTCTGCCGGCTTCCGTAGAATCGTGAGCGCGCATGGGGGCGCTATTAGGAAATCCTATACACTACTGTTTAGGCTCTAAAACGTTCTAAATGACTTCGTTTCGAGTAAATTCTGGATGCTACCCACTCAGGACACTTGGATTACATTGGACGAGCAGTATGGAGGAATATTGACACGTTTTTGTGGACTTTTATGGACCTTTCTGTCTCGGGCGCCATAGACCTCCATTATTTGAATGTCAGCAGACAGCAAGAAGCCTCCCAGATCTCCAGATGCATTTGAGATATCAAAAAAGTACTCCAGAGTTTTGTTCAGCATGGGGGTGAGTAGAAAATGAAGGCTAATCATGTTTTGGGTGTACTATTCCTTTAAGGGGTATCAGAGTAAAGAGCTGGTTATACTCCCCACAGCAGTGTGTCGCAGTGAGCTTCATGCAGACATTTTTGATTTATGCTCAATCTTGAGAATGGTCTGCGCTATACACTATGGCTATAGATAAGGCCGAGGCGGTGAGGAAATGGGGGCAAGTTTGTGCGACAAGGGAGGGACATGAGGGCGAAAAAGAGCGGGGATTCAGGTGGAAAAACGGTCCCAGCGTTCTCGCACACTTCGCTCTTCTAGTTGTTCCCACTTCACGAGTTGTTTTCCGCAGTTGCAATCATAAAAACAAAACAAGCCGGACTCCTGTCTGTGGCACTGTCTGCGGTCACCTACAATTTGGGTGAGGTGCAGCAGAGTGTCTGCGGAGGGGGCGGGCACATCTTTGTGTTCACTGAGACACCTACGCAGACGACCTAGTTTCAGAGTTTAAATCAGCCTTTAGAGGTACTGAGTACAAATGCCCATCCCTCTTTTTATCATTTCTGTTTGTAAAACAAACAATCATGCAGTGCTTTGTGTTGATCTATAGCTCTCAAATCTGATCAAATATTCCAATTAGAATAGAATAGAATAGAATAGAAAATCCTTTTATTGTCCAACAATGGGGAAATTCTGGTGTTTACAGCATGAAAAACATTATCGAAAAAATGGTCACACAAATATGAACCTTAGGAAAATGAATAAGAATTACATAATCGTAAAGAGATACAAGATAAACAATAAAATACTCTACTGTGTTTTTACTATATAAATACTATGCATCTGGAAAATAAAAAAATCCATATCAGCTTTGGACATTTTCATAGTAATGGATATGTGAAAAATAGCAGCAACATCAGAGGCAAAAAAAATGACAGAGCATTTAATTTAACTGACTAAGGTAGAAACTGTGCTAAATATATATAGATATATATAATCTTACAGCTGCTGGGAGGAAGGATCTGTGATAACGCTTCCTGGTACATTTAGGGTGAAGCAGTCTGTCGCTGAAGGAGATTTCCAGTTTAACAACAGCTTCAGGCATGGGTTGGTAGACATTAACCAATAGAGAAATATATAATAAATAAATATATTTAAAAAAAATTATATATATATATATTTTTTTTCTTATTGAATCTCTACATATTTTTGTGTGTTTATGAATCAGATTCCCCTTTTGACTGACAGCCACCCCAATTTACTCATTCACAGTACGTGCACTGAAGTATAAAAACCAAAGAGGTGTTTTTTTCCCCTGTCAGATAGAAAGCAATGAAGCATCCTCCAATTCAGCCTGAAACACACTGCTTATTTAAAAACTACAGCATTCCTCAACTTGGTTTCCTCTCCTGAGAAATTTCCTTTGCCTATCACAATCTATGACAGCTTTAGTGTTTTCTATATTTGTGAAAGGACCAGGAACACCTTTAAAGATTTGATGCTACATGTTTTTTTTCAATCTATATACGATCTCCTTTGTAGCTGGAATTTCTATGGTAATAAATGAAAAGTTTCTGGCAGTATTTGAATCGATTTTAATTAACATGGTTTGTTTACCTCTATCCTTGTTATTAGGGCTATCTTGAGGCAGTCCTTGCTCGGCAGGGAGAAGTCGATGGTCTCTCATCTCTGGCTCAGCAGGTTCTGGAGGAAACCTACATCAGTAGTCGCATTAGTGTAACGGCCACCCAGCTAACGGCCCGCTACCACTCCCTTCTCCTCAACATTCAGGTTCGATACTCTCATATGTCTGATGTTCATAGCTGTAGGCTCTTGAGTTTCTAAGCTCCTTGTATGTTATAAACAAAGATTTTGAGATTTTTGTTTGGTTTTTTTAGTTGCGTATTATCTATCTTGACATATTCACCACATAACCCGCTGTTTTTGCTTCCATTAAGTTTTAGACCCTTTTTTTAGTAACATTACTGCAGGATTTTTTGTATTGAAAACTGTATGCACAAATGTCTGAAATGTTTTTGGAAGACGTCATTATTTCCTTGTGAAACTCAAACACAAAATGTAAATGTTAAATAACAAAATATTTAAAAAGTTTATGTTCATTTATAAAATTTAAGTATCTGATTGTATAATGAAGTGTAAAAGAACAATTTTACAAAAGCAATATTTTTTGCACCTTTATACAATTTTAAGTGTAACTATTTAACCGTATTATGGTTGTCTTTCTTATAATCTTGCAAATTTTTGGTTACATAAACACTGAGAGGCATATTTTTTACCTTTTTTTCCTCATATCACATATAATGGAAAACACGCTGGCAGAGCCATTATCTTTTTGTATGAATGTCAGGAAATCAAGTCTTTTAACAATACCTCTGATATGTTCACATACATAATCCTGACTTTAAGCCACTTGGGACATTTTTTTAGATGTCCTCTCAAATTGGCCATTCCCTCTAAAACAATTTGGCAAGGAAATTAAGAACCAGTGAGTGAAAGTAGGAACACTGGTTGTAATGGAGCAGTGCTTGTGCCAGAACCCCTACTTTACACGTCCCTACTGAGTTGACACTGTGACTGCAAATGCTGCACTGTATATCAACTGATGACTATATAAAAGGGAAAAATAAGCAAACAGATGGAGTAGTATTATTCACTCAGCGGAAACTTTATGAAGTACACCTTTTTTTACACTTGGGTTGACATGTTTTTTTTTCTTTAAAACTCTCATCATTTTGTTGCATAAGTTAAATCTATCCATCCTTTTTCCATTACTCTTATCCCAGCGTGCTGGTGCCTATCTCCAGCTGTCAATGGGCAAGAGGCAGGGTACACCCTGGACAGGTCGCCAGTCTATCGCAGGGCAACACAGAGACAAACAGAACAAACAGCCATTCATGCACACACGCACACCTAAGGAGAGTTTAGAGTAACCAATTAACCTAACAGTCAGGTGTTTGGACTGTGGGAGGAAGCCGGAGTCCCCAGAGAGAACGCACACATGCTCAGGGAGAACATGCCGGGAATCGAACCCGGAACCTTCTTGCTGCAGGGCAGCATTGCTACCTACTACGCGGTAGACGCCCATAAAGGTGGAAGATCCTTGCTGAACAAGGATCTGATGCCTGTTTAGTTTACTGAAATACAGTTAACTCACTTTATGTTCAACAAATCAAGTTAAAATTATTTCAGGTTTTTGATTTTTAGTGTGTTGCTTTAAGATGAGGGGTACATGGTGCTATTAACAGGTGGATGGCATAGGCAACAGGCTAACTGAGGCTGTCAGAATAAAAAAAAATCCTAGTGTGATAAGATTTGATTTTTTAGATCTAGAATCTATGCATGTGTTTTTAAAATCTTTGGTTAACAACTTTAATGCTGCAGGGTAATGCTGATCTGGAATTTAAAATAGTTAAGGATTTCTATCCCTGCAGTAACACAAATGCTGTGGAATATGAAGGCTGGGCTTCTTTTTTCTTTTCTAAAAACCTTACCTGATTTAATTGGATGAATTAAAATAAAACAGCTTGAGCAAGTCACAGCTAGCAGGGATTTTCTATAGTGTTCCTAATGCATTTGTTTTGTCAGGTACCCATCTGAACTGCTGTGTACTCTCTGCCCACAGTGGGCCTTTTCACACATGGCTGTGCTCTCACTCTCTCACCATAAAATCCACTCCAGTTTGGGCTTGTGTTTCTGTAACACCCTGCTGAAGGAGCGCTGGGACTTACCTTTGGGATCCCAGCTTGTTTTGCTCTCAGTGCTCAGATCTGGCCTCTCTATTTGTCTCTCCCTCTGGGGGGGCTAAAGGAAAATCGATGGGGCTCTCCTGGTCAGGGACTAAAGCTGTAATTATACGCTGCAAACTGCAATCTCACACCTTGAATCAGGAGTGGAAAAGATTTTTTTGTGCTACATTGTTTTTATTTCTATCTTTAGTAACACCTCTGAATGTATGTGCTTGATCCACATTTACCTCCACTAAATGCTACCACTGAACACCTCTTATCGCTTACATTGACCTAGGCTTGCATTTACTTACAGTCACACAGGTAATACCTCCTCATCCTGTGTATTCCTGTAATTATCCTGCAGGAAGTAGGGACCATATGGGCTAGAGGTGGAAAGCTGTTACCTCTTTCCACTCAGAAAGAAAAGGTGTACACTCAGCACTCTCAGCTAATTGGAGCTTCCACACTGCAGGATTTGCAAGTTAAGTGAATGATGTGTCAAATCTACAGGAAGCTTCCTGTATCCTTGGGGTGTTATTGACTCAAAACCTCAGTCAAGAAGATATTGCTTCAAGGATATAAAAGAAAAGCCCATGCTGCTTTGTAGTGAAACTATTGACATTGAGCAGATGAAAGAGGAAGGAGGAAAGCAGGTATTTTCTGTTTTGATGCCGGATCAGAGGATTTGTAGTCCGCGGTGACCGATGTTGGACTGTTGGGGAAAATCTCACATCTTAAAAGAAAAATAAATGTGGCATGTTTCCAGAATTTTCCCAGAAGTCACACCCTGAAAAATCTAATAATTCAAACCACTCAAAAAAAAGAAGTGAACTGTTTCAAGGTCCGTTTATTTTATTTTTTTTATATATATATATATACCCTTTTTCTTTTCCTTAGCTCAGAGTTTCTACACACATTTCAAATCTTTTATTAGTGACTTGATGTGATAGCAATGCAAAGCAGTGAATAACTGGAGAGTAGAAAAAAGGTCTTTACTGTTAAAAATCTAAAAATATATATTTGTATCCAGACTTTGTAGAAGCACTGTTTCTATAGTTACACCTGCAGTATAACTCTACTAGCTTTACATTTATCAGTATGTGTGAACACTAATTTATAATTCTTTGCACCAATTCAGGTGTTACTTTTATGTTAATCTAACATATATAATGCTTTAATGCAAAACATATTCAAGTGTTGTGTCCCTGCAAACATGGCTTGTGAAAAACTACTAAAAAGACTTCCTATTAGCTTTTTTCTTTCCGCACTTATATTTATGAAGCTTTTCATATATTTATCTAACCTAATTGAGAAGCTGCTCCCCCTTGTTACCAATACCTTTTTGGCTGCTTTGATACGGGTTCATTACTTACAGTCTGTCAGTTTAACTGCATGGCAGCTACTTTAAGTGAGCTGATTGCTTTATATTTTATATATAGTTATTAGAATAGAGTGGATAATTACTGTAAAAATGCAAGGCCAACTTTTTACATGTCTGTTTGTAACCGACATCCATTCCACAGATATGCATTTATTTTTATACGTCGCATGAAAAGTCTTATTTAAATACATAGTGTTTGTGTTACATGTGACTCTTTCAATATTAATGAAATACTAATCCTTTTTGATTTCAGGATACGATCAAACAGCTACAGGAGGAACTGAAGAGCATGGAAGAGGCAGAGAACCTCTGCATGTCATTCAGCGAGTGGCTTGCTTCGACTCAGAAAAGCTTCACAACACTGACTGATCGCTCTGAACCGCTGGACCGGCAGGCTATGGAGAGAAAGATGAAGAAATTAGAGGTATCGATCTGTTGCTCACAGTTTGGGCTGGATTTGTTTATGCAGTTAGATGCAGAGCCATGCTTTTATACACTATTGCATGGGTTAAAAAAATGGCAAATTGGTCAGTTATCCTGCATGAAACCATGGTTCCTCTGAGTAACATTAAAAATTCAGATCCCCTTCCAAGACAATATTTTTGGCAAAGTAAGTGTTCTTGGTAGCAGGACAAGTTAAAGAATATTACAGCAGTGGAATCATTTTAACAGTTTCGTCTTGTCCTACCCCTGTTCAGACACATTTGCCACTGCAGTAAAAAGAAAAAAATCTACACCATTATTTGTGTGGCGTGGTTCACATCAAATCCACAGAAGGTTTGATGGGTATGTGCGTATCGATCGGGTCTTTATGAAGACAAAGCTGGTGCCGGTTTAGAGGAAGCGTGGTATCAGAGAGAGACCTCCTACTGTGTGTAAGAGGATGAAGAAGAGTAGGTGTCAGGAACCCGCTGGCACAGGCGCTGTAATTGATGCAGTGCCCTTACCACTCCACATCACACACACACACACACTGTTTTCTCTCACTTCATCTCTCAAACTGAAGCGTAAACTTGAACACAGAGCTCGCTCCTAAACCTGTGATTTTTATGTAGTTTCACACATTTCTTCCACTTCAGTTCTTTACCATCTCCCCTCTCTTTGTCTTCATCCCCGTAAACCAGTCGCACCACACACCCACTTAACACTTGCGATACATCATCTGGTGTGGTCTTTGCCGTAATCTGCTTTCAAGGATCGATGCTCTGTCTCTGCATAGCGACCAGAGATGTGCTGCCGCCACATGTGTCCTTCCAGTGCTGAATATAACACATGAGCGTGCTTCATCACTTACTCATCTCCTGTTGTGAGAGAAGCTGGGATGTTCAGTGAGCTGGGACGATTACCCAGCGACACACAGACCAGGAGTCAATAGCCGTGTTAAGGCCCATTAGCCAGTTTTGGACTTTATTTTTGGCAGCTGATTGGTTAGTTTAGAAAAAATACCATTTGCAAATAGCAGATAGGTATAATTCTTTTATGTGGAAGGTTTATTTGTTACTTTTCCCTTTTGCTTTATTTTTAGACTATTTTCTAAAAAGCATTATTTACCTTAATAGTTCAAGGAAAGCAATATAATCAAAATTGGTACAACAGGGTCCTCTTCCCAGGTGCTGATTGGTTTAAATAATACATCTTGCTTTGTGATTAACACAGATTTCTCAATACTCCAAAAATTGCTTAATGGTTCTAAATATATAAACATATTGACAGCCATATCAAGGCTGCACTTTAGAAATGAAATTGTCTAGAGGGCTGTTCTAAACGAAATTTCTTTTTGCTTACACTTGCGTATACAAAATGACAAAATAAATCTGTCTAAGTAAAGTCTAAGTCTAAATGCTGCAGCCCTAAGGATAAAACTGGATTAGTTGTTCAAAAGAAAAGCTGTTATAAATAAGCAGCGCTGTTTTAAAGTTTGAATCAACCCCTAATTACTTTATACTGAAAAGCCGGACTCAAAGTTAATTTTCTTAATTAGTCTTCTTTATTTAGGAATACATTGAGTGTAAAAAAACAATCTATTTATTGATTGTAAAATTGTTGTATTAACTTTTATGTTTTTTTTATTGATTGATTGATTGATTGATTGATTGATCTCACTGCAGAAAAATTTACTCGTTCAGCTCAAATGGTCAAAAAGAGAAAGAATGTGCCAAAGGAAGAAAAAGGTGGATGGGATATATACAGAATATACAGTGCATCCACATAGGACAGCTATTATACAGGGTTGTTGCACAGGCTGTTTACATCTGTATTTATATAGATGGATATTTTTATATATATATAGTTATTTCACTGGGTTTCAAATAAAGAGAAACAGGTTATTGCGTATGAAATTGTAAATTGCATGTGTTAAATACAAGTGAAGAAATGTAAGCAATTGAACCTACGGAAAAATGAACCACAAAAGCCTAAAAAAAACAGTTAATCAGAATCATCTCATTACAATACAGGAGACATCAGTAATGTACAGTAGAGCTTTAGTAGTGCCTTTTAAAGACGAATCATTTGCATAAAAGTTCCCAATCATAATAGTGTTTCAAGATTTGCAGTTAATTATCGGCTCAGTTGTCAGAGCTGAATTAGAAACAGTAGAGTTGATTAAGGAATCAAGGAACTCATGCAGAAGGAAAAACATCTAGAAGCTCTCAAGCTTACAATTACAACCGGCACACGAGGAACGGACGTGGATAATTGGGGATCACTAGACAGCTGAGACGTAAAGGCCACTCTGTGCTTAGGACTTCAGATAATGTGTTCTGTAGATGGTGGCTAATAATGTAAGACCTTAAGGTCCAAAACTTACATGACATATAGTTCACTGCTAACAATGGACCAAAATCTGAAAGCTTAGAGCGCTCTTTTCTCGAGGGGAACGCATAGTTGCAAGTAAGATAGGTCAGATTTAGAGGAAGATGAGGTAATTAACTCCCCTTTCTGTCTAAACATAGTTGCACCACACTATATAACAAAGAGCTGCATCTAATTTAAATATGTAGGGTGTCTCTTGTTAAAGTGACAATGCAGAAGCATTGGAGATGGTGATCAAACCTGGAGCGTCACATTAGGCAGCACAGAGACGTGTGCAAACACACGCAGGTCTTGTTATGTTACCCAGCGAGCTGGATTGAGCACCGAGCTTGTTTGAGTGTGAGGTTACCGTCTCTGCTCATCCAATAATAGGCTGATGATGAAAGCTGTATGGCATCCCATCGAGGGGAGGTCAGTGTGTGCGTGTGTGTGGCAGTGTGTAGTGTTGCCCTGGAAACCCCCGCAGCTACTGTTGCCTGTTAAGGGTCTTTATAATTGGGTCCTCCTTTCATATTATTCACTCCGGTTCTTCCTCACCATGAACTCCCAATTCTTCTCCACATTTCTGGTTGCAGGTGTCAGCCTACCTGATGAGTTCAAAGCCATCAGAAAGCCCTGCTAGTGTAGTTTGTGGCAGTGGGCAGCACTCGAGGTGAAGGACAAAAGTATCAGGAATAGTGCACTAAAGGTTTTGGGAGCTATGATATAATTTTTTCTCTAAAGAAAGAGGATGTATATTCTATTTTCTATTAATTCTTGATTGAAGTGCCTTGCAAAGCAACTTGTACTTCAGCAGCACTTCCTTCTGTATGCTCTCTCTGTCATAATATATAAACAGGTCAGGTAAAAAATATGCATACACACAAGGAGCTGAATACAAACCCACAGCACAATCTTTTTTTTCATCTTTATTTATCTCTAATGAGTGAAAACACATTTTTTTTATTTCTAAATAAAATGCCTATACATTTTTTTTTTTATGTAACTTAAGAAAACTTGAAAACAAAACCAAAGTGCATACAGACTCTGTCAAGTGTGCATATTTCTGCTCTTTTAACCAGAGCCTCCAGTCAGATCTTCAGCATGGCCACAACCTCCTGAAATCCCTGAGAGAGCGTGCGGAGCAGGCAGTGGGCTTCCTAGACGAGGCTGGGGCTGAAAGTTTAGGAGCAGAAGTGGAAGCGCGTCTCGCCCAGCTGGAAGAGCTCGCCGGGGGACTGAGGCAAGAACGCAGCTTCCTGGAACGAGCGCTACTGCTCGCAAAGGAGTTTCACGACCGGTACAAGGCTCAGGTCCAGTGGCTCGCGGAGACCAGGGCTTTGCTCAGCACACCGGTGGAGCCCAAGGCTGAACTGTACCAGCGCAGAGCGCAGCTGGCAAAGTATAAGGTAAGGCATTAAAAAAAAAAGATTAATTCACAACATTAATTCAGTAATTTTACACTTAAGTGGCTCAAAAGGTGAGATGATCTGAATATTATTATCTTAATTGGTCATGTGTGACCTTGAGAAACTCTTAAAGTGAATATACTTAAAATAACTGCTGATCTATTAAGTTTGAATTGAATGTGGAAATAGTTGCTTAATGTGGACGTTTGCATAAAAATTGATGAATAGGTAGAAAGAGAACAGTTATTAGTCAGATTTCTTGAATGCAATTTAAAAAATTTAACATGAATATGAAACAAAAGTGGTTCTTATGAATACTAACATCTCTTTCTTAGCAGAATGTTACCTGTTATATACTGATATATTCATTTGCATATAAATCTGTATCTGCGTCCTCAGGCTCTCTTACAGATGGTTCAGTCCCATGATGGATCCATCAGGTCTGTGATGGAGAAGGGAGATTCTCTACTGGCTTCTGTCCACTACCCCTCCATCAGGGACAAAATGCATCGAGTACAGAAGGACTACTCCACCCTCCGCAACGTGGCAATGGTTAGGAGCAGCTGTGATGCAATGACACCAAGAAAATAAACTGCTTTTTTTTCTGTATTCTTGTTTTGAATCGAGACATTTTGCTTTCGTGTTAACCTGTGGTGTCCAGGCTCACGTAGAGAATCTGGAAGGCCAGGTGAAGGAACAGGAAGCTTACCATAACGAGCTGCAGGAAGTGGAGCGCTGGCTGCTGCAGATGTCCAGCAGGATGGTGACGCCGGATCCAAGCGTGAGCGTCAGCCTGGAGGCAGCAACTCAACAGCTGGCCAGACACAAGGTAACAGGTCCCATCATTTCACTTTTGAAGTTGTTTGTAATATTAGTGACATAACCATGCAGCTGGAACCTAAATAAGACAGAAAGATTTCTCAAAACCTTTTTTTCTCAGTTCCAGATTCTTCAGCCTTACATGATTTTTACTGAGCTGGTTATCAGCTGACTGTTGATGTCTCTGTTCACCTTCTCTAGTTTCCCCTTAGGATTAATCTGTAACAGATGTTTCAGTTGTAAAGCTGGATCATCAAAGGAAGGCTATAGAGAGCTGCTTTTCTGTTGTTTTGTCTAATCCTGTAGGTCTGGAAAAAGTCTTTCTTAACTTTGTCTCATCCAGCAATGTTTTGACTTGTTCTGCAGTACTTTTTACTGAAGCTAGTCTCTAAGACAACCTTATGTCACCCTCCTCAGGCCACCATGGAGGAGATTGCTGGTTTTGAGGAGCGCTTGACAGCTCTGAAAGAGCAAGGAAAGGGCTTAGTTCAAGGCTGTAGTGACCGCGTGCAGAGCCGACTGAGACAGCAGGTCCAGACTCACCAACAAGGCATCAGAGACAGCTACTCAGCCATCTGCAGCACTGCACAGAGGGTGAGTAAGAAGCAGATTGCAAAGAAAAGGAGGGAGCGAGAAAAATGAGAAAAAAGGGGGTCCTTATGGAAAAGTAGGTATAAAATCTTTCCCTAAACATTTATGATTAAGGGCTTATTGTGTTTAGGTGGTCTCACGTGAAAAGAAAAATCCATGCACAGACAAAAGGTGGATATAATCAGCCAAGGTATCCACTTAATCCTAACCTGTTTTGACATTTATACCCATCTCTGTGAACGCAGCCCTTCAGGCCTGCTTTAGAGGGCACAGCCAACTCATTTTGCCAAAGAAGAGCTCAGCAGCAGCCGCAGTCAGACGCCACCAGCCAACATCACTAACTCAATCTCTCCATATTAATCTCCACAGATCCCTTGTCAACCCCACTTTTTCATGGCTGAGCCAGAAATGATCACACACAGCCATCCAGTAGATCTGGCTAGTCCCTTAATCCAGCCCCACTCTGTCATTTTGGCACCACCTCCTCCATCATCGTTGCCCGTGTCCCCAGATACCACCTCCGCCACCGCACACATGCCCAATCTGGCGTTGTGTGATCCAGCCACTTTTTACCACTCCACTGCTGGCCTCCCTACAAGCGCACCTCCAGCGTTGTAATGGCTGCCAACTGCGTCCCAGCGCCACACAGCTCTAATATCCTGCCTGCCACTTGCCACCACGCCAGCCTTCCAGCTTCTGCCAAAGTTGCAGGGCAGAGTGCCAACACTTTGGCCCTCCCCTTGCTCCTCCTTTCAGAATCTCAAATTAACACTGTCAATCAGGCCGCGATGTTTGCCTCTCCCCTGGAGGGCTTGGACGCCTCCACATTTAACACCTGTTAAATACAAAGCTGCATAAATGCCTGGTTTTGGGGGATTCTGTGGTTTATAGTGTCTTTGAAGTTGGTAGAACCTAAATTTTAAAGTCTTTCCACCATTTTTATGTTAGATTTAGGACTTTTATTGGGCAATTCTAGCACATGAATAAATGATTCAATTAAATATAGCGCATTGTCCCTTTAAAGAGACAACTAAACCAAATCATATAGTCAAACTGATCAAAGTTATCTATCTAAGGAAAGCCAATTGATTGCATCAACTCAATGACTCGAAGGCAATCCCTCACATCAAGTATGCTTGTGGTGACAGTGGAGAGGAACATCTTCCTTTAAACAGGAAGAAACCTCCAAACCAATAAAAAAATTTTGTCCCTCTGGAGATAAGCTTCCTCAATACATGATTAATTAATTGCCACATTGTTTTGTCCCCCAACAAACTTGTAAGGCTTTTTACAAAGCAGTAAGTGCACATAGGTGGGGGATTTCTGAAGGGCTATTATTCAGCAGAATTAAATTTTTGGAGTACTGGAGTAAAAATAGCAAAACTTTTCAGAATTTTATATTATTTAATTTTCCATGACATCAAACCTTGATAAATTCATTGGACTTTGTTGTTGCTGTATGATAAAATCTGGAAATGTCCAAGAGATCTAGCAAGGTACCATATGTAATAAAATAAGTCAAACAAGTTATTTCCTGAAGCACAAAAATATACACATATAATTTTCTTTTTTCACAGGTATACCAGAGTCTGGACCACGAGATGCAGAGGCATGTGAGCCTGCAGGACACGCTGCAGCAGTGCCAGACGTGGCTAAGCTCTGTTTCAGAAAAACTAAATCCTCTTCCACAACCTTCTCTCAGCCTGGAAGAAGCCCTCCAGCAGGTCAGTGGGTGCTTTTCTGCTTATTAACTCAAAGTTAAATATGTTATTCCTTTGTATATTTCTTGTTTGCATGATTTACTATTTTAAATGGTAAAAATTATGGAAGGAAATGTTGCTATTTTGTACATTGTTGGTAAGAGAATTAACAGAAACCAAAAAAACAGGTGAAGCAGGAGCGGGCTCTCCAGGAGCAGGCCAGCACGTACCTCCAGCTTGTGTGTTCAGCTTGTGATCTCTCAGAGCAGAGGGTCAGGGAAGCAGCAGCAAACATCCAGCAGATCAAGCTGCAGGTCTGTTCACTTAAAAGAATCCTTTAAACTAAACACAGACTTTTCTATGGCAAAAGGGATCGGTTTGCTTTTAATGGAGATGCTTTTATTGTGTTTTTCGTGAAGATCGAGGAACGAATGCTTCTTTGTGAAGAGATGGCAGACAACTGGAGGGACATCGAGGAACAGAAGATGGATTTAGAGATCCAGCTTAGAGAGACAGAACAGCAGCTTCAGAGCATGATCAGAAGACCTGCAGAACTGGAGCCTAAGATTGCACAAAACCAGCTGGACAAGGCACAGGTCTGTCTGCCTCCAGATTTAATAAGCGTAACAGGAAAAAAAACTTTATAAAAAAAATTATAAAATCACTAGTTAACTGTTTATCAGTTCATCCCTTCTCTGTTTTCAAAAGAAATTGCTGGAAAAGAAGAAGCCTTCATGATCAGTTTAGTGCCAGATCATCTGTTTTTGTTCGGTTTAATTATGTCAATAAGAAATGTGAAGAATCCGTCTCCTCAGCAGTATTTTTGCACAACACTGTAATGTCTCCAAAAACAAACTCAACCTTTTTTGTTTCCCTTTTAGGATTCAGTGCAACACAATTTCATAGTCTAATTTATTGCAAAACATTGCAATCAAAAAGGCAGATTCATATTCAACCATACTTTTGATTTCACCCATCCATCAGATTCATCTAAATAAATTCCGATTTGCAAAAAAATGTAATGATAAAGAAATAGTGAACATTTCTGAGTTATTGATTTTTTTCAGGGAAGGGAAACAACTATCTTTAGACAGAAAGCAACCTGTTGCAGAGTCACACTTTGGTCATCTTGTCTGCTCAGTCAATTGGTAGAAAATAGGCAATATCATAGACAACAAAATGCAGACAAAAATATACAGAATTTCTCTGTGAGGGATATTTGTGGCACTGAATGAGAGAAGACAAAATTAATGGCAGAACTCCATCTTTGCCAATTTTCAGACTGCTAAATGAAGAAGCTGGGCGCTACAGTATGTGAGTTTTCTATGAAAGAAAGGAGAAGAATAACCACACAAAGAACAGTTGATTAATTTAATGGCAGCAATAGAGACACAGCTAAATATAGACACACTTAGCCAGGATAATTTTCTATGGACAAAGGGAAATATGCAAAGAGACTGCATTGTCATTGGCAGGAATAGATCCATCCATGGCTCTGTTTGAGATAGAGAAAGAGCTAGACACAGAAGCAATGAGCCGAGGACTTTTTCTACCCAGGAAAACAACCTGTTCCAGGAAATGTCAGAGAAGTGGTCAGTTAGTCCTCTAGCAGCACAGCATTATTGATAGTTACAGCTTATGATGATGTCAAAGGTATATTTTCTCCAACAAAACAAAACAGGCCATGTTTTATTCTTCTGACTGACAAGTAGAAAAATCTAAACACCAATGCTGAATATTCTGCTTTCTTTCCTGTAGGAGTTCCTACAGCAGATTAGAGAGAAGCAATCTGAGGCAGCTCGGCTGAGTGAAGCCATCGGCAGGTTGACGGACGGACAGGTCTCTCCTGCTCTGGAGGAGATAAGGAGACTGAAAAGGGGCTGGATAGAGCTGGGCCAGCAGGCTGAAGAGCTGGAAGCACAGCGGGGGGAGGACATGCAGCGAAGTGGAGAGTACCAGGAGAGCGTAGCTGCTGTGGAAGAACTATTCCACCAAGTATCCAGAGAATGGGATTACCTCGCCAGGTATGCAGCTTTAGCTATCCACTCTGGGTCCCTGAGCAAAGACCCTTAGCCCTAGACTGTTCCCTGGATGCAGTACAATGGCATCACACTGCTCACCAAGTAGATGGGTTAAATGCAAAGAGTGAATTTCCCCATATGGAAAAAGCATCCCTATTCCTTAAAATCTGCTTTTATGTACCTAGGGCTGACACTGAGAGTACAAGTGAGCATCTAGAGGCTCTGAGGAAACTGGCCAGTGATCTGGATGAACAGAAAGAAACCCTAGAAGACCTGAGGGACCAGAGACAGGCTATCCTGCCTCGACTAAGCCTGCTAGATAAGGAGCTGGTCAAACAACAGGTGAGAGCATCACCATCATGTCTACAAGTATATGCCAAGATGCTCAGAAACTGTAATGTCATAAAAAGGTGTTAGGTCTTAGTAGCAGTACTGTTTAAATGTATGCAGGTGGGGCATCTGGAGCATCGCTGGGCCCAGCTGGAGAGCCTCATTCTGCAGAAGATTCAGGATTCGGCTCAGACCTTGGAGGATCTCTCCCGGGTGGAGGCCCAGCTGAGAGATGCCAGGGAGTGGGTGGAGGAGCAGCGACCTGCTCTCACCTCAGCTCTGAGAACTAGCCCCCCCCCAGATCTAGCCCAGAGTTTCCTGTTTGACCATCTGAGCATTTGTGTTGAGCTTGAGGCCCGTCAGCAGCTGCTCAGTCAGGCTGTGAGTGAAGCACAGGCTGTGGCCTCCAGGCTCGGGCTGAGTGAGAAAAAATGCTTACAGGAGCTTGTTAGGCAAGCCCAGATGGAGGTTGAGGTTCTTGGTGCTCGGGTCGCACAAAGGAGGAAATACCTCAGTAAGGTAAACAGCTGGAATTTTAAATTAAATGCAAATGAAACTCAAAGGATTGAAGTTCCCTGTTACTGATAAAACCTTTTTCCTAAGGCCTTCACAGAGAGAACACAGTTCCTTCAAGGCGTGGGGAGAGCCTTGTTGTGGGTAAAGCAGCAGGAAAGGAAGGCTTTGCTAGAAGACCACATCGCTCTTCTTCCAGAGGATTTGACCAAACAGGTTGCAGCATGTCGGAGCGTCCAGAGCGGCTTGCGAGCCTACCATAGAGAGCTGGCGTCACTCTGGGTTCAAGGGAGAGAGCTGGAGAGAGAGGCCAGTGACAAAGAAAGAGCAGAAACAGTGGCAAGACTGGAAGAGCTACAGTCAACCTTCGACGCCGCACTCCAGAGGACTACTCAGCGTCTTGCAAGCCTAGAAAAAGCCTTAACTTCAAGGAAGTACTTCCAGGTTGACCTGGAAAAAACCTGCCAGTGGCTAAGACAAGCAGAAGCCAAAACATTCCCTGAAATCAACTTTAACAATGTTGAAGAGAGCACGTATTTGCTAACACACCTGTCCAACTATCAAAGTGTCTTAGAGCAGGCTTCGGAGTACGAGAACCTTCTTCTGATCGTCCAAAGAATCGGTCAGGAGATCCTCCCCACTCTGAATGAGATCGACCATTGCTATCTGGATGAGCGCCTCAACGCTCTGCCTCAGCAGTACAACGCCATCCTTGCTCTTGCCAAAGAGAAGAAAGACAGAGTCCAGCAGGTTATCCAGGAAAGGAAAGAGTTCAGCACTTTGTTTGAAATCACTCACAGCGCACTGGAGGAACTGCAAGAGCAATTTGACAATCTTGAGAAGCAGACTATCATCATAAAAGAGGAGGATGGTGTCAGTTTGATGGATATGTATAAAAGTATTGATGAAAGGTTGGTTCAAATCAGTCCTGCTGTTGGAGAACTTCATGGGAAAACCCAGGGCTTTTTAATCAGGGGTTATCAATATAAAGCTAAAGAAACTCAGCAGCTGGTCAGACTCCACTGCAGACTGAAGAAAATAAATGGCCAGAAGATTAAAAACCTAAACCATTGCTTGAACAAAATAGCTGAACATAAGAGGATGGTTTCCAACCTGGACACAGAGATTAACTCTGTTGCACAGGGGCTGATCAGAGTAAAATCAGATAAAGAAATTGGTGCTTTAGATAAGTTAGCTGCTCTTTATTTGCTGCTAGGAAGTTTAGAAGGAGTGAGATCTCAGGTAGAAGAAAGTTATAAACACACAAAACATCTCGATCCAAAGATCGACACTACTACCTTCCAGGAAACCAAACTGAAGCTGGAGATGTTGCAGTCTTTACAGCGCGATATTAAATGTTTATTGGAAGAAAGCGAAGCAGGAGTCGCTCAGGAAGAGGACTTCATGGGAGAGGCTGAGAGGATGTTGGTGTGGTTGAAGACTGTAGAAGAAAATCTGAAGGAGCCTTTGATCATCTCAGTGTTTAAAGCAGAGAGGATACAAGAAGAGAAGCAGAAACTTACAATCAAAGAAGATGAAGTGAGGAGAAGACTGAAGGTGGTCGATGGACTGGGAGTCAGAGAAAGGGAAAAATTAGAAAGTAAGAGAGAAACTGTTCCTTCCAAGATAGAGAGAAAAGTTCAGGAGCTTGAGAAGCTTGAAACCAAAGTTCAACAAGAAATCTCTGCTAAACAGGTAACTGATTACTTCTGCTGGAATGTATTTTATTGTTTGTTTTTTTTATTTCAAAATTGGTTATATGATATTAATGTGCAGCATTTAATGTACCATGCAACTCAGTGCACAGATCTGTGGTTTGAATTTAATAAAGAAACCCTTTGTGTTTTCCAGCTGGCACTGGATCAAACCCTTGCTGTGGTCCAGAGGCACCACTTATCTCTGCAGAACATGCAGGAATGGCTGGACAAAGTTGAAGCATTCCTCCATGAGACCGGATCGGTTGTGGATATTGAGAACCACGAGGACTGTATGCGAGATCTGGAAGAAATTTTATCCCAAGAGAAGAACTTTACAACTTCTTCAGAGGAGATAAGGAAACTTGATCCTCTGTTGGGGGATTTTGTGGAGGCAGGAGTGTTGAAACAGGTCAGGGGGGCGATTCATTCGATGCAGCAGGCGAAGCAAGAAGTCAAACAGAAAGTGGATGCTTACAGACAAGTGCTGCAGAGGTATTGTGTTTTTAATGTTATGCTTTAGATGGAGTAGAATCTCAGTTGAGAGCTAATATCTCAGTTTGATTCTGTATTTTTTTCTCTCAAGGTGTGGTCCTCTATGGAGCTCCTTTCAACATGCTAAAGAGATGCTGGTTGAACAGATGGATGATCTGGAAAGCAACATTTCCAGATTTACAACAGCAAAAGCTCTCAGTGTCTATGAGGCAGAGGATAAGTGTCAAAGACAGGAGGTAGGCAACTATTCCTTAACGAGATACGTTTATCTAGATTAAAACAGCAATATATGCATTTTTATTAGGAGACTTAAAGTCTATCTGAAAACATATATGATTAAAATTTGGTTTATTGTGCTGCAGTCCCTGATGATGAAGGTCGGCATGCTGGAAGCTCCCGTGAATGCTCTGAAGGAGACTGCTGCAGAGTTGGATGAAATCATCTGTGAACACAGCAAAGTTCTTACCAGTCACACTGTGTCATCACTATGGCAACGGTGGACACAGCTCCGGAGCGTGGCCCGAGCCCAGAAGAGGGCGCTGGAGGACACTGCCAGGGACTGGAGGAACTTCATCGAAAAGGTTGGAAAAAAAATCACTCGTCTTTAATGTTGTCACTGTGGGTGTCCCTTTCTTTAGTAGCACAAATATCAGACAGCAATGATCTGGATCTTCTTCTGGAAAACAAAAGGGTTATTTTAAGTTCTTGGATGTTTTTGAGTTATAACAGGGGCAGTTGCTGCACAAACAACATCTTATCTAAATGTGTTTGCCTGGCTCAGACACAGGGATCACAAAGATTGTTTTGTGTGCTGTTTTAGGATGAACACATGACGGTTGTGTGCCAGATTGTCTATACAGTCTGAATATACAGAGCTTATAAATTAGAGGCACTGAAGTCTAGCAAAGGCAAATCCAATCCAATTTTAGTTATGAGAGGAGTATCAGTGTTTTATGCACCACTAATTAAATGCAATCACAAACAAGGTTTAGTGCTAAAGCCCTTTCAGTCGCTGACCTCTATGCCCTCTTCCTTTCTACTCACATGCAGCACTGCTCTAAACTGACTACATAAAAAAGAAATAGGAACAAAGAGTTTGATTATTCCCTGCAAAAAAATTTAAATCTCAATAAGTCCCTTTTTTCCTAAAATAAGTGCATTTTTTTCTTAAATCTAGGGGGTAAGTGAGACTTTTGCCAATGGAATAAGACAATTTAATATACATTTCAAGTGTATATTATGTAATTGTCTTATTTTAAGAGCACAAAAACTCGTTCCTTTGGCAGATGATCGTATTTATCTGCACAAATTAGGGGTAAATACACTTATTTCTAGATTGTTTTTGTGTTGTTGTATAGTCTGTGTTTAAGAGGCTAAAACCTCCAAAGTTATTTACCTTTTTAATATACGGCCCTATAGGAATTAACTTCCCCTATTAAGAAGAAATAGAAATAGTTTATATTATTTTGTCAAGCATAGAATATTTGAAAATCTCTTTATCATAATAGTTTTTTCCCTAAAACATATCCATGTTACTGCCATCTAAACTATTCTTCAGCATAATGAAGAGAAGTGAATTGTTTACCAAGAAAAAAAATGACAGTATTGAGACAGTATTTCTATTGTCTCTATGACTCATTCAGGAGGTGACCATTGCTCACTTCATAAATGCTTGTTATTGTCGCAAAAATTTAGCTTTTTGCTTTTGCTGCCTTTTCAAAACGATCTTTTTTTTTTCAAAATCTTCTTAAACCAGCAGATAATTAAGCTTCAGATCTGTTTTGTACGGTAATCTGATTAGTTTCCATCTTGCTGTTTTCATAAATGATGGAGTGAATAATAGGGCTCAGCAGAATTGTTGGGAAGGGCTAACAATGATTTTATTGCTGGAAGCCATTTATAGAACAAACATGTTGCCAGCAGCATTACTGTTGCTGCAGATTTGGGTCAAATACAGTAACGGCTAAAAGCAGTTGGTGGGCTGTGATGTAACTTCAGGCTACAGGCCAGTTGTGTCTTCCTGCCAAAACAGTGTGTCATGAAGCATCTTCCCGCCTTTTGACCTAATTCGAGCTCAGACTCTCTCACAAAGATTCCCACAAAGCACTGGTTCAAAAAGGGAAATGAAGTCAGACTGGAGGGAATAATCGCTTCCTTATATGTGGTGCATTCCTGTCCTCCACAGGTTTATTTTACCCATGTGGCTCCTTTGTTTGTCTTAACTTGTTGTCAGCACTGGTTGGAAAGATTAAGGGTTTAAGACAAAAAATAGTAAAAAAATAAAAAGGGTATGAGATAGTAGTCAGTTTTAAATCTTAGGGCTTGTTTAAGTAATTGAGATTTTTATTTTATAAGCAGAAATTAGCTCTAACTATTATTTAATGTCCTACTCCTTAATAAAGTAGAGAAGTTAGAGAACAGTCTAACTGTTTTATGCCTGTGAGTAATATGCCAGCTGAGAGGCCATTACTTTTTCACAGTTATATGCAAATAATATAATCCAACTGCTTCAAAGAGTCTGTTAAACCTACCTGTGTTTCAGATGGATAAGGTGTGCTCCGTCTCCAAAGACCTACACATTCGTGTACCAGACAGCACCGTTGAAAAGGCAGCCACTAGGGCGGCGCTTCAGAGCCTGCTGGAATACCACGACTCCTTCAGTCAGGAGGTGGAGAGGGAGCAATCCACACTGGCCCTGTTGGTGCAACAAACCCACTGCCTTAGAGGAGAAACCGAGAAGGAGGTGGGGGTGGAGAAGAAGGCAGAGAATCGACATGAAGAAGCATCCTGCCTGCAGAAGATCAGACGCATGCAAGAGCAATATGAAAGGTAAGGGGAAACTGTCTGATAATGCAATTAACTTAATGGTTTCCCCAAATCACTTCTTTGTTTTTAATTTAGAAAGAGGATTCATTACAATGAAAATGAGTTTTTAATTAATTGAAGAAAGGAAGGAAACAAAAACAATACATCCAGCTCTTCTAAAGAAATGTTACCCGTTACATGAAGGATGGAACTCATTTCATTTTTGGTCACATTAGAACCACAACCCATTTGCTTTTAATTTCACAGACCAATAAAAAGTACTTTTGCATCATATTCCTTCTGCTTTAAAAAAAAAAAAACTCTATATGAGTTTACAACAACTTTTATAAGTTAGAATCTGAAAAGTGTGGCATGCATTTGTGTTGGACTCTGATAAGTGGATGCACCCAGTTCTTACTGTCTGATCTTTTCTACTTTTTCTTTGCAAAATACCTCAAGCTTTTTTATTCACTTTTTTAAGTCTTCACATTCAGGCCAAAGGAGCCAAAGATGATGGTATCCATCAAATCTCTGGAAGATCCTTTTCCTAGCAGCTCATCCACAAGCTGCAGCAGTTGTGGATTTTGACTGAGTCAGGACTAACACATGACTATGCTTTAATCTCCAACTGTTGGAACCATTTTTTTCTCCATTATTTCCCAGCATTTATCCCAATTAAACCCCTAATCAAAAAACATTGAAGCTTATGTTTGTAATGTGAAAAATTTGAAAAAGTTAACAAGGTAACATCAATTTTATAAATCTGTTTTTTTAACAGGTGTTGTCTGTGTGTTTTTTAGCCTGTTGTTGCAGGTGCGAGCTAGCAGGACCCAGGTACACCAGGAGCTGAGGGAGAGAGAGGAAGTAGAGAAGGAGCTTGGCCTAGTTAAAGGCTGGATCCAAGATACCCGGGGCTTATTGCTGAGCCCTACGGCCGACCTAGACTCACTTCTCCATGAGCTGGAGGTAGGCCACTAAATGTGCACAACACACCTGAAACAGAGAGCCAGAGGCCACTATGTCCTTTTATTTTTTTGTTTGAGAATAAACAAGGGGGGGGGGTGTATAAGCAGATATGACTGATTGGGATGGTGCATGTGATCCTGTTTACATTGCAGACTGCACATGGTGAGGTCATCAGCAGACGCCAAAGTGTTGAACGCATGACGGAGCTCCAGCAGTCCAAGTATCAGGACCTTCAAGCCGGTCTGCCCTCTGAGCTCAGCATGCAGTTAGCAGAGGTTACTCTTGCCTTGGGTTCTGCTGAAGATCAGGTAACCTCCTTATTTAACCGCCTTAAAGGTTCCTGTTAACTGTTCTTTAGGGCCTTGTTACACCTTGCCTATTTAGATAGCATATGCCCGACTTCCCAGAATCTCCTAAAATGCTGGCATACCCTGAACTTTCTATGTAATTTTTTTAATTCTGGGCATATACATAGCGTATTCATAGTCCAGAACTGTCCAACGACAGCCTAACTTATGCATAACACAGAGCAGTGTAATGCCCATTTAATGATGCACAAGCATCATTTCATTTACATGTGCATTATTTCATGATGCAGAAGCATCATTTCATGGGCATTACGAAGCATCACTTAAAGGGATAGTTCGGTATTTTTGACATGAATCTGTATGGCATCCCCATCACCAGTGTCATGCAATCACACTGACTTACCCCTGGCAGCGTCCTGTGAGCAGAGTTATCGTCCAGTTTTGGTCAAGCCGAAAGTAGTCCGGCAGGTTTTTAGGACCAGCGAAATAAAACGTTTCTCTTCCCAAAACATTATGTGTTCAAAAGAGCGATATTTTTGCATCCCAAAAACATTGTAGTGGAAAAAGTCACACGTCGTTATCAATTGGTCCTATTTTCTCTCTGTTCGTATCAGTGCGCGCCGTCATTCAGACAGCTAGGGCCTACTAACCTGACAACAGCCAGATGCATGTCTCCCTCCGCCCAGCTAGGAGCTAGGCGGAGGGAGACATGCATCTGACTGTTGTTGAGCTCGCTGTCTGAATGACGGCGCGCACTGATACGAACAGAGAGAAAATAGGACCAATTGATAACGACGTGTGACTTTTTCCACTACAATGTTTTTGGGATGCAAAAATATCACTCTTTTGAACACATAATGTTTTGGGAAGAGAAACGTTTTATTTCACTGGTCCTAAAAACCTGCCGGACTACTTTCGGCTTGACCAAAACTGGACGATAACTCTGCTCACAGGACGCTGCCAGGGGTAAGTCAGTGTGATTGCATGACACTGGTGATGGGGATGCCATACAGATTCATGTCAAAAATACCGAACTATCCCTTTAAAGCTGCTCCCCTCAGAAGCCTCGGCCTGGATAAAAAGATGTCTTTGATCGCGGTATTAACCTAGCTGCGGTTCACCGCCCGCCAAAAAAATAAGAATAAAGAAAAAGAAAGAAAGGTTTGCCATCTCAGCAGATTTAGCGTCATGTCTACTATGAAGTTTGTTGGTGGTGGGCGTGAACGCAGGGAGGATCCATCACACTCACCTTCTCACTCACCCTATGATGGGAATTAGTCTGGAGGAGAACTGACAGTTTCCTCATGTGAACCTCCTTACATTACTCATAGTTTCTGGATAAGCTAGACACCACGACTTATGAGTAACTTAAACTTAACATATGTCAGTGATCTGATAACTTACCTGCAACTTATGCCCCAAGTATGGCATACTCTGGCATACGTCTCGGCTTCCTTGCCGTATGTCGACATGTGCCAGTGTGCTTCAGTGTACTTTAGCATGCTTATAACTTATACAAAATGTACCCATAACTTATCCAACGTATGCCAGCATTTTGCCAGATTTTTTGTATGTCAGGCATATGTTGGTCTAAGTCATCAAGGTGTGACAGGAGCTTTAGAAATGCATTTCTATTTACCGTTCATTGTGTGTATACCTTAGGTCCAGGCAAGGGAGAGGGAGGTGCAGCAGACCAGGGATGTGAAAGAGGACTTCAGCTACAGGCTTCAGGACATTGAGACAAAGCTGAAGACCATCACAAGAAAACTAGAAGAAAGGAGCACCGACCTGGGGGAGGCCAAGGAAGAGACCAAAGTAATCAAACAGACAGATTGACTAATTAGAAAGCAATTAACCCTGGTTCAGCTGGCTATTCACTCTGCAGGTGTTGGTTAATGACTGTGTGATGGTTGGAATGGCTTTGAACTGAATTCAAATGACCCACTTTTTATTGAAGAACTCCAAATGGGAGTTTAGTCACTCTACCCTGTTCTTTTTGTTTTATGATTCCCACTCTTGTTTTTAGGTGACAAAGCTTGCGTTAAAGCACAGCTAAATGATTTGTTTTCTGTTTGAGATGTCAGTTTGGCTTTTAACTAATAGGGTCCATCAGTATGTCACAGAAAACCATCATTGCCATTTACCCAATTTCTTTGATTGACCTTGACCTCTTAGTCAATATCCACAATTATTCAATTGTCAAATCTAGATATAAGCAATTGCTGCATTTTCTCTTATACAGTTTCCTACCTTTTTAGACTTCCTCTTTATCAGATGTTTAAATTTTTTTTTGTTCCTTTTTTTTCATCAGGCTCTTTGTGAAGAGTGTGAATCCTGCGGTAGCTCTCTGGCAGAGTTAGGAGTAGCTGTTCAAGAGTTTGGAGAGCAGAACCCGCTGCTGTGTAAGCAGCTCGGAGATGCTGTGGTGAAACTAACAGAGCTGCAGCGTCAAACCACACAAGTGGCTCAGGACAAAGTCAGCAGACTCAAGAAGGTGGGATATGTTGTCAGTTGAGTAGAATTATTTATACAATACATCTTTCAGAGGTTAGTACAGAGGTTAAAAATAAATAAACTGCGTCCATGCATCCAGTTTTTCCATTTTTTTATATAGTCTCAATATTTAAAACAATTTTATTTGTTAGATGAAGTAGATTTCCATCTGTCTGAGCAGGCCGAGAAACTTGCAGAAGAATATCACAGCATGAAGGCTTTCATCTTGGCCTGGATAGAAAAAGCAGATGATCTGATCTCTGGTAACATCGTCTGGACCTCGGCATCCCAGCTGCAGGAGCAAATTCGGGCACATCAGGTAAGTCTCCGAGTCCCACTAATATGATTTCCCTTTTAAAACAGTGCATTGTTTCAAACATCAGCCTAATAAATCTGAAGTTGCAGCTAATTAAACTCATTTACTTTAGGATTTCTTTGAAAATGCCTTACTGAACACTTTGTTGGCTGACCTAAATTAGTATAATTACCCAACACATTAACCCCTCTTTGACGTCTAATTTATTGGTCTCACAGGCATTGCTGAGGGAGTGTCGCGGTCTCCATGGCGACTTGGAGGCCATGGGGGAGAGGGAGGGGCAGCTGGCGGACGTGTTGCAGACGGAGGGATGGAGCCAGCAGGTTAAACATCTCAGCAGACGCACAGAAGAGCTGCAGCAATCAGCCAAGACCCGCTTCCAGAGTCTACAGGATGCATCTAAAGTAAAAAGCATTCTTTGACATATTGACTCATTTAAAATATAACTATTTATATTGAAGTGACAATAACATCAGTTGACGTAATTCTTAGGTTTATAAATTAATCCTTACTCAAATCATCCAGATCTAATGGACCCCTGACAGTCTATGGGTAAATGTCACAACATCAGAAATCTATGAATGCACCAATAGATTGTGCTCTTATATGAAAATATACTCATAGAATAATTGTTTACCCAAGTCCTTAACAATGTGGAGATATAAACCATCTTTGGATATTTCCTCAAGCAATGTAAACAGCATGAGACAGAAAACTTGTATTTATTTAACTTAAAAAGTGGAATCATTTAAGTTTCTCAAATCAACTGTAAATGCAGATTTGCTACTGTAATTTCCCTTGTTCACAAAAATATCAAAAATCTTATATTTTCTCCTAAATGTTATATTAAAATAATAATAAAAAAACAATAAAAGATGCAATAATTTTTTTACTGTAGTTTTCTTCCTTAAATTCAAGTAAACAGCTGTTTGGTGAGAGATAAACAACCACCTTCTATCCATGTGACAACACTGCCCCCTTCAGGTTTTAAAGAATGTAACACCATTATAATGAAACATTGCAAATCCACTGCTTTAATTTAATAACTTTTAACACTATCCAGATCACAAAATATGGTACTATTAGATATTTTCCACTCTAAAACAATTTTAGGGAGTTAGAGCTTTGAAAATGTAAGTTGTTTTTTTTTTTTTTTTCCAGGCTTTCAAATCTAAAAACTCTGTTTTGTATAATTTTGGGCTTTTAGATTCCAAACCACTTGTGAACCGACATATTCTATTTCTACATTCAATTCACTAAAAAGAACAAATAAAATGATGAGTTTCTGCAGATTTAAAGAAGGAACTATAAATGCCCCCCTGCTGCATGCTCAGCCTGATCCTTTACATCTCTGTCTCTCTTTAGGACATGCTGCGTCTGGAGGCAGAGGTGAAAAGCCTGCATGCTGTTGTTGATCAGATCCAGGTTGCACTAGCTTCTCCTGATCTCAACAAGCTCAGCCTCAGGGAGCAGCTCACACAGCGACAGGTTCGTATGTTGCATTCATCTTCTGGACATGCGTCTTTCTTTATTGCACATGTGTAAATGATTCCCATCCTCTCCTTTTAAGCTTCTGCTGGCGGATATGGAGAGCTTCAAACAGCAGGTGGCTTCAGTACAGCAGTGTCAGAGTGCCCTCCGGCTCCCTGAAGAAGTTGTGGCCAGTCTGCCCATCTGCCGCACAGCTCAGTCTCTGCAGCAAGAAGCCAGCCAGCTGCAGCACACCACCATCCAGCAGTGCAACATCCTGCAGGTAGAGGGCAGTACTCATTTCAGGCCTTTGTTCATTTAAAGTTATATTCCATATGATTAGGACAGTGGCTGTTTTATATACATTTAAAGTTAAGAGGTGTTTTTATGTTTTTTTTTTCCGTCTGTATCTCCTCTTAAAAAAACGAGTGCTCTGCAACCCACAATGTTGTCTCTGTAGCGTCTCCACAGGCCTCTCAGGAATGTTTGTTTTCTCTAGAACCTCATCAGGGTAGTGTTTAACTTTAGACCTGTATTAGTTTTTTCTGTCAAACTAATAATATTGGGTTCTTAGAGGTTAAAGCACATTTTTGGAGCAACAGAGGAGAGATTCCTCAGGTGCCATTTTATATCAAATGCATCCTTTTCAAAAGAGTTGAAGCAGTATGTCTTCCATGCTGCTTCCTGTTGTTTTTATACAAAGCTGTTGGGTCCATTTGGGAGTCAGCGTCAATCAAATCTAAAGCTTCTTGATTTTTTTTTTGTTTCATTATAAATTGATTTGTGAAGATTAAAAGAACCAGAACAATAAAAGTTTTTGCATCATGAAATCCCAGAAACACCTAAAACGGTATATTTAAACAATACCCGCAAAAACTATTTTTTTTTATTTCTGCATTTTCAAAACTACAAGTTTCACTAAAAGTTATTGTGATATTTTAGAACAACAAAAAGTAGTAGATCATTGTAAAGTGAAAAAGAAAATCTAAATTTTTTTTTATGAATTGCAAATCTGAAAAGTATGGCGTGCATTTGTATTAATCACCCTTTAACCCTTTAATCAAATACACCTAAATTAGATCTTAGTTTTCTTTTTATTCACAAAGGGTGGCCACATTCAAAGACAAAAGGTCTTCCTATTAAACGCGTTCGAGAGCATACTCTGTTTAAAAGTTGCTGTTCTCATAGCTCATACAAGCTTACTTGAGAAAGGTGAGCTTTAATGACTGTCTAAAACCGTAGCTCACCACAGATATACGCCTGAAAGTGCACATGCACAGAAAAAGATAGCTAACGAGATGAGCATGTATGACAGCCTGCAAAAACATGTCACCAGAATGATTGACAATTAGGTCGACCACTTATTGAGATGATCCACCTGCAAAAAGAACATTCTCTACTACACCTTTAACTGTATATTGGGAGGATGTTATAGGGAACCGCCTCACGTGGGGTCCTTGGCAGCCATAAGAACGTGCCAAAGGCAGCGATCTGCTGCAGGCATGGCCTCAGTAAATCATTCCCCCTGTGAGCCCCAACCCAATGTATCTGATGTATGTGATTAATGGTTTGTAGTAAAACTGAAATCACGATTACAATGTAAATTGTACTTGACAATAAAGAGATTGATTGATTGATTGATTGATTGAATGAACTGTTCAAATTGTTTTTAAGCTGTGTGTCATTAGGATTTATTTTTCATACCTTGCTTTCAACAGGAGGCGGTGGTTCAGTACGAGCAGTATGAACAGGAAGTGAGAAACCTCCAGAGATTAATTGAGGATGCTCACCGCATCATCCAGGACAGGCCGGTTGCCACCAACAACATCCAGGAGCTTCAGGCTCAGATTCACCACCATGAGGTATTTTTTTTCACTTTCCTAATGGCTCTCTGCTCAGTAGACTCAGCTGCAACTGATTACTGTTAAACGTTATTGTAACAACATCCGTGGTAAAGTAATACTTTACCTTATCTTCAAGAAGTTAAGCCTGGACCTAATATATTACTTTAAATCAAAAAAGAGCCAAATACATAGATTTCATGAGCTTTGGGGCATTTAACTCCACTAAATAGCATCAGTATCATCCAGGTATTATTGCATGTTTATTATTTTTCTTTAGCTAATACTATTATTTGAAGGATTTCTTTCTTTTTTTAATTTTCTTAAATTTTTTTTTTATTTTATTTTTTATTTTTTGCAGTTTGAGTATTAAAAACATCTCATATATTACTATATTAGTGCAAAACCCTAAAATCTCAGAGCTTTTAATTTGTCTTAGTATAACAGTTGTCTATTGTTTATTTGCAATAACCTTCTTGGAGGGAGTTTAAGTACAAGATCTTATGTATTTGTTTCTGTTCAGATGCTAAATTTGGTGTTGTTCACCGGGAAGTATGATTTTGTGAGGCATAAATTGTTAAAGCAAAAAAAAAAAAAAAAAGCTGTCAATACCTCTGAGCAGTAATGAGGACTTAGTTTTTTAAGTGTCTCAAGCAGTGAGAATGGTGAAGACAGAGAGAGATGTTTTAGGCTGATCCATCAGCTGAACACTGGAGTAAATGATCGCATAACCCTTTTATAACAGTTACACATTTATTGTTGAGGAGATAAGATTATTTTAAATGGTTTCAGTGGCTGGATGGGATAAAGGTGGATTTCTAGTTATGTACGTTTATGGAGGATAATTAAATAATAAAAAAAATGGAATAAGTATAAAAGGAAGCAGGATAATAGACCAAAATCCCTCTTAATAACAAACACTTAAAAAAATCGAGAAAAAAAAATTGCAAAAAATATCTATATAAACACACAGTTTAAAATAGATACAATAATAAAACCTTAAATACATGGAAGGATGATGTAAATGAAGGCTGTATTATACTGTACATTATAATGTCAGTAATGATGCTTGGTAATGCACTTTAAATCTTGCTTTTTATGTACACCCTGATCCCCGCACCAAATCTGCCTTGTTTCTCCATTTTATAGTAGCATAAAGTATTCTATAGTTGATGCTGTGGGGAAAAATGTAATTTTGTCCAGCTTCATCTAAATATAATAATCCGGTAATTTCTTTTCATGGATTACCAGTCTGTTTTTTGTTTGTCTTTTCTTTTTTTTTTTTTTCAATCAAAGCTTTTAGTAGACTGCATCCCATCTAGCTACAGGGTTTTTCTGTCCCCGTGTTTCTCAGAGTTGCCCTCAGCTACAACCTGAATCACTTTTAAGGATAAGTCAGTAGCTTTCTAAGAGCACTCAGAGAATCCTACAGAATACGAGTCCACGATGGCATGCATAAGTATTCACACCCAACTTTTTGGGATGGTCTTCTTATACAAAGAAACCTCCATGAGTTTTGTTGGAACAGTGATAGACCAAAGCAACATAGTGTTTAGTTGGGAATTTGACTTGCACATTTTTAATGAATAATAATCTCAAAAGTGTGACTCGTCCCCTTTTCACTGGTGGCACATATATAGAAATTAATGCAACCACCTCCATGCAGAAGATTTCAAATTAGTAAACAGAAGATAAAGGGTTACAGCCACACTGTGATATGTCTCAATCGATTTTCTTCCCATTTCCGTTTGCAAAGTAGCTCAACCTCAGTCAGGTTAGAAGAAGAGCATCTGTAAACAGGAAGCCTAAGCCTGTTTTAATGTATGAGGCGTTTTGTGCTGGAAGGTAAAAATTCATCCGAGTCTTTAGTCTTTTGCAGCCTCTCCCAGGTTTTCTTCCAGAATTCCCGTTTAGTTAACTCTATCAATCCTACTATTGACTCTAACAAGCTCCCTTTATGAAGACAAACATCGCCACAGGATGTTGTCACCTTCATTTCTCACACTATGTTGTGTTTGTCTATCACATAAAATCCAAAAGAAGATTGGATTTAAGGAGACTGAGTTTTTAGCAGGAAAAAGGGTTGAAAGTTTCCATGATTATGAATATTTCTTTAAAGCTCTGTCTTGAGTGTTTTGTTTTGTTTTAGTTGTTTCCTTAGAGTTGAAGATCATATAACTGAGAACAGAAAGAGAACTTGAATTGTTTTGCATTTCCTATATTTGTTGCACTAAGTCAAAAAAGTTGAGGCAAAATGACATTAACAGTATCTCAAATAAAACGTATGAGTCAGAGTGGATTAAGTAATCCAGTAATTCTAATTTTAGATCTATTACTGGACATAAGAAACTGACCCAGTGCTGTATTGCTGAAGCATCTCTATTACAATAGAGGAGAATCAATGTTGAGTTTGTAGATGATGACATTCCTTTCTTTCTTTCTTATCTGATGGTGCTTGTGCCCACATACACCCAGGTAGATGGAATCTGAGCTTCTCAAGCATAAAGCTCTTTAAGTTTTTTTAAATATGTGTCTCAAACACTGCAAAGGTAGAGTCAGAATTATGCAGAGAAACAGCTCAAATAAATAAAACACATTTTAACATTCCCTTATTGCATCTGATAGAATTATATCTTCTCTCTATGGTTGATAAAGGATATCTAAAGTGTTCCTGTTACTGCATTCCAGCTGGGTTCTACAGTATAATTATGTCTGTGTTTGATCTTTAAGCTGAGCTTCAACCCTGCTGGCGTTTGGGTCACATGACCCGATTATCTGTGCATTGACCATCTGTGATGCAGTGGGAGGAGGAGCTGTAACTTGAGGCCGAGTCCCCTCTCTCCTTGCAGCTCCCTTTTGTTAACAGGAATCCTCTCCGCCGATAGGTGGAGATGGGAAGCAGCAGGCAAGGGAAGAGGGAGAAGGGGGCGGGGAGCTCAGTGAGTGAGATCACTTCCTGTTCTCACTGCCCTGCCATTTGTGTATATGTGTACAAGAGGGAGTGTCTGAGGGATTTTGAAGTATTTCTGCGAGGGTCTCTGCCTCAACCAAACATCCTGCCTGCTCAGCTTCACCAACCGATCCGAGTCAGACGCCTTTGTGCTGCTCTGATTGGCTCAGAGATGCAGAGAGGGGGGAAAAACTGAGAGAGAGGCAGCACTATTCTCCACTTATCCAGACTGGGAAGCTGAAAGAGTGAGAGGACAGGAGAGAATGTGTCCGGCCAAACTGACTCTTCCTTTCAACAGAATCCTGCTTTAACCCTGACCTCTAGATCCTCTGCTGTGGGCTAAACCTCACTCTCCTGATCCTTGGAGAGGGGGGTTGGTGATGCTCTATTCTCTTCGGGGGGATGTTTTGACAGGAGCTGACTCAAAAGATCCGTGGCTACCAGGAGCAGATCGCCTCACTCCACTCAAAGTGCAAAATGCTGACAGTGAAGGCCAAGCATGCCACCATGCTCCTGACCGTCACTGATGTGGAGGGCCTGTCTGATGGCATGGAGGAGCTGAGCGATGAAGAGCTGGCCGGCGTCGTGGGAAACACTGGCTCAGCTGCTGGCAAACAGCTTCCAGCCCACCCCTCTGTCGTTATGGTGAGTGAGACAGCTGCAGATCAGACATCTTCAAAACACACGCACAACTACATTTTAACTACTTTAAAATGTTATAAAACTAAACTAACCTTTACAGCATCATGACCACCTAAACTGCAGTTTGTAAAGGTACTTTGCTGTTAGTTGGCTTCGTTACGATGCATTAGTTCTTTTAGTGTCTTCAAGTAATCTACTGGTTGACAAGGTGGCATGTCGGCTGCTGCAGAACTCATCAAACTTCTTGTCAATGAAAATAAAAATGAAAACAATTGAGGAGATAATGCTGATTTGTACTGAATCCCATTTCCAAATCTGAAGATCTTCATACTTAGCTGTCAGCCTGAGGTCAAGGGGTAGGCAGAGGGCAAAGGTCAGAGGATTTTTCAGGGGCATACTTTGAGGGAAGAGAAAGGAGCTGTGTACATCTGTGTAAAAATATGCATTTCTTTGTTCCAGTATATATCCATAAAAAGAAATACTTAAGTGAAGTTTTGATACCTCTGATAATTGTGCCATTTGGAAACAAAAAGTTTTCTTTTGAAGATAACAATGAAATATCATGTATAAGTTAATCATTTTCTCTATTGTGAGGAATGCTTTTATTTGAACTATTTATTATTTTAGACAAATTTGATTTCTCTATTTTTATCATTTCTAGCTTTTCTGTGGCTTAAAATAGGAATAAATATAGTGTCAAAGTATTTAATATTTTCACATACTGTCCTACTTTCATAGCTCATGTATGTTTATGTTGGGGTTAGGTTTCAAGGTATATGGCTGAGGTGGAGGTAAACCCTCATGATTTAGCTACTAAGGCTTCTACAAATGATCATCAAAGAAGAAACAAATTATGCAGAATGATTATTTTTTTTCTCTTTTTAAGAAACATTTACTCTTCCACAAACTTTTAATTCAAGTTACTTTTTCCAGCTCGGTCCCTTTCCTGTTTCACTGATACTTTGCTTTTTCTCTTGCTTTTAATCCACGTTAGCTTTCATTACTTTAAAAATTTGAATAATTTTTTTATCCCTCCTGTTTCTTTTCTGCATATTTTCTCAGACGTTCAGATTTGTTTGCTCCTTTGCCTTAACAGAGTTGTTTGTGCATTTAGTCTCTGGCAGCCAGGAAACAGGATGTGACTGAATCTGTGAGCATATGTGAGAAAAAAAATAAAAAAAGACGCAGTGCATGAATGCCTTTAACGCCTGTTACTGTTGGTAACTGGAAGTGCACTTGTGCTGTAGATTTTTTGTTAATGAACATAACTGTGTTGAAATGAGTACATCTTATCTTGAAACGGTTGAAATGCTAGTGCTGCGATCCAGTCTGTTGCTTTTCGTTGCATCATAAAGCCCGGGCAAAACAAAACAAAACAAAAAACTCCTTTGAATTTGCTGATTTCATGAGTCAGTAGGCTTACCGGTACTTTAATACGCTTGGCTCACGTTTCAGCTCTGCCCTCAACTAAAGCATGCAGGCATGCTGCAAACTTTGCTGCTTCTAGGACAACTGCTGCTGCTTTCTTCTCCTCCTCCCTGTTAGCCACTGCAAGCTACACTTTAGGTGTAATGATCAAACTTCTAGTGATTAATGATCATACTTCTGAATCAGACATATGATAGTTTGTTAAAAGAAGAAGCGGCTTCTGTGACTGTGAGGCCGTTAGTCTACAGTATGTGGGTGTGTGGTGAGAACAGTCACTGTGTGTATACCTACAGCATGCGTCAGCTTCCGGATAGAGGCCATTCCTTTACTGGTCTGTATCTTTAGTCATTTCACTGAAATCTGGTGTGTCCACATATGCTACAGTGTTTGATTTCAGTAACAGTAACCTGATCAGATCAGTGGGATATTTGATTATTTGCTTCCTAAATCAATGAGCAAGGTAATTACTCCTTGCAGTCAGCCTAACGTGCTCTACCCTGTTAATTTTTATGCTTTCTCTTTATCTCCCTTTTCATTTTTACCCCCCATCCCCTGTTTGATGTGGTTCTTTTCTTTTGGTTTCCCTCCTCCCTTGCCCTCCCTTTGCATGCTTGTTTCATGTGTTTGTCTCTTGGTGTGCGGTTGTGTATCTGTGGTCAGATGACAGCCGGGCGCTGCCACACGCTCCTCTCCCCCGTGACAGAGGAGTCAGGGGAGGAGGGCACCAACAGCGAGGTCTCCTCTCCCCCTGCCTGCCGCTCCCCCTCTCCGGGGGCTAACGCTGCTGAAATTCCTCTTAACCAGGTACTTGCAAATCCCACCCTGGTAATCCTCATCCCACCCAGCTTCCATTACTGACTGACCACCATCTGTTTCAGATGCCACCGCAGAAACGTTTAAAACCTCTTTAGGATCAAAATTGTGCAAATACCAATTGTAACTCATTAACCCAGCATTCTATCAAAAAAGCACAGTGTTTTACTTTTTTAAAAGAACATTAAAGCTAAAACTTTTTAAAGTGAAGTTAGGTACTTAGTATCTTAGTTGGTTTGTATTAAGGTTGAAGCAAACCTCTTGCCATAAAGGAATAAAGACCAAAACAGTCTTCTATCATCTTAAAACTATTGCAATCTCAAAAACATCATAACAGATGATGAAAACGTCACTTTATCAACTTTTAAACTGTGCATTTAACAGATATTGATGTAGAAGCTTGTGATTATTTACATGGGAAATAAGGGTTTGCGGCAGTGAGTCAACAGTTATCTTCTGGTGTGAAATGCACATAGAATAGAGCAAAGAGTTTTAGTTGAAAGAACTACCTAATAGAAAAGTTATTAAACTTAAAAAAGTTCTTAAGTATACACTTAAACCTTTAGGATACTTTTATATCCTGCACTGCAAGTTTCTTACAACCGCATTATATGTTTTTACCTCATTACCTGTTTTACAAAGGAAGATAAGTAATAGTGCCCTGCCTCCTAAGTGTAAATAATCACCTGCTTTTTGACCAAAGAAAATATGACAGCAGGTTCAATCAGACTATGGATAGGATATATAGGATAGGATAGGATATATAGGATAGGATATATAAGATAGGAGATAGGATAGGATATATAGGATAGTACAGGATATATAGGATAGGATATATAGGATAGGATATATAAGATAGGACAGGATATATAGGATAGTACAGGATATAGTAAGGATAGGATATATAGAATAGTACAGGATATATAGGATAGGATATATAGGATAGGATATATAAGATAGGAGATAGGATAGGATATATAGGATAGTACAGGATATATAGGATAGGATATATAGGATAGGATATATAAGATAGGACAGGATATATAGGATAGTACAGGATATATTAAGGATAGGATATATAGAATAGTACAGGATATATAGGATAGGATATATAGAATAGTACAGGATATATAGGATAGGATATATAGGATAGGATCAGATATATAGGATAGTACAGGATAAATAGTAAGGATAGGGTATATAGGATAGTACAGGATATATAGGATAGGATATGATAGGCTATATAAGATAGGATAGGATAGGATATATAGGTTAGGATATATAGGATAGCATAGGATATATAGGATAGGATATATAGGTTAGGATACATAGGATAGCATAGGATATATAGGATAGGATATATCGGAGAGGATAGGATGTATAGGATAGGATATATAGGATAGGATATATAGGATAGGATATATAAGATAGGATATGATATATAGGATGGATATATAGGATAGGATAGGATATAGAAGATAGGATATGATATATAGGATGGATATATAGGATAGGATATATAAGATAGGATATATAGGATGGGATATATAGGATAGGATATATAAGATAGGATATATAGGATGGGATATATAGGATAGGATATATAAGATAGGATATATAGGATGGGATATATAGGATAGGATATATAAGATAGGATATGATATGTAGGATAGGCTATATAGGGTAGGATAGGATATATAGGATTGGAAAGGATAAAAATATCACATCTGCAATAAAGCATTACTGCTTTATATTGCTGGAAAACAGAAGATAAGGTTGTTAAGGTTGATAGTACTAAAATATTTTGGCTGTAGAGGATTTCAGTCGTCTGATTTGATCTGGTTAGAATCTCTTTTTCAGTCTGGACATTTTTGCCTGAATGCATCGTTCTTCCTGAGGGCACAGGGGTGACGCTACCTTTCCTGTTTTTGAGATTGTATTTGTTTTAAGAGTTTAAGACATCTACTTTGGCTTGGTCCCTTTCTGACTGGCCTTCACTGTCCAGCTCATCTCAGTTTTTTCTAAATAAACACATAGAAAGAAAAAATCAGCTGTAGATACGATATAACTTGCTTATAACCTTTTACCACAACCTTCATTTTGAAAAATGTTATTGTACTTTTAATATTTATGTAACTCTCTAAAGTAATTGCAACAAGTTGCTTGTTTTTAATCAAACTTTATTGCTGGGTTATAAAATGAGGAATATAGGAACCCTGAACATGTGACTACCTAAGGTGTGCTTTTGTTATGTATCCCATCCTTTTCCCTCCTCCACAACCCAACATCCATCCACACTGCAGTGGATGTTTGATTCAGCCAAATATGATCTGCTGTCTGTGTTTTATCCCTATTAACATTGTGTTTTATATCCCTTTCGCCCAATTATTAATATATTATTTCGCTCCTGGGTTTTGCTGTAACAAGATTCAAAATCCATACCCAATATGTCCTTAGGACGACTTTGTACTATTTTCGTCTGTCATTATCTGTAATATTCAGGTAGTGAGAATTTACTGAACCCAGCCTATAAGGTTAATGATAAGCCAGCAGGCAATTTGGAAAGTAACAGCATGAGAGTGTTGTGAGTGTAACCTATTTTAATGAGCCCTTCGCAGGAAGCTGTGGTCCACACCAAAGAAGAGACACAGATTTACCTCATGTTATGTAAGAATGCTGTCCCTGTTTGTCCTTAAATTTCATTTGGATTACTGCATTCCTGATCTAGTAACTGGTAAACTGAGTTTAGTTAGGTTTTGACTTCATCCTCCCAGAGAACTAGACCTGAAGAGATTTTTATAGGTTGAAAACTTTACTTACCCTTTCAAGCTGATCAGATGTGTTTTAGGCATATTAAACATGTCAAATATATACATATGTCTTTATTAAAGGGACATGTTATAGTAAACATAAAACCAAATTTTTTCTTGTATAACAGCTGCGCTTGCTTTGTCATTGTGCCACAGGGTCGGGGGGGCCTAAACAGAGTGCCGCTCCAGGATCTGTACGACCCCTCGATGGAGACGGGTGCTGCTAACTTGGACGACCTGCAGAGATCCTGGGAAACACTGAAGAATGTGGTATGTCAACATTTCAGCCTTATAAATACAAATATAGACACTACTATTTCTTCTTCTGTGCCACAAACAGGTAATATAGTTCAACTAATCTACTTGCATAACTATGGAGCCAGAAGAAAAAGCATAACTCAAGTGACGGCATATATTACGGACCTACCAATGAGTCTATTCAGACTCTCCTGTCACTAAATAAGGTTTCTCATCAGATGTATGGCAAATGATTCTTGAAACTAAACTAAGATCAGACCAAAATTGAGGGACCTTCCTGCAGAAGTTTTTAAGAAATGCACATATTTTAACAGTATATCTGACTGTTCACATAAACTACGGTAAGTAGAAATGACGCATTTGTTTTTAAATTATCTAGTAACTTTTATTTTTATTCATCAGTCGTCAGCTCTGTTTCTTTAGTGTAGAAACATCTTAAGTGATGAGGTGAGCTTTACAAGCTGAAATGGCTACAAAGTTTCCCCAAATCTATGGTAAAAGCTCTGATGAGCAGTTGAAAACTAATGGAAGTGGAAAAGACAAACAGATTGAAAGCCCATCTTGGTCAACAAACACAATGTTTATAGAAAGCATTTGAGCTCAAGTTATTTAATAACAAGGAAAAATATAAATATTTATGGATTTTTTTCACTTATACAAAGGTCATTTTTTCTTTACTTAATCCTAAAATGATTGGCTTTCTGTTGCAGATAAGCGAGAAGCAGAAGAGCCTGTATGAAGCCCTGGAGAGGCAGCAACACTATCAGGAATCCCTACAGTCCATTTCTACCAAGATGGAGTCCATCGAAGGGGCGTTGAACGAAAGCCTTGAACCTAGCAAGACCCCTGAGAGCCAAATGGCAGCCCACCAGGTCAGTCAGGAATATTTGTGAAGCTGGATTCACGTGTTAGTTAAAATCATTGTAGAATCAGGATATAGCCAGTGCTCTGTGAAACTGAACTGATACTCCACTTGGACGGGTAACGGTTGCACAGACTGCATGGCATCATTATTCATTGCTATGCCAACATCACAGCTACAGCAGACAGTCTCCTATTCTAACACTGCTAATGCGCAGTTTGAGCAAACCGTCTCCCACAGCTTTCCCACTATCCTCATTCCCTTCATTAATTCCCCTCAGTCTCTCAGATTCTCACATTTCACCATCTGCTCAGGCCCTTATGGATGAGATCCTGATGCTTCAGGATGAGATTGCTGAGCTGCGGACCTGTTTCTCTGAGGAACTGGCTGACTGTGGAGATGGGAAGGCTGGGGATCAAATGGCCCTGCGGTCCACTCTAACTGTACTGGGAGAAAGGATGGCCACTATTCGCATGAAGGCATCCGGAAAACGGCAGCTACTGGAGGTAGGAAACAAAAAAACCTTCCTGTCTGTAGATAAATATATATATTTGTGTCAACACATTGAAATCTAATGTGTTTGATGTTTTGACCTGTGAAGGAGAAACTGAGTGAACAGCTTGAGGAGCAGAGACAGGAGCAGGCACTGCAGCGGTACCACAGTGAGGCAGAGGAGCTGGACCACTGGCTGCTCAGCACTCGTGCAACACTCAGTTCTGCCCTTCAGCCCCAAAATGAAGACTTGGACATGGAGGAGCAGCTCATTGACTGTCAGGTCAGATTTGACTTCTGTCCTTTTAAAACCCCCACTTTTTTTGCCAAAGTGGAAAAATCTTTACCTATTTTATTAAGGGTTTGGGGGATTATTCTCCTTTTTTTTCCTTTCTAATTTTCCATCTTTCCTTAATGGAGTAAAGTATTTTCATTCAGGCCTACGTCTATTTGAGAGTGAACTGTAGTCAGATAAACCGTCTGACTTCACTGCTCCAGGAATAGCATCTTTCCATTGTTTCATTCTCTGGGAATGATGTTAGAGTCCAACCTAAACTACTATTTTAACAGAACTTTCTCCAAATAAGAACAATGTATGAGCTCTGCTGAGCATTTCTCCTTTTCTAATTCATGTTTCTCTGGTAATGAAACAATGACAATTAGGATGCCGCTTTTTCTTTACATTGATTTCACCCGAAATGTTTAATATTCCAGTATAAAAAACCTTTAACCATGTTTCCTCCAAATACTATTGATTTTATTTTGTATGGACTATAAAATCGTATCGGCACATGATAAGTACAATACCCGAATTTTCTGTCTTTATCTGCATCTTAAATTTAGTTTAAATCAGTCATTTATACAGATTGATTAGAATAAAGAAGAGAACAATATTTAACATGTAACGTGACTTTGTGAGACTTGTAGAGGAGGCATGATGTTATTTATGAGATGCTGAAAAGAGGGTTGAATGCATAACTCAATGGCATCCTAAGAAAATATTATTTTAAAAGTCTAAGGCAAAAAATTCTGATGATTTATCCAGTGAAAAGAAATTAAGGAGACATTTTATTTTAATGCAGTAGCTTGAAGACAGGCCTCCTCAAAGACTTAAGAGTCATGGAGTGAGCTTAGTCTGCCTGTAACTCCAGTCAGTGGGAAATAGCTGCTTGTGACAGAAGGTTTAATGCATAGTTTAAGAATCTGTCTGTATTTAAGTAGAAGGGTAATTTTTTTTCCTAGACTTAACCAAATATATAGTGATATTGAATAATTAAACAACAAAAACCTTTAGACAACATGACACAATCTCTTTCTATGTCTTATTTATTAGCTTCTGATTGAAATACGGCCACACAAGATTTAACAAAGAGTCACATTTCCATTAAATGCAACATTGCATTAGTTTATTCTATTTCATTAACATTAACTAGAGAAAGTATTGCCTCTTGGAAAATGTTCTGCTGATTGTTGTAGCCATCTCGCCATTCTCTTCTGTTGTTTTAAAACCATCTTCTCCCTTCTTCTCCTCTTTATCTAAGTTTTTGCCAGTGGGTTGTTTTTCTTCTAAACCGACAACTTGGACTGTAACTCATTACCCGCCTAAGGGACTTTAATTATACACCTGGAAAAAATGTTAATCTAAATAAGTAATTTTTTCTGAAAATAAGTTAAATTGAGAAGGTAAATGAGACACTTTGCTAATGGAACAAGACACTTTATATTTAAGATAATAAAAATGAATTAATTTTTTATTTCAAGTGCATATTATCTAATGATCTCATTTTAAGAGTAATAATACTCATTCCATTGGCAGATCATCTTATTTACCTACTCAAATTAAGGGTAAATACACTTAATATAAGAAATTTTAATGTACAGATATTGTTTTAGTGGGTAAAGAGAAAACCATTTTGTATCCTGGCTCATATTATTGAATCTGTGTCAGAGAAGTGTGTTGATCTTGATTATTTGCTTAAAACCATCAAAAGGAACATTTATGATTCATATATATCTTTCTTACTTCTCCTGCTTTTGTTTGTTTTTAGAGGTTTTATACTGATCGATCACAGGTTCCTGAGCAAAATATTTAGAGGAAATTAGGATCAGCATTATTTTTTTGAAGTTAAACCTTCTTTTTCTTGACAGACCTCAGTTTAAAATGTGTATACTTTGCATATTATGCATGTATAATGCATGAGACAATTGTGAGCTTCAACAAAAGCATTGCTGTTCTGCAGCTGAGGCTAAAGGCATCAACATTTTAAAGTGTGCTGTGCAGTAGAGAATGACTAAGCTGATTATAGCTCGCATATATCCCCTGCAGTGCTCAGTTTCAGAGGTCTGAAAAACATCCATATTAGAACTGATCCTGAATATAATAAGGCATAAGAGTAAAAGGAATACGATGGTGGAACCATAATTTAATCCAGTTATATAAAGTGTTTTTTGTTTTTTTTTTATAGAACATGTTGAATGTCTGCTACATAATAGTGAACTGCAATATAAACCTAGACATTAAAAACGTTTTGCATTTTTTTGTTCATATATTTTCATGTCTATTTATTATACTTTGTGTCTGAACTCAAACACTTTATTTATTTTAAACAAACTGTTTTGATATGAACTATTTTCCCCTGACTCCAAACAATACTTAGTTTGACAGAATACTAAGAAAAACTCAAATATATATTGAAATGTGTCTTTTTATTCCAGTTGTTTGTACTTTCAGTGTTTGGAATTAGAAAAGATGGGCTCTCTTGTCACATCCGCTGATGATTTAAGTGAGGGGCTGTAAGAAAAGCCCTAGCAGATTTCTTTAGATGAGATTGCTGCATGTTGTTGACTAAAACAATTGTGCTTTCAGAACATGCTCTTTGAGATCGAGCAGAAGGTTTCCTACCTCTCAGAGCTGTCCGTCCACAGTGAAAGCTTGCTCTTGGAGGGTCGTGCCGAAACTAAGGAAGAGGCGGAGCAGCTGACCCTCAAACTGCGCTCCCTCAAAGATAGCTTGATGGAGCTGCAGCAGATGCTGCAGGACAAACAGGTGGACATCCAGGTGAGATCATTAGTTGTATGTTCTACTTGACCTGCTTTCCTACTCCTACTTTGGCTTTTTCCTTGTGCTCAGCTGCCTTTCAATGAGCTGGGTCACACGGTCAATGGTTGCATTGTGCAAAATGCTCCAAAGGTCATTCATTCTTCTCATACAAGTCCACTGTTTCCCTCCATGGAACAACAGCTGCTTGTGTTTCGTAGTGTGCCTTAAACAATACTATGCTAACTCATAACGTGCAAACACCAAATGCAAACCATCAAGTCTGTTTTCTTTGGGGAAACACCTTTGTTTCAGTCCTGCATTTAGAAACCCTCCACGAAAAAATTCTAATCAGCAAATTACAACCATAAATAACCAAGACTATTTTGAAGTGTTATTCCTGGTTTTACTTGGTAAATATTTTCATAAAATATTTTTTTTCAAATGTGCTAGTGGTATTTCTTCCTAACACTATAACAATTTTTTACAATTGGAGTCTGATTTTATGAAACCAATTTACCCTAAGATACCCCCCTCCCTGTCCTAGGGATCTCTACAGGAGCAGGAGGACAGTGAGCCGGACTCGTCTCTATCCCAGAGTCCAAATGTCCAGGACTGGTTGTCTCAGGCCCGCTCAACACGCTCTCAGCAACACAACGACAACCTACAGAGACAGAGGGTAAAAGCAATACCGATCAAAGCTGCTTTCTTTGAAACTTCCAGAGAATCAATTTGATTCTAGAAACAAAATTAAACTTTGAACTCATCTGATATTTCTCAGGAGCTGCAGGAGCAAGTGGAAAAACAGAGGAAGCTGCTGCAGTCTGTAGCCAGTGTTGGGGAGGAGTTACTTAATCAACATGGGACGTGTAATGGAGACAGGTGCTTTGATTAATTACGTACATATTCCTTGGTAAACATGTGTAAAAAAAAAAAAAAAACATTTCCCAAACTTTTTGCACTTGGTAAAAACCTTCTTTCTGTAGTGAGGAGTCTGTGCCTGGTGGAGTGCTGCTGGAGACGGAAACCTTGTCTCCGCTGGACCAACTGAGGCAAAGATGGGAAAACCTCAATAAAGATCAGAGCACAAAGCTCCAGCTCTCCCTCAGCTCCCTGGAACAGGACCAACTCAGTCCGGTATGCATGTCAGGCACCGTGGCTTTTCTAACTTTGGTGGTATTTTGAAAATGTAACTTGTTTTGAAAAGGCAATGGATTGTTTTAAAATTTGTGCATCTGTGTCCAGGTCCTTCACCGGTCCCGTCTGTCCAGTCCAAACGTAGTTTTCAGGAGTGAGGCTCCCGCCCAAGACCCTGGGTCTCCTAGATCATTGTTTGAAGCCTGCTGTAGAAATCTGGAAAGAATCAGAGAGGAGGTAAGCCTCTAATATTTCTATGTTTTTCTTTTTCTACTTTAGATCTCTGTGGATAATTTCTCTCTACAAAAAAAAAAAAAGGAATAAGCCACTCCTAAAGTACATCCCCACCTTTATTTTCCACCACAGGCAGCGGGCAGTGAGAGTAAACTGGCAGCATCATTTGGATCGGAAAGAGTGCAGCAGGATCTGTTTGCTGCAGTATCAGCGGCCTCCTCCTGGTTAGATTCAGCAGAGAATCAAATGCTCTCTGGTCCCGTCCTGCTGTCTGAGGATACAGAGTCTCAACTTACTAACCTTGAGGTAGATAGAAAAATAATACATGCAGCCAGACAACATTTAATGTCCTACATGAATGTCTTAATCTGCACACCAGAATGCAATAAAATGACATCCCGAAAACTGATGTTTTTTTTGTTTTTTATTTCTGTTCAGGCTCTGAGTAAGCAGCTAAAGGAGATAACAAGAGAGGTGAATGTGTGCAGAGATCTGCTGGGCTTAGGAACAGGCCGGCTGTGTGGAGGAGAAGAGCAGGCCCTGATGGAGGACACGCTGGAAGGCTTGCAGGAGAGAATGGGCCTCCTGCACTCTGCTTTAGAACAACATTGTGAAAACATGAGAGACACCCTGCAGGAACACTCTGCTTTCCAGGTCTCTAGCACCGCAACACTGCATGGCATCTCATATTTGCATTGCTAATATTTAACACATTTTCTGTTTTGTGTTTTTCAGAATGAGCTAAGGATGCTGTTCACAGGCCTGACTGAAAGCAAACATCAGTTACTTCAAAAGATGGCTGGAACAACAGACCGACCTGCATCCAAACAGTTAGAGGTACTTTCCAATCAGATCTACTGTGGGGTGTTGGAAAAAAGCAGCACACTTTTATGAAAATCTGTCCACTCAACGTTTTGTGTCCCTTGCAGGCATTGTCTGAGGTGGAGGAGAGCCTCAGAGAGCTTGAACAAAAGGTGACGGAGCTAAGAGTCAGAGCAGAGGGACTCCGACCAGACCAAACCTCCAACCAGGAGCTCCTGAAACTACAAGTAAGGACTTTATTCTACTTATTTTTATTTTGTTTACCACAGGTTTCCACCTGGAATTAACCTGTTTTATATTTCAAGGATGCCTATGAGGAGCTGGTGCTCCTGGTGGGCTCCAGGCGGAGCAGCCTGAACCACAGCTTGTCTCTGAAGGCCCAGTATGAGGCTGCTCTTCGTGATCTCACCGACCTGATCGACACTGCTCAGGACAAGATGGCTGCTGACCAGAAGATGACCGTCCTTTCTGTCATTGAGGTCCAGATGCTGCTCGACAAACACAAAGTAAGAAAAAAAAAACATTTTAAATTCTAAAGTTCTCCTTATTAGTATATTTTTTTATAAAAAGACCTTTAAAACGTGTTTTTTTTTTCAATAGGAGTTTTTTCAGGGACTGGAATGTCATATGATCCTCACCCAGACGTTCTATGCAAAAGTGTCCAGTCTGGTTGCACACAGGGAGAGCCAAGTGCTGGAGGAGACCATGGCTTTAGCTCACAATGTGTTAAAACAAGCCCACAGGAGGGGAGTGGAGCTAGAGGGCATTTTAGAGGTGAGAGTCATGGCACATTTTTAGAAGCTGGGAAGTGAGGATACCACACAGGTGTGTGATTGTAAAGGGGAAAAAAAGAAAAAAAACATCATCCTACTTTTTTCTCCCATCTCTACATCAGTCCTGGAGCAGCCTCATGCAAGATTACCAGGGTCTGTGCAGACAGCTGGATGCTGTAGAGTCTAGCATCCCAGCTGTGGGTCTTGTTGAGGAGACAGAGGAGAGACTTCATGAGAGAATCGGTCTCTATCAGGTAGGTTTGTTTATGCACTTTCAGAACAGTGTCTGCAGCCTGCATCTGACTGTTTAACTGACCTCCTGAGTCTTTTATAGCGCCTTAAAGCGAGCCTCACAGAACATCAGCCTCAGCTGTACCAGGTTCTGGAGGAGGGGAAGAGGCTCCTTCTGTCGGTCAGCTGCTCTGACTTGGAGAACCAGCTCACACAGCTGGGGGAACACTGGCTCTCCTCCACTACTAAAGTTAACAAAGAACTGCATCGCCTCGACTCCACGCTCAAACACTGGAGCAGGTCTGGATCTGTTATCATACTATTTTAGAATTCTTTAGTTTTAAAGTAAAGCTGTTTATAGTGGCTTGGAAAAGTATTCATATCTGTTGAGCCTGTTTTTCACATTTCAACACAAACATCATAGATTTTTTAACTCAGTTTTTATGTTGCAGAGAAACAAAAGAAAAAAACTCAAAGTGTGGCATACATTTGTGTTCACCATTATTTCTTTATCATCACCTGGCCAACACATCTGCCAACTATACTAATTTGTTTTCATCTGTTATCAGACATGATTTATTTGTTTAACAGAAGAAAAAAAGTTGTATATTTAAATATAGACACTATTAACTTTGTGAAAACATCTGCTATCTGTTCATTCTTTTTATTCTGGTTGGATTCTTAGCATCTCATCCATAATTTATAACAGAAACCTATGCACTCAGCCACACTAACAACCCACCTCCATTCAATAAACAGTGGATTCTTTTAGCTTTTTACCTGAAGGATGGATTAAAGAATCCTAGGAAAAAGATGTCCACAGCATGATGCTGCCACCACTGTGTTTAATGTACAGAACAGTGAAGAAATAAATGCAAGAGGAGCTTAATATGACCCCTGAATTTAAAGACTTCATAAAGGAAAGACAGCCAATGTTATTTATTTTATTTGCTGCACTAGTGGCTCGTTTTTTTCGACAGTAGGCTGACAGGACAGGGGGTATGAGAGAGGGGAAGAGACATGTGGCAAAGGACCACAGGTCGGAATCGAGGACTAAGGCCTCGATGTGTTAAAGAAAAAAAACACAAGCGCAAAATTTACTTAAACTTTGACAAGACAAGTAGAGCCTTTCCCATGCTGTCAAAAAGCTTGAGATTTTAAGAGTACAAAAGTGTCAGTGATGTGTGGCGTTTAAATTCTATCACACATTGTTTTGCATCTATTACACAGTACAAATGTTGGCCTCGTGGCAAAAAATAAGCCTGACTTCTTATGATTTGCTTTATACAATAGCCTTTGGTTTCGATTTTATTAATACCAGAATAAACAAGGCTCAATACAAATAGAACCAAACATTTTAGATTTCTTTTTGGACCGGATATTAAAAACCATTTTCCTTCCACAGATGAGCTCTAGTTTGTCTTGGTTTATCACATGCCCAAAATAAAATTAGGTTTATGATTGTAAAACAACCAAAAGTTCAAGGGGTACAAATAAGCCTGATGAGTGTTTCCTTTAATTTTTTCTTTGTTTGTTTGTACATTAAAGGTATCAGAGGGAATCAGCAGAGCTGAGGCACTGGCTGCAATCTGCCCTCGACAGGCTAGAGTTCTGGACAACCCAGTCAGTGACGGTACCTCAGGAGTTGGAGACTGTTAGAGACCATCTCTGTGCCTTCCTGGTCAGTTAGGTTCCCACATCACAACCGAAAACATCTGTCCCTCTACCAAACGTTTAGACAAATCTGGCTGAAATCCATTTTGGTTGTTTGTAAACTCTTGTAGGAGTTTTCCAAAGAGGTGGATGCTAAATCCTCACTACGTTCGTCTGTGCTGAGCACCGGCAACCGGCTTATGCGACTGAAAAGAGTGGACACTGCTGGTCTGAGGACAGCGATGGGCCAAGTAGACATTCAGTGGGCCGAGCTGCTCACTCGTATCCCCGTAGTGCAAGAGAAGCTCCATCAGGTCTGAGCATAGTTATATTACAGTGGACGGATTTTATTTCTAGTGTGATTCCAAGTTTCCTGCTCTGTGTCTTTGTTTTTTGCATTCCTACCAACTCTGTCTTCTTATGCGTCTTAGTTGCAAATGGAGAAGCTTGCATCAAGACATGCTATCACAGAGCTGATGAGCTGGATTACTCTGATGGAGACTATCATAGATGAAGATCAGGATAAGATCATAGGGACTGTAGGCTCAGATGTGGTCAAGAACTTCTTGCAGAAGTACAAGGTAAATAACTACTTTTATACCTACTTAAACTCATCCAGTTCTTTTTATTTTAATCTCATGATGTCTCATCTTAATCTTGCAGGGTTTCCGCATAGATCTGACCTGTAAGCAGTTGACTGTTGACTTTGTAAACCAGTCGGTGCTGCAGATCAGCAGTCAGGACGTGGAAGGAAAGCGGAGTGACAAAACGGACTTTGCTGAGAAGTTGGGAGCTATGAACAGAAGATGGCAGATACTGCAGGGGCTCATTGCTGAAAAGGTACAGTAATGTTCATCTATAGGAAGAATATTCTGCTCTGGATCTAATATCTCATATATAGGTTTTAAAATGTGGTTTGGATTGTATTTTAGATTCAGATATTGGAAGGACTATTGGAAAGTTGGCTAGAGCATGAAAATGGCGTTCAGGCTTTGAAAACCTGGCTCACGCTTCAGGAGGAGAAGTTAAAGAAGAAACACAGGATAGAGGATGTAGCATCAGTGCAGAATGCACTCAAAGACTGTCAGGTTGGTGCACTGAGCTCCTATTGCACCAGACGAAATGTATTTTAAAAAAAGGTTTGAAGGTTGTTTAAAGAGCTGATTATTGTTACAGGAGTGGGAGCAGCTAGTGAAAGAAAAAGAGAAGGATCTAGAAAGGGCAGAGGAAAGAGGAAACGCTCTCATTAAGGATAAGAAAGGAGATGCCTGTTGTGTTGTCAAGGAAACCCTTAAAGGGCTGCACCAGTCCTGGGCTAATGTGGACCAAAAGGTAAGCTTCTTTTATATCCTGTTGTCTCATTTATCAGTTTCTTAACATTTCCAACGTCTCTTTAAACCTGTTACTGTTTCCTCATAAGGTTGGTCAGATAAAGGTGAATTTGCGGTCGGTTTTGGAGCAGTGGATTCTGTACCAGCGAGCTTCAGAGGAGATTAATGGTTACCTGATGGAGGGGAGATATTCTGTGTCCAGGCTGCACCTCCTTAAAGGGTCTCTAGAGGCGGTGCAGCAGCAGGTGGAAAGTCTGGAGGTAAGGACGACAGGCGATAAAAATGAAAAAGTGAAATATCCCAGTTACAAATCTTTTTTTTTTTCATGCATACATCACAGAACCTGCAGGAGGATATGGATAAACAGGAGAGCAGTTTCAGAAAGTTTGGATCCATTACACACCAGCTGCTGAAAGAGAGTCACCCATCTGTAGCTGAAACGCTCAACAGAGCACTCCAGGAAGTTAATGCCAGGTAATAATAAAAAAAAAAAATCAATCTAGATGTTCTTATACCAAAGCCATATTTTGACCTCATCTCCTCTACTGTCTGTTTAAGGTGGAATCATCTCCTTGAGCAGATCTCAGAGCAGCTGAGGGGCAGTAAGTCCTTGCTGGGACTGTGGCAACGCCACAGGTTGTTGTACTGCCAGTGTGTGAAAGCAGTTCAGAAGCAGGAGGAACGTGCAGATCGTCTGCTAAGGAGCGCCTCTGACAGGGAAATCACAGAGGAGGAGAGCAGCACCTGGATAAAAGGTTGCGACGTAAGTCAAGCAAGAAGAAGACACTGCTGTTCACCTAGCTGGTAAAAAAAAAGGTTTTAGCTGTGCATTAACCTCAGTTTAACCTCTAAGCTTCTTTGCCGAACTTTAGTCAATTATGGTTAAACATCAAACATGGTTAGGCTTTAAAACAATATCTTAAGCTGTAAAATCTCACAGAGATCTGACTAATAAAAAAATAGGCAAATTGTATGCAAACTGAAGCCAAAACTGACGCCTCCGCACCTACAATGACAGCTCTGTCAAGGTGAGCATTCATCAAATAACATTGAAGGTCAACCTGAACACGGCTTTCCCAGCGTAAAACATGACGGTGGCAGCATAGTGCTGTGGGGATAGCTTTCTTCAGCAGAGAAAGGGAAGCTGAAGGGAAATCTGGAAGAAAAAACTGATAGAAGCTGCAAAAGACTTAAAAACTGCTCAATGTTTAAATCCAAGCAGAAGAGCTATTCTAAACGTACGACCAGTCATTGTTTAGAGAGTTTTCCCAAAAGTGCAGTGTATGGTTAAGGGAGAGTTGAACACAAACCACATGCAAGATTTATAAAAATTGTGTTTATAGCAAAAAAAAAACAAAAAACTGTAAAAACGAGGCATCAGTTCCTTTCCTCATTATAACTCATTGTTGGCCTGTCATATAAAATACTAACTGAATTTTTTTGCTTTAATCAGAAAATATGAATAAACTTAAGGTTTATGAAAATTTGCTTAACAGTGTTTGAGTTGGACATTTTTTCCTCCTCTGTCCCTCCTCTGCTAAGAATCAGGATGAGGCTCCTAAAAATCTTTTCAGCTCACTGAGAGTCTGCACAAAGCCTTTATGCCTGCAAATGAAAGCTAAATTATAGCCTATTCCTCTGCCTTGTTTGAATGTAAACTCCCGGCCCAATCAGCACAAAAGCTCCTTTACACTGAGGCTACAAAGGGAAAGACAAGCCTGTGATTTACACTACAGGGATCCCACAGCATCATGCTGGGCGTGTCTGAGCGTCATGTCACAGTCTTAATTGTCTGAGAGAGGATCACTGACGCAGACCGTTGCTAGACACAGTAGCAAAGAATTTAATGCTGCTGTTTAAAGCTTTTCCAAAAGCCAACCAAAAAAAAAGCATTTTAATGCCATACTTAAATTCAAATTTTTGGGATCTGAGAGGGTTTTCCTACCTAACACCTCGCCACTCCTTTTTTTCCCCCCCTCTTATATTCTATTGCAGGATTGCCTGAATGACCAAAACTCAGTACAGCAGTTGCTTGAACAGCTGCAGGCATTAGAGGAGCAGCTGAAGAGCCAAGTCGACGCCTCCTCCTCTGCATCCCTCAGATCTGACCATCTGCAGCTCTCTCACCGCCTGGCAGTGCTGGAGCACGCCCTGCACAGGCAACAAGAAGTACTGCAGGTGGGTTAGCAGAGATCAGGGGCGTTTCCTGGACCTGGGAACATTGGGGGGGCTGAGCCCACATCCTAGGAGGGGGATCTCTGGGAGTTTAACTGGGAAAAGTGACTTTTTATTGAAGCCTTCTTGTTTGAAGCTAAATATAGTATAGTATAATATAGTTAAATAATGCAATATGTAATATGTCATTATGTATAAACATCTACATAATTAGACTTAACCTGTAAATATCAGATCAAGAGATTGCAGATTGTTGTCTTACACCCTGCATGCATTTCAAACACCCTGCATGTATCTCAAATTAAGACTAATATAACCAGCTTATTACAGCTAAATTATATTTTTTTTATTTTGAGTGTCTAGTTTCTCTACTTCTATTATTCAAGAAAAAGACTAAATAATATAATTATTCAGGGCTAACTACCGTAATATAATTTTTTTTTCCAATTTTAGCTATTTTGAGGCTAATGCAAAACCTGCAGAGGTCTTTGTTTAAAGAAACATATAGAAAATAAAATTGATAAACAAAAGATAAAGTTTCATGTTAAACCAGTTCCATCCATTACATGCACTTGAGTTGTTTTAATCATTCCATGATTGCAATCCTGTCTTACAATGCCATGGCAATCGTGAACTTTATCTAAAAAAAAATCCCTAATCATTTTTATGACAATACAGGAAACCAACATTCTAATTCAATGGAACAAAAAGAGGGATTACAATTTAGAAATATTCAGAAATTTTCCAAGAAGGTCTATGTGGTTTTTCATTCTTTTTATACCAAGAACCAGTAAGATAAATAAATTTTAATTTTGTTTATAATATAGGGATTTGTGTGGAATTTGGTAAAAAATTAAATAAAATCCTGGAGCCTGACAAAACATTCTGCAGATGCATTTATTTTATTTTTTTGATCCACATATAGTTTATGTGACGAGCAAGAGAGAGAGATGGCATCATGATTTATTGGCTTTTAGCACTGATACCATGTAGAGTTGTCACAGAAGAAAGTTGCCACATTAAAGAAAGAAGAAAGATAATCATTGTTCTATCAAGGTGGCTAGCGGTAAACAGAAAGAACCACTCAGCTTTGCTATCTGTCCTTAGCTCTATGCCCGCATCTACTCAAACTCCTCTTTGATTGCTCATACCCAACCGTCATGCCTGTGTCGCATTCACCAAAGCTGGAAACATATTAACATTTAATATCTTAGGGCGGCTCAGTCAATTCCTTATTTCTCCAAAAAAAAATCCGGAGTTTGATGAGAATCATTTGGGGCTGTAGCCGGTAATGTCCAGGCCAGGCCAGGGATTCTCTGGAGTTTATTGCCTCCTATGGGTGGGGTTAGAAAGTTTCATTCTTGTTATCTGTTCTCAGTGTGAATCCCAAGCCTGCGAGGGTTTCCGAGAGCAGCTGGAGGCATTGATATGTAAGGCGAAAGAGGCGGAGGAGGTGCTAAAGGAGTCTGACCCAGTCGGTACCCCAGACCTCACTGTGGTGCAGACGTCCTTAGAAAAACTCAAGGTACAATCGCTACTTATGACTAAACTGCAATTAGAGTTCATCTTTAATCTTATCACTTTTTTATTTAATTTTTTTACTACATTTTTTGCACTTTTTGTAGGAAAACCTCCTGAAGCTGAGCAGTCTATCTCCAGACCTGGAGCGCATAAACGAGTTGGTCTACAGACTACCAGTCAGTGACAAAGATGTTAAACGGCTCCAGAATCTCAACAGAGCTTGGGCTGCTCACTCTGCCCACCTTACAGAAAGGTTCAGGTAATCTAAACATTTGAATACCCCTTTTCTTTCATTTTGGAAACATTGTGATTGTCTTTTTTTGTTTAACCATTTAAGAACTGTTAATCAAGACCATGTTAGAGGTCTCGTTTCTTAGAAATCAACTAAAGATAAATGAGAAGTGGATTGAAATGTTTCCATATTGCTTTGATTCCCCTCAAACTGACAGTGTGTTGAAATAATTTATTCTATATTTTGATCTGTTTGCTTTCGTTTTTATTTGCAGTAAACTTCAGTCAGTGTTGCTGCAGCAGCAGAGTTTCCTCCAAAAATGTGAAGCCTGGATGGATTTCCTCTCTCAGACTGAGACGAAACTGGCTGCAGAGATATCAGGCAACTACCAGAGTCTGCTGGAGCAACAGAGAGACCATGAGGTTAGACCCCTGTCATCAGTTTGTGCCTTTTAGATAATTTATTACGGTCACCAGATGTCCCAGATTTCCTGGGACAGTCCTCGTTTTAGGACCATCTGTCCCTGACTGAAGCTGTCCCAGATTTTCCCGTTTTATGAATGAATTGCTCTGCTGTACAGGTAAAGAGGAACAGAGCAAATCACTTTAGAACAGTGGATGTTTGTTAATCGATTAATTGTATTTGGATCGGGCTGATCATTGTGATACAGTTTTGGTTTAAGCTCAGGTTTAAAAAAAGGGCTTTGATGTGATTTGTTTTACTGAAGATGAAGAATCAACATGAAACATAAACCAACCTAATAGTCAAAAACTAAAGACCACGGGCTGCAGCTGGCATCAGTAAAAGAGACTCAGATCAAATGTAGCAGAATGTAAGGCTCTAATCTAGTATGATGGTTCTCCAGGTATCAACAAGGGTTTATCTAAAGATGTTTTAGAATGTATTGGTGACCTTTAGTTTATATTTTGAGATAGTATTAGTTATTAGAAGTAGAGTTTTTATAAGTTGTTTAGCTAATTTATGGTTATGCTTAAAGAGCATCGACTTCCAGGCCTAGGTTTTCTTTTCTACCACTCAATTTGGATAAATAAAAGTTGCTCATGAAAAATAGGAAATGGAAAATTCGAATAAGATAATATCTGCATGATCTGAGAATGATGGAAGAAGAGATACCAATCTATTTAATGTTCATTTATTGTGATGTTTTTGCTTGTAGCTCCAAATATTGTGGTAATTAGCAGGCTTGACCGCTACTTGGTTTTAATCCGTAACACAGGAAAACCTCATTCTAATAGGTATGTAGATGTGAACAGAATTTGCTGCATTCTTTTGAAGAGGTGGGGGAACTCTGTCTCCACAGACTGGTACAGGCAAAGACTGATTGTTGGATATAGACACCCAGACAAAAAAAGAACTTTTGCGAGATCTCGCAAAAGTTTATTTTTTCCCTCCATGTCCCTTTAGGGGCTCCGTAGGATTGCATACTGACCTTGTCTCTCTTCATTCGTGTAATGTCGTGTTTTGGGACCTCTCTAGAAATTAAGAACCTCTCCAAATCATCCTCCATGGTTGTAGCTGACACATGGGCATATTATCCTCCCATAGCAGTACACTTTGCACCTCCACTGTTGTGAGTTTGTTTTACTTCCAGTTCGCTGACATGGCAAAAGCTTATTTTTTGCGAGATCTCGCAAAAGTATTGTGGGATCTCGCAAAGTTTATTTTTTCCTCCATGTCCCTTTAGGGGCTCCGTAGATAGGCACATTCCTGGCTTTTACACTTATTTTTTGTTGTTTAAATATAAAAAATTCTATAAAAAATAAATTAAACCATTAATTTCCCATTTTCCTAATTCCATCTTTATCTGGATATGTCCCAGATATGATTTAAAAAATCTGGTCACCTTATCACTTATGCCTCTGCAAAAACCCCAAATGTAATAACCAAACACAAAGTTTTGCATTACTTATTATTTTTATTCCTATTAAATCTCTTTGATTCATTATCACCTGTATCTATAATAAGAGTGTGGGGATGGCTTTACTGTGATGTTTAGCTCAAGTTAAGCAAGAAGGTTGAAAACCATAAATTCAAGTAGAATTCATAAAAGTTTAAGTGGTAACCTCACAGAAATTTCAAATGCTCATGGTATGTAAATACCTTTTAATTGTGTCAACTGTTTGCAGTGTTTTTATGACCTTCTTAATCTGACAGCTGTTCCAGGCAGAGATGTTCAGCAGACAGCAGATTCTTTACTCCATCATCAGCGATGGCCATCGGCTGTTGGATCTGGGTCAAGTGGATGACAGGTTAACTCCACAAACACTCCATCCCAAAAGATTCCTTTATTACCTTGTAAGGAATCCAGTTTATTTATTATATTATTGTTTTCACTCCTGTTTCTACAACAGTGATGACTTCAGTGTTAAGCTGGCTCTGCTGAGCAATCAGTGGCAGTGTGTGGTGAGGCGTGCTCAGCAGCGGAGGGGCATCATCGACAGCCTGGTGTGGCAGTGGCAGAACTACCAGGAGATGTCAGAGAAGCTGCGACGATGGCTGCAGGAAGTGACCCGCGATCCGGACGTACTTCAGCCGGGAGAGCCGGTGGCACTGCAGGAGGCCCGAAGCCTGCTGGGTCAGATACAGGTAAGTCAATTTACAGCTCTTAGACTTCTCTTTCTAAAGTTACGCTACTTTTATTAAATCTCGAGACAAAAAAATGCCAATCAGGTCTAAACCCTGTAGCCCCAAACCATCTTGTCTCTGGCTCCATCCCTCCAGCTCAGGGAGCGTGTGCTTCAGAGGCAGCAGGGAGTCTACATCCTGATGGTGGAGGCCGGCAGGAGCCTTCTGCTGTCGGCTGACGCCAGGGCAGAGTCTACTCTGCAGACGGAGCTCATGGAGATTCAGGACAGATGGAGGCATGCCCACCACCGCCTGGACCAGCAGAAGAGGGAGCTGCATGGCTTGCTTAAGGTCTGGATCCAGAAAATTAAAACCGTAACGCTTCATTCTGTTTGATGCTACAATTTCATTGTAAAATATGTTATAAGTTCTTAGCTGTGACTCCAACAAGTTCATTCGGTGTGGCGCTGCAATGACACCTAAGCCTACCTGTATTTCTAAGGGGCGCCTCATTCATGTGGTTCTTAAAGTTTATTTCTACTTTATCCACGCATACCTGTTCTGATGCGTTTCCTTTTAGATTTCCCGGTTGTTTTTAAACAATCTAAATGTGGATTTCGATCAAAAATTCATGAATTACAGGTTGCTCTACTTTAATACTCGGTCCACTTTATCCACTAGCACCATCCAGTAAAACAATCCCTTATTATCACACTGCGGACAGTTGTTGGTTTCCTCAAACAGTGAATTTTTTGTATTGTGGTCAAATCTCTTAGTATTGCAGTTTTAATGTTAAACACAAATTGTGGGCAATGGGGACATTGGTGTCCAGCATCTTCCTGTCATCTGAGAGTAAAATTCTGTCTAGTTGAAGCACTATTTTTTTAGGGTGTCACCCATTTGGCTCAATGATCCCAAACATAATTAACCCCCCAAAAAATGTAAATAAAAATCAAGTAAATAAGAACTTATTCAACAAATTTCTACTTAAATAAAATAAAAAATGAGAGACCCAGTAAATTCTACAATTTAGAATAAAAAGTACTTGGTAAAAAGGTTGAGTACATTTTTTACTGTTTAAATGAAGTAAATGAGACAGGCCATGTTATTATTTTGTGTGCAAAGGGTAATGAACAAATAGAATAAACAAATAAAAAAATTAAAAAGAAATTCACATAGATGAAACCCTTTTCAAAATCCTTTTTTCTTACATGTAACATATGCTGTGAAACCATTTCTAAGGGTATATAAAGTATGCTTGTGCATAACAATATATATATTTTTACTGTACATTACCTGGACCTCCATGTCTTAGCAGATAATTCAATTCAGTTTATTTCTATAGCGCCAATTCACAACACGTCATCTCAAGGCACTTTACAGTTCACCAGATCATACACTCAAATTGATTCAAAGTTTTCTATCTAAGGAAAACCAGTTGATTGAATCGACTCATTGACTCAAATGCAATCCACTAAGCATGCTTGAAGCGACAGTGGAGAGGAAAAACTCCCTTTTAACAGGAAGAAACCTCCAGCAGAATCAGGCTCATTGTGAGCGGCCATCTGCCGATAAAAGTAAGATTCAAACAACAAAGATTGAGTACAAAAGAGAACAGTTATTTTAGTGAAGCTTAAACTGTCTGCCTGTGTCTATTGTATTTTAGGTTTAACTGTGCTTCTTTTTTCAGTAAAGTTCCTCACATTTGGTAGCTTCATGATCTTTTACTTAAGTAAAATTAAGTATGAGTAGGTTAACTAATCAAATCTAAATGTAGTAGGTGGGTATATGTAACTAGTTCGTATTCACCTCCGTTGATGGCTTCAAAATGGTGTTTCTTTGCACATTTTCGAACCAAATACCAGTGGTTGAATCTGTAGTAGCAACCTGAGCCTGTATCCATAGTTTTGTTGCTTTGTCCAGGAGAGAAAAACCATAAATAAATTCCACATCTTATTTGTCCTCATTAAACCATATGAAGCTCTGATTGATCGAAACCATGCCAACGACGAGTGCATGCAGACATCTAATGGGAGCCATATAAAATATACTGATCTCTATTCTTGCTTCTTTTTAACTGTGACTGCTGTTTCAGGTGATTCTGAGATGTTTCATTCCACAATAGACCAGGATCCATCTTTAGAAATAACTACAGGCTAATCTACTAAGAGCACAACCGCCTTCTTTTTTTAACGCTTTTAATTCCCCACTTATTTTGTCATAACAGTTTTGCGTCATTCTTTTAAAGATGTTGTCTGCTCTCAGTGTAATTTGCTTATGCTGCTGATAAAGACACAGGTATAATTCTCTGAAGGCTCTGTAGCGTGTGTGGATGCTGGTTTTCAGCTCTGATTCTTGCAGCTTGTGTTTGTGCAGAACTGGGAGCGGTGTGAAAAGGGCATTGACGTCTCTTTGGAGAAGCTCCGGGCCTTTAAGAGAAAGCTGTCCGTGCCGCTGCCGGAGCATCATGAGGAGCTTCACTCTGAGCAAATGAGGTGCAAGGTGAGATGACATCTTTTATTCTTCTTTTTTTAACTATTTTTATTTGCATCATCTTCTTTTTTATTGTTGTATCACTAAGCAATGTGTTGGTCTCTTTTACACGTATATTCTCAGACTCAGACTTGCCCTTGCTTTACCTCTTTAATCCCGCAGCCAGGGCAAACAGATAAACAGACGGGCAGAAAAACAAATTCATTCGTCTGCTTTATATCATGTGACCTTGCATGTATTTACTGTTTTGCCTTTATTTTGATTTGACACCTTGCATTTTATTCCTTAATACATTTTTTAAACGATACTTGACTTTTCTGTAACTGCATCTATAAATATTAAATAAATCTTTTTTTTTTTTATCTGCTCTTGCAGAATAGATATTTTTTTAATTAAAAAAAATTTAATTATGTTAATATTTTGGATCTTGTTTAGCCAGTGGATGCTGTATGCAGTCATATGTGATGCATGGCACGTCCTTAGCTCCTCAGGGAAGGAGGAGGAGGAATATGTGTGCAGCGGCACATAGCATCAGCTGAGGAGAAAAAAGGAGAGGGGGCGGGGAGATTGCGTGAGCAGGAGAGGGAAAGAAAGAGAGCGCATCCTTGGTTCTGTGGGGGTGAATGTGCGCGTGTGTGCTTCCTTTTTGTTGCGTAATGGAGACGTTCTCTGGGTCCACAAATGATTACAGCACAGCAGAACCGTCAGAGTGACGATGGGGGAGGAGGACATGCAAGGTTAGAAAGCTGTTACCGTGTCCTGCTTTTATACTTCAGTGCAGAGATTTTATTTGAACCGGAGGTTATAGATGCTGCTGAGCTAAAATCTAATTTCCTGCTCAATTTGCTGTTAGGGTTAGGGTTAGGCGTTCTGGTTAACCAATTATTTGGAGTCTTTGCCCTGGGGGGATTCTCTGTGCTGATCATGAATGAAACACATTAGTAGGCGTCTAACAACGTGACGTCTTGCTTGTCTGTATTCCTGCCATGGATTCAGGAGCTGAAGAGCAGTGTGGAGGGATGGACCGATGACCTTACTTCCTTGTTCAAGCTAAGGGATTCCTTGGAGGGTTTGCTCAGCGCAGATGATGTCACAGTCTTACAGGAACGCCTGCAGCTGCTGCAGCGCCAGTGGGAGGAGGTTTGCCACCAGGTAAATGCACACACAAAATAATAGGCCTGCAATATATTTTGTGCTGCAGGATGTAAAAGTTTTTAAATAAAATATATTTTAAAGCCAAAACAAAAGAATATATCTTGAGCACCATTTAAAATAAATGACAAACTGAGGGGTGAAACAGTTAAAGGTCATCTCAAAGCTCAGAAGCCCTAATTGCAAAAGCAAAAACTGCCTTAAAGTATAAAAGTTTATGTCTAACTTTGTATTAATCATATATTATAGGAAATAACCAACAGGAGTTGTTCATAAAATCCAAAATAGTTTAATTAATGTGGTTATATTTACAGAGTTGTTGCTAATCACTTATAACTTTATCAGTATAGTATCAGTTTTGCATTGGAAGGGAAGGCATTCTTTGCATGGATTAAGTCTAAGTGCTGAATTCTGTATTAGCCATGGATGGATTCATGCAGTATGATGATAAAAGTATTGTTTAAAGGAAGAATACATTATTTTTAAGAGAACCTAATTTTTGTAATTTGAATAACAACCTCCTGTGGGTTTACATGTTTTGCGTACCAGAAATTACCCTTTCAGACTTGCTGTTATTTGTACTATATTTAGTTTTAGTTATTTTCTTTTAGGAAATATGTGATGGATTATTTTCTGATTCAGGGGCCGATTTGAAACGGTTTGCAGACATTGTATAAAGCCTATAACAAGCATATTAATGGAAATAGGATGGGTCCTAAGAGTCATCCTTGAGGAACTCCACAATTAACTGTTTAATTAAACAATTAAAGTAAAAAAAAAAAAAAAACCTGCAGTCCTAATTGCTTTACTCTTACCACTCTGTCTATATTTCCTGTCTACCTACATGGTCTGCAGGTCGGGTGTAGAGAGATTTGTGCCATCTGTGATTGACACCGAAGATCTATGATGAAATGTTTTTAAGTTCCTCTTTCCTGTAACTGCTTACGTAAATCTAAGATTTCTTTTATTTTGAGTCACTTTTCCACACACATCAAGACATATAGCAAAGAAAAATTTTTCTTTTTCAACAGTTAGCGCTACAGATAGCTTTCATATCTTCTCCCACCAAAAGCCTTGCTCATAAGACTTTCCTTCTGATGCTCATTAAAATCAAAGCAATTGCATAAGGTTTGTTAAGAGATCAACACTGAATCCAAAACAATATCTGAGTAATAGTCTGACGCTAATAAACATCTGAAAGCAGCTACGTGAAGCAACCGATGAACTGTTTTGATGTGAAATTAAATAACGTAGAGTGTTTAAATACTTCTTTCTCGGTACCATGTGCAGATTCTCATGCAAACCACTCCTTATTCGAAATAGACTGTGATAACAGCTGTTTGCAGGCACAGAGATCAGCTGTCCTGACGTAACTACATTCATTCTTAACACTACAGGCGTCACAGGACCCAGCCGGGTCACTGGAAGCTTTGTTTTCACTAGAATGTGGTATCTAGTTAACTAACACGGTTTTAAGTATTAAAATTCACTCTATCGTGTCTGTTTCTCCTATTTAAACGTTCAATAAGAAAAACCCAAATCTTCTTCAGTGAGGAAAATAAGCATTTCAACATTTTGCAATTTCTCCCTCTTACATAGAAATTATGGAGGTGTCTGAAATTGTCATCGTAAAAAAAGAATGAAGAAATCACAATGTATGATTTTTAACTATTTGCTTGTATGAAACAGCTGCAAATAAGTATTTGAACCCCTGAGAAAATTTATGTTAGTATCTGGTACAGCCATTGTTTTTTGCATTTCTAGAGGTCAAACATTTCCTGTAGTTTTTCACCAGGTTTGCACACACTGCTGGAGGAATTTTGGCCCACTCCTCCACTAAGATCCTTTGTAGGTCAGTCAGGTTTCTGGGTGGTCACTGAGAAACGCAGGAGTTTGAGCACCCTCCAAAGATTCTCTATTGGGTTTAGGTCTGGAGGCTGACTAGGCAATGCCAGAACCTTGATATTCTTCTTCCAGAGCCACGCCTTGGTTATCCTGGCTGTGTTTTTAGGGTCATTGTCATCTTGGAAAACCCAGCCTTCACCCATCTCCTATGCTCTAACTGAGGGAAGGAGGTTGTTCCCCAAAGTCTGGCAATACATGGCTCCTGTCATCCTCTCCTTATTACAATGCACTCTCCTTGTCCCATGTGCAGAAAAACACCAAAAAGTTATATTTTGGTTTCATCTGTCCACATGACTTTCTCCCATGACTACTCTGGATTATCCAAATGGTCATTAGCAAAATTAAGACGGGCATTGACATGTGCTGGTTTAAGCAGGGGAATCTTCCGTGCCATGCATGATTTCAAACCATGATGTCTTACCTTGGAAACGGTGGTCCCAGCTCTTTTCAGGTCATTGACCAGCTCCTCCCGTGTAGTTCTGGGCTGATTTCTTAGCTTTCTTAGGATCATTTCTTAGGTGAGATGTTGCATGGAGCCCCAGTCCGAGGGAGACTTTCCCATACCTCTTTCTTGCCTTGTGGAGGTGTACAATTTTCTCTCTAGTGTCTTTAGACAGCTCTTTGGTCTTGGCCATGTTAGTAGTTGGATAGTTACTGACTAAATGGACAGGTGCCTTTATCCAGCGAACGACTTCAAACAGGTACATCTAATGTAGGATAATAAATGGAGTGGAGGTGGACATTTTGAAGGCAGACTAAGGTCTATGGGGGTCAGAATTCTAGATGACACTTATTTTCAGCTGTATCATAAAAATGGTTAAAAAAAAAATCACACATGGTGGTTTCTGGATTTATTTTTTTTAGATTATGTCTCTCTGTACAAAAGACCCTTAAGTAGTTTAGGTTTCGATGTTAGGTACTGCTGTTTATATTCTGTAGTTTCTGCACAGTGTTATTTTGGCCCTTAAGGCATGCAGAAGTTAGGACAGCGTTGCCGTGACGACCGTTGCTGCTGCCGGTTGGAAAGTTCGGCAGTTGAGCCACTGAGCTAATACAGGGAAAGGACTTGGAAATATGTGTGTTCTTCAAATAAGTGTGCGTCACTGACGAGTAAGTTTAATATTTGAGTGTTTATTGCAGTTAAATGAGTTATTTTCATTCTTAGTTACCTGTTGATAAGTCTTGGTTATCTGCTGTGTGTGTGTATTGTAGAGTGTTGTGCCGAACCTACGCATCCACTAAATGGCGCCAAGCCATAATTGTTAGCTAACTTTGTCGTTTGCTGATTAACAGTATATTAGAGGTTAAACTTTTTAGAGTTTAATTATTTTCTCCTTAGCTTATCTATGGTGTGATGTGTAATGATAGGGTAATTTGAATTATCTTTCTTGTCTTGTTTTAGGAAACCACACTCACACTTACACACGTATCTACCTGGAAATACCTTATGTTCATTTAATCAATTGGAATCCGAAATTGAGTTTGGAATATAGACCAGTTAAAGGATCCTGGCTCATGTCTTCATCCTCCACCTGCTGCACCTTCTTCTAACATCTAGTCCTGATTGAAATCCTGGCCTGAGTAGTGTTCTGGCCTAAAAACACAGCCAGGATAACCAGTAGTGTTCTTACAGCAAACTCACCAAACTCTCACAGTGGACATGCACCCACCATGTCAATTTCAGACCCCTCCATGATTTCTAAGTATGAGAACTTGCAAAATAGCAGAGTGTTTAAATACATATTTTCCTCACTGTTTTTTTTTTCTGTCATCTCGTTCATTTGTACTCTCTCTGCTCTGGTTCCATCAGCTTTCCCTCCGCAGACAGCAGGTGAGCGAGAAGCTGAATGAGTGGGCTGTTTTCAATGAGAAGAACAAGGAGCTGTGTGAGTGGCTCACACAGATGGAGAGCAAAGTCTCTCAGAATGGAGACATCAGTATTGAGGAGATGATTGAAAAGCTACGGAAGGTAATTTGTACTAAAAATATCTGCAACGCTTTACCTTGCCTATGAAAAAGTCGATTTAAGCTGAATCACTGTGTGGCTTATTTATTGATCTTAAACAATGAAGTATGACAAAAAGCAAACATAACCTGGATACAATTGAAAAAGGAAAATTTCCGAATGTTCTAATTGTTGTTGCTTTCATGCATAATGGTTCTCACTGTAAACCTTTAAATATCCTTAACACTCTTTCTAGCCTACTTCATGTTGTCAGACAGTTTCTGCACTGCAAAAACAATCTAGAAATAAGTAAAAAAAAATTCTTAAATGAAGTGTATTTACTCTTCATTTGAGTAGGTGAATAAGGTGATTTGCCAATGGAATGAGTAGTTTTACTTTAATAATAATTAGATAATAAGCAAATAAAGTCAATGGAATAGTTTTTCCTATTTCAAATTTAAATTCTCTTTTTCCATAGGCAAAGCGTCTCACCTCAATTCAAGAAAAAAAATGCACATATCTTAAGAAACACTTAAATTAACTTATTTAGATTTTAATTTTTGTAGTTTATCAAAGTAACCCAATATTCTACAAGTCTGGCAGTAATGAGGTGTGACTTTTCTCAAAGGCTTGATGGCTGTTGTTGTTTCCAAGGCTTAATTGGCTTCTTTCCTCTTTATAATTGATTTGAAATCTGCTTTTTAAAATTTGTGTAAAATGTATGATTTGAAACATTCAAGTGTGTCAAAAAAGCAAGGGCGTAGGTTTGATCTCAACTTTGGTAGGGACACTATTGGTCTTAAGTTGAATTGGTCTGATGTCATTGGTCTTATGTATGCTCCTATTTTTTTTATGCTTGACGTGAGCATCGGCGTATTTCGTTTAAAGAGAAAACAGCTTTTACAACATTTATACAAATTTTATAAGCACTTCACACACAAGATGCTGTTAATCAATGTTTGAAGCATCAGTGGCTCGGAATAATGAAAAAAAGGGACGACTTAACACTTTGTGAAGGGTTATATTTGAACTTACCAGTGACTAAGACTAATACGTGCTTTTTAAGCAAATATAGTGTAAATATGTCGTATGTGTATTTATCTTATCTGCATTTATTCTTTGACGAAATAGAATTGTGTAGAGGTAAACCCCACTCTTTTTTTTTATCTGATATGCTGGTACTATCTGTAGTAAAGCAAAATAACATATTCAAGGGACTGCAAATAGATTTACTGTTTTTAAATGGGCGCGGGAACTATAAGAGGAACTGACACTGAGCATTTAAAATATTGACTTCAATACAAGTTACAAGTTATGAGAAAAAAGCGACTGCAACAACACTGTATTGTAAATTATAAACATGTTGTTGACATAGGATTATTGGTAGGGACAAGTAGGTCTGGCCAAAATTTTGGTAGGGACATGTCCCTATGGTCCCTATGCAAACCTACGCCCATGCAAAAAAGCAAACCCAGCTAAAAAAAACAAAAAAGGGAAACAGGTTTTCCCAATAATGTGTCTACAAAATAAGGATTGAATTATTTTTACATAACATTGCTAACTTGATGTTTCTTCATCAGGACTATCAAGAGGAGATCAGCGTCGCTCAGGAAAACAAGCAGCAGCTACAGACGATGGGAGAGCGTCTGGCCAGAGCCAGCCAGGACAGCAAGGCAGCCGAGATCCAACATAAGCTCAGCAAAGTCGGCGAGCGCTGGCAGCACCTGCTGGACCTCATTGCAGCCAGGTGAGTTTACAGCAGACCCTCATCTACTGTTCAGACGTTAGTCGCTGAAAATCTCAGACAACCAAACTACCCTTGTGTTTAAATTCACCGTATAAGCTTTAATTTTTTACTGAAGCTCTAAAAGATTTAAAGAATATTTAATTTTAAGAATGCTTTGGTAACTAGATGCTTTACTGCAGTTAGCGGAGGGTTTTACGTTCTTCCCACCAGGCTGCTGATAAAATTCTCTTTGCTGCAGCTTCCATTCTTCTCCTTACAGAGGGTAGAGCAATTATACATTAGTCATTAAAGGTTTACTTTTTGAGCATTTGGCCTTTATTCCTTTCACAGAACACTTTGAATAATTTGTGGCGGAAGTTTTCACAACCCCTTACGTTTTTAAATCAACACAAGGGGTTGTGTTATTGTTAAACGGAACTGAAATTATTGTATTAAGATATGAAATATAAGCATCAAGTTAAATTCTGGAATTAAATTGAACATGTGATACCTGTAGATAAAACTGCACAAGGAAATTCACCCAACTACTAAACTGCTCACTTCTGTGTAGTTTGATTTCAGTATGAATTCAGCTGTTCTGCCAAAGCCTCTGAGGTTTGCTAAAGAACATTAGTGAGCAGACATGATCATGAGACCGAAGAATAAGCAACATATTCCAGTTTTTACTGCGCGCAAATGTGGAGGAAGTTTAAAATGAATAAATCACAAACCAGTAATAGTTGTTTGTCCATGTGCCTTGATGCCACAGATAAACTCCTCCCTCTAAAATGTAAAATGATCTGACCCAAACTTCCACTCCAACTCTCTCAGCTGCTTTGCTCGGCTGTTGCCCTCTGGGGCAGCAATGGAGGAGGAAAGAAAGGGGAGGACTGTTTCTGACCTCATGCAGGCAGCTGTGCTCCCGTGATCTTTTAGATCCTTTATTCGTAGTAAAAAATGCACAGTCACTTTAATGCTTTGTCTGAGTCTGCAGACGTACTCGATACTGCATGCTTTCTGTTGACACTCAGCCTTTGTGTAGTCAGTGTTTAATATTTCCACCCTCTGCAGCACATGTTTCTGACTGTACGGCTGTTTTTAGAAGCAGCCACACTTGTCACTCTCAGCCACTCACACACTCATACCGGCTGGTTTGGGAGCTTTTCTTTTTTTAACCTTGGAGATCAACAGTAGATAAGTCATGCTTTTGTCCCCCCGCCTCTACCTGCTTCGCTCCCTGCAGATAGTTTTAACCAAAGTCCCATGTGGAAGTTGCAGATAGAACCGTTTGGACACTGACTTCCTGACTTAGCCGTTTTCCTTGGGAATTTCAACCCTCCGCTCTATGGTTCTGGATTTAGGGACGGATAACATGGCAGGATGTTCCAGCGAGGAGGATCTGCCAGAGTGCGACTGCGATGTCAACAGGCAGGAGTTAAAGATTAACAAAGAGTTTTGTGCTTAATGCAAGGCTGCTTGTTGTTGTCAATCTTTCAATACGGTGTGGGGAATGACTCCCATCATATCTGTGATGCTGTTTTCATCAGGCTTTGTGGATATTTACAAAATGCAAATTAAGGGAAATATTCTTAAAATTTGAATTATTCAAAATTGGAGTTGATGGTGAATAAGAAGCCATTTTTATATGCCTTTCGATGGTGCTAACTGTCACGCAACTGTCACTACAACATGCCTAGCAGGCTTAGGTGTTTTTGAGAGGTGTGCAGCTGATCCATGGTTCTTGCAAATGCAAATAACAGTCAAATTTCCTAAGTTTTGTATTCAGTAATGTAATAACACCAGTCACATGCACCAATTCTTAGAAATAGTTGAACTTTGGTATGTTTATGCACTGTGAAAACATGCTGATATTATTACTCTTATGTCTGGTGGACGTTTCACTGCTTTTCAGACCTAATGCTTTGGAGAAACGAAAAAGATTGCAAGATTTTTAGTACATCATTTAGGGTGTTATCCCTTTCCAGATAAAGTGCTACAGAAATAAAATTCTTAAACTAGTAACCCTGTGGAACATTTATTTTTCTCAGAATTACGCAACTTTTCTACATACCATAACAGATTAAATATCAGTTTGACCTGATTCACTGCTAATGGCTTCTTTTGGAGTTGGCCCATGTTTGAATTGATTCCTCGTCTTTAAATCTGTTCACTGATTAGGGTGAAAAAGCTGCGGGAGACCCTGGTGGCCGTGCAGCAGCTGGATAAAAACATGAGCAGCCTCCGTTCTTGGCTCTCCCACATTGAAGCAGAGCTCTCCAGGCCTATCGTCTACGAAACCTGTGACAAGCAGGAGATCCAGAGGAAGCTCAGCCAGCAGCAGGCAAGCAAGCACAGCAGCAGATGTTTAACAGACCTACATCCATAATTTGATTTTTCTGTTTTTGATTTTTTTAAGCATTTATGGCGAGCTTTGTGAAAACAAAACAGAAATGTGTGTTTATTTTTATATTAACATATAACAGGAGAGCAGTAGATCAAACTAATAGGGAATAAGCTACATTACTTGAGCTATTTTCTTTAAAACAAATCACTGAAGGTTTTGTTCATTGGATTCTGGTTTAAATCTCATTTTGTCTGTTAAAACGCACTAACCTTCCTCTGATTAGATCAGCAGCCAGACTACACTACACTACTTCTTGTGGTTATCGAAACATCTTTGTGTTTTTATCTAAAGAATACATTAGCTTTATTTCTAAATAATGTGTGAAGCAAAGCAAAAACAGGCGAATGCTTAATTATTATCAATTATTTTTTCCAGGACCTGCAGCGGGACATAGAGAAACACAGCACAGGTGTGGCGTCAGTCCTTAACTTGTGCGAAGTCCTGCTGCATGACTGCGACGCCTGCTCCACAGAGACAGAGTGCGACTCCATCCAGCAGGCAACCAGAGGCCTGGACAGACGCTGGAGGAACATCTGCGCCATGTCCATGGAGAGGAGACTCAAGTAAAAGAACCTCCGTTATTTTTTCTTTGCAACTTCACAAAGAATTCAAAAATATTGCCTACTTTGCATAAGCATTTTTTATTCCATTTGACTCTACTTTTTTCTTTGTAGAATTGAAGAGACATGGAGGTTGTGGCAGAAGTTTCTGGATGATTACTCCAAGTTCGAAGATTGGCTGAAAGCATCGGAGAAAACTGCAGCCCTGCCCAACTCCTCTGGTGTTCTCTATACTGTGGCTAAGGAGGAGCTGAAGAAGTTTGAGGTGTGTTAACATCAAGCTCAATTGGTAAAATTTTTGTAAACAGTTCTGTTTTTTTATGCACAGTATTTTCTTTTGTTGTAAATTCTTCCCTTGCTACTTTTAGACGTAAATTTCCCCCCTGTGGGACAATAAAGAGTATTTCTACTCCATTTATTTGTCTCAAACAGAAAACTGTATCCTGCAAATGCAGTCTATGCACCAGTTCATAAAAGCAGAGAAGTATCAGGTTGCAGCAACCGATTTGCGTGGTGGTCTCAGCTGCTGCAGCCTGTCACTGTGCACGTGCACATGTCTGCCGACTGAATGTCTGGGGCAGGTCTTCATGTGCGCTGCTTGTCCTTGACCCCAAAAATAAGTCAAAATAAATGAAAGTTTTAAGGGTTTAGTGTAAAAAAACGCAGTAATTTGTAGAAATGTACTTGAATTTCCTTTTGTGTTTGGTTTTAAATCTGTTTGAGACACTTTTTTGTATGAGCAGCGACAAAAAGCCTCCAGTTTATTTATACCCTATTTTACCCTATTTAATCAATCATTTATCATTTAATATTTCCTCCCTTTGCAAACTGTTCTCACATTGTATAAACTTAAAACCCTAACAGACCTTTATTTTAATTTGTCATATTTTAAAGCTATACCTAAATGCCATGGAAATAAAGTTATTTTAAGTGTTACTGATGCATCTGTTTGTTTTCAGGCCTTCCAGCGCCAGGTGCAAGAATGTTTGACCCAGTTGGAGCTCATCAACAAACAGTACCGCCGACTGGCCCGAGAGAACCGTACAGACTCCTCCCACCGCCTCAGAGAAATGGTGCATGATGGGAACAAACGATGGGATCACCTACAAAAAAGAGTGGCTGCCATCCTTCGCAGATTAAAGGTAGCTCCATCAGGCTTACTGGCTATAATGTTTATTGAGTTGGAGTTCAAAGTTGGTTGAATATTTGTGATCAGATTCTTTTCTTTTTTTACACTATTAAAGTTAAAATCACAAGGCCACTTCACATCTAATGTTCTATCAATTGGAATGAGAAAATATGGAGTCATTAATGTGAATTTGTGCGTGCAGCACTTCATCAGCCAGCGGGAGGAGTTTGAGACGGCCCGGGACAGCATCCTGGTGTGGCTCACTGAGATGGACCTCCAGTTGACCAACATTGAACATTTCTCTGAGTGTGACGTGCAGGCCAAAATAAAACAGCTCCGAGTAAGAACAAGCATCATTTACTATTTATCCACCTCAATAAATTTTATCTAATACCAGTATTAACTGTGGATTTTGGCATGATAAATCAAAGTATTATTATGTGTGTGTGCAGGCATTCCAGCAAGAGATCTATCTGAACACAGCGAAGATAGAGCTCGTGTTTCGCCAGGGCGAAGCTCTGATTGAGAAGAGCGAACCTCTGGATGCCGCCGTCATTGAGGAGGAGCTGGAGGAGCTGCAGAGATACTGTCAGGAGGTGTTTGGGAGAGTGGACAGATATTACAAGAAGCTCACGAGACTGCCTGTAAGTGAACAGCTTGTTGTGGAGTGACTTCTGAATGGTTTATGTCCTCCTTTCTTCAGCTTAAAAGGGGAAAAAATTAACAATTTAAATTTGTACATGAATAAAAATCATGAGGCCCTTTTACTATTAACCCCTGGAATTAAATGCAAATTATCATCTGTAGAAGTAAAAAAAAACATCTGTTGGAGGAGAATCTGTTCATAGACCAAATTTCACTTCTGCTCATCATAGGTCTGGCTTTAAAGAAAAGCTGGCAAGGAAAGTATTTCTAAAACAATAAATCCATAACCAGTTTTCAGAACCCTGCAGTAGTTATTTATAATTCAATTTCAATTCAGTTTATTTATATAGCGCCAAATTCACAACACATGTCATCTCAAGGCACTTTACAGTTCAACCAGATCATACAGTCAAATTGATACAAAGTTTTCTATCTAAGGAAAACCAGTTGATTGCATTGACTCATTGACTCAAATACAATCCCCCACACTAAGCATGCTTGTAGCGACAGTGGAGAGGAAAAACTCCCTTTTAACAGGAAGAAACCTCCAGCAGAACCAGGCTCAGTGTGAGCGGCCATCTGCCGAGGCCGACTGGGGTTCAAGGAGACAGAAGCAGAGATACAAAAAGCAGCTGTAAAAGGCGGCCCCGTCCAGGAAACACACAGCCAGGCAGACGAGCTCCAAGGCAGCTCCCATGCCAGAGGACGAAGAGAGCACATCCACTCAGTCACGGTCAGAGAAACAGGACCACACTGGAAAACAGGCCGATCTCCAACATCTATTAACAAGGGTGTTGATAGAAGCAGCACAGCTGATGTTTTTTTCCAGGATGACGTCACAGCCAAACAGGAACAGACGAGGCAAAGCTACTCTGAGGAAAAGCAGAGAGAGCAGAAGGTTAGAGATTGAACTAACAGATTCTGCAGAATAGGAGAACAGAGAGAGAATGAAGCAGAATGATGAAATGGGGGTCCCTATGTCCTCCAAAAGTCTAAGCCTATAGCAGCATAACTATAGAGATAGCTCAGGATAACCTGAGCCACCCTAACTATAAGCTTTATCAAAAATGAAAGTTTTAAGCCTAGCCTTAAAAGTAGACAGGGTGTCTGCCTCACGGACTAAAACTGGTAGTTGGTTCCACAGGAGAGGAGCCTGATAACTAAAAGATCTGCCTCCCATTCTACTTTTAGAAATTCTAGGAACCACTAGTAAACCTGCAGATTGAGAGCGAAGTGCTCTGTTAGGAACATAAGGAACAATCAGATCTCTGATATAAGATGGAGCTTGGCCATTTAAGGCTTTATATGTGAGAAGGAGGATTTTAAATTCTATTCTTGATTTAACAGGAAGCCAATGAAGAGAAGCCAGGATAGGAGAGATATGATCTCTCTTTTTCATTTTCATTAGAACTCTGGCTGCAGCATTTTGGATCAGCTGAAGGCTTTTAACTACAGTTTGTGGACTTCCTGATAGTAAAGAATTACAATAGTCCAGCCTTGAAGTAACAAATGCATGGACTAGTTTCTCAGCATCACCCCTGGACAGGATATTTCTAATTTTTGCAATGTTCCTCAGATGAAAGAAGGAAATTCTAGAAACCTCTTTGATATGGGATTTAAATGACAGGTCCTGATCAAAAATAACACCAAGATTTTTTACTTTATTATCTGAAATCAGTTTAATCCCATCCAAATGAAGTGACTGGCTAATCAGTTTCTTTTTCAGAGACTCTGGTCCAAAGACTATAACTTCTGTTTTGTCTGCATTCAGAAGCAGAAAATTAAGAGTCATCCAGGTTTTTATGTCTTCAAGACATGCCTGTAATCTATGTAATGGGTTAGCTTCATCTGGATTTATAGACAGATATAGCTGGGTATCATCAGCATAACAGTGGAAATTAATCCCATGCTGTCTAATAATTCTACCAATTGGGAGCATGTATAAAGTAAAGAGAATTGGTCCTAGCACTGATCCCTGTGGTACTCCACAGGTAACCTTTGAGCGTGTTGAAGATCTATCATTAACATGAACAAACTGAATTCGATCAGATAGATAAGATTTAAACCAGTCTAGTGCTGTTCCTTTAATTCCAACAAAATATTCAAGTCTTTCTAAAAGAATATTATGGTCAACTGTATCAAATGCAGCACTAAGATCCAACAGGACGAGCACAGATACAAGTCCATTATCTGAGGCCATGAGAATATCATTAGTGACTTTCACCAGAGCTGTTTCAGTGCTATGATGAGCTCTAAAGCCAGACTGAAACTCTTCAAAAAGTTCATTATGGTGGAAGTGATCGCAAACTTGTTTGGCAACTACTTTCTCAAGAATTTTGGATAAGAAAGGAAGATTGGATATAGGTCTATAATTGACCAAGTCATCTGGGTCAAGAGACGGTTTCTTAAGCAGAGGTTTAATTACAGCAATCTTAAAAGCTTTAGGTACATATCCCTGTAACAGAGATAGATTAATCACATCTAAAATGGAGGAGGAGATCAAAGGGAATACCTCCTTAAATAACCTGGTTGGAACTGGATCTAACATACAAGTTGAAGGCTTAGATGAAGACAATAATTTTGCTAATTCAGAGAGTTCAACTGGATCAAAGCAGTCTAAACCCGGTTCAGATTCCATGACTACCTCAGGTACAATCGCGGATAGAGGAGTGCTTATGATCTTATTTTTAATAAGATCAATCTTATTTATAAAGAATCCCATAAAATCATTGCTGCTAAGAGCAGGTGGAAGGGACGGTTCAACAGAGCTATGGCTCTGGGTGAGTTTGGCAACTGTATTAAAAAGAAATCTAGGATTATTCTTATTCTCCTCTATTAATGAGAAGTATGCTGCTCTTGCTTTACAAAGGGTCCTCTTATACAGCAGTAAACCATTTTTCCAGACTAGGAAGGACTCTCGCAGGCCTGTGGAGCGATATTTTCTCTCCAGTTTCCTAGCATTTTGCTTCAAAGTACGCAGCTCTGCATTAAACCAAGGAGCAAGCTTTCTATTTTTAACGGTTTTCATTTTCAAAGGAGCTGCGTTGTCTAAGGCAATACGCAGAGAACTAGCAACCCCCTCAACAAAATCATCAACCTGTGAAGGGGAATAAGCTAAGCTTTTGCACTCTGCAGCACTGCTCAGTGACACAGAGCAGAGAGAAAGTGAAGCAGATTCTATAAAATTTATAACTGCACTATCTGATAAAGATCTACTAAAATTGAACCTTCTTTTGGGGGAGGAGAACTCTGTTAAAGTAATCCTGAAGGTTATTAGAAAGTGGTCAGAGAGGACAGGGTTGTGAGGAAATACTGTTATTTCTTCACATTCTATGCCGTATGTCAGCACAAGATCCAAAGTATGAAGATGAGAATGCGTGGGACTATTCACATTTTGAACAAAGCCAATAGTGTCTAAGATAGCATTAAAGGCTGCTCTTAAGCTATCGCCTTCAATGTCAGCATGGATGTTAAAATCTCCCACTATGATGACCCTGTCAGTATTTAATACCAAATCAGAAAGGAACTCTGAAAACTCATCTAAAAATTCAGAGTAAGGACCTGGTGGACGATACAAAGTTACAAAAAGAAGAGGTTTTCTTGCCTTGAAATTTGGATCAGGGAAATTAAGGGTTAAATGTTCAAAAGAGTTGTAGGAATTAATTGTTTTGGGAGTAATCAGTAAGTCAGACTCGAAGATTGTTGCTACTCCTCCTCCTCGCCCAGAACTTCTGGGGATGTGAAAATTTAAATAGCTTGAAGGAGTTGCCTCATTTATGCTCACATAATCCTCTTGCTGCAGCCAGGTTTCTGTAAGGCAAAACAAGTCAATGTGATTATCACAAATCAAGTCATTAACTAGTAGACTTTTAGAGGAAAGCGATCTTATGTTAAACAGACCGCATTTAATTGTTTTAACTTTTTCCCCAATTGGAGTTATTTTGATTTTAATTAGATTATCATGATTTACTCCTTTGGGAATCTTTGCTAATTTATTAGATTTTGGTCGTGGGCAAGACACTGTCTGGATGGAGTAAAGAGTGGGTAACAGTAGAGAAGCTGCAGAGATGTGTGTTAAACTACAACTCTGCTTCCTGGTCTGCACCCTGGGTGGTCAGGGTTTTGGAGGACTAATAAATGTGGCCAGATTCCTAGAAAGAAGAGCTGCACCATCCAAAGTGGGATGGATGCCGTCTCTCCGAATCAGACCAGGCTTTCCCCAAAAGGATTGCCAATTATTAATGTAGCCCACGTTGTTTTCAGGGCACCACCTAGACAACCAGCGATTGAATGACGACATGCGGCTAAACATGTCATCACTGGTCAGATCAGGGAGGGGACCAGAGAAAATTACGGAGTCCGACATTTTTTTGGCAAACTTACACACCGAAGCAACACTAATTTTAGTGACCTCCGATCGGCGTAACCGGGTGTCATTACCACCAGCGTGAATAACAATCTTACTGTATTTAACCTTATCCTTAGCCAGTAGTTTCAGGTAGGATTTGATGTCGCCCGTTCTGGCCCCCGGCAAACATTTGACTATGGTCCCTGGTGTCTCTAATGCCACGTTTCTGACTATGGAGCTGCCAATCACCAGAGTGGGCTTCTCAGTGGGTGTGTCACTGAGTGGGGAAAACCGGTTAGAAATGTGAACGGGTTGGTGGTGACCAGTGGGCAGAGATCCACGACTACGCTTTCTGCGTACAGTTACCCAATCGCCTGGCTGCTCAGGCACTTTTGGAGGACAGCTACGTGGGGGGCCTACTTCAACAGCCTGAAGCCTGGATTCTAACTCTGACACCCTCGCCTCCAAAGCTACAAAAATACTACACTTATTACACATCCCATTATCACTAAAGGAGGCAGAGGAATAACTGAACATCTGACACAGAGAGCAGGAGAGAGGAGAGGAAGAAGGAAGAGTTGGAAAAGAGTCAAGGGAGGGAGAGAGAGAAGCCATAGCAATGCTAAGCTAGCGCTAGCCTAGGCTAGCTACTTCTTGCTATCAGAAATAAAACCGTGTGAAACTGACAAGTGCTCAGTAGAAAAGTGCAGCAGAAGGTGCTATGTTTTAAAGTAGTCAGTTAGAGTTACTTAGATACAGAGATATCACAGAGAAAATAACTTAACTTCAGATGGAGATCCTCTGAACAGCTGCACACTCAGTTGCACACTCAGTTAATCCAAACAGGAAGATTGAGGACCTCAATCGACTCAAGAGTTTTGTTTTGGAACAGATTAATGCATTTTGCTACCAAATCCTTCTTCTCTGCATCCTCTAGTTGGCCGATGATGATCTGGACGGCTCAGACAGAGAGTTGGACGTGGAAGATAGTGGAGACCTCCCCGATCTTCAGTGGAGCGAGTCCCCGGTCCCGCGGCCTTCGAGCCGACCCACTTCAGGCACAGCGGCGCTCATTCGGGCAGACCGCTCCGGCAGAGACACTCCGGCCAGTGTGGACTCCATCCCCTTAGAGTGGGACCACGACTACGACCTCAGCAGAGGCTTGGATAGTCCCAGAGGGCGGAGTGACTCAGACAGGACCCCAGACCACGAAGAGAAGGATGAATACCTGAGGACCAGCGTTACTGTGTTGTCAGGTTAGCTCTATTGAAATAATTTCCATTTATTCCAATATTAAACTTTAGGATGAATACAATCATGAATCAGAAAACTCCTAAAGCACAAGAACAATAATCCAAGAGGACAGCAAAAACAAACTACAACTGTATGGTATTCAAGGATGTTGGCATCATAAGTAGAATATGTTGTGTCTCTTTTCCCAGATGTAGTTATCCCAGAGAGCCCAGAGGCCTATATAAAACTGACAGAGAACACGTTGAAAACGTCCTCTGGTATGAAACCGCATGAGTCAGTGCGGCATGCCATCATTTAATGCTAAAGCTTGTTTTGTTTGTAACCGATGCATTCCCCAGCCACCTTTAACTGCATGTGAAGATAAAATTATCACAAAGCGTCATCCATTACCCTCCAACTCTAATAAACCTAACTTTCTTTATAATTCCAGTGATAAGCCACCATTTTCTATGTAATATTAATGCATGTCAATTAACAGCATGCAAACAAAAGTGCTCAGAGAATGCCGTCTATAGCATGCTAAAACTGTGTTTCCTGGTCAAGGTGAGCCAGGCCAGCTGGAGGCCAGTTTGAGACAGCTGGACCAGGCTCTGGATGCAGGACGCTACCACCTGCAGCAGAGAGAGGCCTCTGCTAGCCGCTCCAGCTCAGACGTGGACTCCACATACATGGGCTACGTAAGTCCAATGCGTCGTTTGGATGTGATATTTATGAGAATAATGATATTTTTTATATTTAAATGAATAAGGTAATTACCTTCTCTATAAAATTATTTTGAATGATTTGCGCAGATGCGTCTGATGGGAGAGTGTCGCGGCAGCATCGACGCAGTAAAAAAAGCAGAAGGAGAGCTGACCGAGGACGAGGATGACATGCCAGGACTCACCAACCCGGCCAGCGCAGAGACGCAGAGCAAAGGTTAGAGCTCCTTCAACTCCGGACCGTTCAGGTTTTTCTGGTGCTGCTTTTCCTAACCGTCTCTTTTTTTCCCCCCTCTAGGTGTAATTGAACGCTGGGAGCTGATCCAGGCTCAGTCGCTGAGCGAGAAGCACAGACAAAAACAGAACCTGCGGCAGTGGCAGCAGCTGATCTCAGAGCTGCAGACCATGAGGGCCTGGCTGGGTCAGTCTGAGGCTGAGCTTAGTCGGCTGCGAGGGCTGGACGTCAGCACCAACATTCACACCATCCAGCAGCGAATCAAGAAGCTCAAGGTTTGTGGTTAGAAATAATCTAGTTTGTACATTATGGGTTGGTTTTCAGTCTTTCCTGTCATTAATGCATGTGGGTTGCCTCTGTATAGTGTCATACGCTTAATAAAAATGCATCTCGCCTTAGCAAGTTAGCTAAACTCTCTGGAATCAGCGTTGGACAAAGAAATAAAGAAAAACACAAGGCTATTCTTAATAATGTACTAAATTGAACACTGAGATAGAACTTAGATGGGTAGATAGGACTCACACAGGTTTTGATGTGAGTTAGTCAAGATTTAATATTCTGTAAAGTCTTCAGGAAAATTTTCCAACTGTTCGTTCATTTGTTCTGCATCCTTTCATATTTAAGATGTAGTGGAGGATTTTTGTGAATTTTTGATAAAGACCCGCCCTCTCCACTTTAAAAAAAAATGCACACGCACAACCCTATACCCGCTCCTGAGAGGGAATGCCTATTTAACATTTGTGAGCATGCATGAGCCCATTTCTTCTCGTGCACGCTCTGTTAAAAAGTTGCTGTTTGCATCACTCATGCAAGCTTACTTTCCAAAAGAAGATTAGCAATTTATCCACTATGTCAGACTCTCCACCAGGAAGTAAAAATGGGGACGAGCACATAGGATGGCCTTACGTAAACATATCACCAGATTCATTGATAATTAGGAGGACCACTTATTTAGATGATCCATCCAGTAAATGAACATCCTCCACTATACCTTTAAAATCTGATCATTGCAGAGATAATCTATAAGGATCTACCTGATTCTGCAGCGTTGTTAACCGTGAGTGAGGAGAACAGTTTAGTTTGAACTGTAAGCCCCGCCCTCAACCTTCTCCCACTGAGAATCTTCCTCCACTGCAGCCAGTTTCGAGTCTAGATTCAACCCGAGGCGGTCTACCAATGCTCTCCACCTTTAATCTGCTCCAAGATTTAATTAACTCTGTCCATTCCTGCGTTTCAACTCTCTCTTCTCCTCCTCCATTTTGACCCTTTTTGGCGGTTTTGATGTATATACATACAGCCAGCGCAGGTATCACAACTTTACCTCCATCGACGCCATGTTTCTCTGTTTACAAGACATGCTGTGAATGAGCTTGGAGAAAAAAAAAAACATCGTTAGAAAACACCCTTAGTGGCTGATTGGAAACAAGAAGCTCGTCAGAATGAACCCATTGGCAGAGAAAAATATCATGTCTAGAAGCCTGCACTAAAAATATCACTGCAAATATGAATTAGAAATAAATGAAAAATGTCTTAAATTAAGTGTATTTAGCCTTAATTTGAGCATGTAAATAAAATGATTTGCTAATAGAATGAGTATTTTTACTTAGAAATATGATAATTAGATAATTTGAACTTGAAATACAAGAATCTGGTTGTTTTTTTTTGTTATTTTAAATGTAAATTGTCTTGTTCCATTAGCAAAGTGTCTCACTTACCTCTTCAATTCAAGAAAAAAATGCACTTATTTAAAAAAAAGAAAAACTTTCTTAGATTTTCTTTTTTTCCAGTGTACCTGGACTCCTGCATAAGCACAATCAATATGGATGTTTTTTTGTCAGAGAGAAAAAAAAATAATTGGATAAAGTGCCTTTAAAAGGCTCTGAGAACTGGTTCAGGCTTTTGACCACATCATCTGAGTCTAAACCTTCTCATTCTGACTCCAACAAGTTATAATCATTTGGCAAATAAAGTCTAGTTTATGATTAAACACTATTATAAATAATATGTGGCTCTACAAGCAAACATGCCCTCTGCTCTCTCTTCCAACCAGGAGCTGCAGAAAGCGATGGATTCTCACAAGTCACAGGTCCTCTCTATAAACCTGAGCAGCGCAGACTTCCTGCAGTCAGAACCCGACTCAGAGGAGGCCTGGGAACTGAGGGATCGGCTAAAGGAGATGAACTCGCACTGGGAACGGCTCAGTAACTCGCTTGAAGACTGGAGGGAGGAACTGCAGAGGGCGCTCATGCAGTGTCAGGTAAAGAGCAGACTGAGTTTCCTTCATTTGGGTTATTCATTCAGGACTGTAAAGGGCAAATGTGAATTAAAATACCTTGCGTCAGTGGTACCTATAAAAATAGCTCTTTTAAAATAGGAAAATATCTATTTATGCCAGTAATGCATCCCTACTAAGATGCTTTATTTTAAACATATACTATCTATTCTTCTGTTTTAGGAGTTCCATGAGATGAGTCACGGTCTGCTGCTGTGGTTGGAGAACATTGACCGCAGGAGGAACGAGGTGGTGCCCATCCCTCAGAGAGCCGACTATGAAACATTACGACATCATCACAAAACACTGATGGTATGCGGTTCCTCAAGTTAGGAACTGAAAGTGTCACCAATTACCTCATATGACAGTTTTCTCTCTGGATTAAGTATAAAAACTAAATAATCTAGAAAAGGTTAGCATATAGGACCGATATAAATAATGTTTTAGATTCTGATTCATTTTTTCCCCCCACTTTTCTTTTATCTTCTTGCAGCAAATCAAGTGTGAGCTGTTGGACTCACAGCAGAAAGCTACTTCTCTTCAGGAGCTTTCCACTCAGCTGCTGGTCAACGCGAAGCCCCTGTCTCTCCAGACCCCAGGGCAAAACCAGTCCCATGGCAGTGAGTGTCTAGAAGCACGAGAAAAGGTCCATGTTATCTGGAATAGGCTGCGGCTCCTTCAGAGGGAGGTAAGCTCAGACCTGGAGCTGCTGGAGAAGAGACTGGAGGCCGTGGAGGCACAGCAGGTTAGAGAATACTTCATGCTGACATGTGTTGCTTTATTTTATAGTTTTCTTATCTGATTGTTAAATGACCCCAGTGTTGTTATTGGTTATATTCAGGATTACCTGTCTGGACCTATTGGAAGATCCCAAATCCGCGGATCTGCTGGTCCCAGGACAGAGAAGGCCGTTCAAAGACGAAAACAATCGGTAACTTTCTCCCTGATGTCCGTGTCTTTGCTCCAGACTGTAGAATATCCCTCCTCTGAATGCTGCATACCGGTATTTCTTTTGCTCCCAAAATAGATACGTTTATAGATGTTTCCCTCTTGTATTTTATTAAATAGCAAATGTTTCTCCACTTTGCAGTTGCTCTGCTAACATATAGGCCACAATGAAGCTGTGCAACCTTCCCACATTTTTTTTTTTATGAGTTTTTTTTTTGCTGCCGGCCTCATATTGATCAGCCAAAAATTACAAGAAAACCTGGCTTTTCTTTTTTTTATATTTTATAATATTAGTGTTCTTTTAGTGTAATAAATGGTAACAATATATTTCTTTAAAGTGATTTTTTTTTTTCCTGAGAAGCCAGATTTCTTGGTTCAGAAATCCAATCACCATCATTGATTACGTTGCTGCTATTTGGTTACTGATGATTCTCTTCCTTAGCGATGTTATGGCTCTTTTTATGTTTGTTTTTTTCCTCTCATCTGAGGCTTGACCTTTTTTTGCCCTTGACTGAAACATTCTTTTCTTTCTTTTACACCCTCCCTGCTCATTGCGTGGTACAGCCTCGAAGCAAAACTAGTCAGGCCCACCCAGGACACGCTGAGAGCGGCTCGCGCCACAGGTACCTCTCTCCAGGACTCTAGAAACTCGGAACGATCATGGAACTGAAGCCAACTTCTTAACATGTCTTATCAGATGAGTTGAATATAAGTAACAATGGATGTCTAGTAGAAATTGGGATGTATTACATCCTGTTTAATTTGCGGTTTATTTTAATAAAAGTGCTTCCAGAGTTCCATGATCTTCCTTCAATCTAGAGACCAAGTTGTCGGCTCTTAAATGAGCAGGGACTCGCCTACATCAGGCGACTCCCTCCCTCCTTTAAATCTTTTTTTTTTCCCTGCTTTGCTGCTTTTGAATTAGCATCATGTAACAACAGTCATTTCTTGTAGTACCCTTCTCACTCACTGGGTGGCATTACCTCAGCCCTCACTGTCCTTCAGCTGCTGAGTCTATAGCTTTGTTTTTCTCTCCCCTGTTTCCTTCCCGGTTCATTCTCTTCATAGTTTTCCAGAAGGATACGAAGCTTTAACTCTTGCCGGGTTTCCTGCTGTGTTTTACTCCCACTCTCTCCTCCGTTTCCTCCTCAGAACTCACCAAACCTTTGCCCTTCATGGTCTTGCAAAAGCATTCATAACCCTTGAACTATAAAAGAAGAAAATGTCTGTCATATTGCAAACCAGATTTTCAATAGACTGAAATATGACAAAAAAGTTTCAAAAAAAGAAAAAAAAAAATCAGAAAATGTAAGCATGTATTTGATATCAGCTCCATGCACTCCTTATACTTCCAAATAAAACCCTTAATAGGTAAAGTTCTTCTGTTCATTACTTAATTTCAGCCGGTCATAAATCCTGCTGTTCTGTAAAGGCCACAGAGGTTTGTTAGAGAACATTCCCTCAGATTTAAATATTTCCATCTGTATAAAAAAAAAAAGAGTCCGCTGACAGGCTGGGCAAGTAGAACATTACTAAAAACAGCAGCCAAGAGGTCCGCAGTAACTTTGGAGGAGCTACTGAGATCCAAATCTCAGATAAAGTAAATCTAGTCTTTTTCATCATTAACTACAACCCCAAAAGAAATTCTGTTTGCAATTTACAAAAAGTCATGTGAGAGACACAAAAAATGCAGAGTAATGTTTAAACACACATCTGCACAGTGCAACATGGCAGCATCGTGCCAAGGGGAAAATAATGAAGCAAAAGCTGCAAAATACCTCAGACTGACGCTTCCAGAAAAACGAAGCCCCTAAACATGCAGCCAGTTACTTTGATTTAGATTAAATAATGAATCAATGTAACATACTGTAAGAATGAGCAAAAAAATCAGTAATTTAGATGGCCAAAGATGGTAGAGGTAATACTAAAAGACTTGCAGCTGCACTAGAGGACCGCTCTACAAAGTACTGAGATGGAAGACACTTTTCAGATTATCATTTAGAAGAAAAGGAAAAAAAAACATAATTTCCCTTCCACTTAGCACATGAAATCTGTATAAAATAATAAATATACTGTGGAAAATACAGTTAAAAAATGTAGAAAAAGATAAAGACGTATACACTTTTAAAAACGCACTGAAAGCTGTAATCAATGCAGACTAACCCTTTCTAGTCTTACCATTAATGCTCCTATAAAGTTCACCTCATTACACAAACAATTTACAGAATGTGAGCTATTTAGATCAGGATATGTGCTCTGAAAATATAATCCACACATGCCTCCTTTCCAGCTACAGGTTTGTAGGAAGGAAGACTAAATGAAATGGGCTGCAGGGGAGGCGGCTGGAGGGATGTGTGTATTTGACCCTCATTCAGCCTCCGTGAGGATGAGTGCCTGGGAGAACATAATGTTCCTCCCTTTGAAACTTGGCTCCAATCGTGGAAATCTCCAGAGAGCTTTTTGGCATTATTCCTTTTTTTTTTCTGTTTGGAATGATACGTGGCATTGAACTCTCACATAGTCGGCTCTAAAGCCAGAGTTTACCCCCCCCAGAGATTTGGAGTCCTCTATCTTTGAATGCTCTTGCTGCTATGTTGCTTTTTTTATACACTTCCCCCTTAAAAACATAATAATACTGCATGAATGTTTCCCCGTTTTGTCACCTTATCAAAAACCTTGATGTATTTCAATGAGATTTCAAGTACAAAGGAAACGACAGAAATAAGTGAATAATTTAAGGAGGGAAAAAACGTTTTAATCAACTCCATAGCTTCAAAACGCCTACTAAACTTATTAGAACCAATTTCCTTTAGAAGCCTCTTAATAATAAAGTAATTTAAACCTTAACCCATCCAGTTAACTGTGATAGGCTCCCCTGCTGAAGAGAAGCACAACCTCCATGTTTCACTGATGATCAGAGAGATGAGCAATATTTTTGCACGTAGCTTTTTTTATGATTTAACCTTTAATTTCTATAATCAGACTAGAAAACCTTTTGCATGTTTGCTGTCTCTCCTACAGAGATTTAATTCCACTAAACCACACTATTTGATGTTTCATGACCAAATGTGGGCAAAACGACAAGGGGTGTGAATAGTTTTGGAAGTAACTATGGAGGATTAGTGTTTTTTTCTTCTTCTTTTTTTAATACATTCCAGAGTGAAGACTCTGAGTTAGAATGATGTTACAGTACGAGAAAACAAAAAGCAGATCGGACGTGCCCTTTGCTTCTTCTCACTTTTGTTTGGGTCTTCCTGCAGCCGGAGCCGATGGCCAGGCGCCGCTGGCTGCGTTTCCTCCCGTTCTGACCTTCTAGACGGCGTCTCCTCGCAGTCCTCCTCCTCAAACCACAAGTCCTTCCTGCTTCGTGTCCTCAGGGCCGCGCTCCCCGTCCAGCTTCTCCTGCTGCTCCTCATCGGCCTGGCCTGCCTGGTACCCATGACGGAGGAGGACTATAGCTGCCATCATGCCAACAACTTCGCCCGCTCCTTCCATCCGATGCTGCGCTACACCAACGGACCTCCGCCCATATGAGGAGCGGCAGACTTCATCTTCCTACTTCTTTGCCAAGGACTTCTCTGAATGTTTCCTCTTCACTTTGTGCCCTCAAGCAGTAAACTTTTCAACCTGCGTAATGAAGTATTTCTCTCATAATTGTTGCACACCCTTCAACCCTTTAACGAAGTGGACCTTCATACGATCAATGCTTTTTCTCAGTCCAGATAGTTCTGGTTTAACTTAAATGTGTATATATATTTTTTTTAAACTCACGTTAAATCATTTTAACGAACAAAGCACTATTTATGTAATGTATGTTGGGAGCCAAAGTCAGCCATGCTTTTTGTCCATGATATACAGCTGCTAGTATTTATTTAGTGTTCAATCAGCTTGGAGCTGATCAAGCTAAAGTATCCCTCCAGTGAGGGATACGTGTACCTGTAAATTGTAGAGTAGCCTTGCAGGTTGAGTAGCAATCATTCAGTCTATGTGTGAAGAGTTTCATTTTAAGATGTCACCTTTGAGGATATTCTCAGATTTAAAAGAACAAACTGACTGAAGCAGCACAGAAACTCCTCTGAAGTTTGGGATGTAGCATCATTTTTGGGTTTAAAAATGACCTGCCTGACTCTATAAATGAAGATTTCACATGTTAAAGCAAAAATATTTTGAAGCACTGTTTTAAAAAAAAAAAAAAAAGGTACCGCACTGAAGCCCTCTGTTAAAGCTAAGGCTTGCATCCCAACTAGGAAAGTTGGTAAAAGAACACATTTTATTTCTAAATTAAAAAATAAAATCACTTGCTTTGTAAATTATTGCTTAAATTGTCTTTGAAAAGAGGTCGGGGTTTTTTGTACTTTTTGGTTGAGCATGCACTTGAAGGTCTCCTGTGCTTAACGAAGCCAAACAATCACTGCTAGTGTTTTAGTGAATGGCTGTGACACGATAAAAGTGTGCTTTGTAATTACCGTCTAATTACTCCAGAAACACTGCATTGTTATAACTAATTCTGTAAAAATAAAAAAAAATAAAAAACATAAATTGTTATTTATGTATGTACAGTTTGGAAGATTACTCTTTTTGCAAATAATAAAACATGAAGTATTTACTTTTGTGCATTCTTGGACACGACTCTTCACACATCTAAAAAAAAAAAAAAAAAGTGAGCAAAAGTTTCCCACCGTCAGCCTTTATTTACATGCACAATAAACACACGATAATGATGTCCGGTTTGGCTGGATTTACCCTCTAAATCAGCTCAAGTGAAGTTCCCACACATTATGTTGTGCCGCTTTAATCTGAATATTTAAACCATTTCTAACATATTGTTCTGATGTATCTCAGCTATGCAGGTAGAACAAAAGACATGCTGACATTTCTAAATTTAATTAAAATTTAGAAATGTCAGAAAAACTTTGTTACATTTATTAAAATATAGTTGAAACTGCTTTGAGCTAACAGCTAGATTGGTCTTTATTAAACTTTACTTTAAAAAATATATTTTCTTTTTTCCCTATTAACAATATAACTAAGACATTCATGTTTATCATATAGCTGGATAGCTTTTTTCTTTAGTTAATGTGAAGTATTGCAGATATGCAACAATCCTTTTGCTGATTAAAAGATGCAAAACGCTGCCTCAGTTTTGCAGACGATGCAACAAAAGCTGCAATAATAAATGTATCTTGCATTTAATTTAAAAACAGATTCTGTCTATCTGAGCTCTAGATGTTTCCTTCTAGGGTTAAAAACCACCATAGATCCACTGATCTCTGATTTTTAAAATATGTTAAACAATAAAATAAATAGAAAAACAAACATTCTTTCTAGGAAATGATCAGAGGGCTAAATTTACAAACTGCTTAATCCAGCATGAGATCAGTAAAAAGTGATAAATTAAGGCATTTGAACAGGGAGCAGGACTGATCCGAAGACTGATTTACAGCTTAATCCACAGGCTAATCCAGGGTTAAGTTCAACAGAAATCTAAGCATAGTTAATTTAACAGTATTATTCCATGTCTTAGGGGGAGGATAATAACACTGAATAGATATTATCACCGAAGACAAAAAAAACAGCATCTGTTGGATCGATTTAACCATATCTATTATCTATATCCATATCTATTTCAACATTATTTTTTCATTTATTTGGATTGCATAATATCATAGTGTAGATACTACATAATATATAGAAAAGTCTGCATATTAAGCATGTTCAATTCATCTTGAAATTTCCCAATCACAATGGCAGGTATCCTAAAAGTGAAAAGTTGAATTAATTAAAAAAAAAGTTAAAATGTTATGTTGTGTACAAAATGACTGATGTAACTTAAGGTTTTAGAAGATGTTTGAGGGCTGATCAAAATGAAAGCTATAAATAAACTGATTTTTCAGCAATAATCTGCTCCCCTGATCACACAGCAGGTGCTGTTGGTTGCCATGCTTGCTGCACATAAGCATATTATCCTCAGCATTCTGCTATTCAGTAAACTTAACATCACAATATGCAAACCTTAGGAAGTCAGGGAAACGGGATACTTAAGGGCTCTTTAGTGGAAATAAATTTCACACAACACAGTAGCCTACACCCAGATTTGAACGTTATGCAGACTAAAGGGACTAATTCACTTTCAGTTAATACAACATTGTATTGCTGTTGAAGTGTGTGTACAACCAATGATCAAGAAAATCCAACACATTTTTGTTTGTTTAGTCTTTGTTCTACTAGGATAGCAACAATTGACACTACTACTAGTTTTTGTTGAAATCGTCAAGTGATATAAGGAGAAAGGGTGCAAAGAACAGATCAGCAAATAAGAGATCTTCCCGAAAAATAATCAAATCAGTCGAGTGATATTTTTTAAATAAAAAAGGTGAAAACCAACTTCCTGAAAAATTTTTATATGGAAAAATAAAGTATTTTGTTGAAGCACTTAAAGCACTTTTCAATTTGCCTGTAGATTTTCAGGCCAATTGAATAGATTGACTTATCTATATTTTGTCAAACTATTTTTATGAAAATACCCCAACAGAGTTACGATCTTAGCCCAACACTTTACTATTAATATTACTATTATTATCATTACTGCTTTTGTTTTTTTATTGGTTTCCTCAATCTATTGTGTCCTTTGCTTTTTTAGCCATCACCATCTGAACCGCTGCCAGATGTGTGGCATCTAGTACCATTAGTTCCATAAAGTCAAATGTCCAACATCAGCAACATCTCATTTTCCAGCTTTTGTCCAACACATCTGCATCTGACACAGCTAGCAATCAGAACCACTAAACATCTCCCTATGCTGTCATGATAAAACTAGAAAAGATCATTTACAAATTTGAATTACTACAAAATTAACTATAACTTTTAAATGTATTCTTACAAATCAACCTGTTATACATGAGCTATTACACTTAAATTCATAGAGGAGCAAATCCAGCCAAAGTCTGCATACTTTTACTGCAATAGTTGGTTAGTAGCAACAGGTTGTTGTTGAAGTGTTGGCACTCTTACATCTTTCTATTGCAGCTACAGTCAAAGTGCTAAAAACACATGCCGGGACACAAGCTCATTAAACATTTAACACACAAATTCTGAGAAAATTGTGGCAGGTAAACATAGGAAACCCCTCCTGTACACAGACAGCAGTGGATAACAGTTACTCAGCTTTCAATAGTGTGTAATCAGTGTGAGCAGGATTGATCTGGTTCCTGTTAGCCATCTGAGCTGCAAGGATAATAAAAAAAAAAAAGGAAATTGATATGAGTTTGCACAGATGACTCATGCAATACCTGCATGAAGCATCAGTGAAAGCTATCAGTTATAGGTCAAAGTAAAAATAATGCCCATTAGTCTTTCAGTCAGAAGTGCACTTTGGTCAATATAAGGAATACACAAAGATTAGCTGCTCATCCTTTAAAATCATTTTACGTCACTAAGACCACATCTGCGGTTTGAAATTAAAAGCAATGCAGAAAAGATGAAACTTAGCAAATCAAGTCAACTGAACTGAGGCTCATAGTGAGCTGAGAAGGTGCATTTTATAAAGACAAGCTTCTCCCCTTTAGCTAGAAAGTTATATTCTCATTTATAAATTACTTTCTGATAAAATCATTGTAAATATAACCCTCCGCTTTCATTTTTCAAAACTGCATGTATCATTCATAAAAACGACTCTGGGCCTCCCACTCACAGGACCTGGGTGCAGTCAGAGCGGGACCCTCCGTACTGCAGGACCCCTGGAGCCGAGGGAATTCTGATCAGGTTCTCGCTGGTACCTCGAGGTCCTGAACTACAACCTGCTGATGAGGAGCTGCTCCCACAAACACCACTAGAGCTGCTGGTGGAGGGAGGGTTTCTGTCGTCATCCGGAGATGAAGACTCAGGCGGTTTGACCGGGTGGTGGCGGTGAGCATCAAGCATCTCCAGCAGCAGATCATACAAAGGCACTTTGTTCTTGCATTTCATACTGTAGAGGTGCTCCATGCCTTTGTTGCTACACGGACGAAAAACAAAAGGAGAAATTACGTTTAGATTCACTTTTATTAGTAAATAATTCAAAGCTCTAGATGTCCTTGTACATCCTGGCAAGGCTAAAGATTCACAAATACAGTCATCTCTAATCTGAACTTTTACATGTTTCCTTTTCCTTTACAATCTTTGATAATAAAAGAGGCATAAAAATAACAAAAGCATTGTTGATTACACTTCTGCTCCTAATAAAATAAGCAGAAAAAATCTGAAAAAAAAAAAATGTTTTTGTTCTTTCAATTGTTTAAAGTTTGTAGAGGATTCTTTTTTTGTTGTTTTTTTTTTCTCGAACTGATTACTTTTATTGAAATGTGTAAAGCAATGAATATGTAGGCATTGTAGAAAACTATTTTCAACCAAATATTACAGTATTTAGCGTATTATTTCCAACTTGGTGTGATTGCAGGTTTAAGCTTTCAGCAGCTCCATCGGGTTTGAATAGAGAGGTTAATAAATACCACAATATAACAAAAGAAATGTTGATTTAAAGATTATATACGAGGTTATATACGTTTTTACTGAGAAATATCTTGATTTTTTTTTTTTTTTTTATTTGTGCCTTTGCGACTAAAACATTGTTTTGTTCAGCACAAATGCCTATTTTCCCTAATTTACTTGGGGTAAGAAATTTCTGCGCAATTTCTGCGGATGTTATCTCAAGCGTGTCTGTGTTAAATGGGTCCTATCTAGCAAGCGTTATACTCAAGATGGAGTTTGTTGATACTCAGAAGCGACCACGTAGGTTGAAAAATGTAAAAATGTAAATAAAACTTTGACAAGGATGAGCTCAACTTATGAGAACGAGCAGAATAGGGCTGCAGTTCTGTGTTTTAGCCACAGGTGGCAGTATCACAAGAAAATATAATGCCTCTTTAAGTATATAAATACTATAATTAATACAAACCACACTTCTAATCTTTATAGAAAATTTTTTTTATGGTTGGTGTAAAACATTGAAACTACAAAAAATGAAGATATACATCTGCTTTCACACGAAACAATGATCTAAGTTTAAAAAAAAGAATAATTAAATATTAGTAAAATTTATTTTAAAAAATAATAAAAAAGAGTAATAAAAATAGTATCATTTGACGTATTTTAGCACTAAATTCCTGGTGTTTTCGCTCCACAAAATTAAATGTTTTACTGGGATTTTATGGGATGAAATGTTTACATGGATAAAAACACTCATCTTTCTTTACTCTGACACTCTTAGATGAAATCCACTGCAAACAATTGTCACCTGATCAGTAAACAAAGACCTTCTGTGTGCCAAATACTATGTATGGATAAAAAAAAAAAAATGCAAACTGAACACACCATCCTGATGGTAAAACATGGCCATGGCAGCATTGTGTGGGTTTTTTAGAAGGGATAGGGGGAGCAGATCTAAGTTAGGGGAGAAAAAAAAGGGCAATCCTTAAAGAAAAGCCTTTCAGAGGCTACAAAAGACTTTAATCTGGGTGATCAGCCTCCAGCAGGAGAACCTCACTAAACCTGTAGCCAACAACACAATGGGTGGTTGAGATCAAAACCTGTTGAAGTGTTAGAACGGTCAGAGGTCCAAAACCAACTCCAACATGATTTAAACCACACCACAGCTGCAAATAACCAAACACAAAAATTCTAGAAAGTTTTTATTCGATTCTTATATTTTTGAGCTTTGGTATCTTCGCTACTAAAAACTTTCCGTCTAATTTTACATTTTGATATTCGCACCTGTTGACTGCCTTTTCATAAATTAGTTCTATTCTACGTAGAATGACAATAAAGCATTAGTCAAAAATTAAAAACAGGAACCAATCAGTCTCTTCTGGGACTTCTCTAGTTAGGATTTACCTCATGTGCCTGATGTGGGAAAGCAGCAGCAGCAGCTGAGCCTGTCGTCTCGCCTGCTGCTGAACCGAATATCCTGATTGGCTGATGTGATGTATGAGCGCATCTGTGATGGTGTCCAGCATGTTCTGAACGGCCGCGCTGTCGTGAAGGGGCTCCATTGTGCCGGTGCAGAAAGAAAAGGCACCTGACAAAAAGAGAATCAGTTCTCTACATGTTGTCTAATTTCTTTTTACACAAACTAAATGAAAAACTAATTCTACTTGCTTCAGATTCATTTTGGGGCAAAAATACCAACTGAAGTTTGTTTTGTCTAGGAGGTAATAAAGGTGAGTCATGGATATAAATGGAAAGATTAATTTGAACTGAAGAACCTTAGTCATAAACCAATCAAAAGTTCATCACGATCTACAGTCTGAGCTCTTCCATCTCATCCCCCGGGTATTTCCGACGTCTCTGGATCGCATATAGAATATCTCAACAAACACCCCCCCCACCCCCTGCGCTGTTTCATGTAGTCAAGGCAACAGTTATCAGGCATATTGACGATACAGGCCTTCCCAGAACACTCTGTTCGCCTAATGTGTCTGCTGCTCTCAAAGCTACACCTCTGTGGGTGTAGTTTGACACCGCTTAATATTTACTCAGAGCAGCAGAAATGAAAACCTGTGTCATGATGTGCATGCAAACAAAACTGTGAAACTTGTGCTTTTAATTGGTGACATGATGTGTCTAATACACGCTGCCAGAATTGTAAATGTAGTCTCATGTTGCGTTTCTATTTCATCCCTACTGACCGCCAGAGGGCGGTGCTGAAAGCACTGAATGTTCCCTTCGGGCATGCGCAGTTCGAGTAATTATACCAACAGAGTCACACCTGTGACACCGGATGACCACTCAGAAGCTATATAGCCTGGTGTCATCCTTTGCTCTGCTCCTTTTTTTCTTCTCGCAAGCGGTTCGCTAACTTCCCCGTTGTCTGAAGCCCCTGTCTCTTGACCGGAGTTGCGGTTATTCTCCGCCCTCCCAGGGCTGCAACGGGTCGATTCTGAAGATTACGGAAGGTAAGTGAGTTGTTTGCTGGTGATGGTAGCGTCCGCGCCCCCTCTCCCGGCTCACGACTTTAGCTTTTTACCTACAGCTTCGTGCTGTTTTGTTCCGAACTGGTGACGGCAGCGTTTTCGCCCCTACTCCCAGTGTGAATAACTTCACTGCCGAAGTTATATACGGCTAACGTAGTTAGCTTCTTTAGTTTGTTGGTGTTATATCTGGTGACGGCAGCGGTTTTCGCCCCCTCTCCCAGTATATTCCCTACTTTTGCATCCTTTTTTTCACCGGTCTGCGCTGCTATAATTACTGACGGCCGCGGTTTTCGCCCCCTCTCCCAACCAAGTGTGGTCTACTTCGTTGCCGAAGTTGGAGACGGCTAACGTTGTTAGCCTTTTTTGGTTTGTTTGCAGCCTTCTTCATCGGTCTGCTTAATTATAAATGGTGACGGCAGCGTTTTCGCCCCCTCTCCCAATATCAACCTTTTTTTGCAGCCTTTTCGTTGGTCTGCTCTCTTAATTGGTGACGGCAGCGTTTATCGCTCCTACTCCCTACTTAAGTTGCCATACAGCTAACGTTGTTAGCTTTTTTTGTTTATTGCTTTTATACCTGGTGACGGTAGCGGTTCTCGCCCCCTCTCCCGGTATCGGCCGCCTTGTGTCCGCAGCCTCTCTTGTTTTATCCGCTATAATTGGTGACGGCAGCGTTGTTCGCTCCTACTTCCAACTTAAGTTTCCATACAGCTAACGTTGTTAGCTTTTTTGGTTTATTGGTTTTATACCTGGTGACGGTAGCGGTTCTCGCCCCCTCTCCCAGTATCGGCTGCCTTGTGCTCGCAGCCTCTTTCGTTTCTCTGCTGTAATTGGTGACGGCTGCGTTTGCGCCCCCTCTCCCGATTTTCGATAACTTTCTGTTCTTTAAGCCTTGTCGGCCTTCGACATGGATGGCTCTCACAGCTGCATAGATTGTGGGGCTGCCCTGCAGGCAGAGGATGGCCACGACCTGTGCCCTACCTGCCTTGGACATGAGCACCTTTTGGAGGCGCTGTCTGAGAACCCCTGTATGAACTGCAGCTTTATGCCCCATGCAGTGAGGTGGCCCGGTTGGCCCAGTTGTGCCCCCAGGAGGGCTCGGACCTTCCGCCCTCTGGGCAGGTGGTTCCCCCCAAGCGTTCTAAGCGCCGTGGTGGGACCACAGCATCTGTGCCCCTCCCCCGGAGGAAGCGGGCCAAACCTGACCAGGGCCTGTCCACAAGGGTGGAGCAGTTGTCAGCAGAGCTGGCAGAGATGAAGTCCTTGTTGCAGACACGGCAATCTGATCCCTCGCTCCCAGTGGTTGGGCTCTCTTCCCCACCAATGCCCGAGCTGGTTGTAGAGGATGACGTTATCTCTCTGGCTGCCTCCGCTTCTCATTTTAGAGATGAGGAGGAGGCAGGGTCCTCTCAAGCGTCTGAGGCTGGTTCATTTTCATCTCAGAGTGCGGTTGGAGAGGCCGGTGACGGTTCCATGTGGGAGGTCATGTCTATGGCCCTGAAGCAGCTGCAGCTGGAACTCCCACAAGGAGAGGCATCCAGCTCTGGCAGTGCTTTTTTCAGACGTGGAAGGGCTCCTACTCCTTTTTCTGTACCTCCATCAGAGGAGTACCTGAAGGAGTTACACGCCTGTTGGCGGGAACCGAGAGCGCTGTCGCGTCTCTCCTCGGATGGTCGTGTATTAGCTGCCATGCATGAGTCAGTGAAGGCCGGCCTGGACCGTATGCCAGCAATTGAACCAGCTGTTGCTTCACTGATTGTGTCACCAGATGAAGCCCTGCGTCCTGATGTCCGGTGCCCGCGGACTCAATGTCGGGTTACAGATGACCTCCTCTGTAAGGCGTACAATGCAGGAGCGCGTGCTGGCCGCCTTGGCAATTCCCTGGCGCACCTCATGTTTGCCCTGTCTGCATCTGTTCAGGACACTGGTGGTGCAAGTGCGGCGATTGGTTATAGTGACGCAGCGCTGCAGGCCTTCGCGCTGATGACCAGAGAGCTTGGACGGGTCATGTCTTTCCTTGTCCAAGCTCGTAGACAGGTCTGGTTGGCACAGTCTCCTCTGACTGAAGCATGCCGTAGGACCCTCAGGGGTGTCCCGGTTGTACCAGGGGAGCTGTTTGGATCAGCTGCCTTGGAGGCGCTGGAACGGACTGCTCAGGCACGTCAGACTAGCCAGCAGCTTTCCGGCCTTCGCAGGAGCATACCTGCCTTTCCCCAGCGTTCGGGCCGCCCTGCCACTACCCCCAGCGTTCAGCCACAACCTCAGACCGGTGGCAGACCTGTTGGTTCCTATCCCCATGATGTGCGGCAGAGACCGAGAAGGGACTTTCGTGAGCCAGTCTGCCGCCCTGTTAGACAGACCCGGGCCTCAAATCCTGGACGCCCTCCCCCCAGAGCCCCCAGGGGCCGTGGGGATAGAAGATGATGCCACCGGGCCAGCCGTCGGACATTTTTCCCATCAGCAGCTGAATTTCTGGGCTGCTCATGCCGTAGATCCATGGGTGGTTGCCACCTTAACCAATGGCTACAAGCTCCAGTTCCGACGGCGGCCCTCCCTCTCACACCGGGTCAAGATGACTGTCATCACAGACCCGGTGAAATCTCAGGCACTAGACCAGGAGCTTTCCGCCCTCCTGGGCAAGGGGGCAATCGAGTCTGTAGATCCTCTGCAGCAACCCAGAGGCTACTACTCCACATACTTCCTTGTGGCCAAGAAGACCGGCGGTTTTCGCCCCATTTTAGATCTAAGGGGACTGAATCGGTACCTGAAGGTCCTTCCCTTCCACATGCTCACCATAACAGAGGTCCTTCAGACCATTGTGGCGGGAGATTGGTTTACATCAGTAGATCTGAAAGACGCCTACTTTCACGTGCCTATTGCGGCAGAACATCGCCGTTTTCTCAGGTTCGCCTATCGGGGGCGCCATTGGCAATTCCGGGTGCTCCCATTCGGGCTCTCCCTTTCCCCGAGGGTGTTTACTCGATGCGTGAAAGCAGCCCTCTCTCCTCTACAGGCCTCCGGAGTCAGGATTCTGCCATACCTGGACGATTGGCTTCTTTGTGCTCCCTCTCAGGTAGCTGCCTCTCGGGATACGTCCCAGCTTCTACTTCATGTGTCAATGTTAGGCCTCAAAGTCAACTTGGCAAAGAGTTGTCTGGTTCCATCTCAGACAACCACCTTTCTTGGGATGCATCTGGACTCTGCTACCATGATGGCCCGTCCATCTGTTCACAGGGTGGACGACATACTCCAGCTTGTCCGTCGATTCAGACTGGGCAGGGAGTTTCCCTACATCACCTTCCTGCGAATGCTGGGCAAACTGACATCAGTCACTCGTGTCGTGCCCTTAGGGCTGCTCCTTCTGCGTCCTTTGCAGCGATGGCTCAACAGCTTTCGCCTAGACGCCAGGCTGCACAGGCATCGCAGGCTAATGGTGACCAGGAGCTGCCTCCATGCCCTAGCTCCTTGGCGAGACGGGACCCTTTTGTCCAGTGGTGTTCCAATGGGGCTAGTAGTGTGTCGAAGGGAGGTGGTCACCACGGATGCCAGCCTCATGGGCTGGGGTGCCGTGTGGCAACACAGAGCTGTTCGGGGTCTCTGGGACCCAAGGGAGCGCACCGAACACATAAATGTGCTGGAGCTGTGGGCTGTGCACATGGCCCTCAGGTGCCTTCTGCCCCACCTAGAGGGAAGGAACGTGCTGATTCGGACAGACAACACCTCTGTTGTTTATCATATAAACCACCAAAGTGGCACCAGGTCAGCACGTCTCTTGAAGGTGTCGAGGGATCTCCTGGAATGGGCGTATCCCCGTCTGTGTACCCTGCGCGCAGCGTATCTGCCAGGACGGCAGAACCAGGTTGCGGACTCTCTATCCCGCCAGGCACCTGCTCCGGGAGAGTGGTCTCTTCACCCCGACGTAGTGCGCATAATCTGGAACCTCTTTGGGCAGGCAGAGGTAGATCTGTTCGCCACAGAGGAGTCGACCCATTGCCCCCTATGGTATTCCCTAACCGGGATGGCGGGCGCACTGGGCCAGGATGCACTGGCTCATCCATGGCCGCAGGTTCTCCTGTATGCCTTTCCACCCCTCTCACTGGTTTGGCCGACTCTACGGAGGGTTCTCGAGCAGGGCCACAGAGTGTTGCTGGTAGCTCCGTTCTGGCCAGCGCGGCCGTGGTTCCCGCTGCTTTGGAGTCTGTGTCACGGTACTCCATGGCGTCTTCCAGCAAGGAGGGATCTGCTGTCTCAGTTGGGGGGACAGATATGGCACCCCAACCCTCAACGTCTCCAGCTGTGGGCATGGCCCCTGGGAGGCTGACTGGGTGTTCAGACACCGTGAGACACACCGTATTGAGTGCTAGGGCTTCCTCCACTCGGCTGCAGTATGCTAACAGATGGCGCCTCTTTTCTCAGTGGTGCTCTGCCCACAATGAGAACCCGCTTTCCTGCTCGGTGCCCACTATTTTGGAGTTCCTCCAGTCTCTCCTTGATAAGGGCCGCTCTCCTTCGACCCTTAAAGTGTATGTTGCAGCAATTTCATGTCTTCACCGAACTGTTGACAACCGTACAGTGGGGCGCCATGAACTGGTTTCACTTTTTCTGCGTGGTGCTCGTAGGTTGTGCCAGCGGCCAGCCCCACGAGCCCCAGATTGGGATCTGCCATTGGTTCTCACAGCTCTGTGCCACCCTCCATTCGAGCCTTTGGCACAAGCAGAACTCAAGTGGCTTTCCTGCAAGGCTGCTTTCCTGATGGCTATCGTCTCAGCTAAGAGGGTCAGCGAGCTACATGCTCTTTCTGTCAGCCCTAGGTGTATCAGGTGGAATCCAGATGGCTCTGGTGTTACCCTGTGGCCTAATACTGCGTTTGTGCCTAAGGTGTTGTCTCCTTTTCACCGTAACCAGCCATTGCGGCTCGCTCGGTTTCAGCCTCAATCTGGTACAACTGAGAATGAGTCGGAGTTGTTGTGCCCAGTAAGAGCGTTGGAGGCATACATTGCAGCCACCGCCAATCTGAGACGCTCGGACCAGCTTTTCCTATGCTATGGGGGTCCAAGGTTAGGCTGTCCTCTTTCTAAACAGCGTCTGTCCCATTGGATTGTGAGTGTCATCTGCCACGCCTACGCTGCAGGTCACTGCTCCCTGCCAGTCGGTGTGAGAGCACATTCCACCAGGAGCGTCACCGCTTCCTGGGCTGCTTTGAGAGGGGTTCCGCTGGAAGCTATATGTGCTGCTGCTTCATGGGCTTCCCCAACCACCTTCACCAGGTTCTACAGTGTCAATGTGGCTGCCCCTCATCCCCTGGGTCAGGTCCTTTTACAAGGTTCTGCTGGGCCTCCTCTGTGAGGTATGTGCTCAGGATTCCTTGTGACATCGTTGGCATTAGTCATTCAGTGCTTTCAGCACCGCCCTCTGGCGGTCAGTAGGGATGAAATAGAACGAAAGTTACGTATGTAACTACGGTTCTATGAATCCCGGATGACCGCCAGAGCTTCTCTGTCACTCAGAATCCTTGCTTTTGCGAGAAGATTCTGTAGGAGCAGAGCAAAGGATGACACCAGGCTATATAGCTTCTGAGTGGTCATCCGGTGTCACAGGTGTGACTCTGTTGGTATAATTACTCGAACTGCGCATGCCCGAAGGGAACATTCAGTGCTTTCAGCACCGCCCTCTGGCGGTCATCCGGGATTCATAGAACCGTAGTTACATACGTAACTTTCGTTTTAATGCTTCACCCCTTTAGAAAACCTAAACTGTGGATTCCTGCATGGTTTTATTTCAAAATTCTATGATGTTCCACATTAAGACTATCACAGTTCTGAGTTTTTATAAGAGAATTGACGAAGTAGGGATGGATCGTGCCAAATGTCTATATGTCGAGCATTGTCTTACCAGAGTTGAGCAGTATAATAGCTTTAAGGCAAACAAATTCCTCAGGTTTCAGTTTGAGCATGCGGAAGCGGGAAGCGGTGGCCAGCAGCATGTCAAAGATCTCAGTCATTCCCTCAACACAGTCTCCCTCATTCCTAGGAAGCAGAATTAACAGAAAAATACAAATAAAGTTTGAATAAACACTGAAGTGACAGCAACAGAATCAGAGCCTAAGTTTGTCTCTTTCGAAGAGAAAAAAAAAGAAATCAGAGGCATTTACAGCTGTGAAAGCATCTAAAGAGCGGCAACATCAAGAGCTAATGCACTGAATCGCTGCAATGCTCCATTTATCCCTACAAGTGAAAAGTGAGGGGAAAGATGGATAATATCCAGTTGCTTCAGTGCGAGATAAACTTGGACGGCACAAAGGCAGGGGAATGTGTCAGCCCTGACCCCACATCATTTTAGTCATCATGTCCAATTGGCGAGGACACTCATTCAGGGACCGGGTTTTAGAGATAATACTCTGTAATACACTTTTGAATCAGATGGAGCCATCAGAGGGTAAAAGCTCTGTCTGCTCGTCTCCATCTACCCCCTCCTCCCAAAGGTAGACACTGTGGTCAGACCAGCCTGTTTACTCTGAACATGTGGGGAAATGAAGGGAACAAGCTGTGCCTGCAAAGCAGAAAACACCCTTATGTCTCCCTCGATCTCTATTTTCTAGCCATCTCTGCCTCTCGTTGAGATCTCCCTCCTTTGCTTCCTTTCTTATCTTGCCTCTTTCCACTGTTCTTCATTTCCCATCATTCTTTGCATTGAAGGTTTTGATTAAAATCTGAGTCCTGGTTTCCAGCTCAGCCCAGTAATGATTAGGAGGGTTATTTCAGGTAAGGGAGAGGCTGCTCTCCTCTCCACAGGGAGCAGGTAATTAGTCTTTCACTCTGTGACAGATGTGTTCGGACGGCACAAAAGCTGGCAAGGTGTGAAATGGAAAATCTACAATGCTGATGTATCACTCTTCAAATGTGTCTGAGATGCTAAAAGAAATGTGGAACAGGGGCAGGAAAAAAAAAAATAAAATAAAAAAATAGCCAATCCGGTAAAACACCCGTTAGTGTATGATTGGTTAATAATCCTCACTACCTGTCCAGTATTAGGTCCTGTGCAAAGATGAGTTTTCCAGGGCAGTGGATTGACCTCCAGATCAGTCCGATCATCAGCACCTCCAGCCATGAGCTCTCCAGCAGAAGGACCTGATCGTGGAGGGAGAGTTGCAGAAAACCTGGAAAAAAACAAATGGGATCTTCTGTTATTGTGAGGGAGCATTCAGTGAGAGAAAAATCTACATTCTCAAACTGGATTTGTCCTTTTAATGTCTTCAGAAAGCCAGTGTGATGATGTGACAGCTTTGTAATCTGATTACTTCACAACTTTTGAGTTAAATTCAGACACACAATTCAATGTATGATAAGGAAACACCTCAAACACACCTATTAAATGTGTGACACTGTGGGGAAATGATAAGAAATCCTCCACGATGTCAGCAAAAGAAGAGAGAAATTAATGAATGGACCATTGAGGACCATTACAAGAGGAACAAATGTGCCATGTTTTTTTTCTCCAAATAAATCTCAATTAAAAAACAGCAGGGACTGTCCAGGCAACAATGCTGTTCAGGAAGGGCTCTGGGTTCAGAATACTAAAATGCACATATTATCATCAGCACAATTAATGACCTTCTGCAGATGCTGTCTAAAGCTGTATTATCATGTAACAATCAGCCACTCAGGGCCATTCAACATAAAATAAATAGATGAAAGTTTACAAATAGATTCAGGGAAAAAGTGCTTCATTTTCAATTACATCCTCTGTGTGCTGCTGTAACTACATTTAGAAGTTTTAGTCCATAATGACCACAGCTTTGTATAGATAAAAATGGATGAAGTATCACAAGGAAGTGCCTTCATGGAGAAATGATAAACAGCCTTTCAAGACATCATCTAGAAATGTAACTAATGGGCATAAATTGGTCTAAATATTACAATACAACCTGAAACTTACCTACAAATTAGTTACTAAGTGGTAAGGTAAAGAAAAAATGTATATTTATCAATGGTAGCAAAAGTGTTTGTTAATCAGGGATCTAATGAACCAGATGCTTTTAAAAAAGAGACTTGAAATTTTTGACCCAAATACTTAAATCCAAACAGCTTAAAATATCATCAACCAAAAATTGAGTAAATGTAGACAAAGTTTACCAATGTGATAAACTTTGTCTAACAAGTGGCCCTCCAATTAAATCAAATGTTCTGAATCCTACATCCTGGGCTTTCACAAACTAAGACAGTAGAAATTATTTTGTTATTCCTGAGTGAAAAAGGAAAAGTTTAGTCTTTTCAATCATATCAAGAAAGTGAGAGAAAATACGTTTTACATTTGTATTTTACAATGTATTTTACATTACTGGTTATTTGTGACCTTTCAATTTTATTAAAATGTATGCTCCTTGATGCTGTGCTTTGCTCTCATTTCACTAACTATCAGAAAATCACACAGATTGTTGTGAGCAGAGAATGCCGACCTAAATGAATCCACTCAAAAGAAAGCTTATCGCTGTCCCTCAGCTGTCTAAATCGACGTGTAATTATTCCAGACTATTTCCATTACCCCTCCTCTGCACCCTGATTGGGACGCTTAGCAATTGGAACTGTGTGTCTTTAGGCTTTTAGAGAGGCAGGAGGACATAAGGACTGAAAATAAGGATTTACCCTTCCCTATCCGATGAATGTGTGTTTTACAGTTGCACACCTTCTGCTGCATTTGGGCTCGATGGGGTGCCAGCAGATTGAGCAAACAATCCCATCAAAGGTGATGACTGTAATTACCGCCACCTTTAATGGCTCTGCATTAGGGTCTTTGTGTGATCATGTGGGATCTTACGCTCAAGATCCCTCATTTCCTTGCTGGTGTGTGAGGAGTAAATGTCAGGGACTGCATCTGCACATTTTTGTTAAATATCTAAAAAAATATCAATTCAGGGGCACCGGCAGACCTGCAGCTACCTTTAAGCCTTGCTGACGTTGGCAGCTTCTGCTTCAGATCATTAAAATGCTTTATTAAAAAAACTTTTTAAGATCAGACAAAACAACAAAGATAAAGAAAAACAGATTGATCTGTTTGCCCCACCATAACAAGAAGTTTATCTGGGGACCAAAGGGGGGGGGCTTTCAAACTTAAAATCTCTGCTAACTGTCAAGCATGGTGGTGGTAGCATCATGCTGTGTGATAATATCACTCCCAGTGGTGCTTTAGCATTCCATTAAGTGTAAAAGTCTGTGACTTGAAATAATCTAAGGCCCCGTCCACACGAAGTCAAACCCTGGCCTAAACGCACAAATTTTTCACCAAACCAGCCTCTCATCTAGTCTGACGTAGTCCGACTCAATTCTAGTCAGAATATGAGTCTGATACTGCTCCATAGAGCTGTGATTATGGGGTGTGTTTCGAACGAACCAGGAAAAAAAATGCCTCTGCACTCAATTGGATAGATCTACAACCAATAAGAGCAACGGAGTGCGTGACGTATGTTAAGCGAGGCATAGTTGTTGTCCACAAAAATCAAAGCGTGCAGTTTCACGCCTAGAATAAGAAGATGAGACTTGATCGCGTTTCTCTGTTCCTCTTTTAAAATTAATTTGCTGTCGATATCTTCTAGAACAGACCTATAGCAGAATCTACTCACCTCAACTCTCCAGCGGCAGCCATTATTGTTGTCACCCAAGCGCGCTTTGGTCACGTGGTTGATTACGTTACTCTTGATCATCTGTCCATCATCGTATAAAGCCCGCCCTGACAATTGAATTGGATCGCCTGACAGTGGGCGATAATACTCGCGCTACTATGGAGCAGAGCCAGACCGAACTTCCCCGAACTCAAACCTTGTGGGCGGGACTAAGTTCGGACTGGCACCCAGGCTACCTCTCATCCATACGAAGCTGGCGTTTCGGGGGTCTGTAAACGACCTTTTTTTTATTAGGCCTTCAGAGTGGGAAGATTTTTAAACGGCGTTTTCGCGTTTCCATCTTTAAGCTCTAACCGCATTTTTTTTCTTACACGCATGCGTCATAGCGTCGCCTCTAAACACGCATGCGCGACACAGTATCACAACAACAATGGCGCCGTACTGTGTTGGTTGCTGCTCGTGCTACTCACCCTGCTGTCGGGCTTACAACAGAATCTTCTTCTTCTGGAATATCTCCAGGAAGAACATAGCAATATCGACGACATAGTTCAGCACCTGAATTTGACTGAACCACGAAAATAAACCCGCAGGGCAACCATGTATAAATATTACTGCGCATGCCCAACATTTCGTCGCCTATTTTTGCTTTGGCACCACAGCGCCACTTACAGGCCTGGCATACATTTTGCAGTGTTTTCATGCATTCGTGTTATTTTACGTCTACGTCTTTACGACAAACGTTCTGGAAAATGTTCGTTTTGAATTCGTGTGGACGGGGCCTAAATTAAATTAATTCTACAAAGCTGATTCTAATATTCATTCAAAATTACATCAGAAGTTTTATTATGGCTTCAGGAAGCCGAACCTGTGTGACGAACAAGTACCTTGCTACTGGACATAAATCTAAATATTATACTGGAGTTATCTAAATATTTGAGCCTTAAGGAGTAATTTTTGTCCATGTAGAAATCAGAGTAAATCTACTTTTTACCTCCATTTGTCCACCCAGATTTGACTTCAACATAAACCTGAGTGTATCTATATACACAAACTCTAGCTTGATGTCACACATTTCTAAACTGTCTTTATAACAAAAACAAACTAAAGCAAAACCATCTGAACTGCATGTTTAGAAGCATTCGTTTGAGGAATTGTGTGAAAAGCCTTTTTGCCTAAATTGCTGGCGTGTGAAATTTAACCAACAGCATCCAGCCGCATTTGTAATGGCTCCCTAATTTATTATCTACCTAAAGATATAACAGATTTTTTTTTACCCAAAGCTGTTGTTCCATAAACTGGTGCAAACTCTATTAAACACGGCATAGTGACTAAATAAAAAGCCCAGACAACTACACCTATTTATTTTTATTTCTCAAAAAGTAGCATTTTTCCCCAGCAGGTGGAAGACGATTACACAAAATAACTATTGCTGCAGAAAATCATAGGTTTTAAGAGTTGTTGTTCCTATTAAGACCCAAATGACATGAAGAGAGTTGAATAATAAATAATTTCAATAACAATATTTAAGTCTTTAATCTCTAATTTTATGATATCGGGGATATAAATTATCAATCAGGGCCATTTTAGAGGTAATACTCTCTAGGTTTTCCTGCAATCTTAAAAAGAACCCTTTTAGAACGCCTTTTTTCCTGAAAAGAGTTTCTACAGTTTATCTGAGATTGCTGTCACCTTAAATTAATATATTTGCAAGCAAGAACAATTCAGTTAAATTTAAAGTAGACGAAGAGAAGCAAACATTTAAAAATAATAATAATCGAGCAAAATACAAAATATTTCTTTTCAGACAACCTATAAGTCTGTTTAAAAGCTTTCTGCGATCCAACCTGGAAGCTTCTTTGCCCAGGCGATCATGTGGACCAGCTCCTTGTCAGCCATGCTGGTGAGCAGGGTCATCATGGTGGCCTCAGTATAGGGTCGGCTCAGTTTTTGACGGGAGCACAGCATTGGAGGCTCAGCACCCTGAAGCAGGAGCAGAACCTGGAAACACAAAGGGTAGAAATACAATAGATGTACCATGCAACCAGCACGATATCAGGTAGATTTCTCTTATAGAATATCTGTCTAGAATCCTGTCAATATCTTGTCATCCTTTCAAAGATAATGAGCACCTGTTCAGATGGCAGGCTGGAAACTGAAGATCTTCCTCCTCCAAGGGCAGTGCTGCGTCTCCTCTTATCATGATGGGGCGCAGCTCTGTTCTCCGGGCCTTTAACAGTCTTTTCTCTGTCACTGATGCCCGGCCGTCTTTTGTCACGCCTAAGAACACGACCGCGGTCTTTACGAACACCTTTAAAACAAGCAGACTCAATCAATAAAAAAAAACAGATAAACAACCAGACAGGTTTCTGCATATTAATCAGAAGACTTCAGGTTCTAACTACACTTAATTTGTAGATTAAGCAGATGGACGTGAAGACTAAAAAATGTGGGTGTGCATTGGTAAACAGGTGTACCTGTTCAAAAGAGATCTAAATATGGATAAAAATGATAGTTAAGCCAAAACATCTAGCTAACGATCCAAGTTGCAAAAAACTATATTAAAGTTATAAGAACTAATAGATGAAAAATAGGAATAAACTCACCCCCTTTCATCATGCCAACTTCGTAGCACTTCCTAAGACGGCAAGCCTGGCAGCTCTTCCTCCTATTCCTGTCAATAGTACACTGATTGGTCGCCGGGCACATATAGTCATTGTGACCTGAAATGGAAAAAAATCTATTATTCTTAGACTATAAGTCTAATTTTCTATCTGGAATTGAGCTATTTAGCAGCCAGGAACACTCCATTCCCTTCACCAAATGAACCTAGGATGGAGAAAATTAAAAAATGCCATCTTGGCTATTCCAATGCCATGGAGACTATTGGTTTCTTTTTGACCAGTCCTTCCTTGTAAGATTTTCCATCAATACGCTTCAGTTTCAACTCCTGAACTAAGCCACAAAGCAGATGAAAGTTCTCTGTGCACATGGAGCCATCGATCGTCTAAGGCCGGAAAAATTTGGTCAATAGCTCATTAAGAAATGTGTTTGTTTCACTTCCGAGCAATTCACCACATTTTTACAACAGCGGGAAAATAAATCTGCTACACTTAGTGAAGACTTCTTAGCCTCAGATGTAACTTCCTCTTAATCCATGAAGTGACACTGATGTTAACTTTGTTAATGTTTTTGGCTCAAGCTTTAATTTACTTGGTATAATAGACCCACTGCAGTAGAAAATAAAACTTAACCTTATTTAAAAACCCTCATCAACCTGGTTTGTTATAGAAATGATGCTGAACTGTTCTTGTGAGAGAGAGAGAGTTTAATTAATTTTTTAAGTTGATAACACAAATAACATGGTGCAGTGTTTCTACTGGTTTTGCCTCCCTTGGCGGCAGCTGTTGCCATGAAGCGCCTGAATTATTTTTCTTTGCCCAAGATCATTTAGGGTTATTCTTTAGTGCAGGTTGTTTGTTTCAAATGCGTGAGTTTTCCAGCATGATTGGCATTTTGGTGTAACCACAGGATCTCAACAGGGTTTAATTACAGACATCAGCTAAGCCAACACAAAACATTGGTGTGGTCTGACTACCCCAAGTATGCACGATCCTAAGGTGACAGGTTAATTGTTAGTTAAAAAATCAGATTTCTTCTTTGGGGTTTTCATCAATTAGACGCAGCCCCAGACCATCACACTGCCACCTAAAAGTTTTACTTTCACTATTGTTTAGTCTAAACCGGATTTAACAGGAAAAGATTTTCTAAAATGTTCCCCTTTTGTCTCAGAAGAATATTTTTGGCAACAATCAGTGTGACGATGAAAAGTGGTTCACACCTTAGACATTCTCCAATGAATGCAGACCCTGCCCAGTTTGATGAATAATGACTAACAGAAATGACTAAGGCCAGCAGTGCTTCAGGTGTTTTTTGCTGGATGAGTCACTGATGCGGTCGTGGAGAAATTCTGGTAGCCTTCCACGGCAGAGAAGCTTAACCCCTGTTAAATGTTTTCTCCTTATGTGGATAATGGCTCTAAGTGTGGTTCACTGGGGTTCAAAAGCCTTAGAAGTGGCTTTGACTCTTATTTAATTTTTTTATGTGTTTAGATCAGAGCATTAAACGCTGCTTCTTGGGATATTTTAGCCGGTTTTCAAACTGGTCATATTTAGGGAATTTATTTAATCCACTGGTCTGGCAAGAATCAAGTCCAGAGAAATTACACCAATTAATAATTTTAAAATACTGCTTTTCTTATTAACTCTAGTCACCTTTATCATATATATGACATGTGTTGTGAATTGGCGCTATATAAATAAACTGAATTTAATTGAATATCAATTTGTTTGAGAATTTATAGGTTCAAATAAATTTTAAGTACCAAAGGCATAGGTTTTAATGTGATTACAGTCCTCAACTATATTTCATGTTGGAAATTTTCTCTATATATGCCAATATGATAAAAACAATAAATAAAAGTTTCTCCGGCTTACAGGAAGAGGCATTTATCGGAGACAAATAACAGTGGCGTGTCTTTTATGACAAGAATATTTATGATGTTTATAATTATGCTCTGATGTGTTCTTTCATGCCTTTGTTCTCCATGACAGAAGCAATAAAACTTGATTTAAACTTTATAACCTCATACCCAACCGTCGCCTTACCCTGAATGCTTCTCTTGAAGAAGGCCTTGCAACCCTCACAAGACCACACCCCATAGTGGTACCCGGAGGCATAGTCGCTACAAACAGCGCAGAATCGTGTCTCCTTGGCCATTTCAAACCCTCCGGCTCCTGCTCTGAGCTCCCCCACACTGCATGCATCGTCACGGGTGTCACACTGGTCCTCTCTGGAGGCTGGCTGGTGACTGGATCTGCAACAGGCCGTGAATTTTAATTGGTTGATTTGCTGCTCTCATCAAGACAAGTTGCATGGCTTCCAAAAACTAGATAAAGAACAGTACTTCAGCACCATAAAACCAAGGAAGGAATATATTAAACATATAAAGCATGTAAGATAAAATTATTGTTTTAAGCATTAAAGCCTAAAAATCAATATAAGATTGAATTGATCTCTGTCTTGAATAATGACTGAGGATAAGACCAGGCTTCTGTTTTCCACTTAAATCAGGAAATGCTCCATTTGTGCGCTTCTGTTGTTCTTACGTATTGTTCCTCTCTCAAGGCCCTTCACAAAGTCCCTAATCTCTGGAATTAGAAACCCCGGACAAAGCGTGATCCTCTCTATGGAGATAGTGGCGCTGTTTTGTGGAAGGCAGGAGATTAAAAAGCTGTGTGGTTAAATAATCATGTTTGTTTACATGGCGTGTTGGAGAAGACTCAACTAAAAAATGCCAATGTCATTATTCATAAGTTGCAAATACTTTGTTTCATTTCTCTGTAATGACTTGATCGAAACCAGGACCAAACAAGTTAGAATAACCATAATTATTAATTATTTTTGAAACTTTTAAACTAAAGAAAATGGAGGGAAATTAAAAAAACAGTTTATTTTTTAAATGAGAAATTTAAGAATCCTTAATATGAGAGTATAGAGAGTCCTGGTTGCGTCGCCTGCTTCTGATGAGTTGTAATTTCTCCAAATTTGTGCTTTTGATACAAAAGAGCAGGTTACAAAAATGACATACTGACTTCTTTATTGCTCTGATTTAGTAGCACACATATAAATTGTAATTTTCATACCTGTAAACTGGTGTTGAGGCTGTTTCCAGATAGTGGTGGTTCGGAGCATGCATAAAGGGGCTGAGCCTCGGGCTGGTGGGCACAAACACAAGAGGACTGGTCGGCCCACTCCCCAGAGAATGAAGGCTGCCATCAGACGGTGGTCCCTGGGCGTCCAGAGGAGCAGAGTAGTAGCCAGTGCTTGAGTGGCTGTAAAGAGGCGTTGGGGCAGGGGTGGGGGTGGCATAGTCGTACGTCCCTTCCAGGAAGTCCACAGCAGCTACCCCTCCGGAGCCCCGGCTCTCTTCAGGGTACATGTCACTGAGGGAGGCGCGGGGTGAGGGTGGGAGACGTGGCGGGGAGAGGGTCTCCAGCTCTGAGGAGGCTGGGCTTATCCTGGGTCTGAGTGCTGGTCCGAACTCCTGCTTGCTCTGCACCTGGCTCTGCCTAAGCAACATCACAGCACAGCAGCAGTGATAAGCAACATGATTTAGACTTGCTCTCCCATTTGCTGGGTGGGAGAGTGTGGTGCTGCTCTCCCTCCCTCTTCACCCACTTTTCTTCTGGGTCTTGCCTTTTCCAAGAACTCCTGTCAAACAACTTGGGTGGACAACTATCTGCTTATCCTCTGGCTGCTTGGAGCGTCTGCTCACAAGAGACCAAAAAAAATAATAATAATACAGCTAGAGACTCCTAAAGACTCCTCCCAATCTGACATTATTTTTCACAGTATTTTTTCTTCCTCTAATATATCTCTGCTAAAGTGTGGGAGTAAGGGAAAGCAAGTGGGAGAGAGGAAAAGAAGGATTGACAGAAATAGTGATTCCCAAACAACTTCCTTGTCTGCTCTCCTCCACATAACTATTTCTAATTCACCTTTGTCTTACATCGAAAAGCTTTTTAATGAAAGACAACTGGATTCCAGACTGAAGGCAACTCTGAGGCAGCATAGTGTGTGTGTCTGAATATTCACCCCTCATTTAGCTGATATCGCGCACACTGCGAGTATCACCAGTCTATTTGCAGCCAATTTATAACCCAGCTAACACTCTGCTGTTGGCTAAATCCGAACAAATGAGATACAAGTAGACAGAGCATTCGAAACAACATGGGTTAACGGAAAAATCAAAAACTAGTATGAGATACAACTCACCTCTTATACATGAATCATCCCCGCATATGCTGCACAACAGCGGCTAATTCCCCCTCTCTTCCTCTCTGCCTGCCTCACAGGCATTTAGGTGGGCTCACTCAGAGGGAACAGTGGAAAGGTTTAAAAAAGGATAAACAAATTAAAGATGCAGCCAAATCAATAACTGCAGTGTGTTTAAGAGCCAGGTCACCATAACACAGCAAACAGAACTGGAGGTCAAATCTCATTCTGACATCCAATAATTGCACAATCAATCCCATATAAGGGTATTTTTATAATATAGATGCAAGAATCTGGGCTAAACGAAAATATAAAGACTTAAAAAAAGAAATCCTTCTAGATTTAGGTACTATTAAGTAGAGGTAATCAATTGCTTTAAAAGGACGTAGTATTTATATTAATATCTACTTAATCATGTACAGAGATTAATATACATTGTATTAAAACTTTTTATCCACCTGTGTGACATTCCTCATTTCTGATTTTAGACCAGTTACGAAAATAGAAATATAGGGAATTTATATTTAAGTATTTGCTAAAAGCCAGAAAAAAAAACATTAATTTTTTCAAATTCAAGAGTTTACATTTACTTTGATGGTAGGATTACAATTTTTATTTGCATGACTTGAGCCAACATCATTGTAATTCAATCAGCTTCTAACATAAGTTTGCCAGGATTTTGGCCGATTCCTCACAACAGAACTGGTAAAACAGGGCCAGGATTTTAAGCCACTTTCTTATCCCATTACTTTTTAGCCTTTTCGTATACATTTTCTTTTGCATTTATAGTACCTACCCAAAATGATTGCCCTTTTATAAAATCATGTAGTAATCTGTAATCAATCAGGAGGTGTTCTTGGGTTTATTACTCATTTGGAAGACTGGTTGTGTCCTGGTTTTAACTTTCTGGCTGATTTCCTGCCTCACTCTGTCATTATATTATTATTTCTATCAGGATGCCATTTATTTCATGAATAAACTTATCAGGAGTCTAATACAATGTGTATTTTATGGTCCCATTATAATCTCAAGATTTTTAATCACAGAGGTTCAAGCCAGTGTGTCCTGGTAAATATACCAGCTAAATAAGATTACAAAAAATAAAAACACAGAAAAAAAATGGGCCAAGATACCTTTGAGCCATTTCCCTCTTAACAGGTTTTAACAAGAATACAAGGTTTGACACACAATCTATCAAATATGGGTTGTTGAAGTAAACAAAAGCGAAACGAGTACTTAATTCTTGTTAACAAATCCATGAGCAAATATTGACCCGATTGACAAAAAAAAAAAAAGGTTTGAGAGAAACCTCGCATCTTTTTTTTTCTGCAACATGTTTTTTTACTAAGCCTTCAGATTTTCATGACAGGTCGAGTGGAAAATAAGCAGCCCCGATTATACATATTTTTGTGCATTTGCCCTTGAATAAAATTAAGAGACCAGGAAACATAAAGTGTGGGTTGAGAAATAAAACAGCTGCTGTAAATGACCTAAATTACCCAAGGATAAGTCACTTATTGCAGTAATGGAACCAATTTTCACGTATCACATTTATTTTTCTAAAGAACATCCTGGGTTCTAATGCACATTTCAGAAACATTTTCCAACAGTTTTGTCAAGTGGTTTCCAACCTGACCTCAGCTATAGAAAAGGTCAACAGGTGAACAACAAGCTGATGTCACACATAACATCTAATGTGCACTAATATAGACAGTGGTTTGAAAAAGAAAACTTCCTTATACATTTATACATTTTGCATATATGTATATATACACTGCTAAAAAAATAAAGGGAAAACTTAAACACATAATGTCAATTAGATCAAACATCAGTGAAATCTGTCCACTTAGGAAGCAACACTGATTGACAATCAGTTTCACACTATTGTGCAAATAGACAAAAGGTGGAAATGACTGGTAATTAGCAGAACACACTCAATAAAGGATTGGTTCTGCAGACCACTTCTTAGTAGCTATGCTTTCTGCCTGATGTTTGGTCACTTTTGAATGTTTATATTCCTTTCACACCCATGGTAGCATGGGATGGACTCTCCAACTCATACAAGTGGCTAAAGCAGTGCAGCTCAACCAGGATAGAGCATCAATGTGAGCTGTGGCAAAAGTTTTTGCAGTGTCTGTCAGCACAATGTCCACAGGCTGGAGGCGCCACCAGGAGACAGGCCAGGCCCAATTTGGAAAATCTGAAATGCTTCTTTCTATAATCATGATTAAACATATCTTCCTAGAAGCTACATTCAATTTCCTCCACTCCTCAGTTAGGGATATGCAGTTATATCGTCAGGATTTTTTTTTATTATAAACTCTGCCATCATAACAGCAAATATTGAGGTCAAGGTCTTTACTTTTTTTAATCTGTTGATCCATGGCAGCAACAATATTAATTATATATATATATATATATATATATATATATATATATATATATATATATATATATATATATATATATATATATATATATAATTTAAGGCAATTTTGTTTAAATTTGTGTCTCAACATGGTTAACCAACCTAGCCTGGTCATTAATATTTAAATATTAATGACCATATTTAGAGTTAGTATTTGCTTTTGCTTTGTTTTTATGCAATGATATACAGTCCATCAATAATTGACAGGAAAAAAAACAAGTCTTTTTTTAGTGCTTAACACCTTTTTAAAATCACGATAAGGACCTAAAGAACATGGGGACAAAAATTGAGTTTATATAACTCATCTCCAACTTTCATACCTCTAGAATGTAGTAATAATTTTAGACAGAACCTGTCTGACAAAATGGTCTAAAAGATCAAGAAGAAACAAAAAAAAAATGTGAGCACATTTTATTTGAAGCCATCAATAAGTCTTGAAATGTTAAGTCATTTCAAAAACATTGGCAATCCAGAGAAAAGTAGTGAGAGCTGTTATCCAAGAAAACGTGAAAACGTGAACTTACCAAAGTTACTCCAAGAGCACATTAATAAATCATTCAGGGGGTCACGAGACAACCCGGAGCAACATCAAGGCAGCCGGGCTCACCTCTGTGTTTTTCTAACTTATCAAAAGAACAACACTGTGCAAATAGAATCCTCAGCAGAGTTTAAAGGTGAAAACCACAGCTGAATTAAAGAAAAATAAACCCCATCAATATTGGCTTCTTCCCGATCCAAAGTGCACCTGATCCTTAGGACCATTTAGTGGGCTGAAAAGGTGTGAGTTCTGTACAAGCTACTGGAAAATGGAATGCTTTTCCAAAAAGATTGTTGAGCATTGCAGTTTGGTTGTCTGGGTTTCGATTTAAGTCAAACTGGATTTTTCATTGTCCTGACAAAACCATGAATTCTGCTCTCAATAAATACTAGACTTATGGGGAATGCCTTCAAGCTAATTTAATCAACCACTGAATGGCTTCGGAGAGCAATAAAAGTCTGAAGTTAAATCCAAAACAACTTCGTCTCAAGCATTGGCCAAAATACCTGCTATAAAAGCATTATGAACAGTTACTGGAAATTTTAAGATATTGGTAGTAATTAATCTTAGTACCCCTTTTAATGCATTTTAAATATTGTTTTTATTTTTGTGGCACTACCGTCTTTTCTTTCTTTCCGATGTTAAAAACCTGGGATGGACGTGTCAGGTCCTACATATGATACTAAACATTTAAACCTAAGACCCCTTTTCTTTGCATCCAAATAAAAATTTTGTTGCCTAGTAAAATTCTGTCAATATTTGACCATCCGTTAAAAAGTTTCCATCAACTCAAAGTTTAAAAAATGTTCTCCTCAAAAAATATAGGTAAATATTCAATGCAAAAATTGATTCTGAACCCAAAATAAATAACAACCAGGCTTTGAATCAAAAATCACTCATTTTTATTTGGATTTGTTTTTTTTTTTTCAAAACAAAAGATGCACATTCCGCTCTTATATCATACATACACCCATTGCTTTCATGATTTATTCAGCAGAGAAAATACATAACAAAGTGCTAAATAAGTTAATCAATTTTCTGGTTTTGATGCATGAACACTGATGCAAACATCAATCATTGGTGGGAGGAATTAAAAAGAAGAAAGCACAAACACTATGTTGATAAATCCACCATCATTCCGATCTGCATGCAAAATATTCCTGTTTTTTGTTAAACTGATTAAGCGCTAAATTCCTTTTACCAAGACTATCTGCGTAAACATTTCAAATCAAGTGTAGGCATCCAAGATATGGGCATTTTTAACCGAAATGTAGATAAACAAACAATTATCGACAGCCTGAATTCTATTTAGAAAAAAACAATTTCTACCTAAAAATGAAGACATCTTAAACATGAGATGGCAGTGATATAAATGATCCAGACTGTTAATACTGTTCAATTTAAGTAAGACAGGTAAAGTCTTTAAGAACCTTTGATAACTTTGTTTTGTTATGTGGCTTAATGGAAGCACCTAATGATGATGCTTTTTACAGTAAAAACCCAATGGAGTCCACTCATCCAAGTCTAATCCTAAGGAGTCTAATCTTGAGGTCGGTTCTTCTCCAACTTCGGGCTTTGGAACTGAATAACTGCATACTTCCCATTGGTCATCCACGATGGGTCTTGAGAAGTCAGCTTCTCTCCTTGTCCCGGCTGCAGCCCGACCTGCACGTTGGCCTTCAGGGTTCTCAGGCTACAAAGTGCTGAAGGCTCAAAACCTCTCAGTGCAGTAGAGAAATCCACAGTATGGGGCCAGTCCCTGTCACCAGTCAGCTTCCTGTAGTTTAGATCCCCTTTAAATAGCACCAGGTCTGCTTCCTGCAGGGTTGCATACAGGTCAGGGGCATCAGCAGCCATGTCGCAGAACTCATGGGGCTGTGTCCAGAAAGGATGGTCGTGATAGCACCACAGACCCTCTTTGAGGTAGCTCTGCCACTGGAAGCCACTCTTACACATCCACTTGTGATTGGCTGCCATGGTCTGTCGGATGGTCCACTGAAAGTCATTAGCTGTGACATCAGAGACGAACCACGGGAAGCATTTACCATGAAAATGAACTTGACGTGTGAGGCCTGATGACACCAGGAAATCCGCAAGGACCAAGTCAGTGATTAGCTCAAAGCCAGCATTGTCTAGCACAATGTCAACTCTGTCTGCTGTTTTTTTGCCGGATCCTTCAGACCTTCTACAGGAATTAAGAGTCAACCATACCATGTTGGAGTCGTCCACCAAGATAAAAGACTGTAAGCTGTTGAGGGAATCTATGGGACTGGCCTTCTGGGAATTCTTTTGACCAGCAGAGATGGAAAGATCACACCTATTCCCCCAGAGGGAAACCTGCAAGAAAATTCAAAAATGGAAAAATTAAAAACAAGAACGTTTTACGTTTGCTTTTATAAAGAATTCAGACATCCACCTAGGCGACATAAAACATATGGATAACATCTGCATGGCAGAGTAACAACTAGTCTAACAATCAAATATTAACACTACTCCCTTTTTTAAAATGATTTACAAGGTAAATATTTATTTGATGAAAATAAAGAAAAAAATGTTTTGATGAGAAACAAGTAAGAAACAAAAGCAGGGTGAGCAAGAAATGTTCTTTATGATCAGGTTTTTTCTGGAATGTTTATAAATCACAAGATGAATATGCATGTATACATATTTTGCTGTGCTTTGCAAAAATACCAGTCCTCATTACTCATTGGCGGTTGAATGAGTTTAGACATCAAGATGTGAAAATGCATCAATATATTGAATCTTTCCATTAGATACCACTTGAATAAAGCTCTTCTTCCTTGGCAGTGGGCAACCGTGAGAAGCGCATGTGAAATATTAGTCATTAGTGGGGTTGTTGTCACAGTATTTGAGACTCAATATCAACACCTAGAGAAATATTTGATACTATAAACTATTTAATTTCAGTGGGGATAAACACATAACTAATAATAAACAGCATATATATATATATATATATATATATATATATATATATATATATATATATATATATATATATATATATATATATATATAAAAGAACATGATTTCTCAGTATTTTATCTTAATATAGAACATGATTTTGGACTAGAATCAAAAGTTCTACTGAATAAATGTACAAATACTTACAAAATAAATATAAGAAGTTTTGACAATATTTTAAAGGTAATAGTTAAAAGTTTAACTCCTCCAAGCCAGTAAGTAGAGCTCTCATGCTTGCCCAGTCTCGCTCTAACCCACAGTTGTACCAGCTTGTTGCCAGGTCTGCCATTTTTTACATTTAACCGGTCCGTGAAAGTGGCAACCCTTCGCATGGCTTCTGAGCCCCTTTGCTTCAATCAGTTGGCACCCTTGCTAAAAAGTGTAACTGGTGTTCACCCTTGCTTTGCTTGTTTTTTGTTTTGTTCTTTTTTTAGCTTAAAGCTGAGAAATGTAAAGCAGAAAATAAGCCAGTTCTCATCTTTAAAGCCCAACTGGCAATGCCTGAGCTCAATCTCACTTTGAACACCAATTCCTCTTGGTGCAAAAAATCCTTTCATTTCAATGTTGGCATAGTAACCATAGGTAAATATTTATATATTTTGGAACCATTAAAACATTTTTTTATTAAAATGAATACCTTTTTCTACACCACTCTACATGTTTTGTGGATGTGTTGATGCATTTTTTCAATTTTTATAGGACAATTCCTAAAAGCTATGACCATTAAGGTGATTTCAGGTATTGTTTTTATGTGCAAACAATCCAGAAATCTAAAATAAAAAATTGCAAAAATATGCAAACACTTTTTTTTAGCATCGATGCCATGCCAAAGTAGTATTGTATCCCGATTAATCTTTAGAATACTTATATTTTCCACGTATCAATTTTGGCCTAGGTATTACAGTTAAAAATATGAGCACAAGTTAACCAGAAGAATCTTCATCAGCTAGATAGTTTTAAGAATTTAATGTACTGACCTGAAGTAGCTTGTTGAAACATTCAGACAGTTGGTTCTCTGACAGCGTCTCCATGCTCTTCTGGATGTCTCCCAGATAAGTACATAAAGCCATCACAGCCTGCTGAGACTCAAAAAAGCTTTCGGTCTTCCCCTCATTAAAGAAGTCAAAGTTGTTAATCGGAGGACTGAAATAAACAAGAAAACCAAAGTATAATTAATCCTAAATGGAAACAACAAATTAGTTAAACATGCAATATTGCACTAAATCAAAAGAAGCCTTTTTAATAATAACACATAAATCAAATGTTCAAAAATGCATTTGATTTAATTTGCCCTTAATTTTATTTTTCTTTACTATAAAAGCTAAACTTTCTGTGACTCCTGTTTCTCTTGTTCGGATCTTATAGCCTCTAGACTTGTAATCGTCTATGGTTTAAGTGATATATGAACCTGTATGCTTTCGTTGCCTTTTCATTTGCTGCTGACTGACCCAAATTTCCCTATTAATGAAACAATACATGACATCTCATTGTATTCTATTCTGTATTAAATACACAACATTTTTTTATACATACCTTCATGTACATCTATATCAGTTCATCTGTATATTACTCTCATATTTATAATAAGAATTTACAATGAATCAAGCATCTTCTAAACTATAGTAGTCATTTGGTTTCATTAAGTGTTATTTAGTGTCTACACATGAATAAATACTTTATTCAAAAATATTTAACTGATGCTCCGGGAGTTGGATTTTAATGCGTTTTTTTTCAAAGCCGCATTTTTAAGTTTACTTTTTCATTGCATGTTGCCATGTTTTGATGTTTTTTTCAGCATGTCAGCTCTTTTTTATATGAAGTCATGCACCTAGGTTTAACACTTTACAAATGATTGAATACATTTTTTGATGAAGCCAAAAAAACACTGTGTAATTCAGTGGGAAAATGTTAACTATAACAGCTTACAACTGGAGTTTTACCCAATTTTATTTAATTGTTTATATATATTTATCTTGATTTACTACCAAGTCCTGTTTGTGCCTGCTGAGTTAAACCATATTTCATGAAAACACAAATTATCTTTTTATTCCATGACAAATTTAGCTTGAGGAAATAACTCTGATTCATTATCAAATTATACTGAGGCATTGACTTGGTCTCTTTTGTGCTAAATCTGGCTACTTTGCAGCAGCAACAGTGTTACTTTTTCATGGTAAATGACTGGATCATTTCAATATGCTGTAATTAGGATTTTAAGTTCCACTAGTTAGAAATGTGGACAAGCCTTATTCCCTCCCACTTCTATAGTAAATCTTGTTATCTGCCTTCATATATTTGGTTATCTTGAGGCTAGAAGTTAAGTTACCTTGTTGATATAACATGTTCTGAAATCCAAAATAGTTTTACAAAAGACATCTCTCCAATTAGACCAAGTTAAGTCCCCCTTCAGAAACTGGGCCACAGTTCATGTTAAGACACTGGCAGGGTAATGTTACTCCAAGTGGCGAAGCCAGTTGGAAACCCTTCGGCTGGATTGAAATGATTACTTGAAACCTAAATCTACAAATATGAACACATTTCCTTTAAAACAAAAGGGTTACACAGTTGATTCTACTTTTCTGTTTTTTCCTTAATGCTGGATTCTGTTTTTTTTTTTTTTACTTAATGAAGTTTTTAAGCAATCAAAATGCATCATTTGATGTGCACCAATGATTAGACCAGAGAACAGTATTAAGGAACTGACAATTGCATTATACCCATTTATTGACTTACATTTTAATAAGTGAGATAAGAGATAATTAATAAGAGATAATTTTCAGAATACTGTAAAATCAGAAGACTTGTGCAGCATAGGTAAACTTCACTCACTTGAGCCATATTGCTTCTTGTATCCTTCTGTACATGTAGCACTCCACATAGAGCCACGGAGACTTGAACCAGCTAACAGGCTCCTGGTCCCCCAGCTGGTTCTGCTGTCTCTGCATGTACTGGTTCCAGGACTCAGTGTCTGGCAAGTCATCTTTCAATTCCAGTAGTGGCTTATCGGTTTGCATCTCATTCCTCAGTTTTGACAGCAGAGAAATCGCCTGTTTCTCTGCACTGATCCCCTCCTTTTTAAAGGACAATTAAATTTAACTTCTAAAATGATTTCAATAGTTTTTTGTGTTTTTTTTATACATTTAGGTATACATCTCTCAAGTCTGAATAAAAGCATTTCTTACCTCTCCATGTTCCTCAAAAAACTTGTTTTTGTTGCGGTGTATTGTGTCTATAACTTTTGTCAAAATAGTTGGCATTCTGTCTCTTATAGTCAAATAAGCAAATGACCTATAGCAAAAAAAATAAAAAGGTACAAGTTAATTACAACATCTTAGTGTCAAGTTCTACAGGAGCCATTCAGAGTCCAGTGCATTTACTCTCCTCTAATCCATTCTAATCTGAAACCTAAAGCATTTAGGATAGCCAAAAGTTGGTCACATTTATTACTATTTTAGACTAATGGTAGAATATATAAAACAGCTTTATAAATATATTATATAAATCTGTATTTAATTTGTAAACAGTTGAATCTAAACTAAGGAACTAGATAAAAAAAGCTATTTTACATAGTAGAAAACAACACAATCTAAACATATCAAATCAGAACACATTTTGTTTAGCAAAACATAAATTTAAACTGTAAGAACAAGAATTTTAAAAAGTGAGATTTTTAAGATTTATTTGCAGATGCATGAAGTACAGCCTAAAAAGCTCTGACTGCAGCCAAGTGTGGGCATTTATCATCTAAGGAAGCCAGAGCATTTTATTCAGCAGTATGGAAAGGACAACATGAGTAATTACTCTAAAACTATGTTCTACTTCTATAATACATGAGTCCATTCTGTGTTGAAACGGAATAAAATAAATGTGCTGTTTTTTCAGTAAGCACAAGCAGAAATGTATTAGCATTTAGCTAACGCTACTAAATTTGATTTTTCTGCAATAAAACAACGTGCTCTAATGTTTCATTTTAGTTTCCCACATTATAAAACACACGAAAAAGTCATCAACTTTGCTGACAACATACCCTATCACTTTGGCAGACAGTGAAGGGGGGACTCCGGATGCAGCTTTAGCCGCCGCCATTGTTGTTGCAGAGGCAGCCGATTCAAATTCAAACTTTATTAACAACAGGACGGAAACAGTTACTAGCTGCAACTTGTCGACAACTTGCTTTTGTTTTGTATGTTTGTTTGTGTTTTATTGTTGAAATAACCCATGAAAGCACTGAGCATTACCCATTTCCTATTTTTACAACAAATATTTATTGTAAGTAATTATTGCTGGAGTTCAGTATTTCGTTTTTTTCTTCTTTAAATTAGTTGTAATGCCGCCATCTAGCGGTACAAATGTAGACTGACGCGAACACTTCCTCAAAGGCGATGTTGCTCTTTCATTCAGGTTTGAGTTTTCCATTAAAACGAACTTATTAGCTTACTTCGGCTTTCGTGCTGCTGTCTCTTTATCGGACTTCTCGCCATACTACGCATGTTAGTTGTGCAGCGCTTCGCCGGACCGGAGCATCCCGGGTTGCCCGTGGCTACAGTTGTCATGGAGATATTGATTCGCCCTTTCAGAACAGGCCAGAATTTGAAGCCCCCCGAGGTCAAATTAATGAATGCCAACTGCCGTTAAACTCTAAAGAAGGGGAACCCGACGCCCCCTCAATTACCCCCACCACTACCACTCCCTCGAGCTCTTTGGCGGGAAAATGGGAGGGTTTCAAAGGGTATCTGTTAAGGAATAAATTGTTCTTTAAGTAATTTTCAGTGAAAGAGCCCAAAAAATCTGAATTGGGAAACAGGAATGTGTAAGATAAACATAATGTTGATAGCAATGTGTGAGTACAGTTATATTTTGGTGTAATTCTTTGTATAGGCCTAGCAAACTTTGTGTTTTTTTGTTTTTGTTTTAAAGAGAAAAAAAGTATGCTTTTATGCCTGTGACGATAAAAACAGGTACATTAGGTGACCTGTAACAGAGAAAGAAAATGAAAGCAAAAGGATTCTGGGTTTAGATACAGGATTAGGCTTCCTCCAAATTTGAAGGACATACCCAACTGACTGGTCACATTTAGCAGGCTGCAAAGATGCATCCATTAATCCTAGCTGTGTTCCCCCCCCCCCTCTTTTAGATCACTATAGGAACAAGCCAGCCCGTCGTCAGGATGCTGGGGTCCCTGAAAGCAGGAGTCCAGCTGCGTCCACCTCCGGTGTTCATCCACCGTGGGCCTCCCATCCCCCCAGCCGGGGCCCTGCCTGGCCGGATCTGTTTTTCTAAACCGAGAGAGGAGTGACTCACCACTCCGGTTTTAAAACAGGCCAAGGACGAGGGGGAGGGCAGCAGCAAACGTTAAAAGGCCCTGTTTAAACAGGCCGCCCTCAGCTCAGCACAGATGCACCACGGCTGCTGTTTTTGTTTTTCCTTTTGCTGTCTGGAAAATTGTGCACTAGCACAACTGAGGCATAAAATGTTTATTGCAGAATTGTGCTGTCGATTTAAAAATTGATTACAGCAAGGCAAATCAGTTTAACAGGGATCAGCGAAGGGGTAGTCATGTGAAGGTCCAGTGAAGGTCCATCTTTCCTATAAGAGCTGCTCTGAGAAAAAGACAGGAAGAATTACTATAGATGGCCCATGTAGACAAAAAACTAGTGATCACAACATATTGATCTTTGTGAAAAAATAGTGAGGTAACCCAGAGATAAAAGTTTATCTGCTTCTTTCAATGAACCACTGTTGGTCTTTCAGAAAGGAAACAAGCTTTTGTTGGGCTGTTCTTCTCCTCTTCCCCCTCTTTTAGGTGTTTCTGTTCGTTTTTTTTCCAGCTTTATATATATATGGGAGTTTGTGGGTGTAGTTATATTGTTCTTTTTACATTAACAGCTGTAAAGATCCTTAAAAGTTCTGCTTCACAGACTTTTAGCCCCCTCCTATCAGCCATTTCTATTTACTTATAGACTCCGCCCAACCTCCTCCTGCAGAGCATGCATTTTCTCAAAGCTGTGCTTGGCCTGGTCCTCTTCCTATTAGGTAGAAATGCTTTAAAGGTCTGAAAAAAAAATTGTTTACCCAGTGACAGCCTCGGCCTACTTACTCATGACAGCATCTGATGGCAAAATATTGACATAAATCCAAAGTGCAGTTGTGAGAAGGTCCACCTACACTTCCTGTGCCTCAGAATAGGCAACATGTGTGGTTTATCTGAAACTCTCTTCTCTGACACTCCTTTCCTCTACTGAAACTCTTTGTGGTAAAATGTTCACCGGGTCTGTCATTTTACCGTTTACAGTAGTAGTTTTATTGCTTAATATTTGCTCTCAGATTTGATGGACTTTAGCTGGCCCGGTCTAGCCAGGGACAGTGCTAGATGGGGGGCCAGGGGTGGCTATGGTCAACCTTAGCCAATCATTGGCCACCAATGCCAGGTGATTCCATGTGGACAAATCTTTTATTTTAATAATTTATATATTACAATGAAATGACAAAAAACATAATGTTAACTACTCACCTCAATATACAACATTAAAGATGAATTATACAGAGTTCATGCTCTTTTCAGAGCTAGATTTAGAGTTTTATGGCGTGAAAAGAAAATTATATCTCATCAAGTTATCTAGGGGTCTTTAGCAGAATCTGAGATGTTATCCCCAGAACTTAAAGTTGAGATTGTCCAGTAAATCTTTCATTTAGATGTGTAAATATATCTCAATATATTTATGAGCAAGGGCTTTCAAATCTACTTTGCCTTTATTTGGAAAATATGGATGTAGTGCTTGTTCCTTTTCTGGTTGAAACAGTGTAGATTAATCATGAAGTTCTGGCGCACATCCTCTTTTGGGCATATTGGTTCCTTCCTGACCACAATTATCACACGTTTCTGGCTACGCCTTTGGTCCTAGCATAAATATGATTTGATCTAAACTAGTGTTGCACCAGTACCGATAACAGTATTAGGCGGGGCCCCAATCCAGCACTAAAATAGTGCCATCGGTATCGGCGAGTACCAACAAATGGGGCACCGATACCATTTGAGAGCCAAAAGTTTATTCAACTAATGTCACCCATTCCAGGTAGGCAATAAAAAGTTCTACTAGATTCACTTTGTATTACCGGTAGTCTTTTTCTGCTTCACAAAGGAAGGCAGCAGCTTGACAAAGCCATGATGGCAATTATTTTACATCCCAGTAGTATCCAATTCTTCATATATACACACACATCAATTTCAAGCAGAAGGTAGCGGTATCGGCCAATACTGCACAGCCAGGTATCGGGGCCAAAAAATGGCATCACTAATCTAAACCATATTATGTAGCTCTGGCTTTAGGTTTAGGGTCGTCGTTCAACAGTGGTGAATCTAGAAAAAAATTACATGGGGGGCAAAGGAGGCACAAAATGTCTTGGCAGGGTAGTTATGCTGGACCTCTTTTTTGAAATAAGTCACTATTTTAAAGTTGAACATCAAAACACTTTAAAACTCTCATTGTGTCATTTTCTCTTCTTTGAAATAAAAGACAAATTTAAAGTATAGGCTAGCTGAAAACGATTTTTTTTCCTAAACATGAATAAAATTAATTAATATTGAAGGTAAATACAGAAAAAAGAGCTTAAAACTGATTTCAGCCTTTTTTTTTCAGGAGGTCTAAAGGTGACAATTGCTGTATCGGGCAGTACAACTCACTACAGAGATTCAGAAATAATTTCTCTGTACTGGAATTTATATAGAGAATAAATACAGAGGTGGTCCAATAGGATAGGCTGGATTTGCTGACTTTGTGGCTTCCTTTTCTCCTTCATCAGTTTTCTTTCTCTCTCTCTGACTCTGAGATATTCTCACCAGCACTTATACTTACCTAATCTTTCTCATCCTCACTTATTTTTAATGTTTTTGAATTAATTTATTATTTGTATCTCTTCTGCCTCCTTGAACCCCAGTCAAAGATGGCCGTTCACACTGAGCCTGGTTCTGCTGGAGGTTTCTTCCTGTTAGAAGGGAGTTTTTCCTCTCCACTGTTGCTACAAGCATGCTTGGTGTGAGGGATGCCTTTAAGTCAGGGGTCTTCAAGGTTTTCCAGGCAAAGGACCCCCAAACTGATGGCCAGATCGAGCGAGGACCCCCTATTTATATATTGCATGAAATTGTGTAATATCAAACTGGTCCTTTAGTCAGTCTATTTCATATAGTGTCATGTAACGATAGTAATTTCCCCCTGGGATTATTAAAGTCTGATTCTGATTCCTTGTTGATGGGACAGGTGTTGTGAATGAAACGGTGCCCAGCTTGAAAGAGCTCCTGTGTGCATTGATGACTGAAAGATATCTTCTGCCTCCATTTATCTGTTTATTACAGTGTGTTGAATTCATGTTAATATGTATTTAAGACATTTCAATTAATGGAAAAACAAATTCCTGGGGGGAATATAAAAAAAAGCCCCCTGTAGATCTGCCCCTGTCATTTAACTACAAAGGTAATCCCCCAACCAGTGCTAAATCAGTCTCTTAATATTTTTTTATTCACAGGATTTCCCTAAGCGTATCTCTTTTAACTCTGTTAACTGGCTTCACTGTCCTTGCTATCTGATCAAAACATCTACTTCCACATATTTATTTATTTATTAAACCCCCCACCTGTCTGAGCTTTATGTTGTTTTTCCTCAACACTGTGCTTTCTAACAAATCTATAATGACATTAGAAAACAGCTGGGTTTGGTTTATGTTTACAATAAAAAAGAAGAATCTTGGCTTTACTAAAGAGGAATACATGTAATGTAGGTACAAATGCACATAACACTATTAAGATTGTCATGTCAAACATTTTGAAACCCAAATGAAATTTTCCTTTACAATTTTATAGTTTGTGTTTGTCCCCCACAAATATGTCAGTGAGGGATATACAAATTCTTAGTAGTAACATGATAAAATGGAAAAAAGCCAAATGGTATGAATACTTTCACTAGACTGAGTCAAAAAACTACTTTTTGTTTGTTAACTTAGTTTACATTTTGAAATGGAAAATAATTGAAAATCTGTCTTATTTCAAATTATCTTCCAGGTAGAAATTTTTATGGTTTTATTTCAAGAATCAGGAATTGCTGATGTTCTGAAGGTGAACACAAGTGTTAATTCAAAAAGAAAATAAAAAGCATAATCACTACTGTATGAGGATTTAACTGCAGTGAAATATTAAGATGGGCCATCAGGCCCCAGTTAGAACCAATGGTCCCTAACTATTTAGATTTTTTTTTAGATTGAACTTTATTGTCATTACACAGGTACAAGGCAACAAAATGCAGTTTAGGTCTAACCAGAAGTGCAATAGCAGCAAGTGCAGGATAAATAATGGTCCCATAAATACAGGACATGGGTTTCTACTGAATAGATATAGAGATTAATACCATTATAAACAGAATTTTACTAATAGGTTTTTCCTATGAATATAATATGATATATGAATATAATAGATAACTAATTAGCCAAGACTAAAAACTTTTTTGTAACTTACTAACATGTTTCTTGAAAAATGCACTTCATCAACAATCCAGATGCTTAGCCCCCAAAATGTTTTTTTTTTTTTTGTGTGATTGATCTGGCACTACAACTCAAAATCCAAGAGCAAAATGTTGTGTCCAAAGCTGTGTGTGAATCATGAAAAAATAAAAATCAACAGCAACACTTTTTGGTGAAACAGAAACATTCCTTAAAATACCTTTACCATGCATAAGTAAACAAATTAACGTATGGATTAATCTGCAACAGATTAAAGTAGGGATTGCAACCATTGTGGGTGACTTGGTAAAACCAGTGTGATCCTAAAATATAATGCATAATGATTTTACCTGTTAAAGTACTTTTCCCATTAAAAAGTCTAGATTATCCAAAAATGTAAAATGAGAGCAACTTTTAATCATATTGTTCATAGTTTTTATGTATCTTGATCCGTTTGTCTTTTCCTTGACAATGATGATCAGTTTACTTTGATCAGTAATTCTGATTTGATGTGATTTATAAATAAAACAGCATTGGTAAAAAGGTGTTATGATTCGGCTCCTTGATCAGAACTTCAGCTTTAACTGTCTAACAATTAATTAATAATGTTTAATACGGTTTAAAGGCCAAATCCAATGTGCTATGATTGAATGGTAATAAGAGGATTTTAAACAGTTACTGTATAATATTACTGGTTTGTTATTAAATCAAATCAGATGTGAAAATAATTTGAATCTGAAGTTTATACCAACAAAAACAGAATTTTTATTCATTTATCATCTACTAAAATTTGAAATAATGGGAAAACTATAAATCTAAAAATAAATATAACATGTTTCTTTTGATTATATAATTAATTAAAAAAACTGAGTTAAAAGGGGCTAGTGTGATTTACAGAACTAAGGACCTTTTTTATATTCAGTGCATCTAACAAATATATAGTATATAGTTGAGTATATTCTGCTTTTTTATTAAGGTATTGTCCCCCGCATAGGCAGGGAAGTAGCGGTTATATCTCACCGGCTGTCAGACAGAAAGAAGAGAAGAAAAGCAGAGCTTGGTGTCGCGACGGTTACACAGTGCGGGAAATTAACGTTAACTCATCCGCCCCTTCCTCAACGGATTTTTTTTCTTTACAACGGCCACTTTTCCCTTTTATCTCCCCCCTCTCTCTCTCTGACTGTTTTTCTTCTTACTCCCCACTCGCAAGTCATGTGACCGTAACGTAAAACCCCTAACCGGAAAACACCGTCGGACGACCCTCCGCCGCCAACGAATGCTGCGTTTACAAGGAACCCAGTCGAAGCTGCAGCGAGCGCAGAGAGGACGGACGGAGAGCTCTCCGGTAGCAAACAAACAAGGGGCGATACGGAGAAACTCCGGTGTTTTCAGCAGAGCGCAGGTACGGCAGCCCATTAGTACATTCACACACGTTCGTTTTAGCTAACACTTTAATTATTTGCGGTTGTTTATTCAGGCTAACAGTAATTGTCACGGGGGGAAGTTAAAAGAAACGCGTTCGTGACCAGCCCCATCCCCCTTGCGTCTCGCGCTGTCTCTTCCTACGTGCGCGCGCGCGTGCGGAATATGTGTTTGACCGTTTTCTCGCGCTAGCAACCGAGGGAGTCCGACGGAGCCCGCTTTTTAACATTCTCCCCTTCCTCGTGTGATTCTCTCGATATGTTTACGTTTTCCATACACAACAGTTTTATTCCTGCGTCATGTTTATCTTTCTAACGCACTTCCCTCTCCGGCGGTTCACTGTGTTTTCAGGACGTCTCACTACGGAAGCGACGGTTCCACGTGTCTACATCACAGCAGGGGCGGTGCTAGATCTTTACAAATAAGTTGGTAAAGGCATAGCTTTGTGGTTCCTTAAACTAGTGTAATTTAACTCCGATTATTACTGTTTACTATCATAATATTTATATTTTCAAACTCAGGGTTTTATCATCCATTGCTGTAATAAAGTTAACATTTTTACTTTATGCTCATCATGATTGTGTTAATGAGTTATTACCTATGTGTTAAAGGATAAGGATAGATAATCGATAGAACGTATTGCACATTATCGTTTGTGGGTTTTTTTTATCTTAAATCTACCAGCTTGATTAATATTTTAGAGGAGTTTAAATGAATCAATATTCAGTTGTTTGAATACTAAAAAAAACAGATTCTCTTTTTATTAAATGCACCAAAACTAAGAACTTACACACTTTTCAATTAATGTGGAATCCCTTTATAGTGGTCACGGATATAGTAATCAACCCCTTATATAGATCAAAAGGCTTGAGACAGAATAATTTGTATACAAATGCTGTTTAAATTATAAATTTAATCAAAAAATCCGCTTATAGTGTTCATTTTTGGCCATTTTAGGAATGTAAACATGTGCGAAAATAATTTCAGAGGTACAAGAGTACTTTGGTGCGGGTACCAGTGATACGAGGAGGAGGATGATGAAGAGGAGACCGTTGTCCCCTTCCAGAGCTGGGATGAGGAATGTAGTTTGCATTTTAAAGACTGATCTCTTGCACGTTGGTTTAAAAAACTTTGACCTTTTACATCATTTTGAAAAAGAAGTAAACTCAGTATCGGACAACACTCTGATCCAGGGAACCATGGTTAGATATGTGAAGTGATTTCTTAATGCGGCGCAGCAGATCCGCAACACCAAACAGACGTAGGCTAGCTTTAATTTTCTGTAGCCTATGCAGTTATCTTCTATGTTGTTGTTCTATGTTTCAAACTTTATTTTCAGACTTGTTAAGAAAATACACCGGCGGCACAGCAGAGCCGACGCACAGCTCATAATAAGTTACATAGCCTACCAGAGTTATTTCTGCGCACAGCGCAGTATACTGTAATTGAGCTTGCATGGTAATATAATAAAATTCAATAAATGCGAAAGCTATCCGTTTAATTTCATTTTTCTCACTGAAAAACCATACAAATGGCAATTAGATGATATCCTGCATAAAAAATAAGTGATATAACGGTTAATTCAGTTTTAGTAATCAACCGCTTATAATGTTCAAATTGGCTCTGGAGCAACGTGACCACTATAAGCGGATTTCACTGTATTTATACTAAAACAAGCAGCATATACTTTGTTACACTGATTTTAAGGTTAATAAAAAGAACAGATAAATGTCAGGTATTAATCTTTTGATTCCTAAATTTGGATCATCTGGATTTACTTAATTTCCTTTTGTACTTAAAGTTCCTACCTAGTTAATGGCAAAGACTAGGGAGACAGACTCTCTTTGGGCATCCAACTCTTTATTTTACAGATTGAGAAGCCATAGGGTGACAGCGTTTGTTTGATTACACTGGTTTTCTTTTATATACAGTAAATTTCTGTTGTTGTTGTTTTACTATGGATACGGATCTATAAATATTGGTTATGAGCCAGAATAACCATTCGCTGGTAGATGTTTCATTTCACAGTTTCGGTTTATTTTGTTGCCATTGATGCAGGACTTTACCATAACCTTTGTGTGATAAAGTGCTTACTTTTACTATCATGCCTAGATCTGGATTCAAAAATTGCATTTGTTAAATTTTTAGATTATATTAAATTGTGATTATATTGAAAATACAATTATTTGCCCAACTCTAGTGTCTGCTGCTCTTTTGTTTGTTACTGTGAGTTGCTAAAACCAAACTTTGGTAGGTGGGCTGCTTCCAGTTAGCTTGAAAAGTTCCAGTAGCTGTCCTCCTTTCCACCATTCGATGGGAGCAGTCCTAGATTAATAATATGTTAACTAAACCTGGGTGTTATATATTATTGATATAGCTTGCCAGATTAATCAGCTGTGTATCCCTAGTTAAGATCTGAACACACCTAATCCTATTTGGTGTCTGATCTTACAGAAAATCATGTCGGACCAGGTTGTAATGTTTAGCACTCATGTCAATTGGGATGATCATATCCAACCCAATTTTCTGCGAAATAACTCCGACTGAGATATAACCCAGGTCTATTTTAGTCGGACTAAGCAGCAATTCAGCCGCAATTTCATGGGTCTGGCAGGAAGAGAGATGCATTTACAAATTAAAACACATCTGCTTTGGGGAAAAATACCAAATAAATTCTGTTAATCGCACGAGAAAACATAGTATATATAGCAAGTGGGATAGACCTGTGGAAAAACAGTCAATGAAACATTATAAAAAAAAGAATACTTTAACCGTGATAGGAGTTCGGGAAGGCAGAAAACCTCTTTTAGCCTCGCAAAAACAAGGAGGGACAGAAAGTGCAGTGCAATCTCCTTAAAAAAAGGACTTCAGGAGAACAGAAAGGGATATAGTAAAATACTGATCATCTTTGAGCCTCACAAAAAAAAACAAAATAACAAGGGGCAGACAGAGCAGTTAAGCAAAGTTCTCTCTTTATAAAAAAAAGAACTTTAATAAACTTTACAGTTGTCTCTCTGAGAATCACCTCTCACTGCCTCAGTCAGCATATAAGCCATCCAACGGCGTTTGTTGCTGTGTTTTCCTTTTCTTCAGACGTTGTCATGTTTTTAATATTGGCATAAACATCGGGATTGGGATGCTGCACAGGCTCATCAAGTGGGGCTTTGCTTTATAGCTACTCCAATGTTAATGTTTAAAATTTTAGAATCTGTCCAAGTCAAATGTGAGAAATTGTTTCAATTTGTGTGGCATGGAGTCAGAAGTGATACAAAATCTGTACCAATCTGCTTACTCTGCCTAGTGGGAGTCAGTGTCAATCGTGATCAATCGGATCGTAGATTAAGAAGTCATACGCAACTTTAGGAAAGTCTGAAATAAAAATGTGGCTCACTCTTCTTGGTCCTTGGTTACCATCTATGGACGTCTTCAGGTGACTTGCTCATCTGTTTAAGCAATTCTGTGCAAGTTAAAACACCATGTTTGGTCATTATACTCTTTAGAAACAAACCTTGTTCAAAGTGTAGGAGATAAAAGTGTGTTTTGGTGAATTGTGTCTATCAACTGCAGAATCTAATCAACAGTTTTATTATCCCCAGTTAGCCTAGTAAACTAGCCCCACCCGCCAGCGGACAAAATCATTTTTTCCTGCGAGTGGTCTAGCCTCAATCAGTGCCCCAGGCCCTAGAACTGGCGCCCCAATCACAAATCTTCCGATGTCTCATTCATTGGGGCCAGACTAAATTACACATTTAATTTCGCATATAGTCTGGTTTATCAGGCCAATCCCCAGGGAAACATGGGCTGAAAGGCCAATCAGTGAGGAGGAAGTTATTACTCCAAAAGCAACATAAAAGGTCCGATTGTATTTTTGCCAATGCGCTAGCATCACACTGTAGCACGTTTTCCTGTGGTGTGATGAAATTAAAGTTAACCTGTTTGACAGCAGTAACCCAGTGTTACAGATAAAAACTTCAGTTCTTTTTTTACAGCCTAAACTTGATTTTAGCGAGTAGATATTAATTTACTTCAGGGTTTGTCAGTGTTTTGATTAAAATAAAATAAAAAATCGCCTGCCATTAAATACCAGTTCTGTTTCTGCTGCTGGTACTGAAGAACTAGTTTGGCTTTTCAGGAAGCTTGAAATCACATCTTAACATTGGATGTTGTTCACTAAATGGCTTCCTCCAGTCTTTTATTCTTAACATCTTTAAAGAAACACAGCATAGTTAGCTGAACTACAGAAATCCGGCTGTTTTAATCTCTCCAACCGTTGTCCAAAATGCTGTTTTAAACAGCAGATTGTGTTTCTGAGCATCCTTTACTCTGTGACATTAATTTCTGATCTCTGGCCTTAAAACTGGTCCCTTATTCAGGCTGTTTTCTCCTCAGGCCAATTAAAGAGCCTAGAAATACATTCTTGATAATGTTATTTAAGTTATGCTTAATTTCAATTCCCGTCAAGTGAGAATTGGTATTACAGTCAAGGTGTACAGTTTAATTTTCTCTCATAACAGCCTGCTATAGAGATATATTTATTATGAGAAAATGGTGTGACCTGGAGGCAAAGGATACACTACCCAAACACCTGCCTTAGAGAATGAAGCCATGGCCAAATTATTAATTTGAACAGTATCGTCTATTATCCTATGAAACCGTATGCGTTCTGTCCCTTTATGCCATCCTTTACAGAGGCATCAGGTTAAAACTAGGGAATCAATTGGACATTTAGGAAAACGGCTTATAAATATATTATTAACACATCTAACCACTAAGCAATTTGCTTTAAAAAATAAAGCACAGATTTAATCAGTGTTAAGAAGCTCAGTTAATCTGATTTACAAATTAATTATCAAGACTGCATTTTTTCTTCCTTTTCGCTTTGTTGAATTTCATTTTAGTAGGTGAAATGTAAATACACCTGAATTGACTTTTAAGTCGAGCAGAACTAGTTTTTAGCCTCTGTAGTTTGTGTTTTTGTAGAAATCCAAGATGTTTTACATAAAGGATTAGAAGACTGTTTTCTGGATGTGAGGATTTTCTGAGATTTCTCATCACTGAGAATCAGTACCGATGAAGTACCAGTTGTGTCTCCCTCCAGACTGTGTGAGAAAGTGTTGGTGGAAGGAGAGTGACCCTTCCCATGGGCTGTTTTCATACTTCTCTGTAAGGGGGTAGAACCGGCTCTGCCTTGGAATGTGTGTCGACACCCATAGCCCTGATCATGTGATGGCCTGAAGCCCCCTGAGTCCTTTAGTGACCTTTAGGGTCAACAAAGCGCATCTCATTGGTCAGCAGAATGCAGTGAGCCCCTAAATGTCTTTTAAGGCTGGGTTTAAATGACTTGTGCTCATAAAGACAATTTACTTTAAATCCTAAAGTTTTTATGGGTTTAAAATTTAATAGATTATATTTTTAAAGAATGTTTTTAGTTTTCTGTCAGGTTAGTCCTTAATGTTTTAATTCATTGGTAAAAAATTATAAAAGATGGACCGATATTCTCAGCAATATCTTTTTTTCTTTTTCCGTATTGGCCGCTTCACGCATGTGTTCAGTGATTTATTAGTGCATTTAGCCGCCATGCCCTCAGATCACATTAAGCCAATGCATTGCTGCTTCCTCCATTTGCTATCTATTGAGAATTCTTTATTTGATTTTTGAATTAATGTTTTTTTTTTTTGGTTAAAATGTAACTTGAGCAACATTTGTTATTGCTGTGTCATTTCTATTATATCCATGGTGGAAGAAATAGTGATATCGGCCTAAGGAACAGCCCCAAAAATTTCTCTCTTTAAAATCCAAAGAGACATTTTGCACCAAATACAGCAACATAAAAGTCATTTAGAGCTGCAAATATTACATGCCCTTTTAATAAAACACAACTTGATATTTTTCGTCAAACAATTACTGTGCAAAACATAAAAAAAAAAAAAAATATATATATATATATATATATATATATATATATATATATATATATATATATATATATATATATATATATATATATATAAAAACACTTCTCAAGTTTATGACAAAATATAGATCTAAAAACATTTCTGGTACTTTTAATGTCATTTTATTGTGGAAATTGAATTAAAATTTACTTTTCTTAAAGTTGTGTACACTTTTAAGATTGGTATTTGTTGTTGAACTGTTCAGAACCATTAATTGGCTCGTTTATCATTTTTAACCACTATTACTTAAAGGTATAGTGGAGGATGTTGTTTTCTGGATGGATCATCAAAATAAGTGCTCCTATTTGACAATCATTCTGGTGATATGTTTACATAACGCCTTCTACGTGCTCGTCCCCATTTTCACTTACCGGTGGAGAGTCTGACATAGTGGAAAAATGCTAATATTTTGGAACGTAAGCTTGTATGAGCGATGCAAACAGCAACTTTTAACAGAGCGTGCACGAGAAGAAATGGGCTCGTGCACGCTCTCACACACGTTAAATAAGTGTTCCGTCTCAGCCGCAGGTACAGGGTTGTGCATGTGCATTTTTTTTTTAGTGGAGAGGGCGGGTCTTTTAAAAAATGCGAGAAAATCCATCCAAAAGGAGCAGTTGATGAGCTTTGGTTTAGAATTAGTTTTAATTTTTTACCTAGTAGTATTTATTGTTCTATACTTGCTGGGTGAGAATGTCCTCCTAACCCATGCTTTGTCTCCACCATCGCTTTTTGTTTATATGACCAAATATAATCAAGGTTATCGATAAAGTAAAATCTGGAATTAAGAATTAAATAGACTTATTAAAGAGGTTTTTTTGTTTCACCAGGCTCCTCTGTTCTTCAGTTTACTTCTGTGCGATAAGGGGTACACAGTCTTGATTGTCTCTTAAGTGAGGCTTTACAGCTGTGCTACGTTAGGCTCTGTGAGGTTGTTGGATGCTCACTGACATCTTGATCCTTTGTGGTCACAACAACCTCTTGTCTGCTGCTTCACAGGAAACTTATGGCTCCGTGTGTGTGTGTTTGTGCAGGTTGAAGAATGGAGTTGGCCAACCATGGTCTTATCCTGCTGCAACAGCTTAACGCTCAGAGGGAATTTGGCTTCCTGTGCGACTGCACTGTGGCTATCGGAGATGTCTTCTTCAAAGCCCACAAAGCGGTCCTCGCTGCCTTCTCCAACTACTTCAGGATGCTTTTCATTCACCAGGACAGGTATTAGAAGAATGGGTCCATTTAAAAATAGAGGTTTATGTGTTGAAAGTTCAAACATTAGATATACCCTGGCCTGAGACTGTTATTCTGCTTTGCTGCGGTTACAGCTGCAGTTTAAAAAAGGTCTCGTCGTTGACTGTTACGTTTCATTTCAGCGACTGTGTGCGTCTGAAGGCTGCTGACATCCAGCCAGATATCTTCAGCTATCTCCTCAACCTGATGTACACTGGCAAGCTGGCCCCCCAGCTGATAGACCCGGCCCGTCTGGAGCAGGGGGTCAGATTCCTCCACGCATATCCGCTCCTGCAGGAAGCCAGCCAATCGGCATACTCCCACCCCGAGCACAACCTCAACCTCTCCACCTCCCTCTATGGCATCCAGATATCCGACCAGCAGGTGGCACTATCAGCCAGGGTACCGTCCCGTCGACAGCTCTCCTCCCCCTTTGAATTGGAGCAGCTGAACTCTGAGAGTAAAGTTTCAACACCTTCTGCAGCATCATTCACAAATGCCCTGCTGTCCAAGCAAGCGTCCTCGCCCCCTGATGTAGAGGCCTCAACCAGCAGCATGAAGGCTTCTGCTGAGGAGGGTGGGATGGACTTGCTATGCACAGATGGTTCGTCCGCCACTGCAATACTTAACGTGAAGCCGAGCATAATGAAGAGGAGCTCCTCCTTCAGGAAGTATTACTCATGCCACCTCTGCAAGAGCAGATTTACCCAGAGAAGCCTCCTGAGGGAACATCTCCTGTGGCACTCGCAGGCCCTTCAGCACCCGGCGGCTGAGCCCAGCAAGCCGGCGTCCCCGGCTGTGATCAGAGAGAACAGTGTGTTAGCAGAGGGGCTTCCCAAAGGAAACAAGGCCACCGCCGTAGAGATCATCAGCGACAGCGAACAAACTCCTGTTTCAGGCACCAACTCTGACTCTCCCCAAGCTGAGGTGTCCACCTCCACGTGGGGGGTGGGAGGGTTAAACTCTCAGGCGGACACGCCCCCTCCGTCGGACATCGCAGACATCGACAACCTGGAGAATGCCGACCTGGACCGCGAAGTGAAGCGCAGGAAGTACGAGTGCTCCACTTGTGGCCGCAAGTTCATCCAGAAGAGCCACTGGCGCGAGCACATGTACATCCACACAGGGAAGCCCTTCAAATGCAGCGCCTGTGGGAAGAGCTTCTGCCGCGCCAACCAGGCCGCCCGCCACGTCTGCCTCAACCAGGGCGCTGACTCCTACACCATGGTGGACCGACAGAGCATGGAGCTATGCTCTGCCGGGGAAGACAGCAACCAGATGGAGGCCATGTTCTCAGGCTCCTCGAAGCCTTACAAATGTAACATTTGTGCTACGACCTTTTCCAGCCCTGCTGAGGTGATCAAACACCTGTGCTTCTCTCAAGGGGGACTAGCTGGGCTGACGGGAAACACAGCTGCAGGTGTGCTGCTGCAGCAAGAAGATGTCTCCAAAGATGAAGGCTCTGATTTGTCCAACTCTGGCACCCCGCCCGAACCCATAAAGACTGAGGAAATCCTCGTAGAATAGCATCAGAACTGTTTTCGTTTCTTTTTTAACACGTTTGCCATCTAAATCCTGGTTGAAAATAGGCAAGCTAAAGGAAAAGTATGTCAGGGTATGTTTGTTAGATATTATTCTTTACCTTTTTTATGATAAAGTGCTTTAAATGTTTAGATCCTAAGAGTACTAATTATAAGCCTCTCTCTTTATACAATCATTAAAAGTTAAATACAGAATTTCGTTGATGAATTTCGGTCAAACAACGATCAAGTACAAGGACTTTTTATACGGGCACAAACTCTGCATGCAACTGTGTGCTTTTTAACATAGAAAGAGGAAGCTGAGGTTGCGTAGAGTGTCGGTAGACATTGACAGTTGCAAAATGTTGATTTTTCCACGTTGGCAGGAGGCTAGACATAAACTGGCAGCTGAAATCAAAGAACAGAGACATTATGCGGTTTCTTTCCCTCCCTCTCTGATTTTAAAGTCAACTCTTAATATGCATCAGCATGTATCCGTCTTCCGTCCTCAGACGTAGGCAGGACAGAATAAATAAGTTTATGTGACGTAACGACCACTTCCAGCATCCCTGTATGTGTCTGACTGCTCCCTGGGGTTTACTGCTCAATAGCCCAACATGTCAATTTGTTTGTTTTCCTCATATTTACCTGCCCTGGTGTGGATTATGTAATAACTTTTTGGTTACTAACACTGAAGCAGCATGTCCCACCCACATGTGCAAACCCTTAACCTAAAGGCTGTAGGATATTGTAAGTCATGTTTTCTGTTGTTTTGTTTATTTTAATATAACATTCTTTAAAGTTATTTCTAGATCACCTTCCAAGTTTGACATGTTTTTCTAATTTTATACACAGTGCTATATATTCATAAAAAGACGATACATTTCAAGGCGTAAGATGATTGATAGACTGATAGCTTTTGGACTAGATGTCCATTTGGTTTTGCCAATCTTAACGTGAAGGATATGAATAAATGTGCTGACTTGTTATAGCAAAAGTCATTGTAAAACTGAACTTAAGAATTCTTTTGTTAAAAGGGAAACTTTTTTTTTATTTTATTGTATTTGTATGTCCCTACTTATATACATTAATAAATAAGGAATTAGAAGGTTGTAACTTTTAGAAAAAAAATCTCATAAAATCCTGATATTCTCAGCTGTTTGGACAGGCAGTAAATAATCCAAGAATGAGATCTGCTCATGTTTTTTTTTTTAAGAATATATCATGTTTTTGATTTATCTTCAATATCTGTTCTTATAAAAAAAGCTACTGGTGACAGGAATCTAGGATTTTATACAGGTTGGTAAACAAGAGGCTCAGATTAATATATTGGGTTTTATTTAAAACACAAAAATATTAATTGCAGATAATATAAGCTGCCGAAAAGTGTTTTTTTTTCTTCCTAAGGTATAAATTCCTGCAAATTCAGATATTTAATCTAATAGCTAAATATCCAATGAGCTTCCGAATTCATAACTCAATCATTAGTCAGTTTTTCTTGATGTGAATTGAATATCTGGTATTGATGAAATGTTTTTGTTTTTTTATTTATCAAGTGTTAAATGCATTACCCAGACATGATTTATAAACAGGAAATGTTTTTCAAAGTCTTTATAATTGTCCTGCTTAACATGTTTAATCATGATACTTAAAGTGACCATTCTCACTGTATTAGGTTAAGTCATGTTTTTCCCTTTTTAATGTAAAAAAAAACCAGAAGCTGTAATGTCCTTGCTCCTGTTGAAACTTCAAGTTTTTATGCAGTTCACTCAGTCTGTCGCTAGATGGCGCTGTGTTGCTTTTAGTATCAATCTGTTTAAAAGATGCTGTTACAGCTCCATGGATCAAAGTCATTGCAATAAAATAACAAATCCGTATAGATATACACAGCTGCAGATTCTCATTAGGAGCAGACTATCAAAGATCTTTCTCTTCAAACAGACACACAAATTTTAAAATACCCCATCCCTTAATGTTTCAGACAAACTTTAGAAATGCACACATTTTGAAAATGACTGTACCCAGCCTGCTTCTAAACAGCCAAACGTCTCAGGAGACTGAGAAGTTTGACCTCACTGTCAGCTGTTCTCTGAACACTTTGGGACTTTTAAAGAAAGTATGCAATGTAAACCTCTTTCCTGATGCCCATTTGACTTCTACTGTGACAGATCTGTGTTCTCAGGAATGTATTTTTATCTATTTGAATTTTTTTTTTTTTTGTTGGCCATTAAGAAAGAATAAAAATTTCTTTACATAAGAAAGATTTTTTTGTCTTTATAGTACATAACCTGCCGCTTGGGCAACTTGGAGTGTCTAAGTGAGTAAAAGAAAATCTGTGCTATTATCAAATAATCAAAAAAAGATGTAATTGAAGAAGCAACAGAGAATCCACACATTTTGTTTAACTTTATTGAACGAAATATAGACACATTTCTGAATCCTCACTATCAACAGCTGGGAAAATATAAAACAACCATGCTACATGAAAGGTTTGCTAAACGGCTGAAGGTTATTTGTTAATATTTTTCTTACAGCAATATTTAAGTACACACAGGAGGTAATCTGTACAAATGTTATTGGGTTCACAGTTATTGTGGGTTACAAACAGGAAGGCTTAAGGAGGGTTGTGGGGCTCTAAATAATTAGCTTTTACAACAAATGCAAGTCTTTAGTTCTCTAGCTTTATCTAATTATATTTCATTTTTTTAATATAAAGCAATATAGCTCTTTTACCCTCCCATGAGAGGGCACCTACATTAGGTTATAAATGTTCACAATCTTTACTTAAAGCTAAAAGAAAAGGAAATGCTTTAGTGCTGCTAGCTGATATAAACCATGAATCAATAGTCTGATTATAAAAGCACCTCTATGTGACTGACGCGGAACCTTTTTTTCTCACTTTAATGGGAAATTCAACCGCTTTGGTGGCAAAACGTAGTCGCTAGATATTTCTAAAAGCTTCCTTTTCCAACTAAAAACCAATGCCTGAATCAAAGCAGCAGTGTGGATTCTTTGGGAAGCTAATTGGATGCAACTGGTGTCCCGGTCCTGTGATCGATGGAAACGCCACAGCTCCTTTATTAATCCTAACTCAATTTGGCTTTCAGATTAATGGAAAAATAGAGCTTTTGTATTTATTTCTGGTACCATGAAGTTTGTTTATGTGAATCTCAGTCATCCCCCGCCCGGTTTGTGCTCCCCCACCCCCTTGTGCCAGCTTTAATAAACCTGAGCAATGACGTCTGGTCAAGAAGGACTAGCTTTCCATCAACCTGAGGCTAGCAAACTTAGAATTAAAGGATGTATATTTGTGTGGTTCTCTTATTAGCGAAAGCAGAGATGAAGAGAAAGTGGAAAAAACTGCCAATAAGTGGAGATTAGAGACCATAAACATGTTTGGTGTTTTTTTTTTTTTTTAATGGTCTACCCAGTGTTAAATACTGGCTTGTATATTCTTTGTAACACAGCAAATACTTCTGCAACATAAGTAGCTTAAAGTGTTGTCATAGTATTTTATTTTTACATATATCAATGTGTGACAATGTCTTTTCACAGTATATCAGGCAGTGAATTTTTCTTATCTACATGAATCTCATGAAATATTAAGTCGGGATGCAGAGTGAAGCACACATTGTCAGCAATTCAAGAGTGTGATGCATTTCTGCCAGTTATTATTGCAATCTCTGCTCCATCTGTGGAATTACACATGTACCATGACCGAGTTACCTAAAAATCCCTAAAATAATTGTCTTTATATGAAACCTTTTTGAACGTATATAATCTTAATGAGTCCAAACGCAATTTATAAGAAAATGTGTCTGAGTCCAGTTTAAAACGTAAAACCTGCTGCATGACAGCAGATTGTGGTCTCCTTATAATAGACAAAACAAAATAAGTAAAATAAAAAGATGTATGGTGTGACTGAATGAATAATCAAGATATAAATACAATATACATGATAGTAATTACCCATCTTTTCAACTTCTCACACTACCTCAGTCTTGCCACTATACACATAAAGATTCACACACTCCTGCGTACAAAAATGCACACACTTCCACTCTACCAGGCAAGGGCAATGGAAAGTCATTGAAGGAACACAGGTGTGATAACAAGCCAAACAGGATGCTTCTGGGGGATGGGGACATGCACTAAGGTGGGCCGTCACGGCGCTGTGACAGGGCTGCTGGGGGCGAGTCGGAGGACAGGTGGCAGGAAAAAGTGGAGGAGCTGTTTCTCAGTCTCTCTAGGCAGAATGGACGGCGTTCAGGTCAGTGTGTGTCACCACAGAGCATCCTTCGTCATTTTATCTTTCTCTCACACTTCCTGGTACTGACTGGTGTGTCTCCCAGGTAACGGTGCTGCATCTTCAGCTGTGAAGGAGACAGAAAAAAGATCATTTTAGGATATAAGAAGCATTTATTAAATAACCTGTAGAGGAGTTTTTTTCTTTTGTATTGGAAATCAAAGCAGATTTCTAATGTATTAATAACATCAAGGCGATTTGAGCCCCACCGTTTTATGGACCTTAAAGCATCAATACTTTTTTTAACACAAGAAATCATTGAGGAGGCACTTCCTGTGTGAAACCTGTAATGCAGAGCTTGAACTGAATTTCTGATCAGCATTAATGCCTTAAAAAGTGGTGTAAAAACATGAATATTTCATACTTTTTGACTGTATATTCAGTAAAATTAATTTTAATGTGATCCGTGTGACAAAATCTTCTGCTTTTATCAAAGGAAGACATGCACATTTTAAATGTTGGATTCTATTTCTCAACACTTAAATAGCATGACTGGATACCTAAAGGAAAGTAAGCCATACCACTCACTGTACTGGAGGTATAAAGTCTTAATGTAGTCAGGGCTGGACAAAGACAAATAACTTCTGTTCTTTGAAAGTCTGTAATCGAATCCTACAAATGCGAACTTCGACATGGTTTCTTGACTCCATGCTGAGCCGGTGATGGAGGAAAAATGGGGGGGAGGCTAGAGGAATCATAATCAGCCTTTCAGCACAAGTTCATCTCCCCCTCACAAACACCGCTTCCCCTTAAGATCCAAGACTACAAAGAGGAGGGTCAATGGTGGCATTCCTTCTTTGATATCAAAGGTACCACGGTTACTCAAAGCCTGAACAAAAGCTTTTTCATCTGGTTGGTGTGCAAATCCCCCCATACTCCTGTAAATGTATGACGCCCCCCAGATTAAAAAAAAAAAGAAAAACTGTGAGAAAACCAGCAAAGATGCCTGCTTTGTTTTCCAACATAAAATGAAAAGGGATATACTGTATGCCATAAGTCAAGTTTTACCTGCTCATGATGCAGCTGTGATCTCTGTGGACACCGGCTCGATCTCCTTCACAGCTTCCTCAATCACCTCGATCACTTGCGCCATCACCTCTGCACTCTTTCCTGATGCTTTTTGCTCCAGTTGGCTTTCGTCTGTGTCCGCTGGTTGACTGGCAGCAGCAGCTTCATTGAACTCCTGGGGTTCTTCCGTCAGTTTTGGGAGTTTGTTTTGTCTTGATGGATTCTCAGCTGTTGCGCTGGTGTTTGAACTGTCACCGTCAAGCATTACCACCGTTTCTACATTCATGGGCTGCTCTTCTACCTCTTGAGCCGATTGCAGGACCACCTGTGTTGGCATGAGGATCTTAACCTCCTTCTTGTTTTCCACCTCGGAGGGTCCATTCACCTCTCCATCCTGATCATTTTTGCTTTTTTTCTCCTCAGTATCTTCCTCTTTGATTTCTGTTACTTCTTCCTCAATGACAACATCTTCACTTACTTGTACCTCCACAGCACTCTTTAAATCGTTTTTGGGTTTCTCTTCTTCGTTGTAGTCCTCTTCAATGGTTTTTGTCACCTCTATTGGGACGGACTCAATGATCTCCATGGCAACACATAAGGGCTGGGTTGGTTTTTGCAGTGGCCTCTCACAGATCTCAGGAACAGGGGTGTCTGTGATGACAACTTGGTCAGCTGAGACGTCAATCTCACTCTCTGTTGTGGCTGTTGCCTGGACTGGTGTTGGGATGGAGGCTGTTGGTGTTTTGGGCTGAGGCGTATCTTCTAAAACTTTATCTACCGCCTCCTTGATGACAGCCTCTGCAATGACCGCACTCTGGGTCTCAATCTCTTGTTTAACATCTTTTTTACTCTCATTTCCGGAGACAAGAACCACTGTCTCAGTGATAACAGCTCTGTCATCATTTGACACAGCGTTAGGGACAGCTATTTCAGCCCCCTCTATGGTGGTGTTCTCCTCAGCCACAGTGGCAATCACCTGTTCTACGTCCACTGCACCCTCTTTGGACTCTATAGTGACCTCAGAGACTTCTACACTCTGGATGCACACAGCGATTTCAGGAACTGGCTCTATGGCATTGACGGCAACAGTTTTAGGGGAGTTCTTAGTTTGCGTTGCTGGCTGAATGACCTCTGAGTTCTCAGTGCTGACAGCTCCAACTTTCTCAATCTCAGGTTCATAGCTCCGATTGGCAACTTCTATTTCTGCAACCTCACATAATTTGTCAGCAACAGGCTCAAGGTCCAGAGTTTGTACTTTGTTAACATGAGCCTGGATCAGCGGATCCTCTGACACAACAGCTTCTTGTGGTTCTAATGGCTTCTCCTCCACGGCTATCTCAACGTTAGCAGGATCAACAAAAAGGCCCAAGGCTTCTACAGTGGCCCCCACAGTCTGCTCAACAGCAACCTCAGCAATTTCCTTGGTTACTAGACCGGTGCAGAGAGCCACTGCCTCACCTTGTGCATGAGGCTCCAGGATAGTGTTGACAATGGGCTTGACGCTTTCTGTTTCTGGATGACACTCAATTTCTGCAGAAGCGTTTTCCAGTGGAACATCTTCTAGAGTCACAGATGTCTGGGAAGGGATTTCAGTGATTTGAACCTCAATAGCACTGATGACCTCTTCTGCACTCTGATGCCTGGGTCCCTGGGGAACAGGAGAGGTTGCTGCAGCTGGAGCAGGAGTAATGGGCTTCACCTCAGCAGTGGACAGTCTGCGTCCTGTCTGACCTTTAGGAGGAATAACCTGGTCTTCGATTTCGTCCTCTGTAATGTCAGTATCAACAGATTTGGGTGTAGCTGCATTTTCGGCCTCCTCTGGAATATCACTTAGCTGATCATGATGACCCTCTGCATCTTCGATGCTAGCTGGAATCCATGATGGCGATCGGTCCTCAGCTAACACTT